TGTGTGTGTGGGTGGGTGGGTGGGTGGATATATATATATACGATGGTCCAGGCACTGTATCACCACGCGTCTTTCTCACTGTTCCCTGTTTCTATGGTCCTATTTTCCCCCTTTCTGTTCCCCGTTCCCTCTTCATTTTTGGGTTCCATCGATTGAACCCCTATTTAGAGTCCAAGATTCTCCCCCTTCCTCCTATGCTCGTGTCCGACGACTCCACGTCGGCTGTCCCCCATTTCTCGTTGCTCTCATCTAGTGTGATTCCTGCTCCTTTCCTCAGTGGCCGTTCCCATTCCCAATTGCCTAACACCTCCGCCCTTTCTCCTTTCCAAAGCAATCCCATCGACATGTCAAATGACTATAACTCTGTTATCAACATCCCTTTAACCTACTTCGCACCCTACCTACGACAGAATGCAACGCGCGCACTTTCTATTCCCTATTCCCTAAACCCCTTAACCCTCTCTCCCTCCTAAACCAACTAATAGAATCGACATCTTAAGGAACTACAACGCTCTGACTAACGTCCCCTTAACCTACTTCGCACCCCATCCATGACAGAATTCAGCACACAGTGCACACAAGGTACCCGGCTCCATGGATACCGCGACATGCACCCGTTCATCCATTTTTATTCTCCTCGAGATGGTCACACTAGTATCCCATCTACCCAGCAACAACCTGGAACGTGGAGATCCATGAGGATGCGTATCCCCAATGATGGAATCCACTCCTCCATCCGGCAGGACCACGCAGTGCAGAGCTCAGTCCACACTTTGCTACACAGTTGCTACACGATTGCATTGCACCTTCGCACAAACCTCCACCTCACGTCAGACCTTTGATAGCGGAATCAACAAGCACATGGCGGTCACAAACGAGTGCCAACTCACGTAGAGACGCCTGCATAGAGAAAGGACACTCAAGCCTGATGCTTTGCTTTTCCCTTTGTCCATTTTTCATAGATGATATATCCCTCCCATCATAATATACACGGTGCCACACCGACCAAAGTAGACATCTGGTAGTGCGCACCTCACACACCCACGCGCGCTCGCTCTGCAAACAGAAATGAATATCACCCTCAAAGAAACGACAAACCCCATTCTTCCTCAAAGTACATTCCCATCTATCCCATAACCATACCCTTCAAACCGGCCATATCGCCCTCCTTGGCCGCAATCTCAAAGTATCCGTAGATGATGGTCACAGCGAGCAAAATACCCGTTCCGCTGCCCAACGCACCCAGAAGATCGCTACCAACAGACAACGCACCAATGCAGGCTCCGCCAAAAGCCGCAGCCGTGGGGATCACGCGCTTGAGCTCCTTGTACATGGACTCCTCACGGTGACCAGCCATGACGAGACCCTGCTCCTTGAGCTGCTTGGCGACGTCGCGGGGAGAAGAGCCGGAGACTTCGATCCAGGTCTTAGAGAAGACCGCACAGGCGACCAGCATGTAGACAATGAAGATGGCTGTCTTCAGAGGGTCGGAGAGAGCCTCAGAGATGCTGAGCGGGGGTGACCTGGGGCAGTTAGTTATGAACTTGCTGGCAGCCTCGAGAATACGTACATGTAGTAGGCAATACCGGAGGTAGCGAAGAGCTGAGCGGATCCCTCCTTAGGCTCCCAAACACCCAAGAGGCGGACGAGGAGATTGTCGGAGAAACGGGAATAGAGCATCTGGCTGATCAAGAAGACGTTGGAGGACAGAGCTGACTGCAGCATAATGGGCATGTTGGAGGTATAGAACAGACGGACGGGGTACGAGCCGCGGACACCACGCTGGCGGGCAGACTTGACAGGGATCTCGACGCGGAAGCCCTGGAGGTAAATGACGGCGCCGAAGACAGCGACGGTGGCGATCAAGTTCATGACATTGGGGAGGTTCTGGCGGTAGAATGCCTCGCGGAGCGCAACAGTCTTGTTAGGCCAAGTGAAAAGGAGGTGGACGAGTGCAATGATTGCTCCCTCGAACTCGGGCCCACGGCCGGTGTTAATGGTAGTAGGGGAGAAAGCCTTCCACATGATAGACTCGCAGATGTTGGTCGCAATGAAGAGGGAGATGCCGCTGCCCAAACCGTAGCCCTTCTGGAGGAGCTCGTCGAGGAGAATGACAATCAGGCCGGCCATGATGAGCTGGATAACCAGGAGAACACAGATACCAGCGCCAAGATCAGAGGGCTGACCATAGAGACCGGAAACGACGTAGACAACAGCCTGGCCGAAAGACAGGAGGATAGCAAGGAGCTTCTGAGCGGTCTGATAGAGCTCGCGATCCGACTTCAAATCCAGGTTCACATCGATGAGGTGCGTACCGGCAAGAAGCTGGAAGACCATGCCCGCAGAGATGATTGGCGTAATACCCAACTCCATCAGTGTACCCCGATTACTCGCCATCATCATACGGAGCCAGTATAGCGGATCTGAGGTGTCCGATGACACGATACCGTACAGCGGCATCTGGCTCATCACCAGGAAAACGAGGAGGGTCAGGCCGGTCCATACTAGGCGGTTGTTGAAGGGGACCTTCTGCTCTGGCATCTGAATCTCTGGAACCAGAGAGACAAATGGTTTGACCAGGTCGAGGAACCGTACTACATTAAAGGAGTTAGTTGACGGTCCTACGAGGATATTGCGCGGAGGTCAATTGGGCGCGGATGGAGCACTTACGGCCGCTCATGATTGCGGTTTATGGTACCCAGAAAAGAACAAAGGAGACAAGGACCTGGAGAAGAAGGGATGTGAAATGAAGAAGAGTTGGGATTGCGGGCGGGCAGACGTGAGTGGGCTTCTGGAAGTGAGATACGTGTGCGAAATCGAGGTCTTGGCACGCTAAGTCAGCTACATCCCTGAACGGGAATGCTCGAACATTGGCCCCCTTCTCCACCCACATTCGAAGGCCACGGTTGCTTCATGGGGAGACTATGGTTGGTATGCCATTATTATTGGTGAAAGTAGGAGTAATGCTATCCGTCCGTACCAATGTCGGTCTGTCTCTTACTCAATGAGTCTTGTACTTGTGCTGGCTCGTGTGCAACTATATCCACCATAGTAGCCAGATCGAACTGGGTATGGACTACATAAAACCAAAATGATGCAGGAGATTCCGAGCTGAATAATGACGAATTGGAGCTCTGATCCCTGACCTTTTCCGGTAAGAAGGCATTGTCGGCGTACCCAGAATTGAACGTTTCCCCTCGAGATGTTCACTCAATGTGAACTCGCCTTCTGGGAAATGAATCCGCAATAACCGCACTGCAATTCTTCAATCCCCAGAAACTAGCTGTCGGCCTGATGTCTCGGTTCCCGGAGCATGCAATACAGCTTGACCATATTCTCATCTCCATCCCCATCCTTACATTCCATCTCCTTGGCCAACTTGAAACCAAACTTCTCATAGATCGTCACGTTCGGCTCCCTCCTACTACTCTCCAAATAGCACCACACCCCCTCCTTATCAGCCTGCCGCAGTACCTCCTCCATCAACGCCCTTCCCACCCCATTGCCTTGTGCCTCTGGCAGCACAGTCACAATGTTGCAAAAGTAATAGCCCTTCGCGCTTGTCCAGAGCTCACTCTGCGCCTCCGCTTGCCGCGCTTTCCATATCCAGTACCGCTTTGTCGATAACCCGCCTCGCCCGTACCAGAGGTTCATGCGGACCTGTCCGAACCAGAGCCACCAGTAGGAAAGATAGAGCGACCAGGACTGCGGCTCGGCGGGCGGGTGCGGGGGGAGCCACATAGCGCAGCCGAGAATCTTGGAGGGGTTGGAGGTATCGCGGGCGACGTGGAAAAGTCCATGTCGGATACCCCAGCGGCAGCGGAGAGTCAGAGAGACGCGATTGCGGGTTAATGAGACCTAGACTTTTGTCAGAAGTGCTTCGTAGTCAATTGGAGAATAGGGTAACTAACCTTGGAGCGGTCGGGAAAGACCCAGTTGTTGTATGGGTCGTCCGCAAAAGCTTGTTGAATGGTATCTATGGCTCCATCGATGTCCGCTTCCGTCATCCGACTCACTTCAATAGGCATGGTGATTGTTGTTCAATCGAGTATCGAATGTTCAAAGAGGTAAAAGGAACAGTTGTATGAACAGTGGCAGTGACAGCGAACGGCTTGTCCGTAGTCTAAGAGACATGACTGCTCGAGCTGACGCGGTGGGAGAGGACTGTTGTTCTATGGCGCTATCTACCCACCTGTGCAGCTGTTTCAAGCAATGCGTCGGACGCGCCAGGTCGAAGCGTCTGCCGGCCGAAAGAGCATAGATCTATGACTAAGCGGCGGGTTCTCCCACAATGCTATATATCAAATAGCGTCTCCCAACTGGAGGCAGGAAATCGGTCACATGGATCCGTAGTGAGTCGCGGCGGAGTGTGAGCCTTTTGACAGATGCTTTCTTTTATCTGGTTTCCATGCAACATTCATGCTGCTACTTGAACCAATCACTTCTCTCGCTGCGCGAAATAGACGCTTCCGCTGACTATCACGAGGCTTGCGCCCTGAGCACTTGGCACCAACCTTCATGCGAGTGATTGGATCTCCTTTTTCATTGTTGTTTGATGGCAGCATTTGAGGAAGAGGTGAGGTATTCAACTCCAGAGCGAGATTCGGACGCCTTATAACCCGTAAGACGACAATTGGGAGAAGATGCCAACCGCAAGGTGCTGAAGACAAGTCTATGGAATACTGACAAGAGGTGTTCGTGGATCGCAGCGAGACTATGTTTTTCAGCTTCGGAATTGTGCTGGTATTACATCTGTGCCACTTCGTCACAGTGAGTGGACATTCAGGAGACCATGCAGAAGATCGCCAAACCTCCAGTGAGTCTTCCCTAGGATAGCTTAACGGCCTTGCAGTGTCAGACTACACGATCACCTTCCTACAAGCTACATATCAACCATGTTCTGACTTATACATAGCCTCCACTTACACCGGCCCTACATTCAACCCTACTGAAGCTTTGAACTACGCCAGTACAGGAAGCCTCGATTATCATCTCTCCACCACCACTGCTACAGCTTCCGTGATTCTGGACCTCCCTAGTTCAACTATCTCCTCCCAGTCTACTACTACCACGCCAAGTACAAAAACAAGTGAGACCACGTCGCAGGGAAATCCCCCTCCATCTCAGACCTCCGAATCTATCGTTACGGTTAGCAAAACCGCCGCTGCGCATGTCAGGTACGCGTGTGGGTCTATGTGTGGAGGGTATGCGATGGGCGTTGCTGGATTAATCGGGGGACTTGCGTTAGTTTGAGCAGGGTATTTAGCTATCATCGAAAATGGGATGAAGGACAACCTGTGCGGAATGTACTGTATAATGGAAAGTCCTGCACGATACCTGGGTGTTCGGAGTACAAGTACACAGCAAAATGTTTGCGCATCTCTGAGCAATTGCAGCTTGACCCTAACTCTATGAATCCGCCGGCCAACGTATTCTGGAGCTCCAACATACTCCAGGCAGGAGCTCCGCTCACACCCGCACATTCGAACGTTGTAGCTTAATAGCCTTATATATGTTGTCCCATTCCCGTTTGAGTTGATGGCGCCAGACTTTCTCCATGACAGCCATCGATCTGTGCTAGACGTCTTCGAGGTCTGCTCATGCTCCGATATCTCCAAGGTTTTGAAGTCTATTTTGCGCCACACAGAAGCCGCGCAATAGCGTCGTAGGAGTTTGAAAACAGGAGGTAGGTGGACGTGCGATATTGCAAGAGCCCCAGTCATTGGTTGCAAACGGGGCAATTTCGAACACACGCTCCACACTCGCGCAGAAGCATACCATGACGGTCGTAACGTGTAATGACATCCTGAATCCACTTCGCCTCGTGGAAGAGGTTGCAAGTCGACAGGACCTTTGGAAACATAACAGTCGGTCGCAAATGGAATTGAATCGCATCCATCGCGAGGAGTAGATTTTGACTTCCCGCATGTATTCCAAGCTGCAGTTTTGGAGAAAAGCCTGGGCTTAGAGAACTCTGTTTTTTGAACCGGCACATAAGGAATTTTGTGGAGGCGAACAATATCATGATCTCTGAAGGATCCTTCATCTCCAGGGGTTGAAAGGATTCAGAGACCAAAGTTGAGATGAGGATCATGAGATGCGTCCTGTTTTTGGAATATTCAAAACGTAAGGCTGGGGTGACGGAGTGGAAAGGCCCAGGACGACATGTTTCTTGTCTGATGTTTTTAAGTCGGTGGAACTCATGAAATCACATCCAGCATTTTTCGCAGTTTCAAAGGCAAAACAGAAACGCACACATCATGCGCACGTGATACTCTTTTTTTAATAGAGAGAGCAATTGCTGGATTGGAAAAGAAAGGTCTGAACGACCAACTTGAGGTTTATATATCTTAGACTGGATATTGACTCACAGGTTCGTTGTCATGAAGAACCTGGCAGATTCATGGGATACAGAAAGCTGAGATTTCTTCAAGATTGGACATATGTGCCAAAGATTTGTGCGTTCGAGATAAACTGTGGCACAACTAGAACATGCAAGACCGGCTGCGTTGTTCGAGAGAAGAACATTTACGTAGAGTGATGCTCACCATCATCACTCTCCGCGCTCTCCATCATCATAATTTCACACTGGGACTTGTCTCCCCTCGCTCGATAAACAGTCCCTTGAAGAATCTCACGATACCGTCATGCTCATCCAGCGTCGTCACCTTCGCAACATCTATGGGAAGTTAACCTATGCAAAACTCAAGGGAACCAGCTGTACTCACATTGATCCGGCCTCACGATCACTACTGCGCCTACCATGGGTTCGACACCATACCTTTCGTACGCGTGACCGTGACCGGCGTTATAGTGCTCGTCATCAACGTAGACTTTATGCAGATCTTCCAAAGAAATCAGTCATATCCACTCCAGAAGCGGCAAACGCGACAATAGATGGGTGACTTACCTCTCATCCTCCACTTCCCGGTCACTGGCCAGAAGTACTGCGGAATTTGCTCCTGCTGTAATTTGGCGAACTTGCTGCTCAAAAGAACAATCGGCTCGATGAGACTATCGATGTCTGCCGTAGAAGGGGTATATCGCCGGACCAACCCTTCCAGGAATGTGGCCAACTGGGCAAGGATTAGCATTCACTTATATTCTGACAAAAAAAAGGGGATACCTTACCTCCTCCAACCTCTTGGCCTCCCTCTTCCTGCCCACAATATCCCCTCCAAAAATCACAACCCTCCACCGCCCATCACTCCTCAGCACACTCAACAACTGCACCGCCTTGCAATCACAGAACCGCACCACCTGCGCGCTGGGAAACCGCATGCCCACAACCACTTGCTTAGCCACCTCTTCTTTACTCTGTTTCCTGTCCGTGATCTCTGAGTCCTCGTATCTCGCCGTCAATCCAGCCATATACCTCCCACTCTTTACGAAATACTTTGCAAAAACCTCCGGATCTTCTTTCGAGCTGAACATCCTCGCCAACTCACGGTCAAACTCAATGAGATCTTTCGCCGTCTTCGAACGCTCCAGGACATATGTCTTCAACAGCGAAGGTGGTGACAAGCCTTTCAGGACTTGACATAATTTCCAACCGAGATTATACCCATCTTGGAGTGACACATTCATCCCCTGCCCCGCTTTCGGAGAATGCGTATGGCACGCATCACCCGTCAGGAAAACTCTATAGCCCTTATGGAACTGCTCGGCCAGACGCTGACCGATCGAATACGCCGACCACCAGAACGTTTCAGCGATCTCCATATCATACGGCTGAAAGATCTTCTTCGCCGTCGTCTGCAGATCCGCGAGCTTTACGGCTTTGGCCTGCGAACCGGCTGGAAGCTGGATGTAGAAGCGCACCATGGATCCACCCTCTCGGGGTATAATGAGGAGGTTCCCTGAGGAAGAGTGAATAGTGCATTTGCGACGGATGTCTGGGAAGTTGGTGCGAGGGAAGATGTCCATGACGCCCCAGACGGTGTCGCTGGTGTCGCCTATCATTCGGTATCCTAGGCTGTGCCTGACAGTCGAGTGTGCGCCGTCGCAGCCCTGGGTGTATTAACGTCCATGCTTTTGCTAGAGACCACAATATCCCAACGGATACAACATACCAAGACATACTTTGCCTCCCAAACCTGCCTCAGGCCCTCCCTCTCCGCTTCCACCCTCACACAATACGCATTCGGATCCCCAACCCTCTTCTCATCAACGCTCACGCTCTTCACCTCCCACCCATACTGCACTCCCTGCCTCGCTTCCCCCTTCCCCTTACTCTCCTCTCTCCTCCTCTGCACATTCCTCTCCACAACCCCCATCGCCAACGCATTCATCCTCGCCTGATTCAAAATAACATGCGGACAATGACTCACGCCCCCCTCGGTATCCGCACTCCTCCTTTTCCTCTCAATCCCCTTCTCCCCAGCGGGCCCCCAAAACGCCACCTCCAAAACATGATAACTCTCTCTCAGCAGCTCCTCGGAGATCCCGAACGATTCATAAATCTCGACCGTCCGGCACTGGACGCCGTCCGCTTGGCCGATCTGTAACGGGCCATTTCGACGCTCGAGGATCGTGAAGGGGATGCTGGTTTGGGAGAGCCAGATGGAGGCGAAGAGGCCGGCGGAGCCGGAACCGACGATTAGGACGTCGGTTTTTTGGGGTGGTATCGGCATTAGATGCAGGATGAGGGCAATGTGCTAAAGGACTCATCAAAGTGTATATTGTAATTGAACGATATCAATGGGCTGCGAGAAAATGGGATATGGCTGAGTGATCAATCCATGATCTCGGGTCTCCACGAACTACCGACCCTAGATCCCGCCATCGAGAGTATCCCGAGGCCGAAGGAAAACGGAGGAGAAACATGTACCAAGCCAGGAATCACGGGCGTTTGTGGACATGTTTGCGGGTTCTTGTGGTTGGGTTGGACCGCATGTTGGAGCCGTTTCGGAAGCGTTCCGCTGGTTTTCGGAACTGCTCCGAGGTATATCTATGTACAACGGGCTAATCGCTGGTTTTGCGTGCCAGCAACAGGAGATGGTGTCCCAAATAAAGGGAATTGTGTAGACATTGGAAGAGAGTTCCACCCATGTGCGTGAGGTCTGCGCAATAATAGCAAAGCCCACTGGGGATATAGCGCTTCGCCTCCAAACCCTTTGTACAGCCATACACCATATCGTACAATAACCAATCCCCCATAGACCTAAGGATCAAAACTAATCTTCTTCCCCTTCAACAAACTCCCACCCAGCGTCTTCCCAATTGCAAACCCAAAGTAGGCCCCCGTAACAATCGTCACCGGCCACTTCTGCCACTCGCGATCCCTACCACGCGTCAGCACCTTCCACCATCACCTTTACCACTTCCCACAAGAACTAAGAGATGGCAACAAACTCACCAATCCAGAGGAATCGGCACCGCCCCCAACCAAGCCCCCACCAACGTCCCAATCATCCCGCCCTGAACCTCGTCAATCGGAACCATCAACCCCACAATCTTCCTACACGTGCTCGCCGAAATCCCATGGACGTAGACCAACGGCACTGTAGTAAGAAGCGCAAGATGCGCTGCGCAAAGCGCCGTGCGGTCGAGGTAGGTCGTTAGCGGGGCCCCCATGAGCACGAGCGTTATCATGATCGGAAGGATAGCGAGGACGATGCTGCCAACGAGGGAGAGGCAGATGAGCTACCAGAGTCCGTCGAGTTAGCCTTCGTCTGTTCTCTCATATTCTAGTATGCCTGGGGAAAAGCGATGACGTACCAATAGTTTGGGCCACACATTCTCCATCCTGTTCCTCTCAACCTTTTTCTTTTTCTCTCCCGGCCTGCGTTTCTCCTTCTCCCTCACTGCTGTGCCTCCACCGGCCGGTGGCAGACATATTATTGCGTACGCCGCTTGCAGGACCAGGAGCCAGGGAAGAGTTGACGCGAGCGCAGGAACGGGGTCGGCGACGATGGCTTTGAAGCGGTATGCGTAGAGGGAGAGGAGGAGAACGGGATGGACATGTGTGTAGAGTTTCGCCGCATCGGTGTCGAGGCTGTCTATTGGACCCGTATGCGCTGGCGGAGCTATGTCCGCCGTCTTGGAGGCGGGGAGGGATTGGACGGAGCTGGTCATGGTGGACGGCTTATGCTGAAGGCATTTTTGGGTGGATCTATATCTGGAGTCGTGACTGTGCCTTTATGCTGCGCAATTGGGATACGTGTTTCCCTAAAGACCGCTCGGAAGGGGTACTTTCGTCGAATGTAGTCGTTATATGTTGCTACTAGATTTCCGTTGACCAGGAGCTTTTCATGGTTGAGGTTGGTTAGATGGTAGTGGTTGAGTCTTGGCATTTGTGGTTGACATGATTGGTCGAAACCCAACACTGCAATAGGACCATAGACCATTGGGAAGGGAGATGTATTTGATGATACTGGTGAACCGGCTCTAATGTCAGAAAACATGATGCCTTCACTTTTTGTAGATCCCAAATTCCAAGCTTGAAGTTTCTGATTACGAAGGCGTTGGCCATCTCTTCGCCTTGCCCTAAGCCAGTGATGCCATTTCATTCTCAGCACCAGGTTACTGGCCAGATCTCGCGCTTTTGATGGTCCCGCACTGCAGCCGTAGTCGTACATATGCCATACCTCGATGACCTTATCATCAGCGTCGCATGTCGTCCCTTTCCCCCCCTTCCTACTCCTTTTTCGGCAGCAAATCCCTCAGACTCAAATCGTAGATGATGTCCTCCACATCCTTCACCTTATACTTCAGACTATCGCTCCTCCTGCGCAGGCTATCATTCTTGAGGTTCAGAATCTGGAATCCGGCAAGCACATCCTTGACGAACTGGTTGATAAGCACAGGACGCTCGTATTCGCCCATGGTAACGGAGTTGCGGGCAAGTCGGGCCTGTGCAAAATTAGTGTTGGCTTTGCCGTAAGGAGAAAGGGGGACGGGGGGATGTATGTACCAGTTCCTCGACGAGCGAGATGAGAGCGTGAAGGTACTCTTCGATAGCCAGGTGGAACTTGTCTTCATCCTTGAGGTTCACCGGTACTGTTACCCATTAGCTCTCCATTCACCCCATATGAGCTCCAGAAACCAAACCTTTCAGATACTCTCCGACCTCCTCAATATTCATCAACCTCCCACTCTTAACCTCCCCACCCCCATTCTCATATCCGCCAAGCCACCCCCAGAACAGAATCTGGAAGACCTACAATCACATCAGACATATCCAGATACGTAGAAGAGAAGAAAGTTGCATACCAGATCCTGCATCTGCCGACTCCACATCCCATTGAACTTGTAGTACGGCGCCTTGCTTGCCACCTCGGCGAGCTTGCCCACTGTCTCTACCGCCTTACCCAGCGGTTCCTCCGCCGACTTCAGAAGCTCGGAAACTACATCACAGTAAGTATCCTATACTAAACATGAGAACTCCAACCGGAAGCTCCAGGCAGCGGCGTGATACGTTTTGCAATGGGCGTGCCATGTCCTCTCGAAAGAACGTATGTGATGCTTCGATCTAGAAACGCGTTAGCGGAGTGATAGATCATTGATTTCGGGACTTACTTTGCTTCTCCCATGTTTGAATGATATCGCGCAGTCCCTGCCCTGAGGTCAATATCACGTCACGTGCATGTCGCCGCAAGGAATTCTCACATCGCGGATGGCGGTGTCCTCGTCGGTGCGGGCTTGCAGGTCCTCGAAGAGCCCGTGGGCAATGAGGCCGGATGGCGCGGCCATGGTGTGTTGTGTATTGGAGATGTGTGGGAGAGGCGGGAAGATGTTGGGGGGAGGAGCGGTTTTGGGGAAGTCCTGTATTTATCGTCGTTGGCGGTGGGAGCAGCAGACGAACGCAACCACCGATAATAATAAATTAACTTAGCAAGCTTGTAATCTGGCCAGTCGATGTATTCTGTAGAGATCATTATCGTGGTTAAAGTGGTATAGAAGTCTATGTTTCGAGCAGCTCCATCTGAATGCGTCCGCTGAATGTCGAGCTCGCAGATCAACGGACCCCTGAGACATCCCTCTTGTGGCTCCATCCGATTAAATGGAAGCCATGGAGTACAGAAATCGACCAACGTGAATTCAGACACCGTGGGCAGATCTTTGTCCTCTCCCAATCACTCAATCGTACAACCCGAGGCCACACCCACTACCCCGGACCATACATGTAATCATACAACCCCCCTCGAACTAGGACCCTACACCCTCTTCTTCCCCACGACCTTACTCCTCTGCCTCAACATATGCGTAAACAGCGTATAAAATCCCGGCACATACGTCGCCAACACCGCCCAAAGCCCATACGCCAGGTACTCATTCCTCTTCTCCGCAGGCCCAATCGCCTTATAAATAAGCCAGGTCTCGCTCGCGACGCCGAGGGGATACAGGACGAAGAAGGTGTTGTACCTGGAAGTTCCAATCAGCAAATGTCTGTCACAATTGCGGCGGAAACATGATATATGAAGGGAATAAACGTACCTTAACCACGTCCACAGCCTCGGGACACCCTGTCCCGAAAGCACAAAGACAAAGTACGAATACCGCACCACCTCCGTCACACTCCACGCAACCAGCATACTCGCGTACGCAGGACTATCCCTCGTCGTTTCCGGGAAATGGTACCCCACGCCCCAGACGAGCAGCAAGCGGCTGGCGACCTGCATGAGCGTCGTCAAGAGGGGTGCGCGCACGAGACCTGTTCCCATCAGAATCATTAGCATCTGAATAGGGAGATCAATCGAATCTCGCTTCCATAAACATCCAGACGAGAAAACCACAAAGTATCGCAACATACCAACTAGCGAATGCACCACCTCCAAAACCGCACCCGTCTGCACCAATCGAGCATACCTCTCCGTCTGCTCATACACCCTCCCATTCTGCACACCCTCCTTCGCCGCAAGATGAACGACCCGCGCAAACACCGATGCCCATGCTACTGCCGAGACCAAGTTGTATGCGAGGAGGTACGTATTTGCCAGCCCGCCTGAGGAGGAGCTGGGAGCCCGGCGTTGCGACTTGGGTGGCATGGTGCAGGGTGGTTGGGGAGGAATCGGGGAGCTGGAGGCTTTGGTTGGATTGTGTGGATTTCGCTGTAATGGGAAGCTTGCCAGGTGAGATGGGACGGGCTTGGCGATCTATGCCTCGGTATGTTAAATCTATCAATTGTGGTGATATCGCCGAGCTAAGTCCGTACAATTTCACACCTGGTCCTCAATCTTCCTCCCAGACCTCTCGAGACGACGCCTCGATGATTTCGGATCAAGTAAATACTGTCATCAGTCACACTATAATAGACAAAAACGCTTCAAATATACAATATGATTCATGGATGCATCATGATGTCCTATGCCCCCACTCCTAACGGGCACTCCGCTATCTTCGCAACCTCTCACATAGCAGCGCTGCAGTCGACATGATAGTCTATCCACGTCGATTGGGCACGACTAGCACACTCGCGTGTCTATTCCGACCTGCTATGCAAACGCAAAATCTGCATACCATGCCCCTCTACCTCGAGAGAAGAACAAAGCGACACCGGAAATTCGAATGAGACAACGCTGAGGAAGGCCAAATGCATGGGGGTATCATGACTGTCCAAGGAAGAGCAATGCATACAGTGGCAAAGTCGCCGCCCGTCCGGAAAGAGAAATCCCTACTATGAGAGAACAAGGAGAGGAGGACTTGTGCGCGCTATAGGAAAACCTGGATCATGGCTTTCGGATTTGACGTCTTCTTATCGCAGCCATCGACCACGCAGACTTTGAAGGGTTTGTGCTTCGTCTTATCGACAGCGTCTTTGCCCTTGGTGCTGACTTTTACAAATCGGTTGGCGGCACATTCGCCACAGTACACCTTTGGTTCCGTTAGTAACAAGCCGATAATAATCTCAAGTCAGGGTGAAAAGCTTACATGTCCGCAAGCCCTGACAATCCACACCTGTCTTTGTCGCTCCGTATCGCCGATGCACAGCTCATTCTCGCAATTCGGGCACCCAACGGGAGTATTCTCGTCCGGAGATCTCGTGAATCCGGGGGGGGCAGGCGGCGGGGGATCATATGTCGGGGGCGCAGGTGGCGGTTGCGGACGGTTTCCGGGTTGCATATCGAACCCAACGGTATTGTAGTTCATGACTCCCACGTACACAGACCGAAGACGACTCCGTGACGAGTTGGGCAGAGCTTGTGCGGAGAGACGAGTCCCGTGGACTGTCCGGTGGTTACGCTGGGGCGGCATAGCTCTGCGATCTATCACCAGTGCTAGAAGAGGGTTCAGGTGCGACGAAGCTGGGGCTGACGGGCGGAAAAACTGGCGGGAATGCGAACGAGGTCTGATATCCGTGATTTGAACCTCATCCTCACCCCGTGCAGGCCCTTCAGCCGGTGTGATATTCCGCATAGAGATGAATTGCACCTCCGGTGACGGCGGCTCCGGCGGATGCGAGGTAGTCCTTGTGTTGCTCTCATCATCTAGATCGATAATCTCCCTTGGAAACCGCGGCGGTCTCTGTGGCGGCCGAGCCCCCATGTGCCTCGCAGAGGGCCTGCCAGTCGACGATGGTACCGAGTCGTCCGTGAGGTCAATTACCTGAGGCTCATGGCCACTTCCCTCTCTTGTAAGCGATATAGGCCGCCGAAAGTCAAATCCATCACCGGGATATCGAGGTGGGTGAGCGGGCGGCATTCTGGTCGGGGGAGGTAAATGTAGTGCGGCGGGCCGGCGGTAGGAGACGTCGGAGGCTGAGGGCCGTTCGTCGGAAACTTGTAGGTGCTCCCAGCCGGACGAGGGAGGGCTATCGCTGTCCATGTGGAAGTGCGAGCGCTGCGATCGCGATATTGAGGGTTTCCTTGCCATCCGCCCGCCAATTGCCGGTTCCAGTGAGCGGTCTGATGCGTTGTTCTTCCGCCGGTGTGCAGAGCTGAAGTTGAGGTCGAAGTTGCCGTCCATGCTCTGCGGCAGCGGTCGTGGAATGAGGCGGCAATAGGTGAAGGTGAACGAGGTAGCCGGTGCGAGGTTGGATCGGGGGTGAAGGTGAAGCGGGAGCCGTGGAGTAGCAGGAGCGGATGAGAGGCGGGTTTGTTGGGTCCAGCACTGGCGGTGGCAAGGGGTATTGTTATTATTTAAACATGCGCTAGGCCTCCGTACGACAAATGCTGGGTTGATTATTCATATCTATATTTCTTGCTTTCACTACATTACTGTGCTTCCGTCGCGCCCCTTTCACTTGTTGCCGTTGTTTAAGTGCGGATGGGCATCCTTGCTTTTGATGACGCCGAGAGTGCCCGCAAGTCCGTTTTCGCCTCACATTCACAAGAAACGTGTCAGTGCATTCCAAGAGTTTATTGTGCTCCGAATAGCTCGTGACAAGATAGGACTCGTACGTGTTCACTGTAAAACGTTCCCAACCATATTACACATATTCCAATGATCAATGATCAGTCCTCCATGGTCACCCGGCCGCTTCGTAGTCCAGAAGCGCCAAGTACGTACATCGTCTTCAACTCCAAATAAATGCTCACTTCCTCGCAAAATCGCACGGCTTTGACTGCCTCCAGATTCGCTTGAGCCATAGCAGCTAGAATCTTCAAGCCGCTCCCAGAACAGTCAAGCCGCCTTCTGGCGTCAATGCAACCAGTGACGACGCCTTTGTAGCCCAGGCAACATCTCTCGCGGGTACTGCCTTTCGAATCGGCTCCGACCAGCTCTTTGATGCCTTGGTGTATTGCTGCACGGCAATTCCTCCAGGTCCTGCAGTGGCGAGGAACTGGCCGGTGTAGTCCCAGTGTAAGCGATCGACCGGCCCACCAACATCCAGCACCTTAACTGGTTGCTGCTTGCGCAAGTCCCAGACAGTGACGTTGCTCGAACCCTTCTGTGCCGACGCAAACCAGGTACCGTTTTCTGAGAATGATACGCTGCAGACTGGGCCACCCGCCTCCAAAACAGCCATGCTGCCGCCGGTCTTGACGTCGAAGATGCGGATGTTGCCATCTGTGCTGCCAGTGAAGAACAGGAGGCCATCCACATGGAATGCCGAACACGCGATGTCGGCCTCTGTGTACACTTGCGAGACAACCTCAAAGTTGGAGAGGTCGTGGAAGATGAACCGCTTGTCCACACCGGTGGAGGCCAGGATGGCCTTGCTGGGGTGAAGAGCCAGGGAGGTAACTGCTCCAGGATGCGCAGCTTTTGAGTGAACTTCATTCCCACCTTCGAAAATCTTGATAGTTCCGGAAGCCGTCGCAACGACTGCACGGGAGTCCCACCACAAGGTATCTGTTACCGCGCTTTCAGCCTGGAGTGTATACAGGAGCTTCTGCTGGGAAATGGAGTAAACGCCAGCGACCCCGTCCTTCCCACCAAATAGTGCCAAATCCCCAGACTCGTCCACCGAGATAGTCGCGCTACCAGGGTAAATGGCTTCAGCTTGGCTCGTTACCTCGAAACCAGCAATATCCTCGCCGGTAGCCCAGCCTTCCGGAATTGGCCGCTTCCGTCGAGTCGAGAACAACCTACTCAAGTTAGAACTACAACCGCATACATGTGGATTAGAACACACTGTTGCTGTGTCTCATCCACCTTGGCGACGAGATGCTCAGGCAGCGCCTGTCCATCCACCTGCATCGCTTCCTCGGTGGCAGGTGCCGTCACAGTCAGATTTGAAAGGGCTTTCCGCGCTTCATCCCGCTCTTGCGTCAACCTCGCTATTACTCGCGTTGCTGCATCGTTCTGGTACAAAGCCGTGCTGAGCTCTTGTCTTGTTTGCGCGAGCTGTTGCTTCAGCGTGAAGGTCTCCAGCATGAGGGCGTCCCATTCCGTTTGGAAAGCGGTGAGAAGGGCGGGTATCGAGGTGAGGTGCGGAGGTCTGGGAGCGACAATTCTTGGGGACTTAAGCTCAATCAGTTCGTCGACATTGAGATCTTCGCCGGTGACGGGATCCGTGTGATGTTCTGCAATATGTGCTTCAATGAGGCGCTTCTCGAAGACATTGCCGCTCTTGCGCGAGGCGACCGGCTCCTGGGGAGCTACTCCAGATATCGCGCAAAGCATGGCGGTGTGGTGGGAGGATGTGGATGTGATCTAGAGCACTGGAGATGTTGCTGCGCGAGGTAGTCTAGCTTCTGGCCTAAAGTTTCCACCGAGACGCGCCAAGCTCGGATCGGAAGAACTTGTCACCCGCGGATCGACGACTACTCCGCTGTCACGATGAACTGGTGTATAGCTGAGTTGAATGATTGTACTTTGCGAAGCCATTACACTCAGGAGATCAGAAGCCTATAGGGCGAGTTGACTACCACGGAAAACAGAGGGCCATTGGATCGCATGGACGAGGAGCAGCTCAAGGAAGATAGCAAATAGCAATCAGAAAAGCATAGCCAGACTCTGTGTTGAATTCGCTAACCATACGCAGAAGGGGTATGTATACAGAACCATCGGAGAGAAACAATCCATGTAGATACGCTCCGCTCCAGCCAAAAGACATTCAAAAATACAGATGAGACGAAGAGACCCTTTTCCGTACCCAAAAAAGCCGGTATTGCCCTCTCCAGCTGAAATCCGTCTGCAAACCCAACGTTTCCATAATCCCCAACCTACCTTCATACACCAGGGCCTACCTCACCTTCCTCGCCAAGAACCACTCCACGCTCTCATCCGTCCAATTCACCCTACTCGTCCCACTCTCAAACCGCTCCTCTTCAAAGAGACTCGCAATCGCATTTTCATTTCTCCCCCCTTGTCCAACCCCTCCACCACCCGCGCCCCCGCAGAAGCTCTCAAGGCTAACAACACAGGCCCCGAGCTTTAGATCCAGAAACTTGTTAAGCAGAATCGTGTTCGTCTCATTGTCAAATACTTTGTTATTAACAAGCACCACGTCCGCTCGTTGCAGCACCTTGTCGATCTCGGGGCTTTCGAGGAACGACCCGTGAAGAAGATGCATTTCCCCTAGCGCGAGATTCCACCGTTTCGCGCGTGCTCGCAACTCCGCGGCCTGGTCGAGCGCAAACCGTGCGGGGCGCTCCAGGATCTCGATGCCCCAGCTTTCGGCACCAGTCTGCAGCGCGGATTGCAGAACCACGTTTCCAACGCCTGAGCCTAGGTCGACGAAGATGGACGTGGACGAGAGGTGTGTTTTTGCGAAGATGGTGTGGATAAACGGTGGGAGGAGTTCGCCATATGTTGTCTGCTTGGATTCGACGCGCCGGAGGAGATGCGCATATGGGCTGACCGTTCGGAGGTATACTTGAGCTAGTATGCGTTGGATAAGCGATAGAGGTATGGCGTGCATGGCGTTGAGCGTTTCTTGTATGCTGCCATCTTGCAAATGTTGTCTTATCAGGGTGTTGAATGAAGAAAGAGCGGATTGGAAGTCCTGGGGTGACTGTTTGAAAACGGCGCGCTTGAGTAGGCGTACTGTGCCTGTGGTCTCCGACTGGAGGGGAACTGCAATGTGTGCTGGGAGGTAGTGTGCCAGTATTTCTTCAATGCTGAAATAGATATCGTCCAAAGGATTGTAGTTGCTGGTATCGCGAGGTACCACCGTTGCGAACTTCTCCGGGAGAGACGGCGACGGGTATTGGAGTTCCACAACCAGATTCTCATTGTCAGGAAAGGCAGGTTTGAAGTCTTTCGCCCAGTCTCCAGTGGAGAGATCCATCCCATGTCTTAGCTTTTCCACTTTGCCCTCAGTCTCTTCCGTTGGTCCCTCTGCGACCGGAGAACCCTCTTGTCTGTCCGAAATATCGAAATGTCGAATTCGCCGCTTCAGATCCGGCTCGAGACAGCGATTCACTCGGGCAGGTTCGATGCTTGAGCTCGTCTTCTGCCTCTTGCGCAACCCACTTCCCAGTTTGTCGTCATCCCCATCGTCGCTCGGCTCATCGTCGCTGGTCCCCCACTGCGGCGTACTGGGTGTTACCTTGCGCTTCCGTTGCTGCAGGCGTGGTTTGCGACGCTGCTGGGGCGGATCCGTACTTTGCGATTCCGACCCCGCCCGCAGTTTACTGTTGCTGCGCGCCGACGTCAGACTGCGGGCATGGGCGGGTGGGGTCCCTGAAGCCTTGCGCAGGGCGTTTGACGGCGTTATTCTCGGACTGCCGTTCGGCGCAACGGTCGACGGGCCGGCGAGGGGTTGTTTCTGGACTGGGACAAGGACAGTGCGGGTGCGAATCTTCGGTTTCGACGCGGTCGCGCCGAACATGACTTCTAGGACGGTTCTCCGTTGACTGTTTAGTACTAAATGAATGTCGGTGTGTGAATACACAGTCGGTGGTTGAAAGAATGACAGTTGAGCGGCACAAGGCAGCGATGGACAAGTTGGGTGGAGGAAGAAGTCAGCCACAAGTTCTTGTGCCACGCGAGGCACGCGTTTCGGTGGTCCACGGCAGATCCACTTGCCGCTAGCGGCTTGGCGGGTCGCGTGCCGGCCCGGTGAATTCGTCCGCATGCTGCACGTGCAAGGGGGTGAGTGCTTGTCATGACTTCAGCGGAGGAGTTCACCTTCACCGGTGATTGATAGAAGGGCAATCATCTGAAGTCAATTGGGATGTGGCTGGTCAGAACTCAACAACCAAAAAAGATTCGAAGTATAGTTGCCAATTGCCCCTCTACACAGTATGTTTGCTACACACCTAATCCGACCATACATTATCCCAGTCATTTCTCTGCAAACTCCATCTACCGGCGTCTATCATCGTGATATTCCAAGTACAATTTGCAAAACTCCCAAGATCAACCCATCCAATTAAGTCACACACGCAATCTCCTCCCACCCAACGCTCCACCTCACACCCCCCATGACCACCACCAGCAACCCCAACCCAGTCCCCACACTCACTCCCCCATAAACCCACGCATGACCTCTCTTTAACGCCCCCAACTCCAAGACCCATGTCGAGACCGTCGACAGCGTCCCGCAGAAGCCATCCATCACCCCCTCAAGTACCTGACATCCGACTCTGCCTCCAGCCACTCCTGCCCCGCCGATGCGAACGTGCTGCAGATCCCACGCCATGCCCAGGATTGCGGTGCCGAATATATTGCAGGCAAAGGTGCCCATGGGGAAGGAAGGAATGACGCCGTTGAGTTTGAGGGAAACGTAGAAGCGGATGAGACATCCGAGTGGTGCGAAGACGCACGCCATAAGGGCTTGCCCTCGCCATGTCTCCTTCGCCCAGGAGTCGGAGCTTGCAGGTCCTCCAGGCCGGTCCGGAGTCCAGATAGCCATCACGATGGCGCCGAGCCAGAGGCCCCAGGCGAGGAAGACGAAAACAGGATCGACGAAGCGGCGGAGGATGTGGAAGGGCAGGGTCGGGGTGACGGGATCGGCAAAGATGGCGAGGTGGGCGCCGGCTGTGAGGGCAGAGTGGCAGAGGCCGACGGTAAGGATGACTATAGCGCAGACGGCCATGAAGCTGTATCCACCGTTGCGGGGGACGGTGGTGGCGACGCTGGGTTGAGGTGCGCCAGACGGGTGATTTAGAGGGGTGAGGAGGTCGTTGGATAGAGCCAAGAATGCATCACGCATGAAGCTGGAGAAACTGGTGAAGGAGCCGCAGAAACCAGTCGTTAGGCCAATGTATAGAGGTATTGTCTTCTTGACTTTGTTGTGTAACGCTTTTGCAGCCTCAGCCGGTGTTGGGGCCTCTTTTTCCTCATCACTGCCTTCTCCATACGCCGTCTCCGCCTTGCGACCCCATGCATAACGGAAGAACCGCTGGTCTTCGCTCAGGAAACCCATCACCAGCGTCCCTGCGAAGTTGGCCCATAGAACCGGGAATACAACGGGAGCTCCAGGGTAGAAGGTCAGCCAGTCCAGACCAAGCCGTGCCAACGCGCCCAAGATGGAAAAAAGGATGAGATAGGAGATGGTGTAGAGCTCAGTGGCGATGCGTGACCGTCTTCTCCTAGATTCGGTTTCTTTCGCGGCATAGTATGCGTCTTTGGGCTGTATCTCTTCTGGGGGCTGCCGGGGGAGTACAGGAAGGGCCGTAATTCCCAGACTTGTTGCTCGCGAACCCACGCGCTCGTCCTCGAATATACTGCGCTGCCTGTGCCGATCGGGTACGCGAGGCCCTGCGGCAACTTCAGTGAGGTTTTCGAAGCTCTGGGGCAGAGCGAATTCGTCAGTGCTTTCCTTATGCGATTCCCTATGACTCGGTTGTTCTTCAACCGGCTGTTTCGACCTGGGTCGCTGACTGAAGGAGCCTTCGCGCTCAGTTTCGAATAGGGAAGACTGTCGCTGTGGATGGGGTATTGGACCCGGCACCGCAACTTCATCCAGATTTTGAAAAGTCTCGGGAAGAGGATTACCGCCCGTAGTCCCCTTCTGCGACCCTCTACGACTACTCCTCAACCACCTCGAGCTTCCGGGCCTGGGATAAGGGCGTTCCTGGCTCGGACCCCGAGGCACGACCGGCGACAGCGCAGCATCATCATCGGGATTTTGGAAATCCTGCAAGGCTGTATCGCCCTCATCCTCTGGTATACTCCTCTCCATAGAAGCTGTTTTTCCTTCTCTTGCTTTTGTCGTTGTGCAAAATCGCTCAGGCCACAGTGAATCATCATGGCCTTCTCTTCCTCTTCCCGTCATCATTCATCAATCAAGAACTGAACAAATCCCCCGTACCGGGCATATTATTCGTTTTGACGCGTGCCCGTCGTGACGCTGCATGGAATGCCATTGTTGCATGAGGTTCTTGTCCTGTGATGTTCTTCCTTGGACTGACCCACGATACGGCTGCCGGAGCCGATCTTCCCCGGGGAGATCCCTGCAATGTGCGCCATGGAGGCTCAATGCGCTGGCGCTAGCTGCAGTTTGTGTGGGGCGCTATCCGCTTCGGGAAGCTTGCTTATCACGTTGAATGGACGACTCCTCGCATTGACATTCACACCTGACTTGCTACATCCACATATTCACTCCGTACTTCTTTCTATATAATAATAACCTCTCCGTTATTCTCGCAAATCTCAATACTTGCATAAACGCATCACTGTCAACCATGTCCACTCCACTCCCAAAGAATGCACACATCTCGCAGCATCCATGTCTCCAGGCGAAGCTCTCGCAGCTCCGGTCCGCTTCCACGACAACGCAGCAGGTGCAGACGCTGGTGCACGAGATTGCCCTGATGGTGGGATACGAGGCCCTCGCTGGTGGACTCAGCGTTAGGGAAGACGGAGAGGTGAGTCGCACAGCTATGCGCTGACTCTCATTGTTGTATACCCCCTCGCCTATATCTCTCCACTGCAACAGTACCACAGGTACACTCTATGTACTCTACTAACACACCCCCAGGACACCTCCCCGCTCGGCTACACCTACACCCGACACACCACCACGCCGTCCCCCCAAAAGATCTCCCTCGTTCCCATCCTCCGCTCCGGCCTCTCCATGACGCCCGCCCTGAGCTCGCTTCTCCCCTCCCCCGTCCCGATCCACCACCTCGGCCTCTACCGCGAGAAATCCACCCTCCAGCCCGTGGAATACTACAACAACCTCCCCTACCACTCGCCCACTGCGTCCAACCCCTCGGCCGCGGGACCCGCCGAGCTGGCCATCATCGTGGACCCGGTGATTGCGACGGGCTCGACCATGTGCGCGGCGATAGAGACGCTGCGGGACTGGGGGGTGAAGAGGATCATTGCGGTGGCGGTATTGGCGACGAGGGCGGGTTTGGAGAAGGCGTGCGCCGAGTGGAAGGAAGGGGTCGAGGTGTGGGTCGGTGGGTGTGATGAGTCGGTGGATGAGAAGGGCATGATTAAGCCGGGGTTGGGAGATATTGGCGATAGGCTGTTTTTGACGATTGGGAAGTAGGAGTATGTGAGGAGGGGGAGCAATCGACAGAAAACATAATAATCAATAGATACGTCTACTCCACGCTTCTCACTCCACTTCCTTTAACCTTTTTTTTCCCTCTTTCTCTGTCTTCCCAAAACTACAGCTTACACACCTTCCCACCGCATTCCGTCATGGTATGCACATATCTCAGCTTTCCCCCCTCCAGCCGAAACTCGTGGCTATCCGCCGCATTCATCATGTGTTCCCACACGCAAAAGATGCTCACGCTCCCCATGGCCTCGTCAATGACGTACCGCCTGTGCGTATTTGGCGGCTGCGAGTGGTTACTCGGGATCCCCGGCGTGCAGCTATCGGTGGGGAGGCCTTTCCCTTTGGCGAGTCTTAGTTCGGAGGAAGAGCCGATTGTAGAAGACGAAGAAGAAGAAGAAAGGAAGAGAAGAAGGGAAAAAAGAATGAAAGTCAAAAGCAACCCACCCGTATACGCACTCCCCTCCAACCGCACACACGGCGTACCCCAAGGCACCCTCTCGTGCGCCCGCGCATCACTCCACATATCCAAGTACGCATCGCCCGCCGCCTTGATCGCCTCCCTCGTATCCCTCTTACTCTCAGGCAATATCTCCCTCCACCCGCCGGCCTCCAATTCCTGCCGCACGTACGCCAGCGTCTTGGTCGCGTTGAACAGCCACGAGCCCGTCGTGCTGGCGATCGTATCGATGGAGTCGATCACGATCTTACCGTCTGAGCGAGGAGAGAAGCGCAGCTGCGTGCCGAAGACGTAGGGACCCTGGGTGGAGATGGCTTCGGTGTAGGTGGCGCATTGGACGAGGTCGTGGATGGTGCGGTTGTGGTCGAGGGCGAGGGGTTTGCGGAGGAGGAGACCCTTGGTGGGGTTGGTGAGGACGACGTTGTTCTCAGTGTAAGTCCAGTTTGGTGAGAGGTAGGGTTGGAGTGGGGAGAGGGAGGCTTGGGTTTGAGCGACGAGGTAGGCGTTTGCGGCTTCGGTGAGGAGGGCTTTGGTGCAGGAGGAGGATGAGGCAGCGTGAGGGAGGCAGGAAGTGGAAGGGAGGAGGAGGGAGAGCACGAGTGATGTCCCGAGGAGCAAGGAACGAGCCATTGGAGATTTTCTGGATGGAATAAATCCTCTCCGGGTCTTGGATTCTGAGGTTCCGCAGCGTCAGTGAACCCAGTGGAATCTTTCTTTCTCCAGTAGAAAAGATCCCTTGCAAAAGTAGGAAAGGCTCCCGGTAAAACAGCTCCTTACCTCCCTACAAATACACCACTCCCTCTCCCACTCCCCGCACGCCTGCCCAGCATGGAGAATTAGTGTTTGATGGGCATCCTCAAATGCCGGCGTCTACGGGGTTCAGGGTGAAAGCATGCAGGGTCCCGAGCACCCCTGGGACTGCATGACCCCACATGCATTTCATATATGACATTGAACATTTTGATGTTGAACAAAAGTCCTCCGATGGTCGAAAGGATCAGCACGTTCGCAGCAAGATCAGCAAGATTATCAGAACAATGAGACTTGTCTTCAAAGGAAGAGGCCCAGGGGACCTGCACATGTATTTCAGTCTGGATATATAACGACGGCGGAGGAGATGTTCGCTAGTCTAGTTCCAATTGGTCATTTTTCGAAGCATAGCTCCTGATAGCCTTTCTGACCATATATACCTATCCACCCCTCCCTATACACTATACCATACCATTCCAATGCAAAGGAGAGAAACAAGTCTTTGGCTCCATGTGCTGTACCTTTCCAAATACCTACTCCGCAGGGATCCCGATATGCAGCGCTAAACAGATCAAACGCAAAAAGACAAAGATACCGCCCAAAGAATGCATGCACAGAGACCACTAAAGGATCCGGCCCAGGTATAGTAGGAGGTGTCGTAAGTGTCCATCAAAGAGCGAAATCCCGGAGACCGTGAGAATGCATCAAGGAAAGTCGTCCGCCGAAGAGGCGCGTAAAGGAGAGTCGTTGATACAATGCGTAAAGGACTGTCGTGTTCTTCGTCAGTATCTTGGCTGTGGTGCCATCCGTTCGTCAGTTGGCAGTAGAGAGTCAGTATGAGGAACCCTCAGCTCTTCCTCACAACCACATCCCCAACCATCCCACAACCGCACCTCCCACCACAGCCGCCTCCACCGCTCCATTCCTGCCCATCGCGACCGCCGCCCCAGTCTGCAGCCCGGGCTTCCCACTCGCCGTCCCCGCCGGACTACCTCCCTCTCCCGTCGGAGCCCCGGGATTCACAAAGGTATAACTGGTGATGACACTCGGCTTCCCATCTGCGCCCGTCGTCGTGATCAACTTGACGCTACTTACGGTGCCGGCACCAGGCGTATACGTGGTCACAAACGTATTGCCCCGACTATCGGTCCTGGTAAGCTGCTGGCCCGGGGTCGGCGCAAAGTCCACGGCTGACGTGGTGGTGACGACGGAGCCCGCGGCATCGGTGGACGTGAGGACGACGGCGGGCTTCGTCTCGGTGGCAATTTCCGTAGCGCCTTGGTCGTTGACGCGTGTGGTTGTGACGACTGCCGAGGCGGTGGGCTCGCTCAGGATCTCGGAGGAGACGACGGTCGTGCGGCCTCGGTCGTCAGTGGAGGTGATGGGAACAGGGACCAAGATGGGAGGGGCTTGGCTGCTCGATGGCGGAGGCGGGGGAGCTTGCGTGCTGGGTTGCTGCTGGCTGGATTGCGGCGGGTTCGGAGTCGTTCCATTCGAAGGGGTCTGCCGCTTCTTCAGGTCCTGGACAGCGGCTATAATCAATTTGGTTGCGAGAGGAGGGTCATCGTGATGCACGCGCTCGACGCCATGGCGGTTGGACTCGAAGACGCCTTCCCGGTAGGGAGCGAGGCTGTTGAGGGCGACGTGCAGGGATTCCTCGGGCAGGGCGTTGAGGAGGTCGCGGAAGGCTTCCTGGGCATCGGCGTAGATGGGTTTGGCTTCATTTTTGGTTTGGGAGGCGGGCTCTGCGGCTGCTAAGGTGGATATAAGAGGCAGTGCCAGGCAGGCCAATCGATATAGACAGGGCATGGTGGGCGAGGTGAGGGAGCAAGTTGAGTTTGGAGGAAAGGAGGAAGGGCGGTGCAGGAAGTAGCTGTAGAAAGCGTCAGTGAATGCATGAGAAAGAGGACAAGGCAGTTTTGAGCGTGCGTGAAGTGAAGACCTTTCACTCGGCTGAGACAAGCACACGTGGGGTTGCTTACCGCTGTCACAAACACTGGTACACAGTAGCTGACGCGGTTTCAAGAGCGCCACTCGGTGCGCGTTGGTGATGGCCTCTTCAGAACTTGCACTTCAATCCCAGAAAAGACTTCCCCTCTTCGCCAGCCACAGCCAGCGTCCTGACGATTCGAGCGAGAGAAATGTAGAGAGGAGAGAGCAGATGTAACAGTAGTTAAGGAAGCGGGGAAACGGGGCGGTGGCAACACAGGAAGCAAAGACGTCGAGCGAGCTAACCACCAGACAGCTGCATGTACTGTGTCAGCAAGACAACTAAGTGAAGATGCAAAAAAAGAAGTCGAAACAGCAACCTTCTCATACAGTATAATAAATCAACCCGTTCCCACCAAAGCAAGATAGGCCCCGCTGCGGCCGGTACAATCTTTCGTGTTTTCACCCGTCGTGGGCCTTGTCACCTCATCGTGATGACGATGTGTACCGTAGTAGACAAACACAAACCCTGCTACTCTCAGACTCTCATTGCCGTTGCGGCCTTGGAAGCTGAGTCTGCCATGACAAGGATTCGGGCGTGTCGCATCGCTTGGTGACGATCCTCGGATTCCAGGTTTCACTCCTGGGCTCAGCTGGGTCCGCTAGTCCAAAGTGGGAAGTGGGCTGGTCAATGGTGAATGGTTGGAATCCGAGGGGGTCCAAAGTTAGAATCTCTGGCAAGCCATCTTGGCCACTGGAGATCAACGTTGACGTGGTAGTCCGGAGCGTGAGAGTGGGAACCAAGAGGGGAATCTCAAGCCCAGCATCCAATAATCAACCCCTCATGAGCCGCAATAACATCATCGCCGACCAGAAATTGTGTGCAAAGACACTACTCTCAAAACATCCCCTATGCGGACAAATGGCGCACAAACCCACAAGGACATGTTCACCCCCACTCCCCAACAACATTCCTCAGACCATCTATACCTTTGCCCTCCCCTACAACTGCTTACACCGACTCCACCCATGATATTTGATACTTTCCACACAGAGCATACAGCCAGATCCGCCTTTCATGATAAAAGGGCGCTGGCTTGGAGAACCATTCGCATTTCTCCGTATTGCTAATCCAATCCGTTGCCCATGAGTCCCATCCTATTCATCCCATTCCATTCACCCCACCCAACCCCATTCCATTGAGAAGCAGTCCAAACCCTCCCGCTAAAAACAAAAAAGAACAAGAAGCTTGAAAAAAGCCACGGTGAAGCCAAAAAGCAGAAAACAATCGAATAAACCCATCTGAACAACCGTGACGGGGAAGAAAAAAACCCAAAACCTCATTCGTGAGAAGCGTCCTTCGTCGAGCAACGCATCAACCGGCACGCTCCATCCAACAACCAAACAACCAAAAGGCTCTGCGCCCGACATTGCTCATCCCATCCATGATACCATAACATCCCAATCATCCAAGACTCCCCTGAATCTCGGTCCAAATCCATCTAAAACGATTCAAATCCTCCTTCCCAGAAATCGAGCACTCCGCTGCTCCGAATCCCCGCTGACTATGCTTAAATGCAAGCGTCCAAATACGATGCTGAGGAAGTCGGCACGCTCTCTTTGAAGAATACACAATGATCAAAACTGGTGCTCAAACGCTCGATTTCTCCGACGACTTAGCTGTCGGTTGCGACGCCTCCAACAAAGGTTGAGTAGCGCCGGCTGAATTAACAGGAGCTGAAAGTATTGCAGACGTGTCCGGGCTTGGAGCCGTCGTCATGACCTCGGGCACATGGCTGTTGTCGGTCTCGACCGGCCCAGGCCGAGGAATTTCTATGCTCTTCCCTCCCCTAGGAGGTGCCTCTTGTCCAAAGGGCTGTATGAGTGGTTGAGCGCCGCCCACCTCGGACACATCCCCCGGAGGGCTCTTTGCGCGTTTATGACGGAACCAGTTGCTGATTCCCCCCTTTTTCTCGTGTTCTTTGGAGTCCGGTGAAGCCTGGACGAGAGACGCTTCGCTTGTCTCCTTGGTGTCGAATTGAAGACTCCGACGGTTTCCCCGAGAACCGCTGCCAAAGGAGCTCATGCTCTTATCAGCACCTGGCACCGAGTTGGACACATCATTTTGGCTGGTCGACGGTGTCGCCTTGCTTTCGCCTCGGCGATGGCCCTTCCAGAACCTGCGTCTCTCTTCCTTCTCCTCCTTTGGACCACTCTCCCCATGCTCCGCTTCCGAATATTCCGTCGCAGTCGAATGCGTCCTCACCGAAGCCGAAGGAGACATGCTAGGCTTCAATGTAGCGCCCGAATGCCGCGACGAATTCGCATCGTGATTGTGAGCGAGGGGCACGTCTTTCGTCGCCGGGGTCTGCTCAGCAACAGGGAGATGCCCCAGTGGCGATGGCGGACCTTCTGCTCCTGTTAGCGACTGTGTAGAACTGTGTGCACTGGGATTGGCACTACTTGGCAGTCGCTGCTTCTTTTGAAGTTTGTTGGGCTTGCGGTGTTCTTTCTTCTCATCGCTTGAAGGTGATACCTTGCTCAGGATCTGTGTGAACGTCCTCCTCCCAGGCGAGGCTCCAGAGGCAGCTTCGCTATCGAGGGGCCCCTCCATGAACTCGGACCTCTCTCGACTGGGGGTGTGCAAAGGACTGCCGCCACCCTGATTCGACAATGCTGGTGGTATCAGACTCTGTGAAGCTGGATTCGTTGCGGGCGCTGTGGGCGTGATGACTTCGCTTGACGGCGGCGCAACATCTGGGGAGGGCAGTGGATAGGCTCCAGGCACGTCGGTGGGAGTGGGTCGAGGCGACTCCTTCGCTCCCGTCTCGCGTTTGACCACGTCCAGTTTCTCCGACGCGATGGGTTGCTGAACCGCCTGGTCCGATTCCTTGGTTACTGGTGTGGTGGTCGGCGCAGCCGGGGGTTTTGCTGGCGTCACAGGAGAGCGCAATAGCTCTGGTGGAGGGGAGACCGGCTCATGTGGCTGAAATGCTGTGCTCCGGATGGCAGGGGAGCGTTTTGAAGGCAACGTGTTACTTCGATGGACGCCCGAGGTGGTTGGCGTGCCAAACTGCGAACCGGTCGGACTAGGAATAGCACCAGAGAGACGAGAATGTTTTGAGGATGTGGACACATTGCGGCGCACTCCCCCATATTTGCGAAGACTCTCTGCGGCAGCACTTGAAGCAGCGGATGCAGATCGCCCAAGGCCAGAAGTGCGACCTGGGGTGGTGGGTGTTGCCTCCCGAGGGGCTGAGGGCCTGCTCTGAATATGCTTGACCGTCCCCTCATCAACTGCCGTGCCTTCCATGCCGATGAGGAAATGGTCTTGGTTGTCGATCAAGAAGATCAGTATGTCCTGGTTGAGTCTGTAATCTCGGGGTGACATTTCGTGCTTTGGATGACTGATTATGCCTGGCTGGAAGATGGAGGCCAAATTGGATGTGGTCATCTTGTTGATATCGGACTTGGCAGCGAATACGGCAAGCAGGTCGAGGATATACAGAAGCAACTGGCGATTGAGGGCAGGGAGCTCCTTGATGAGGCGCTGGTATGTGCGGACAGCAGCATCCGGGTCAAAGCCACCGATGGATGGATCCTGCCCGTCAATATGCCCCACGGCTTCTGCCTGGTGATTTATGAGAGGTTGCCGGAACGTGTCGTAGAATTGCAGAGGGATGATGGGTTCGGGGAGCATGTTGAAGTAGCGTCGTAATATGTTCGCCGCGTCGTGGACCGTGTAGCCCGTCCAGTCGAGGCCTTTCCCGAACCTGGGGGGTGTATCGAAAGCCGCCTTGAGCTCCTTGATACGCTTCTCAGAACCAGCCAGGCGAAAGATACCTTCCACATCGGTGGCTGACGAGGACGTTAGCTAGAGTTCCAGTCACGACAGGACTATCATACCCTTTTCCTTGAGGAAGACACCACATTTGGCGACAACAATGGGGACATAGCCGTAGATGTAGCTTTCCCCGGCATCGTTGAACAGAGAAATGGCGACATTGGCGTAAGGGATGCTTGTGTTGAGCGGTACTCCGAAGATGCCACGGTCTGTAGAAGGGACATAAGGTTAGCACAGCTCTAGATGTGGTTAAGAGCGAGTAGTATCAACCCAGCTTGAAGAGGTGTTTGAAGAACCGCGTGACCCTCGACTGGGATGTATCGACAGGACGACCGCGGGTAACGGGGTTGTAGACGGGCTTATATGGAACTTGGGTACCTTTCTCTTCGTCCTTCTTTACGGTGCTGCGCTTCCCGAATTGTCTCCACCAGGACGTCAGGTCGCGCTTTATTGAGGAGGACTCTGTGGTGGGAGGAGCAGGCTGTGGGTCGCCGTTGCGCGCAGGGCGGCTTACGAGGGCCGCCTGCGAGGCGGAGGGCATGATGGGCAAGAGGGAACTGCCGCAGCTCCTCCGGAATGTTTATCCTCAAGTCGTACAGGACCGTGGAGGCTCACTGAGTCGTGCTAGGATAGTCTGTGCCCGCAATGTGACAGGCGGTTGCGGTCCAGAGCCTCAGATGTCGCGTTATAACACGCTTCGTAGCGGAAAGTGCTCCCGTCGCGTCGCGGATACCACACGTGGGGATTGCAGAGCAGAAGGATGAGCGTGAAGCCGACTGTTCTTGGAGAGCAGCGGAACAGCTGGTGGATGCGTATGAGTGGTGTGGGAGGAGCAAGGCTTGGGGGAGGACAGCACCTGGAGTTGGGTGGATAGATCGCTGCGGACCTTGGCGGTGCCAAGGCGCTCCATTCTGTGGCTGACCGACCCTGTGGCTGCTCTCAGACAGACCGGATTTCTGGAAGCTCCAGTCGCCGAGCAACCCCAATCCCCATACCATTATCTGACCATTTATTTACTGTTGAACTATCGAAATATACCCCCTATTACCTGCCCTAGTCTACCTTGCCTTTCATCTTCACACTATGGATGCGTATGCGGTACGACCCAATGCTAACGAACAATGCTAACGAGCAGCAGCCTTACGCCGAACGAGCAGCGCGAGCTCCAAAACCGCATGGAGAAGAAGCAGATGAAGGAATTCATGAATGTATAGCCACCCTCCCTGACCTTTCTTCTGCTGCGATGACAACCAGCGAGCTAACAAAAGTATCGTAGATGTACTCGAACCTCGTCCAACGGTGTTTCGACGACTGCATCAACGGTTTCGAGAGCAAGTCCCTGACTTCCCGTGAAGAGAGCTGCATTATGCGATGCGTGGACAAGCACATGAAGGCCTCCCAGCGCCTGGGTGACCGGTTCCAGGAGCAGAATGCTGCGATGGCGCAACAGGGCGCTCTGCCCGGACGGTAAAGCAATGTTAGAATACGAGCAGTTGGGAACGGAACGATTGATAAACAAACGACCATATTTGGGACTGAAAGACACATGGGTGTATCGAGGGTTCTCTGCATGGTGGCTGGGAGAGCACCTCTTGTTGAGATGTGGATTGGCGCGCTACATCGAAGCGCTCCCTGTATATTATATGGCCCCAGTATGGTACTCGGGATTGTAAGATAAACCTCTAATGTCTCGGTTCTCCTCAAATGTGGAGAATAGTGCCGACATTGATTTCATCCGCGTAATACCGATGTTGATGCCTTTTTCAGCTACACAAAATGTAGACTGCTGCGACCACGGCAGTACAGGAGAACTTCTCCTACTCAGGGCCTCACATGAACATGGTCCTCTTCGATATTGACTTCAGTGCATGACAACAAATGTGGCGCCGCAAATGTGACGCCGCAAATGTGGCACAGCACGCACTCGTGGTCTGCGCTGCTTGGCTGGCGTAATCAGCCGGACCTTCCATTCACCACCTGGGCAACAGCCCTGGCGAGGCCTTGGTTCTCGCGTGTCTTGCCCTTGTGCATCATTACAACTGCCAGCTACTTAAACCAAGTTCAGCCCCAGAACGTTACCTCCAACATCACTCACAATCCCGCCGAAGCGTTATAAGCTCTGAATTCTACGCACTAGCATCTCTCATCCCATCAAACCACAAACACCACTCTCACATTCACACAATGGGTCTCATGTGGACGAAGTTCTTTGGTGGTCGCCATGCCGGCAAGTTCCCCTCAGCTGAGAACTCCAGCTCTGTAATCGTCTCATACTCATGGCTAACTCTTCGCAGGCGGAGGAGTCGTTGTTGACAGACATGGCATGCGTCGCGCACCCTTCCGGATCTCATGTGGCCGATTCTCCTGCTTCCGCTAAGGAATTATCGAACTCACGAATTTCACGCCTTCTACGTCTACTCGGGTCGGTCAACAATGCGTTTGTGGTTGTGGGGTAATGATTCAGAGGCGTTTGGGTTGGGGTACGAGATGCTTATGACGGGATAAAGCAGTGGGAAACTAGTTGACCTTAATGAACCTACGGTCCATTGCTCTTTATGGCTCATATCAATATACTGTATGGTCTCCGTGATGCTGCGCATGGCCCTGTCAAGCTGGTGCAGACTGCGTTACCGCTACCTGACTGCCCTCGGCCATCCCTATTCAGCCCTTCTCATATTCTTTGCCCTCGCATACGGCTCTGCCCACACATCTCAGCGGAACTTACACCCGGGATGAGCGCAACTAGTGTACTACACAGTACACAGTAAACAGTGGTTGTGGATCTCCGGTTGTGTCAATGACGTCACACGTACCCGCTTGATCTCCCCCGGCTATTTTATCGATAATCTACAAGTAGTGTGATGCTAAATGTAGTTCGGAAACACGTTACATGTACAGCCCACGTCTTCCCCTCAATCAACGCATTTACGGGAGCATAGCGCTTGCAGGACCCGCCGCAACCTGACCGTCAGAAAGAATGCGCGAACGTGCCATTCTCGTTGTGAATCCCAACTCAACCGAGTCCATGACCAATGCACTCAAGCCTTTGGTCGACGACCTCCACTTCACAAATGTCACTCAGCACCGCCGCACTGATTTACATAGCAAACTAACAGCAACCGTATAGACCAGGCACGAGTACTTTACGGCTCCGTCCGGACCCAAGAGTATCAATGACGAAGATGATGCCGCTGAGAGCGTCAAGCATTGCCTCCCCGCCCTGGAAACCATGCTAGGACAGTATGACGGATTTTTGGTCGCCTGCTACTCGAAACATCCCCTCGTCCCTATACTCAAAGAGCAGGAGGCCATCAAAGGCGCGCGAAAAGCCGTCACGGGGATATTTGAAGCCAGCGTGGGCACAAGCCTGCAAATTACTCATCCGGACGAGAAGTTCGGAATCGTCACCACAGGCAAGGTGTGGGAGAAGATTCTCTCACAAGCCGTCGTCGACTTCCTGGGCACCGGCTCCGAGGCCAGTAAACGATTCGCGGGCGTGGAAACCACAGGGCTGAATGCAACGGACTTGCACGACGCGCCGCCAGAGGAGGTCCGGAAGAGGATGAAGGATGCTGTCAAAAGACTGCTCAAGAAGGGACACGTTGGGGCTATCTGTTTGGGCTGCGCAGGAATGTCCGGGATGAATGAGATGGTCCGAGAGGCCTGCGTCGAAGAGCTCGGGGAGGTCCAGGGAAAGCGGGTGAGGATTGTGGATGGGGTTCAAGCGGGTGTTGCATGGCTAGAGGGTGCTGTTCGGTCCGACTTGTAAAAGCGTTCTCTCTACTACCAACCACACTCGACGTCACAGCTCCGAACCACTAGCACGGCTACCTCGAGGAGCTTTGCATAGCGGTTATGAGTCTGGGTGCCGTCGGAACTTCCATATAACTTGTGAACACGGCTTACAGTTGTCTCAACTGAGTCAAAGTATCGCACTGGTGATGAGTACTTCCGCTTAACGAGGCACACTACGTATATCAAGTGTATCACACCTGGATCATAACGGCTAGACATCGGAGCTTCGGGGCCTAGCGTGTACGCCGCCTGTATCTAAGTCCTCCCGCGTGTCCCCCTTCGGCAGACGGAGCCGTCTTTGACATTCCTGAGCTGACTGTGCAGTGTGCTAAGGGAAGATCTTACTTCCGTCGATACAGCCAAAGCTTCCTTTTTGCACTCTCTTCTCTTCTGCAACTCTCCTGAAGAGATCGTGGATATCCAATCCATGTCGGAAACAGGCGACGATCTCGCGAAGGGTGAAGCGACTCATGGAAAAAGAGAGGATTGCATAGTAGGGAATGATGGTGTATCAGAAGTTGGTCCCCGCCGCGCACCGGGTCTGGACAGGCTGCCCAACGAGCTCCTCGTGCAAATAATTAAAGAATGCCTGACCGAGCTCCCTCCGTCCTTCAAAAAGTTTACAGTGGAGCCGAGTATGGACATAGCCAAAGGCGACAGTGAGCATCCGACTCTGAAAGCCCTGTCACAGGTGTCAAGACGGCTCAGAGCTCTTATACTTCCTTTCCTCTTTCAGTTCGTTAAGCTTCATCTACAGTCATTCTCCCGCCTTATAAGTTGCGACAAGAAGCTATTGCTACACCTGGACAAATACCATGAACATCTCAACGAGCACGAGCGGCGCATTTGGCTAGCATTGCGCGGTCAGTGGCACGATCAATCACGGCCCTCCGTTTCCGCTAATCACTCTCGCCTTTACGTGCCGGTGCACGATCAAGACAAATATCTCACTCACAAGGACGCCCCTCCGCACGCCCTCATGCCCCAACTTCCCACCGACTTCACCGATTTTGCCGTATTCATCAAGAAGCACAATCTCCGTCGCAAGGTAGATGGCCTTATTCTCATCACCGAGCTTGAAGTCACTGGCGACCATTGCAGATGCACCGAGCGGAGCGCATACGTCGGGTGCTCCATTAGGCAGTTCTGGCTCAATATATTCGAAGTCCTTGACCCCCTCCGCGTAGTCACCGCCGCGCCGCCTATAACTATTGCATCCTTGATCCACAGCCGCCAGCACGGGGAGCAAGAATGGGCGTTTGAGATGAAAATGCAATACCTGGAACTCGGCATGACACACTCCTCCGATGACATGCTTCTTCGTTTCCCCGGCCACGAAGCCAGGGAGATGTACAAATCCAATGAGGGCTGGGACGGGTACCTCCTAGGACACAAAGGCTGGACGCGCCTCTCCTTCAACGAGGGCGCCTCCGTACCAGCCTACCACACATACGAATATCATCTTAAGGCAGCGCCAAAACACGTGCACCAAGGGATCCAGTACATGCCTGCATATGGAATTCCCGCCTCCTGCCTCAGAGTCCTCCAATTCATCGCCGTCTTTCCTCTGGCAGACGACTTCCAGCTGTGGCTCGTGTCAGCGAACAAGTATACCGACGTCCAGAATTGCGCGTTGAGAAGAATCGAGGTGCAGCTTGCGCCTGGGCCAGAGCAGAACTCGGAGGCGATTGCACGCCGCATCGGACGGTGTCAACCACAGACGCTCTGGCTCGAGTGGGAACAATGTTACAGGAGACACTTAATGTGGTTCCTGGAGGTTCACCCATTCGAAGATGGCGCGGAACTCGAAGCGAGGGATTGCTGGGATCCAGGGATGGAAACCGAAATCACCGAGTGGATGGCCCACTTGACCCAACGGGTTGGTGTGGGCTGGAACAAGGTCGGGAAGGGAATTTGGAGGAGGGATACAAGTTTGGATAACTTGATTCTGTAGGAGCTCATGCAGGGTTGGGGTTGATGGTTGGTGTTTCGGGCTACAGTGATGCAGGGGCGGCGATGATGGCATTTGGAAAGGACGGAGAGCTGTTCTCGAGATCACATCGTCCAAGTCCAAGTTCCTTGAGGTTCTCGGCTTGAAGAAGTTTCTGGACTCTCTTGGAGCTGGAGGGCCAGAGCCTAGGATAAGGTGTTCCTCTCAGGACACAGTAGATTACTCCACATGAGCGACTGATTTAACCACGACTACACACGACTACACACGACTTTACGCCGCACTTCGCTGTTTCAAGAGCGACATTTTCATCCAATACTTATCATAACGCGAACACGAGCATTATCGTCTAGCTTCTCATATACTTGTAGAAGAGCGCGACTAGGCGCAGGAGGTGGATATCCCTCTCAATCGCCCATAGTCTCGCACAAGTAAGATTGTAACGTCTACTACCAACTCTACCATCTCTCATCTGGAATGCTTTGCCCGTGTTAAGCGCAAGTCGACAGTAGTAAGGTCGTCGTGACCCCAAACCCGGTCTGGCCGAGGTGGATATTGCAGCAGCACCACATCACTAGAGCCATATAATCTGTACAAGTTAGGATTTGAATGGGTAATCCGGACCAAATCACGGTGTTGTTCTGACTTAAATAGCTTGGTTTGGCTAGTAGGAACTCGGTTGTGGGAGCGCTTGATAATGCCTTTTTGGCAGAGGCGGTGGTTGTGTCGAGTCAAAAGCAGTAGAGTTAAAAAGTACTCCCTTTGAAAATCAGTGGTATTTGATGTTTCGGACCTTTATAGGTCCGATATGTAGGCTCGCAAGAGCTGGGGATTAACTTGCTGTTACTAAGGATGAGTTGACATCATGTTTCCTCGAAAGGTACCGTATGGATGCGGATCGGTACACATTTTGGCGTCGAATCCCGAGAGATCTTGGGCTTCTCGAATATTCCTCTACTGTGTAAGACGATCTGAACGGACTTTTGTTTATCGAGTCGATCTGTTTTTGCTTTTTCCCTCTCATTCGTTCCCCAGCAGCGGTGGAACCCACGTCCGAAGCTCGCCGAAGGTCGCAGCTCGTCACTCGTCACACTGCCCCTCCCCCGCCAAACTCCACTCCTACAGAACCCTTCCCCAACGACAACTTGCAATTCTTTGCTCAATCTTCATTTGATACCCTTTGCTGAATCTACAACATCTACACTCCGTATAACCTTTCTATCCGTCAAAATGGGTCGCCAATTCTTTGTCGGTGGTAACTTCAAGATGTATGTGACAAGCCGACTGTTGAGCTGGGGTGCCGTAGCTTCGACAGCTAAATAACAGGTACCGACAGGAACGGCACGATCAAGTCCATCAAGGACATCGTCGAGAACCTGAACAAGGCAGATCTGGATCCCAACACCGGTATGTCACCCCAGCTTCTCGTGTCGCAAAAGTCCACCCAGCTCACACAAGCCGACAGAGGTCGTTATTGCGCCTCCTGCCCTCTACCTCCTCCTTGTCCGCGAGCACCTCCCCAAGGGCATCGAAGTTGCTGCACAGAACGTTTTCGATAGGCCCAATGGCGCTTTCACCGGCGAGATTTCGGTAGAACAGCTGAAGGACAGCGGGATTACCTGGACGATTTTGGGACACTCCGAGAGGAGAGTTATCCTCCAGGAGGACGACCAGGTACGCAATCCATATCCTTCGAACTCATATGGTGCAGGTTGAGGCTGACTCTACGGACAGTTCGTCGCCAGCAAAACCAAGGCAGCGATTGACGGTGGACTGGGCGTCATCCTGTGCTGCGGTGAGAGCTTGGAGCAGCGCGAGGCTGGCAAGACCATTGAGGTGGTAACAAGACAGCTCAAGGCTGTCGCTGACAAGGTCAAGGACTGGTCAAAGATTGTCATTGCCTATGAGCCCATCTGGTGAGCTACGTCTTGCGTGGATCGTCTCGTACCGTCTAACACCACTATAGGGCCATTGGCACCGGCAAGGTCGCTACGACCGAGCAGGCACAGGAAGTCCACGCCGCCATCCGCGCGTGGCTCAAGGCCGAGGTCTCTTCGGAGGCAGCCGAGAAGACCAGGATCCTGTACGGGGGCAGTGTGACCGAGAAGAACTGCGGCGATCTGGCCAAGCAGCCCGATATTGACGGCTTCCTTGTTGGCGGTGCTAGCTTGAAGCCGGCGTTCGTTGACATCATCAACGCCAGGAGGACGTGAATACATGGCCGCTTATGATCAATCGACTCTTTTGAGATAGTAAACGACGCAATCGTTTTTTTAAGGGCAACACGGATATTTCCATGGCGAGCATCTTTAAAACAGCTTGGGCTATGTGGCAAAATCTTTGATAGATATTTGGATGCCAACTTATACGCCCTTGACCCAACCTAAACCTTTCTTGATTTCCGTGGTATCCCGTACACATATTCGTACACTCCTCCAATGAATATGGACCCAAGCGAACATTCTTCCAGGAAGCCTTCCTGAAACCACCCAATCATGTCCAAATCTAATCCCAATAGAAATCCACATTCCGTTGTCGTTATATCTGCACCTTCGCCCCATGGAATGGACTCCATATACCCCTCACACTCTCGTTGATACTCGTGACCGGCTTAGTGGTCCTCTTCAACTTCTCCCCGCTTGCATCCCTCAACAACTCCACCTGTTCCCTCACGCCCTCCGGCTTCATATTCTTGACGCAAACCTCCCGCTGCTTGCCGTTGATGAAGTGCCCCACGATGACAGGGTGCTGGCGCGGCTTAGGCGAAACAACGATCTCGATTTGCGGATGGTTCTTTGCGAATCGCGGGAGATAGGATTTGATGAAGGCGTTCATACCGCGCGAAGAGCCGGCCCAGTCGCAGTAATGGAATTCGAGCCGCTTGCATTGGAGGATGAAGGCGCCGACGCCGTTCTGAAGAGTGTTAGAGCGGGTGCTGCGGGCAACCGTTCGGGATCGACTGGACATACCTGGCTCTTGGCCACCGTCCGGACGGCCGATAGAGGCATGTTGAAGAACGGTGAACAGCGAGTGTAGTGGACTGGCCGCAATTCACAAACGCTCTTGATGTTCACCTTCAATGCCCAGACGTTCCCCGAACTTTTGCGAGTCCGCGCTATCACGTGTTAGGCAACGCTTCGCCAAGCTTTAGTTCCCCTGCTCAAGCAACAACTTCACTTTTGACCACAGCTCCATCACCCATCGAATACCCTCCCACTAACATCGACTCAAACCCTACCTCGTGCGCTCGGCAGGCACGCGTTCACTATGACGGACAAGCTCCCGCCAGCGTTGCTGGCACTGTTCGCGCCGCGCCCGCCGCTGCGATGGATGGAGCCTATGGACCACCCACCGGAGACGCGGCAGACTTCGAACATCGGCGGCATTGGGCAGTACATGCAAGCATTGAGGGAATACAAGGACAATGACGGATATGTGCCATCGGATAGCTGGCTGCAGATTCGCGATCGAAAGAAGCTGGAGAAGGAGGAGAAGCAGAAGTGGCTGCTGACCGAAGGCGTCAAGCAATGTGCGTACTTTTTCCCCTCTCCCGAATCAATTGAAGCTGAACAAGACGTATAGGGAACCCTAAGGAGGATCCTAACGCGAAAGGCGACGCTTTCAAAACCCTTTTCGTCTCCCGTCTAGCTTACAATATCACCGAGGACGACCTAGAGCGCGAGTTTGGGCGCTACGGCCCCATTGAGAGGATCCGCATCGTGGAAGACAAGACGGCGCCGCCGGATGCGCCGCCGAAGAAGCGTAAGCGTGGGTATGCTTTCATTGTTTTTGAGCGCGAAAAAGACATGAAGTCCGCGTACAAGGAGACAGATGGTATCAAGATCAAGGATCGGCGCGTCTGCGTGGACGTTGAGCGCGGTCGGACTGTCCAGGGCTGGCGACCGCGGCGCTTTGGTGGCGGTCTCGGTGGACGAGGCTACACCAAAGGACCCCCTGCTCGCCCGGCTGGGCCAGGAGCCTTGGGACCACCCGCAGGTCCGGGAGGATTCGGTGGCCGAGGTGGGTTTGGTGGAGGTTTCCGTGGCGGGCGTGGTGGATTTGGCGGCGACCGTGGTGGGTTCCGTGGTGGATTTGGCGGCCCGCGGCCTGGTGGTGGTGGTGGGTATGGTGGGAGGAGCGGCATCGGGTACCAGGGTAATGGATTTGCTCCTGATGGTGCTCCTTCAGGTCCCCGGGGAGGTGGCCGAGGCGGACACGGTGGTTTCGGCGGAGGCGGAGGACGCTATGGAGACGAGGGCCGTGGGTACGGAGATAGGAACAGGGGATCCAGCGGCGCCAACACCGAGCCCTTGGGCAGCAGAGACCGAACTTCCGACCGCGACCGTGATCGTGACCGAGACCGCGACGGTGGGTATGGCGGACGCGACGACCGCGACTCTAGGAAGCGTGCATATGAAGGCGACAGCTACGATGATCCGCGCCGGCGACGGAGGTATTGAGTGGACCTCATGCTGCATCAGTACCTCTTGTCTAGGGTTTGTCAAAAGGTTACTTCTCCTTTTCGCCCTGTTCGTCTAACCCTTTCTCTCAGCAAGGGTAAGCCTTACAACAACAAGTTTGAGGAAACAAAACCTTTCGGGAAATGTCTCAAGGGTAAGACTTTGGCACTCCAACCGCCTTCTGGACTTCCTCTATTCGCGGCAACATTGTACATCAACTCCCGGTATTATTCCAGCGCTATATCTTCCAACCACCGGATTCGTCAACCTGCGAGCACGCCGGTAGGCAAACTTTTATTCAGCCTTCTCCAATTATGGCCTTCTGGATCGATAACAATAGTTCCTGCTGAGACGAGTCCTGGGCTGTGCGGGATGGGATGGGCGGTAGCGCAAAAGGTGACTTTCTTTTCCCGTCCTTCATGGGTGATTCTATCCGAGGCACAGTGCATTCGCCTTAGTATCTTCTCTTCTTCTGTTTGGTGGGTAGGTATCAGAGTCAAAAGCGCTGTGCGCCTGCTGGAAGGGGGATAGTAATTTGAAAGATCGTGTGTGTTCTCCGTGTAAGTTTGGCAAGGTAAGATCGAAGGTAAGGAGATTTGTTCCGAACTGATGATCTTGCCGTGAGATTTGCTTTTTTAACTTTTCTCGCAATGCATGTATTAGTGTGGTACGTGTGTTATGTTGTATGGTGTCTGTTAGGAAAGGCGAGGAGAGATGGTGCCGTAGCTAGGCTGTATATGCGCGAGTGAATGTAGTTTATGTAGATGAAAACGGCATGTATGTGTTAATGATCTGCCATCAGCACGTGTGCGGCTACTAATGATGGAGAGGGAGGATCAAGGCATGTGTATTCAGGCCTCAAGTCGTAATGCCGGAGGAGTGGAAGGGTATAGAAAAGAAGATGCACAGTCCGCCACTGAGCCGGATTTCTGAGCTCAGAGAAGCACTGTGAGGTGAAACTTGGATAGACAAAGATCCGCTGCTATTACATCCCCCTACTCACCACCATCAACCCCATTACACCCCACCCCTTACCGCTTCACCCTAACCCTCTTTCTCCTCCCCTCATCCCCGTCCTCCTCCTCCTCCTCCTCCCCCTCAGCAACCCCCACCCCAATTCCCCTCATCGCCTCCCGCTTAATACTACTCCTCATCCCGCTCTCGGGCCACTCGACCCTCCCCGTCCAAACCCCCATTTTCCCTTCCTTGTGGCCAACGCTATCCCTCCGTCCAAGCTGGGCTGGGTATTCGCAACGATATTGGTATTCCCAGCTATATCATAACCACTCATTGCTGTCGGGATGAGCTGCATCGACATGAATGTCCACTTCAACGCTCTGCCTCACGTCGTCTACACCGTAGTCCCCTTCGAAGATGGGTAAGGTAGCAACTCCCTCTCCTTCATGATCAAGCTCGTCTATGTTCTTCGGTTCCCCTCGGAAAAATCCCTGTTTCGCCCCAGTTCCGGCTCTAGCTGGATCTCCATGTCTATACAGCGAGCGCTTCGGATTCAAAACCGGACACCGCCGAACGTGCCATTTCGGTGGGGTGCTGCGGAGGTCCGAGTGCGGGTAGGGAGTGTTTGTCGTGTCGATTGATTTTAAAGTGAGGTTGCCGTGGGGTATGAGTGGGATGGTTTGGGAAATTGCTGTTGTAGATATGGGTTTTGAGGTCGGGACTGGGGTTGGGAGTGGTGTGTTTGGTTTACGGTTATTGCTGTTGTGCTCGTCTGGCGTTGAAGAGGGTGCAGGCGTGAGGATATCCATTGACGGTGGGGACGAGTTGACTGTCGGTGCTGATGGGCCATTCGTGGAGACTACGATTGGGGTCATTGCTGTTACGGTGGAGGTGGAGGTAGTCATGGTGGAGAAAGGAGGCGAGGTGCGAGGGTTACTGCTGTGGGGACGTGTGGAATGCGAGAATACGGTGGTCGTGGGACTGGTGGAAAGATGCTGAGATACCGTCATCGGTGAGGTTGTAGGATCTGGAGCAACAGTGGTGAACATGAGTGGATGGAAGAGAGACACTTCTCTTGTCCTGCAGCTGGCCGTGCTGATGCTGCTGGCGTTCCGAGGGTCTGGTAGCGATGGTGGTAAGACAGTGAAAGCGGATGTGACTGAGGATGACAGATATCTAAGTTAGTTTGATAAGGTTTGTTACATGCAAGGGGTGGTGGCTCCTCAATATACAAACAATGGGGGCTCTTTGTTGCGAACAGTTGTCCGGATTGGGATCTGTAAGCTGAGGTAACGTGACTGCACGAGAGCGATGAGGTCTGAAAGAAGACGACAGGAGGTGGTGGTGGAATGCTGGAGTGGGCTTGGCGAAATGCTTTCATTTTCCAAAATGGTATATCTACACGCTGATTGTTTTGAAGACCCTGATTTGGTTGTCAGTAAAATCTCACGGAATGCGGACGCCAGCCACTTACCCAAATCCAGATCCACCCGTCGCCAGGATGGTGCCTGGAATCTGCGGGTGCCAATGCGCCTCCTTCACCTGCTCCATGTAATGCACGAACAACAACTGCGGAGGGACATCTTGAACGCCCGCCGTATCCCGACTCTCCTCGTCGTCCAGTTCGACCGCCAAATCCCATAGCGTCAAGGTGTTGTCACCAGCGCAGACAAGCACGATACTGTCATCGGTCGGATGCCACTCGACGGCAGTGATCTGTTCCTTATGGAAGTTGAAGTTCGCAACGGGCGACGGCTTCTTCTCTGTGCTCAAGGACGTTGAAGGCTTCCATTGTCGCAGGTCCCAGACAGCCCATTCGCCATCGTCAGCGCCGGAAGCCAAGAGGTGTGCCGTTTGGTGTGACCAGCTCAAGACATTCACGTCTGTCTTGGAGACCTGTACGCTCACGGCGGGTTTCCTAGACTTTGACCGCGCATCCCAGATCTTGACTGTGCCGTCGTTGGAGGCGGAAGCAAAGACATGCTTCTCCGTAGGCGACCATTGAAGCTCCTCAACTGTGCCCTGGTGCCCGGTGAAGGGAGTGGTATCCGTGACGAAGCCTCCCCCCTGAGTACGTGTGGTCGCAAAGATCTTGCCCGATACGTCGCCGGTCAAGAGTTTCCCTTCGGGTATGATAGGTGACCAGTCCAACGCAAAACCTTCGACATTCTTGTGTGCGCGAATGGTAGAGACGGGCTTGTTCTGCGTGGGAGAGATGACAGAACCGGGCACATCGAAAGCGGTCAGATGGGGTGTTATGTCGTGTATGAGAACCTGGCCTGACTCCGTCATAGCTGCCGTCAGCGTGGTTGGAGGTCTTCCGGCGGTCGCCTGAGGGGATTGGAATGCCCGTATGCGGTTCGTGCAGCTGGTCATGGGTATTGATTTCGTCTCCAGTATCGGATCTGACTCCTCTTCGTCGGACTCCTCCTCGTCTTCGTCATCCTCCCGCTCCTGCCTGGACAGACTGCTCATTTTCATGACCATGATCTGGTTCTCCTTCTCCCTACCCCGCGCCGCCTGCGTTCCGGCGACCGCGTAGACAGTGGCAGGATACGTCCTCCGGTCGTTGCCCAGGTTGTCGCGAATGACGTCGCAGGAAAGACACGGCCAGGGTGCTTCTAGGGTATGCAGCATCTCGTACGTAGACAGGTCTGGTGCGAGTGTCTCTCCCGCAGAGAGCTTATGCCGGCCGGGGATGAAGGTGCCCTGATCCACTTCCATGGCGTCTGAGGCATACAGTCAGTAAATCCCATGTAGCCTTGAGGGTAGATGCTTGTACTCACGTTCTCTTTCCTCTGCCTCCCGCTCATCGTCTGGTCGTCCATCTACGCCGGCCTCGTATATCTCGTCCTCACTTTCGAACTCATCCTCGAACTCGTCCTCAAACTCGCCCACCTCGTCCTGGTCGAGCTCCATGGGCCGGTCGCCATTCTTGATGGCCTCCAACTCCTGCTCGGAAGCGTCTGCGGGTCTCTTGGCCATTGTGTTCCGGAATGTCTGCGTGTTGCACAGTCCAGTGCAATGATGTCTACAAGTAGAAATAATTCTTCGACTACTTTATCGTGGCGGTGGTCCGAGCGCCCCTCCGCAGCCTCGCCCACGGCATCCCAGCCCCTCGTCGCCAGCTGCGCTGCGTTGCCCCGGCCCCTCCAATTGCATGCCAGCTGCCTTGGGGAGCCCCCAAAATAATAATCCCCAATTCATCCTTCCCTCTCACCAGCGCTCGACGCTCGCTTGCTCCCTGCACGCCGCCTGTCGTTTTAACAGAGCTCCGGTTTTGCCGCTGCTTGATCTATCGAACGCGTCCGCGATCCTTTCAAACCCACGTCACGTCACGGCGGGGCCTCCACAGTGCCTAGTCCAACAAGGCATCGCGACTGGACGAGTTGGTCCATCTCATCCACGCCTATTCGCCCGCCCACACAAACATATAAACACCGTCGAGCCAACAGTCCCTATACACGTGCCGGTATGGAGATGCAGCAGGATCCGCTCCCCGTCGAGGAACCTGCGCCTGCAGCAATCGAGGAAGTGACAGTTGCGGCGGTCGACGAGCAGAGTCCTGCCAACAACAGCGCCGCCGTGGCAGGGAGTCAAGATATGCCGCCTGTCGAGAACTTGACCATTGAGAGCCAGGACGGACAGAAACACACAGACCAGCCCGTCGAGGTGGACGACAGCATGAACACCACCATTACCGCTTCCACTGTTGGCCCGCTGCCCGAGTTTCAGCCCAGCAATGGCTATGCGCCCGAGCAACACCATCACCGTCCCCAGACCTCCTACTCCGACACTACCTACTCCCCACGCTATTCGCATGCTGATGCGCATTACGGCTCACGCTTCGCGACCTCGTCAGACGCAGACACGCCTCCGCGGCATGGTTACTACAAGGAAACACAGATGGGCCGGTCACAGTCACGCCCAAACTCGCAAGTGGGCTACAGGGCACAGTCCGAGAATGGTGCTGCATATCAGGAACAACACCAGCGCAGTTCGCAACCTCAACAGGAAGCCCCCACCAAGAACACTAGTGTTGTGATCAAAGTGGGCATGGTTGGCGATGCCCAGATCGGCAAGACCAGCTTAATGGTCAAGTATGTCGAGGGCAGCTGGGACGAGGATTATATTCAGACATTGGGTATGCCCTCTACATGCGTGCTTGCGGCACTGGACTGACTCGGCCAGGGGTCAACTTCATGGAGAAGACCATCTCAATCCGCAACACCGAAATCACCTTTTCCATCTGGGATCTTGGAGGCCAGCGCGAGTTCGTCAACATGCTTCCACTTGTCTGCAATGATGCTGTAGCCATCCTGTTCATGTTCGACCTCACCCGCAAGAGCACGCTTAACTCCATCAAGGAGTGGTATCGCCAAGGACGCGGCTTCAACAAGACGGCGATCCCATTCCTCGTCGGCACCAAATACGACCACTTTGTCAACTTCCCGCGGGAGGAGCAGGAGGAAATCTCGAATCAGGTGCGGAGTTACCCGCAGTATGCGAAGCTAGAGACTAACGATAAGACAGGCTAAGCGGTTCGCAAAGGCGATGAAGGCCAGTCTCATCTTCAGCAGCACCAGCCACAGCATCAACGTGCAGAAGGTATGCTTGAACTTTTCATCTCTGAGACATAAAAGTTTATTAATACAGTGCAGATCTTCAAGATCGTCCTCTCCAAAGCCTTCGACCTCAAATGCACAATTCCCGAGATCGAAAACATTGGAGAACCACTCCTGCTCTATCAGAATGTCTAGACGCCTGCGTTCGAGGCGAAAGGCGAAGAAAGAAAAAGAGAAGGACGCATCAGTTGCAACGGTACAATGGGGGAACTCGCATTCGGTGGTTACTATTCGGGTTGCATGGCTTGGCGACTGGAGCAACTTTGGCGACGTGTTTTCGGCGGCTCATTGGAAATGGCGTTTGTGAATCTGGGCTTTGTTCTGGATGAGCTTGTATGAGCACTGGTATGCTCAGACACGGGCGAACCATCCTTGGAATCTGCGTCAGTATCATGTGCTGTTTGGAATGAGGGAGAGGTAATTCATCATCTACGAGCACGTACTCGGTTATATTGTAGTGTCTTATTCACCACCTGCCACCACAAGTGGGCTTACTTTCACCAAACATTCCCTTCTGCATGTATCGAACGGTTCATAGTTCCTGGGCAAACCCGTCTTCACATGCCTACGTGCATCGGCCTGCGGGGCAACTCTAGCCGCAGTCTGCCAAGCCTAATCAGCAAGTCTTGCCGGAGTACCTAAGCCTAGGTACACCAAAAAGTTCAATACTTCGGTCAACATCGTAACCACCGCACCCCACCCCACAAACAACAACACAATGACTCTCCCTTCGATAGCACTCCCAGGCCAACTTCTCGGCCCCGTCACTAATTATCTCCCCGGTCCCGGCACCCACATCCACAACTCCCAAGTCTATGCTTCCATCGCTGGCGCCGTCACTTCCAAATCCACCCCGAACGGCAAATCTCCTCCGCTCCTTTGCATCTCCCGCCCTCCCCCCGCCTCCTCCACCTCTCCCGGTATCCTGGGTCCCTCCAGCGGCAGCGGAGCTTCCATCCTCCCCGAGGTCTCGTCCACCGTCCTCGCACGCGTCACCCGTCTGGGCCCGCGCTTTGCCTCTCTGGACATCCTCGTGGTCGACTCGTCCGTCTGCAGCACCTCGTTCCTCGCGCAGATCCGCCGGGAGGATATCCGAGCTACGGAGAAGGATAAAGTCAAGGTTGAAGAGAGTTTCCGCGTGGGGGATATTGTGCGCGCCGAGGTGATCAGTCTGGGAGATCAGAGCGCGGGGTATTATCTCAGTACTGCGAGGAATGAGTTGGGGGTGGTGTTGGCATGGGGGGTGGAGGGCAGGTTGCTGGAGCCGGTCAGTTGGAGGGAGGTGAGGGATCCGGTGACGGGGAGGAGGGAGACGAGGAAGGTGGCGAAACCTTTTGCTTGAGAACGAGGGAATGAATTGGTTGGTTTGAAAGATTGGGAAACGGATCGTTTGACAGATGAATCCCGCGTCACGAAAGAGAAGGTGAAGTTTGATGGAGCCTACACTATGTGTGCTGGAAACCCGGTTTCTCCCGCTCCGCTCCAGACGCTTGTACCCCAGCTACGTCGTGGATGACCTGGCAGCGACCACTCAACAGTCGGTGCGAGCTGGCGGCGCGCATACTACGATCAACATGCGCCTTCGACGAAGCGGAAAAGGATGGATATGGAGGTCATTTCCACGCAACTCGAGCCGGAACTATTGTCCAAGACTGATACAGAGCCATGCCAAGGGACCAGGGAACATAACACAGTATACTCCCCACGACGACTGTACAACTTGTTGGATATCTGAGACTTCGATCGGAGGTGGTCATATGGGGTTTGAATGCGCTCTTCATTTACAGAAAAGCCATCACCAAGTCAGTCGTACAATATCAGACCATTTTTTGGAGGATTATTGGCCAGGACATTTTGGCTATTCCGTGTTCGTGCGGAATCTGTCGTCTATTGGAGAAGGGATTCCTTTACCAATAGGTGCTCGTCCTAATCAGGAATAGCGTACTGATGCAGCCCCAATTTTAGCCAGCTGAAGCGCCTTGCTGGATTGTCGGGCTACTCAACATTCCCCCGTTCGTCTGCCTTGAACATGCTCGCACGCTTTTTGGTTACTCCGCGTTTTCAAGCTTTTTTGGAAAATCCTTGACATATATAATCAGAAGCAGGAGAAAAATGCCTTATACGGTGCGCTCACAAATGCATATAATGCGGCATATAGTGTTGACACTCCTCAGCTCCCGCCCGATGTCGAATGGGTGCAATCCTACAAAGCAGTGCCTCAGGCGACAGGCTTCCTAGACCTGCCCCGTGAACTCAGAGATTTAATCTACCAATATGCCTTTGGAATCGAAGGAGTGAGCATCTTCCTCCCTACTCATCATCTCCGCTTCGACGCCCACTCACATCACGTGCAGGCCATTTTCATCTACTCCACCGACGCCTACCACGTCCGGCGCAATGCCAAAGCCGTCATAGTCCGGCACAAAGGCCTTGGACCCCAATCTCCCCTCGCCATCAGCAAATCCGTTCCCATCTCATTATTTCGAACTTGCAAACAGCTCCATGCCGAGAGTCTCCCCTTCCTCTACTCCAGGAACTTGTTCAGACTGTACGCCAGTAACACCGACTTTGCACCGCGGTATCGCGGCTATGTGCGAAATGTCGTGTTTAGCACAGACAGCATGATCCACAAACAGGTCTTTGACCGCAACGTCGAGACCGTGGGGTATGCCTGGCGTAGACGCTTCTGGCCCGACGTCCTTCAAAAGAGCAAAAGACTCCTGACCACCTATCCGAACCTGCAGACGCTAACCTTCGCAATCAAATCTTCCAAGCCCGGAGAGACGTGGCGGCCTGCCTTCATGGCCGCCGAGAATCGCACCAGGAAGCAGAGAGTTGCGGTTGCGGCCGCGTGGATGAGGCCGTGGTGTCCGTTTGCGAACGACCTGGAGGAGGAGAAGTTGAGAAGGTGTTTGCTGTTGGAGATTGTGCCGGGCAGTCCTGGGCCGGGCTCTCGGGGGGAGGGGAAGGACGAGGAGGAGGATGAGTATCGCGGGTCGAGATTTGAGCCGGAGGAGGAGTGGGATTGTGGCGAGTTTGCCGAGGCGTGGAAGCTCTGTGTTGGGTGGGATGAGATGCATGGGAAGGGGAAGGGGAAGGAGATGGAGGCGCGGGTGAGGGTTGTCGAGGCTGCGAATCCATAGAGGTGAAGGAGCGTGTTGTCTCCGTTTTGGCGCGGTCAAGGTGACTAGGGCTGAATCCGGAGCATTCACGACTCTAAGCGTGTTGGAATGGATCGACCAAGTTGTACGTGCCTCTCTCAACTACTTATCCCCATCCTACAGTGCCTTATAACAGATGCAGACACCAGGACGCTTTCACTTCCCCCTTCGCACTTGCCAACTTCCATGAGTGTCAAGCTTCCGAAAGAGCAGTCTCCGCCCACTGGCCTATTCAGGTAACCTCTGTGCCTGCCATGCCAACCGAGGCTGCAAACCTTACTTTCTCCCTGCCATCCAAACCGCGAGCTTCCACGGTACTTTCAACAACCCACTTCTCCAACCCGAACAGTTGCATCATCAACAACATTAACAGTATCGTTTCTCCAGCACTTCACCGCGATGGCGACAGACCTGGACCCGGCTACTGTCGTCAGCGCGATCAACTCCATTGCCATATTGCTACGCCATCTCTCCGAGCGTGTCAGTTCAGTCGAACGACGGCTCGACGGACTTGAAGCTGTAAAACACGGCCAGGCGGTCTCCGACCCGGCCACTGCCAAACAACTCGCCTCCACGCCTGACGACACCCCCAAGGCGAATCAGGCTCAAGGTGACGGCTTCGTCTCGTTTGCAAATAACCATGCATCGCGAGAGCAGAGCCCGACGAAGGCATCGCCGCCGTCATGTCTCGATCACGCGACTTGCGACATCCGCCGCCATCTGGAGCCCCTGAACACCAGTATCCAGATCCTAACCACGCACGTGCTCCGCCTTGAGAAGACCATCACCCAAACGACTTCTCAGATTCCCAGGCCCGCAAAAGCTTCTGTGACATCCAGCATCGATTCCGGCCACAGCAACGCATCCTGCACATTATCATCGCAACCGCAATCCCAAGGTCATATTCCCAGGTTCCGCAAACGTCCCTCTAGCACAACTTCCGCGTCCAGCAAACCAGCCTCCTCTCCAGCGCTTGCCTCTTCACAGCGAAGAAAGCCCGCGACGCCTCCACCCTCGGGCACATCGTGGGAAGGACCTTGGCCGGCGGTCAGCGCTTCAACGTCTACTGCTGCCCATGGTTATATGCCCCCTGTCTTCGGCCAAGCGTCTACGCCAGCGAGCAGTGTCAAGAACTTTGGCATCGATATTTCCAACAGTCCGTTTACTTTCTATGCTGGGATAGGCGGCGCGTCGCCTTTCGCGAAGTTGGCGATGAAGAGGAAGAAGAATGCCGACGAGAACGCTGGTCGGCCCATCTCTGAAAAAGCGGCTGCGCTGTCTGGAAGTCCGTCCAGTGACTCTGAGGGCAACAGGAAAACTAGTATTGGAAACATACGTAGGAGCGCGAGTCTCAGCCGAAGTACGGGACAAAAGGAAGGGATGGGTGAGGACGCTGGCTTCCCATCCATCAAATCTCAGATTCCGCTGACCTCTGATCCATCTCTAGGCCCGGGAAGACGACAAGCAAGAACAAGCTTTGGCCCTGTACTTTTCAGGCCCATGTCCGCGGCGATGACGAGAAGGAGTCTACCAGTCTTGCGCTTGGAAAACACGGAGAAGAGGGACAGGGCGGAGAGGGCACGATTTGACGCCTTGCCGACGAGGAAGGCCACGGATGTTGGGTACAAGAGGTGTTCGCTGCTTGGGGAGACGCCGGAGAAGTCTGCAAAGCAAAAAGGGATTTCGTTTGAGGCGGGAAGGGAATTATCGGCTGCGGATGGGCAGAAGAAATGGAGTTTGTTTGAGGGAAATTCGCCGACGATGGGTTTGAGAGGGGGACGTTAGGATGGGATGGGATTATATTTTGGGACGAGGGAGGAGAAGGGGTGGGAGACTGTTTTGAGGGGCTGTTTCAGGTAGGGAGCTGGTTGGAATTGTATATTCTTCGAGTGATGGAGCGATGAAGGTTGGGGAACAGACTGGCAGGTAGGCTAGGCTGCCAGTAACCTCTGGGTGCGTACTCAGCACTTTACATGTGGAAGTCGGTATCTTGTTCATTTCCACCTCACCGACCAAAGTTAGAGCCCAATACAGACATGCCGACCTCTGTATCTCCTTACCAACCATCATCCGTTTCCGCCAATTCTCACCCCACGCAGAGGGGAGCGAACACCTCTATTGTTCTTATCTATCTATCGCTTTTGTCTTAATCATCGATTCTTTCTTTGCGGACTTGGACCCAAGGCGTAGAAGGCTGAGCGGAGATGCCGAAGATGCTAATCTCTCATCCACCTGCAACCCGCAAACTCATCGAAGAAGAAAAAGACAGACGCCTCTCACGAAAGAAGGCGAGCCTCCAATCTCTAATCCAGCAACCCCCAATCCCACCAAGTCCCTCCACCACCCCGCATGCTCGCCTCCCAGGTCAGCCCACCATCTCCACCGCCGGCATTGTCACCTTCTGAAGAGGATTCTGATGAAGGGGACGCAGCATCGTCTTTCGCGGCGGTACCTTCATTCCCCGGTGTGTCTCGTGTAGCGACCTCCTCACACTTATCTTTCTCGCTTTGGCTTTGTCCTGAATCTGCATGTTCGGTGGCGTCCTCTTGGGCCTCGACTGATTCACTGGTCTTTTGGGCGTCATCTCCCTGCTGGGTCGCAATAGCTACATTCTCGGTGGCATCGTTGGGTTTGGCGTCTTGTTGTGAAGGGTTGCATGGTGTTTCGTCATCGGAAGTTGTGTGCTTTGAAGTTGTGGCGTTTGGTGATGTGTCGTTCGGCGGCGTCTCGTCGGAGTCCGATTCGTTAGGAGTTGCGCCGTTCGGCGTTGCTTCGTTCGATGGTGCATTTTCGGGAGCTGGATCTGCTGAGGCTGGGTCTGCTGGCGGTGGCTCCTCTGGAGTTGCGTTGCCCGCAGTCTCGTTGTCTGAAGTTGAGTGTTCTGAAGTTGTTCCTTCTGCACTTTGCTTTTCTGCAGTCGGCTTTTCGGGAGCCGCATTATCAGCAACGGCGTTTTTAGGAGTTGCGTCCTCGGGCGTTGAGTTTCCAGGGCTTGCATCCTCAGAAGTTGCGTTTTCAAGAGTCGCCGCGTCTAGATCAGTAGGTGTGGGTCCGCTGGGTGTTGCACCGTTCGATATTGTTTGGTTGGGCGTTGAGTTCTCAGGAGCTGGGCTCTCTAGAGGCGTCTCCTCTGCAGTTGGTTGCCTTGGAGCTGGTTCCCCTGGGGTTGTGTTTTCTGAACTTGCGTTTTCTAGAACTGCACCATCCTTTTCACCTTCATCAGCGTTATTCCTGGTGGCGCCCTTTGTCGTAAGCTCAGTATCGTCTGGTCCAGTAGGCTTCTCTTCCTCACCAGAAGGGTCATCCACCGGCGTTGTCGGCGCGAGGGTTTGTACAGCATTCTTCGGCTCCTCACCTCCAGTAGCAGAAGCCGCTGCAGATTCTGCGTCTTTCGGCGCGGAAACCGCATCATCGTTGCTCGAATCAGACTCCCCAGTTTTGCTATCACCGTTTTCCTTCTTCCCCGGTGCCTGCACCGTTATCCCATGAACACTCTTCCCATTTGGGGAATAGAGCTCACCTGGTTCCTCCTCTTTCGGCCCTTGTGGCTTTTGCGATGCTTCTTGCATGTCATCATACGGCATACCAGCTTTATGCCCATATATGGCCATACCAACCAAGCCACCCATCCGCTTCCTTGGCTTCCGCTTCCGCCACTGTCCTGCAGTTATGGGTGCGCAGGTCCCGCCAGCCAAGAACCAGGTGAGAAATGGAATTCGGGCGCCATCATCCTTCAGGTCGACAACACATTTGGTTTCCTCGGGCTTCCCCCCTCCCCTCAATCTAGGCGTATACCGTTGATCTACTGGCGTTACCAATCCTCCTTTCCAAAAGGGCACCGCGGCTCTGGCATCCCCATTTGACAAAGGGTTTGCATAGTTCAATTTTGGCCGTGAGGAAGGCAAGTCATCATCAGGGTCTGGGACATTGCAGTTGCCTCCACAAGTCCAGAAGATATCCCTCAGCCGTTTACCGATCGAAGATATTGATACTCGCGACTCTGAGCCCGAGCTCCCACCTCCCCTTAGTCGTGGCACGCATGGGGCACCGCCTCGTAATTCCAGCCGTCGGCCGCCGATGGTTGACGGAGTCTGGGCGAACGTTTCCGTTGCTGACGAGTTACGAGTATCGGCACTGCTTCCGCTGTTGTCATTGGCGGCAGTGCCGCCATGATGTGTTCGAGTGTCGTCTCCATGTGAGCGTCGTTCTCTATGGATGCGATAGACGTCGGTGGTCTCCAGCTCCAGGTCAAAGGATATGGGCTGACCATCGCGATCCACAGTCACACTTCCGCTAGCATGGACACTCTCAATACCCGATACGCTTAGTAACGGGCTGGATATGCGAGGAGCCGAAGTGTGTGCTGCAGGCGCTGCAGAGGATGTGGGCGGAGAACGATAAGGTCGAAGGGGGTAGGTGTTCCTTTGAACTGACGGTGGAGGAGTAGCCGGATGAGGACTTGGTGACCGTGGTGGATAATAGACAGTATCGGCGTAGTATTGGCTGGCATCCGATCCTGATCGCGTATGATGGTGCGATCCCCTCTCAGAGGTAGTGAAGGGTTCAGTTGCAGCAGAACCTGTCAGGAAGAGAAATGACTCAGCCTCATGCCTACGCACGTAAGGATGCGATTCATTTCCTAAGAAATGATGGAGCTTCGGAGAGGGCGTCTCTCGCGGATTCGAGGCTGGTGAGTATGGTCTTCGAAGTAGGCTCTCAAAGGTCGATCCCCGCTCACTCTCTGGCACTGGACCGCGCCGTGTAGGAGGCCTTGATCTGAAACCAGCTACCTCAGGCACAGCGACTCTTCCTGCACCGGCATGCACTGTTCCCCGTGAGGAGGACGGTATTCTTGCATTCCGTGGTGGTTCGTAAGCCAATCCAGAAAATCGACTATTTCTCCGGCGTGACATATTCAACACTGCTTGTTGATCCATGGCCAAATGGGCACATGGTTGTCCCGCTCTCGATGGCGTACATGGTCGGCTAAGGCTACAACGCCGGATATTCTCTGTTGCACCGCTGGGCCAATCTGCTGAGAAAGGGCGACACCGATCATTGCGGCAGAGCCCGCAGAATACGCTATTGCAGTCGCACTGTTCATGCTCGAATGGGGGAAAGAAGTAGTATACTTCTGGATCATTAGGGCATATCTCCACCGTTGGTGCCCTAAGCTCCTGCGCTAGACTCGAAGACGAAAATTCTCGTTGGAATGGAAACCACATCCACCGAGCTGGCGATGGATTCTCTAAGTTTGGCGCAGTCTCGGTCCGTTGCGGCATCGCTCCACGGCTAGGTATCGAAGCCAGGAAAGATGAGACTCGCCGAAGCAATGATGGACGCGGACTGATGGAGCTTAAGGATCCCCGGTCCGAGGAAACTGAGAAATCTTTGAGTGGCATATCGCGGCTGAGGATCAGTGTATATGTAGTCGAATCGGTCTAGGTGCCGTTAACGATCAACTCTTAAAGCGTCCCAAGCTACACATCTGTCACGAGCGGATCCTTAACTTGTCATTACGTCGCTGCGAATGCCTAGATGTGTGAATAAGATTCGCGTGTGAAAGATAGAGGGTGGCAGTGAAGATATAGCTTGGTGTCCGATTCGTAGCGGTGGTGCGTGGCACGCTAGAGCATACCATGGTAGCTATTGGAGCATATGATGCGAATTAGCGAAGCGGTGCAGTGAAATATACGCGTCGATACATAGATACTGCCACAATGTAGGGTGGGGGTCGCCGTATATGACAAGCTGAGCTCAAGTTTACCATCCATTTGATCATGCCGGGCTGATAGACCGATAACGGCTTCATGAAACATGGCTAAGCGTCGACGACTTCAATCCTGTTGCTCATTTGGATGTGAGCAGTAGAACTTGTACGATATACTGCAGTCGTGGCCAGGGTCCTCTGATACTGCAAACGCTGACTTGTGACATGGCGAACGCCTCTCTGACAACAGATTGAGCTACGTTACGAGCGAACGCTGCAGAAGAACCAAACCGTCGTGGCAAGGTTATATGTTCATCCGAAGTCCTGAAATGTGGTCGCCGTCACTGGTCGCCGTCACTTCCGCGATTGATGCTGCAGCAACGTTGAGGGGAGTGCATTATCCCTCTGAAGCGTCACCCTTATCTCGTGACAGAGAGTTGGAATAGTATGGCCTCCTGAAGGTCTGGCTCATTACCATAGTCAAAATAATGGCCAAGTGCGATGACGTTGCTGGGCGCTGAGCGTGGACTAAACCCGGTACGTCGGATTGTTCGACTTCTGACTTCATACACCGCAGGGAGCTGATGCTCATGCATTCTCGAGAGGATCCCTTGTGGGAAATTGGATAGCCCGATGAATCAATCCCTATCTCACAGCGTCTTCTCCTTTCGCAGGTCGTTGATGATCATGTATCGTGAAAATGTGATCCAACCCCACCGAAACCAGCGCATCTGACTCTTGTGAGCAGTTGTCATGGCCTTCTGCGCCTTTCTGTAGCCAACCGGTGAGCTGATGGTGACCAATGGCGTCGGATAGTTTCCAAGCTCCTTGCGAGAGAGCACCGCTCTTGCGATGGTCAGGGGCGCATCGAGTAGGCTAAGATATTTGCGCGCTATAGTTGTAGTAGTGAGCGTGTAAAGTTTGATCGGACAGTCCCAGCCGCTGTGTTTATGCATCAACGCTTTCAGGAACGCATGCGCTCCGTGATAGAGTGCCTGGTGGTTCGCGTGGGAGGAGATGCCGTGTCGGTCGAATGTGATAAGGACATCAATGTTTGCCTCGGGGGCCTGTTTCGAAGGAAGGGATGCCATCTTCGGGGCGAATGCTGATAGGAGGAGGTTCGCTATCAGGCGAGGATGCCAGTTCGCTGACATGGAGTCGGGGAAGTTCCTACTGTTGGTTAACGGGCTGTTCCTGTCGCCGGCACAGGGAACACATGCTCGTCCTCAATCACGAGTATATCGTCCTCACTATGTATTCCCAGTTGCAGGCCGCTCTTCACAAGTTCTTTCTTTCTAGTCTCGCCCAAGCCATCCGCATCACCTGGGGGTGTTCGTCAGTCGGGTGTGAGCAAAAGGGAACTGCAGGGCATTGGACCCACCGCTGCTCAAGCAAAGAATCTTGATGTGATTTCTATTCTCTGGACGCGTCAAAGCAAGCAGTATAGGCGCAAAAAACATGGCCTCGTCATCGGGATGGGCAATGAGCAGCACGATGCGTTTGTGACGAAGGTTCGGAAAAGAGCTGCTAGCCTGCGATGAGTAGAGCCACATGCCGAACACCAGTATGGGCACTGAAGCCCAGGTAATCCAATTCATTGTGTACCAGAGAGAAGGTACAGGTTAAAGATCTGTAGTGCTCGAGGCGTGGGAGTGGAGGAGGTTTGGGGGTGCATCTATCTATGTGAGTCTCGCCGGTAGGAGCTTGGGCCCCTCTTTCCGAAAGCTTTCCGTGCGGTCCGACGCGTCGTGAATATTGCTCCTCCACTTCCACTGTCCATCTCACATCGCCACGCCTCCTCCTCAACGACTCATCCCCCAAGCAATTGGCAGCAGCCGGCCCCCTGAATTGTGTCTCGAGCTAGCTCATGGCTGGTAACCGGAAAGAACGCCGGGCAGCTGCCAAGAGTGCAAGCGTCAAGGAGAGGGTGAGCACAGCGTCCGGTTTCGAGCCGACGACGGAGATCGATGAGAATGGCGTTGAGTACCTGTTGCGGCACCCGGACCGATCTGGGCCGAAGGGAAAGACGTTGTTTGAACTTGCAGAAGAACGGCAAAGAGAACTGGACAAGCGGAACCCACACAAGCGCCCTCGAGTTTCGGACGAGATTCCCGAGCCAGAAGAACCCATAGGCCCTCTTGGGGACGCCATCTTATACTCCATCACTCTTGCTACCTTGCACCTTACGCTCGATGTTATTGTGTACAGCCAATACAGGGAAGAGGTGGTCTGGTCCGAAATCGCCCAAAGGGCAGGCACAGCACTGCCGATCTTCTTCCTGCTCGTCTATATACTTCACGTCGATTTCTCCCGCCGCTTGCCAACCCTCCGCAACCTATTCTTCTTCGTGGTGAGCGTCGTGGCGGGCTGTTACATGGTATACTCTGGAAATGTGAACGGCTATTTCTTCGTGATGAAGACTGCGCCCCCCATCGGAGCTCTCTGGATCTGGAGTGTGGTTGAGATGGATCTCGCATACGCCGCCACCAGCTGCGTTGCTGTAGTTGGCTATTTATGGTGGAATGGTTTTGATGCCTTTTAGAAAGAACCTCAGTCCATCAGCGTATAGCACAATGCTGGTTTCCGATGCAATTGGCGGGAGGCTGATTTCACCCGACAGCTCTGCTGGATTGTGAACGCCGTTCTGTACAGCAGTTCCGTTGGTGGATCTGGGGTCGCTCTATCAGAAGGAAAGGCCTGATCAGCTTCGCGCCAGATGATGTCTCGTAGCCTATAGGTTCGTCTATGGACTACAGCATCTCTCCTCGACGGAGTACAGACACAGGAGTACACAATATGTACCAGGTACACGAGCTCGTGTTCGTCCGACTCTGGCATAATACACCAACCTCGTATCCCACGAACTGAAACGCTGAGCCAATTCAACCCATGAACAGGCCCTGCCAAGTGCAAGGTCGGTGCAGACCAGTAAGCCGAGCAAAAATCGGTTCAAGCGGGAGGGATGGATCATTGGATATGGGGACCATAGTGGCGGATTCGGCTTGACTCAACACCACAATCAGATCACGAAGCGTCATCTCCTCGTGTTGCCATTATTCACCGTTGCCTTGCGTCTGAATTTGTCCGCACATGGTGGCATTGGATTTGCCTTGAGGCATTCTCTAAATATACAGGCGGTTCTCAAATCTCCTGGCCTGGTATTGGTATTGGCCGCCAACCAGAGTTTGGGGGTTGGGGGCTGAAAGCGTACCAGAGCGTCAGCCATTGTCCCAATACGGGATAGGGCATGGCTGCGCAGTACGGCACAGTTTCTTGTTGCAAGGAAAAGCCCCCAATGGAGCATGATATATCAATGAACAGACAGCCGGGGAAATGTAGCGATGTTGGGGCTCCTGTTCTGTCCCGAAGGAGAGACGTGTTGGTTTTTCGAAGAAAGATAACCCTGGGACTCGCCTGTCATATACCCGAACCTCCAGCCTTTTGCCTTGCACTATCGTTTCTTCAACGCGATCAAAGCCGCTGGATTCTGCGGATTGCGAAGCTGCTAAAATCCCAGAAAGATATTGTCGACATGGCTCCAAGCGAGAAGACACCCCTTCTCGATGAAACCTCGCCCTTGCCTATCGCATTGCGGGATAGGGAGAAAGACATCGGAAATATTGTTGAGGGAAGACGACAGATGCATAAGAGCTGGCCCTTCCGAAGACGGAAGAATCACCACTGCCAACTGAGTCCCCTCGGAGTGACCGTCATCACAACGCTCTTCCTCACTTTACTGCTTCTTCTTTCCATATTAAAACAACCAATTTTCGTAAAGCCTTCAAAGGGGCAACCCAGTACTGCATTTCCGCCTACACAGGATCCAGAAGCACCGGCCTTCATCTCGAATTATACGTGCGTTCCCGGACAGCAATGCTGGCCTTCATCTGTCGAATGGAGTGCTTTCAACCAAAGCATTGGAGGAAGACTGAAGACTACAATTCCATGGGCTGCACCATGCTATGCAGGGTCAGGAAGCAAGGAATGCCTGGCCGTTGTGGAGGACTACATGAATGGTGTCGCCCGGACTAGGCAATATGGATCCATGGAATTCCTGGATTGGGAGACCTGCGGGGAATCTAGCTGCACCCTGAATTCCTTCTCCCCATCCTCACCTGTTCCAGGGACCTGCTCGTTAGGACGTTTATCGACCTACTATGTGGATGTACGGAGTCCCCAGGATATCAGCGCAACGCTCAACTTCGCCAGAGAACATGGAATTCGCATATCAGTCAAGAACACTGGACATGACTACTTTGGTCGCAGTAATGCGGCCAATTCGCTGGCCATTTGGACGCATAACATGAAGAATATGGCATATCACATAGTGTTGCAGCCCAAGGGGTGCAGAACAGAGTATCGAGACATCGGTGAAATAGGTGCGGGCGTGCAAGCCCAAGAAGCCTGGGAATTCTTCGAGCCTCTGGGCATGATGGTCACTGTTGGCGCCGTAGGCTCTGTCGGCATTGCTGGAGGGTTTGGCCAAGGAGGCGGTCATGGTCCCCTAGGTCCAATGTATGGATTGATGGTCGACCAAGCGGTTGAGTTCGACGTGGTCACTGCAGATGGCCAGCTCAGGACCATCAACGAGTGCACCGATCCGGACCTCTTCTGGGCCATGCGAGGAGGCGGCGGAGGAACTTATGCGGTTCTTACTTCCTACAAGTTCCAGCTGCATCGGGCGGTTCCGCTCAATGTATACAGTTTCCAGGCGGATTTCCCAGCACCGGACGGAGAGCTCAACATCACCCAATCCAAAGTCCACCGCGACATCATTCGCGCTCTGGCCTCGAACCAGACCCTCTTCGCCCAGCATGGCATTGCAGGCTACAATTTCTTCCTTCCGGACCACATGGTCTCTATCCTCGTGCAACCCAACGCCGACACAACACAAGTGAAGCAGCTCACCGCCCAATGGCACGACTTCCTCACTTCCTACCCAGGCCTCAACATCACAGAAAGCGCCTACCACACATTCCACAAGTTCTCCGACTGGCACTTCTTCACCCAAACCCCCTCCATCGCCCGCAACGGCCCGGTCGGCATTGGTATCTCGGAATCCGGCCGTTTGCTCCCCAAAACGCTGTTCCAGACTCCAAGCGACATTGACGCTGTCGTTGATGCCGTACTTGCTGCGATGCAGTTATCCTATGAAAATCATGCTGGCGGTGCTGCGCATTTATATGCCACAGGCCCGTTCAACACTCCCGACCTTGCCCGCAAATCAAGCGTAAATCCAGCCTGGAGAGACGCTCTGTGGCACGTCATTATAGGCGGACTCTGGACGCACACCACGTCCCCGAAACTCAGAGCCCAGATTCAAGACACGATTAGCAAAGCGATACAGCCATTCAAGGACCTGACGCCGGGAGGTGGTTGTTATATGAATGAAGGGGATTGGATGGAGGAGGATTGGAAGAGGACCTTTTTCGGAGAGAGTTATGAGATGTTGGAGCGGGTGAAGAAGAGGTGGGATGAAGGGGGATTGTTTAATTGTTGGAAGTGTGTAGGATGGACGGGGTATGAGGAGTAAGTGCTTTCTGATGCGGTGGCGTGACGGATATGGTGCTGACTGAGTATAGTCCGATGTATTCGTGTTATTCACAGAGCAAGAAGACTCCGAGACCGACGATTCCGCTTGGACCCGTTGAGTAAGACAGCCGGGTGGGACTATGGTTGGTTGTGATTATAGTAGTGTATGAGTGGCTGTTTCGCTTTCCATCGCTTGGGAAATAACCAGGCAAGACAGGGATGAACGGAGTTTTTGAGCATTGTAGTCATTTATCTTGTGATTCATGGGGCTTGTATTCTGAAACCGTTATGATTCAATATTCGTCCTGCATTGCTCTTTCACCAGCAGACCGTGGCCCGCTCGAGCCAGCGAACGAAACCTTCCCACAACAACTTAAGGGCCAGGTTGCATCAACGATTCCGATTTTGTCGCATCATCACCGCGATCATCTAGTCGAACTCAAACTCCATTCCCTTCAAGCCCTATCTGGCCCCCGACTTTTCTCCCTCGTCCTTAGGTTCGAATTGCGCAGGCGACAGTCTCTTCTCGATTCCCTCCACGAGGCTCTCACTGGCTGTTTCCGTCCTCGTGTAGCCCCGCTCTGGAAAGTCTTTGTCGAAGGTAATGTTTCCGCCCCGGCGTTGCTGGGAGTCGCCGCTTGCGTTCGTTAGGTCGGGGTTCGTCTGTTGAAGGCGTTAGACGATGTGTATTGGCAGAAGTTGGGTGGATTGGAGACCGGGAGGGGAAGAGAGTTGGGAGAAGAGGGAAGGATGTAAAGAGAGAGTGGAGAATGGGGAGTGATTGGTGATTACGGAATGGCAAAGAACAGAGCTTGTCTGCCCAATACTTTTGGAATACGAAGCATAATGTGTCTGATCTGGTAACGATGTGCTGCAGAAGACGGAAAACCAAGGGAATTGAGTTTGAGAATGAAGTTCAAAAGAATCGATCGAGGAGAAACATCGATGGATTCTATGATGACGGTGACGACGGAAAATGGAACGAAGTAGCTGATGACACTCGTTGGAAAATATCAGAAAGGCAGAACACACCCTATCAATAGTTCTAGTTTTTAGACCTGCAAGCTCTTCCTCTTCCCAGCGATCCAGTTTGTGAGAGACTATAGAGTCTTCTTTTAGTGTAGATTCGCGAGAATTGGTTGTAGGTTTGGTATTATGGGATGTAGACATTTTGTTAAAGCAGAAGGGAACGTGAAACACCAGTGTTGACAAGTATATAGTCGTGTTTTGGACAAAGATCAATATGTCTTCGAGAAATGTGATTTGGACATGGAGTAGTCCACGAGGCATGTTTGATGGAGTCCTGGAGATGGGGTTGTTCATATCACGTGCTAACTACGTCATACTTGCACCCGTAGGAGGCAAAGTTGGAGCCGATCCAGTTACCCAACGACATACACCGCAACTCGCTGCGCGTATTGCGTTCGTGTCCTCAAAGAGTCCAGTATAAACAAGCAACTGCCGGCTCTAGTTCGTTCTCTGGATCTCCTGACGACTGGCTGTGACGGAATGGAAGCAACACAACTTCCATTGTTTGGCAATTCCAGGACGCAGTACCGGTGAATACATACAAAGCCAGCGGCAGACCGCAATTCTTGGGTTGAATTTGCACAGTTCTCAACTCTTGCCCGTCGATTGAATGTGCGCAGTGGGCAACGTTCGGAAAGGCGCAGTGAAAGTTCGGGAAAGGCTACGTCCATGGGCCAGTGTATCACCGGGACAACAGACTTCCCGTCTGTAAACAGCTATTATCATAGCATGTATCTCAACGTACGCCCGCCCGGAATTGCAAGAATATACGAATCGACCAATCTTTCCTCGACTCCTTCACAACAAAACCGCAACCTGCTATGCAGCAAGACAACTCCTTCCGTACTCCTTCCCAACCCAACATCGCCTTCAAGCTAAACTTGATAATTCCACACCATCCATGTCTTCTAGGCGGTGTCAGTCTAGCTCCCCCCTGCAGCCCTCCACCGCCATCCAGCAACCCGCTCATTCCTCGCAAATTCCCCAGTTTGGAGCGGATAGCTTTGCCCAGACACTTTACAAGGTTCCCGCATATCGGTATTCCCACTCCCTAACTTTTCTCGAGCTCTTCAGCCCGTCGGCGGAGAAGAAGATCATCAGGGCTTTCAGCAAATTGCGAGGAAGATCCTGGCATGCTGAACTTCCAAGAATGTCTGATTTTCAGAAACCGGGCACATCAACGGGCGGGCCGGAGAATGGATGGTGGGAGTTCGCCCATGATCTGTAAGAGTTCCTCGAATGTCGGTCCTGAGCCACTCTGACAACAGTGTAGTCGTGAGATGGGCCTAGGTTGGGCTGAGGAGCAGTTCGGGCCTCCTCCAATAGTCCAGGGCCCGGCCACAGATGCTGTGGGAAGTCAGTCGGAACTGGAGTCCGCTACTGATGAAGCTGCCAAGGGATCTGACACCGAGCCGGATTCAGAGATGGAAACCATTGCTAAACAGTACTTGAGGGCCAAGTCTGGGTTCCGCCACGCCCAAAGATTTCGAGACACAACTTCCGAAGCTGGCAGTGGCGGTATTCCCCGCGTCCGAGAAGCAAAGTCGCACATCGCTAGGATCTCTGCCAGCGGAGATGCCCTCTTTGCATCCGACCAACCTCACGCTGGATCCGACAAGGGAGAGGACACCAAAGAGGACTCTGAAGCCGAACAGATTGCTCAACGATACCCCCAACGGCCATCTCCTCCTCGTGCAAGGCGCTCTTCAGCTGCGGACTTCGGCAAAGTTGAAGAATATGGGCCAATCGACATGATGAGGATTCGCCGTCGAGGTCGGATCGCTCCGCCTCTCCCGAAGGAAGGATGGCCGTCATACGACAGCCAGGCGGAGGTTGAATACCCAACACTGCCTTCACTGCCATCATTCCCTTCGCAACACCAGCCTCCTGCGTCACCTCCTGTGCCATCGCGTCCGGTACCCAATGTAGCCCCTCAGCCCAACCTCCCTCCGGCACAAGCACCAACCCCAGGGGGTTACCTGGCCACCTACCGTCCGCGTCAACCAAATGACACCCTGTTCCACCGTGGCTCCGCGGGAGTCAATCCTGATGGCGCACACGCACGACCTCCCTTTAAGAAGCGCTCGATGCACGCAAAGAATGGGATGGGCGGGGTACTGCGGCATCATCGGATTGTCTCTGGGTCATTCGGAAGCTTTGAAACGGAGAAGCCGAGCAGGTTCAACGACAGACCTTACAGATTGTTCGCGGAGCGACGCCAGAAGAAGGAAGAAAAGAAAGCCGGGCCTGAACAAATGGAGGGGTAGAAAGTGCTGCGCGTCCTCGAAGGCGAATCTCAATCGGCAATGGCTTTGGGATGGTGTCTATAATCACATCATTTTTACTTGTATACTCTACCGCAATCAGCTCTTATTGAGGCTCCATCACTGCCTAGTGATCGTTTGGTCCGCGTTGCTCATTTCTTTCTCCGACGTCCAAAGCCACCAGGAATCGGCTGACGCAGTTATATGCAGAAATGGTTGCTGTAATCTCCACAATCTCCTTGTTCGAGAAGATTTTCTTCAACCTCTCAAAAATGTCGTCTGGAATGCTAACGTCCAGTGTCATGGCGTCTGTGTACGTCATTACAGCTGAGTGGGGCTCATTGAAGACATCCGCAAATTGCTTTGCTGGTGTCTTCCTCACTGCATCAATATGTTCAGGGCCAATACCTGTGCAAGCTTGAAGTAGGGGGGCGTGGTGTTCCCATTCGTACCACGCCTTGTTGAGTACAGCAACACGACATATCGCCAGCTCGCGGATGGACGAGGAGATGGATGTCCCAGTCCTGATGGCTCCAAGAAACGAGTTCCTGTATATGGGAGAACATTAGAGTCCATGCACGCTATCTCCAAGGTGTAATTGGGAATCACAGCAACCAGAAAATGGCAGTAATGTGACGTACCAGCCATCGGCTACAGGCGGCGCATGAAGCAAGGCGCGATCGAGCTCTAAAAGTCCAGCACTACCCCGTCGCTGCCTAACCCGGTCTACGATGGCTTTCTCTTCCTCAGACTGGACCGTTGGTGGGTCTTCAACGTATGGAAAACGCATTATGTTCATAACCAACGGAAATAGAACTGGAAAGCGAAGAAACTGAAGCTGGAGTAAATGTTCTGTCACTTCTGAAAGTCGGTCAGCCAATGAATGCCGGAACTGTGTTCTTCGTGCGGATGCAGAGAACACTGGTTCTGATCGGACTATGGACGTTGAATTAGAGTGACGCTAACCATAACTAGGCTATCGATAAAATGTAGATGACTAAGCATTTACTGATGGCCTGCATCGCACCTCCTCGCACCGCCACGACGCCATACAATCATATCTTCTCCAACATGCCTCCGAAGAGGTCAAGACCGGCTCAGGGTGCGGGCAAACGAAAGCCCATACAAGGTCACGCCTCCAATGCTAAGCCGACAACTAGCGCTCCCGTACCCCTTGACCTCCAGCAGTTGTTGCTCAACATTTTCAAGGACTCCTTCGCTGGGCGCCTTGAATCGGACATTCATCCTTTGCTTCAGGAGGTAAAGGGCCATTTGTACAACCGCGACTTTCGCACTGCCTTTGGGAGGGAGGATTATCTCGAGGCGTACGCCGCAAGGTGGAGTCCATCCAGAGCACTGGGGTACCTACAGGTCCTGGTGGAACTGGAGGAAGTAAAGAATATCCTCGGATCATCCGGTGAACATGTTCAAAAAGTGGTTTGTGTTGGAGGAGGCGCCGGGGCCGAGATTGTCGCACTCGGCGGATTTTTGAACTACCAACGGCTTGCCACAAATGGAGAAAGCGAGAAGACAAGCGTCAAGTTGGACATAGTGGCCATTGACATAGCGGACTGGTCTTCAATTGATGCCACTTTGTTGCAGAAGATTATTACTCCGCCTCCACTTTCAAAGTACGCCTCGGCCGCTGCACAGGCTGCCAACATGCCACTGCTGGAACCTGAAGACTTCAATGTCACGTTTCATCAACTCGATATCTTAAACGCGGGTCTATCGGTTCTGAATCCACTTCTCCAGGGAGCTTCTCTCGTCACGATTATGTTTACTTTAAACGAGCTTTATTCGACTTCCATCTCATTGACACAGAAGTTTCTGCTGAATCTCACCTCTTGCCTACCCGAAGGCGCACTTCTGCTGGTTATTGACAGCCCTGGGAGTTATTCTACAGTAACTCTCAATGGTGCCGAAAAGAAGTATCCTATGCAATGGCTGCTGGACCATACTCTTCTCCGACAAGAACCAAAATCCGGAGCGGCACCTTGGACAAAGCTTACGGAAGACGAGTCGAAGTGGTTCCGATTGGATGATGCAATGAGCTATCCAATAGAGCTGGAGAACATGCGATTCCAGCTGCACCTCTACAAGAGAACGGTGTGAATCGAAATGTGTATTGGCAGGGTTCGGCATTCACAGCTCTCCTACCACTTCGCGCGTCGCCAAACGCCGAATAGGAAACTGGCCATGGCTCCAACGTTGAATTTATGGACCCCTTTTTCGACCGTTCCTTCGACAGTTCCCAATCCAACTGCATGAGGCCATCCACGCTTCGAACTGTGGCATTGGTCAAGGAAAATAGCCAGCTTTGCCGACCATGATAGGGACGCGCTTCACCTGGCCAATCAGATTTCGCCATTCGATGCAGAACAGTGTCAGCCTCCCGACACCCTTCCAGCTGGAACGAATACACCCGCTTACGATGGAGTGCATATAAGCGATGACCAAAGCGCCAATTCTACTATGTTCCCAGCAATGTATCACAGTGTGCACGGAAAAAGGCGTTGATCGAGCCAGGCCATAAAAGTCGGCTGAACCGCAGAGACCGCTGGTCATCACCCTCGTTTATCTCAGACCTGGTCTGCATGCACCGCATTTTGTTCACATAGAACATAGCACGGCATATCGTATTCATTTGCACTACCGTCAGCTTATCCAGGAAGTCTTTTCTAACGGACTGTTGCCTCCAAACATGCATCTTCCCCGCGATTTCAGGAAGCTTCGACAATCGAAACCGTTACCCATTATCAAAATCGATCCTGCAATCCCAGCTATTGCACCCTCACATCCAGTCAGTTGCTGCGCATGCTAGGTGGTTACTCCACTAATCAATTGAAGCACATTATGAGCCGGCATATGTTCTCATCAGCATCAGCGTCGTCAACAACTTTTCCCGATACACTCCGGGCGCTACTTCGCAGAGATGTGTTTCCCAGATCGTCAAATGGGGGCTCCCGCTCTGCAATGCGAGAAGGATTCAGTCCAGCAGCCCTCGGCGGCATCTTCGCCGGTATCGCGATCCTCGTCATGCTCGTCATAATCCTTGGAATCATGATGCGAAGGAGTAAACGGAGGACGCACCATCGAGTTTTACTAGAGAAGACAAGCAGTCCTACGCAACATGACGGGAGCTTGAGGGGCATTATTGTGACGAAGGACGTGGAGACTACGGTGCTACCTGTCAAGCTCCACACAGTTGAAGGAAGAAGGCAGTCCCACATTCCTTTTCGGTCAAAATGAAGTCTGGGAGTCCGTCGGCGTACTGCAATTATTGAGGTGGAATGGGCAGGATGTACTGGTCAAAAATCATTGGTCATTAAGGGCGAAATTGTGTAGATGGTACAGGTACTCTTCAATGAAGGCGGGCAATAGAAGGAATCATCACTTTGAACCTGCGCACTGGTTGAGACATGGGGCTCCCGCTATTTCGCCGCGTGGCAATGCCGAGACATCTGTCGTAGAACCTAAGGACTTTTGGTGGTTTTACTGCGGTAGTTGTGTCCACAGCTTAATACACAATAGATTAATTCACTTCCCCAGACTAACCGCATCTGAACAAGTGCGGCGAATCATTGGTGGCATGCACACCAAAGCAGGCTAAAGTCGCACTCTAACCAGCCGATGTGACCGGCTTCGAATTGATTGTAAATGCCCGCCTTGTCCTTGTTCTTTGCATTCAACACTCTGCGGCAAGCCACGATGTGAATGTTCGCGTCTCCAGCTTTCCGAAGCGGTTGCATCGAGAAACCCGACATGGCCAGCCAAACCAACCAGCGCGAGATGCACAGAGGAGAGAAAGACACCGACGACGAGAATGAGGCTTTTCTCCCGGTACCTCTCGCCCACGACGACTATGTGTCACAGCCGTGCTCCCACTGCGTGCGTAAGAGGCGGACCTGGTCCGTGGTCTCGTGTCTGCGCATCGTCGTCGAGCTGGCGATGATAGCGACCATTGTATTCTTACTGGCTTTCCGACCATCAACATTAGAAGCAGTGGACGAGGACCAGAGTCTGAAAAGGACTCCTGTACCCCATTGTATGTTCGTGAGCATACCTCCTTTACGACGGCATTCTGATGGGAGAGTTGCAGTTCCGAAGAAAGTATACAAGTTCCACAATGACCCCCGCTACACACGGGAGGACATGTTCTTCAACGAGTCGGCTACGTTACACACACTCCACAATTGGATAGAGCTGAGCTCAAGTATGTCACCTTCAGGAATTACTGTATTTCCAAACGGCCGCTAACACTCCACCAGCCAGCCGCGGCTACGTCGTCTTCCAACCCTCCTGGGACCGCTACGACCTCCCCAAACCCTACACCGTCGCCATTGACCGCCAGCACGACGGCCCGGGCTACATGGTGTCGCTCTTCCACCAGCTGCACTGTCTGTCCTATCTCGCGGAGCACTTCCAGCAGGGCTACGGAGGCGTCAAGCTCGACGAGGAGGTTGCGCACCACTCGGCGCACTGCTTCAATTACATTCGCCAGGGCATCATGTGTGCGGCCGATACGACGCTGGAGGGAGAGACGAAGGACGGTCCCGGGGAGGGGAGCGAGCATGTCTGCAAGGATTATGAGAAGGTGTTGGAGTGGGCGAATCAACATGCGGCGTATAGGTGGAGGGAGGGCTTGTTGCCTGGAGAGAGTATCCTTTAGGTGGGGAAGTAGAGAGTGACCGTTGGACAACTCGACTTTTTGGAACAAATGCGCGGGAGATCGAGACCATGTGAGTCCTTGGAACATGGTCGCTTCATCGATTATGCCTGCTGTGCCAACGGCGAGGTGGACAGCGCACTCAAAACGCCGAATGCAATGTGCATGTATGCGAGAAGAGTCGGCGTACATGATAAAATGACTTGTTCTCCAACTCCGAAACGAGCTGCAATTGGGTATTGGCTACAGGAACTACCGCTACTACTGGAAACTTGATGCACGCCAAGGTAACACTACTATCTCACTAGATCCCGAGTCTACCTTCAACATAGCTAGCATACTTGATGAATTGTTCCAGCCCCCCTCCAGCTTCTGAATCTGCCTTACTATGCCAGCATGCACGCCACCTACACGCACAGTCTCCGCATCTAGCTTCTGCCTCTCCTCTATCCAGGCATCGAGTAGCGTCTCAAGGGTTGCCATATGCGACGATGGATGGAGTGTTCCTGCTCAGGCTGGCCAGTCTGTCAGATGCCTCCCTCACACCAAAGTTGCTGCCTCCCACCGCTCTTTTGTCAGCCTCATCCAGTGTTCCAGCCTCAATCCGTCCACCCAACTCGTCGTCGTCCTCGTACCACTTGTAACGCTTGGCCAGCCTCACAAAGCTCCGCGTGATCTATCTTTCTCGTTGGATCAAGCTTTCTGTAATGGCAATGGCGTAGTCCTTGTCGAAGGTACCACGATTTAGATACCCTATATAGGGATTCCCGTATCTTCCGTAGTAGGCCCGGAAATCGGCTTCACTCCAGCGCATGTTCTTCCCAATACAACCAAGTACGTGACATGCAAATTTCCAGCCACAAGTCTCCACTAAGATCTCAGTAGCCGGAATCCAATTATCGGCTTGCCTCATCTCCGCACATAGAATGGCGGGCCAGATCAACATCCTCAGCATTCCATCGTGAAGTATGCCGAGCCGAAGTTCGAAAACCTCTTTGGAGCATCGTCTGTATGCCTTCTCTCTTGCCTTAGCAAGATCCGGAACGACGGCAATGCGCGGGCACGGACCGAAATACCATGGCAAGGCTATTATGATACCGTCCGGCTTATGGGCCTCATTTGCAAGCACATCCAACAAGGGAAGCTTGGACTTGGACCTCGTCCTAACATATCCGGCCAGCGCCAGTGCAGCCAAAGTGGGTTGGTCCGCGTTGAACGGAAGCCACGAGTCGTTTCCGGTGAGCAAGACTTCCTTCAAATAGGGGTTTTCAAAATCAAAGCGTGAGCTCAGTGGGTCATCCAGGTCGAGAATGCACAGGAGCGCTTTGATACGGTTGTTCTTTGGCTCCCCGTGAAGCGGACCACTTTTGCTTGAGTATTCCTCAAGGAGTGCGGATGTCCTTTCTCCGACGCGCTCAGAGTTCTCCTCCCAGCATCCAACGAGCGGATTGACGATCTGGTCGCAGAATTCCAGGCTGCGGACATCATCCTCGCTGCTGTAGGCGGGGTCGTAGTTGACGACGCAACCCTCATCCCAGGTTTTCCAAGAGGGAGATTCTTCGCCGGCCGTCGGGGTATCAACGTCGTCCGTGGCGTCGTCCATGGTCTCATACTCATCAAAATGCCCGCACCCCTTCGGACTATTCTCGCTTCCGACAATTCCAACCCGAATCGTCTTGCCCTTATATTCGAATGTAATAGATGATGGAGCCTCATCCGTGGGCGTCAACTCTAGGAGCTCGGCAAGCCCTTTCTCGGCGAGGTTGTCGAGAGAGACGCGGACATGCTCCAGCGTAGACTCGAAGGATTCCTGGGAACCTGGTACGAGCCACACATTGTCAGCCAGCAGATGTTCCAATTTGTCTTGAACCTCGAGCTTTAGCTGCACAGCATCGATGACCATCTATCTGGCACGGACCACAGCCCGATCTGTCATGATGGCGAGCTGTTTCTCTCGCTCCTCTTCATGCTCCCGAATCGTGTCTTTGAAAGTTTGTGCAAGGTTCTTCGGCTGTTTGCGGAGAGCGTTCATGAGTCCCTCAACGCCGGATTCATCCATGGCGTCAGTAATCAGGCGGTGGTCTCCGAGTCCATGGGAAATATGATGAGTTGGTGTTGAGGAGGCGATCTGGAGAAGCACTAGAGAACCTACACGACTTTATAAGGCAATCGCTGCAAAGGGTAGGCAAACGAAGCAGAGAGATGTCATTGGCTAGCGGGTCGACTTGCGCCGAATCGACGGTGAAGCCAGGTGAGAGCCTTGGCAGTCCTCCGGCCAACTTTCACTCTCACTCTTACCTTCCGCTCACGCCTTCACCTACCGCTTTAATTTGACCAGCCAGAAAAGATTATTTCAGTAGAGTTCATATGTCCAATATTACAATTCAATAAGCCAAAACATACGGCTCAAGGATGCAATGGGCCTCATCCGAGAAAACCCCTTCTGTACGAGGAATCAGTCTCACGTATTACAGTCGTCATCAGTAAGCGTTGCATGGCACTGTACGCAAGTCGCGCACTGATATCTCAAGAAAAAGAAGCCATTACTCAAGTTACCTCCATTATATGTATCTTCTGACGGTTATAGATTCTCGTCTTCTGTTGCCATTGGACTCTGATACTTCTTAAGTAATACGGTGAGGACATGCACCCACACGCACTGTCGCAAGTGGAGCGAATATAAAACTGCCATCCAACTACCGTTTTACTTGCCGTCCCCTCTCGATTTCAGCGTCATCTGCTTTGATAATTCGCATTCCAGGCGTAAAGAAGCAATCAACAATGTTCCGTATCCCACGTTGCCCTGATGATTCGCGCAGTGAATGCTATAGCCGTCTCACATCACAAATCGCAAAGGCATAGTGCTTCATCGGAAAAAAATTATGTATTAAAATCTGACGGCTTTCAATTTCTTCACAAATCCCACTGCTTACCTCTTAGGTGCGCCCGTCTGCCTTGGTACTCCCCCCGAGAAAATACCCGTATTTGCGTATTTCTTCTTCGGGAGTTGAGGTTCCAGCTTCTCCAACATGTTCTGAATCTCCTCGAGTTGTTCGTCCCCTGGTTCCAGAAGCTTTGGTGTTATATCGTCACCATCTGGGAGAGAGCGAAGTGCCATTCCCCCACGGCTTGTATCCGGAGCGCCTAGGTACAGTGTCACACAGCCGTAAGAAGTCGTGAGCGTAATAGCACCACCCATATACAGGTCGTCTATTGCGTCCTCATCACACCACGACATGATGTCGTTCATATTCCCCAAGCATTGCTGGCCAAGGGGAAGGAAGCCCTTTGAAGGGCAGCCGGCCTGGGATTTGGACCACTGGATTGACGCTAAGAGACCATTCGGATTGACAGCCGTGTAACCCGCCATAGCGGGATTGAGGGTATCGCTAGCGGAACAGATTGCATTGATGACGCTTCCGGCTTCGATGGGCTTGAACTGCTTGTACTCTCCGGTGCCGAACCGGTCGCGGAAGCAGTATGGGTGCGTATTGTCACCCGGCACTTTGGTGGGCCATGGGTCAGGTTGTACAGGCTCCGGTTCCTTTGTCGGAGTCGGAGTCGGAGTCGGAGTCGGAGTCGAAGTCGGGGTCGTGGGCGAATCCCAGCCTTCTCCCCCGATCATGAGAGGGAGGTCGAAATCGCCGGGCTGGATTTGCATAAGAGGTGAGTCGCCACTATTTCCCAGATCGAATGATGGGAATGTGGGACAAGAAAGAGTAACAGTCGTAGTGGTAGTGCTGCCGGAGGTGCTGCAGGCAGTGATCGTTCGCGTGCAGGATGGGTCCCTACAAGTCGTCGACTTCGTATTCGGGAAATTGTAAACGGAGCATCGCTTCTCACAGAAGGAGGCTGTTGTTCTTCGGCGGCAGCTTGAGGAAGGATCGTTGGGTTCCCCTCCGCCACCACCACCACCTCCTCCTCCTCCTCCTCCCCCTCCTCCGTGGCAAAAGCCCAGACAGTTGCTGCTGCCACCAGAGCAAACTCCAATGCAACCGCAGAACGGCCAGATACAACCACCACCTCCACCTCCTCCTCCTCCTCCTCCTCCTCCTCCGCCACCTCCTCCGCCTCCACCCTCGTGCTCCCCTGGGGTGCTACAATTGACACGACACTGCTTGCCGCACTTTTGCGTAGCTGGATTGCAGGGTGTTTTAGGAGCTCCAGGGGCGATAGTAATGGACGGTGGAAAAGGGGAAGGAGGAGGGAAAGGAGGGTTGGGATCGCTGGTAGGATGCACTCCTGGGCTATACGTCCATGTAATGGCCGGACGCGTAACAGGGCCTGATGTGGTCGCCTTCTTTGTTATCGTCATGGGTGGAACTGGAACGCTACTTGTCAACCAGATGATTCCGTACGTCTTCCCGGACACGGTTGAGCCCTTCCACTCTTGGTTCCATACTTCAATAGCAGTGGTGGTGACGGGAGGAGGCGTGATGACGGTTGTCATATAACTTGCTCCAGTGGTGGTTATGGGCGCCCCGCTAATGGTTATTGTAGTCGGCCAATGCTCTTCGAGGGTTAATGTGGCAGGAGGTATCTTGATGGTAGTTGTCGTAGACAGAACCAGCGGAGGCAGTATGAGCGAGCAGGGTGGATAGCATGAAAGAGTAGGAGGCTTCTGCGTGTAGACGTCTGGGCTCACAAGGATCGGTCCTGATCCATTATCACCGCCACCAACAGGGTCACCGCCACTTCCACCGGGGCCGCTACCAACATCGTAATCAGCGTCCAAGTCGATGGCCCAGTCCGTCGTGCCGCCGAAGTTCAGACTTTTGACCCAGTTCGAGCGCTCGTCGTACTTCTGCTTGGGCATCCATCCAACCCATTCTGTGTTGTCATAAACAAGGATGTCATCGCCCTCTGCGGTTTTCAGCTGTTTTACGTTGCTCTTGGTAGCAATAAGCTCCCTTATCTCGAAATTGGATATGTAACCACGGGTGCCAGTGCAGCGACCAGGGGCAGCGGCCGAGTCTTTGCCCACAAAGGTGCACTGTGGCCCGGTGCAACCGGCAGTGGTCATTTTGAATGAGCGGCCATACAGAGGCATGCCGAAGATAATTTTGTTTGCCGGGACGCCAGCTTTCGTTATCATAACGAGGGCCAACTCGCTCTCAGTCTTGTTCGAATGGTGACGAAGGCAGTTTCCGGCCACGCAGCCATCCGTGGCCCACTTGTTTCCGTAGTCCCATTGGCCGTGGAGGTCATATGTCATGTAGATGATGTAGTCGACGACCTTTGCCATTTCTGCGATGGGGAAACCTTTCAGGTACCAGAAGGAAGCCGGAGCGGCGATACCGATCGTCTTACCGGTAGGTAGAGCGTTCCGGACTAGTTTCAGGAATTCGAGGTAGTTAGGCCCGTCACTTGGGCTGCCCGGGGGAATGCCAGGAATGTCCGGAGCACCTGTTGGGAACGACAAAATTAGTATTCCGAAAAGGCCATGAGTTCGGAGTGGAACCACCCGACCTACCTGGGTACTCCCAATCAAAGTCTAGACCATCGAGATTATTGTCAACGGCGAATTTCGCAACATTGGTGGCAAAGGTTTGTCGCTGTGCTGCGGTAACACCCGACCTGAATATAGGGGCAGTGTCCCAAGCAGTCGAGAACGACCAGCCGCCGAAGGACACGATTTTCTTGACGCCCGTGAGCTTCTTGAAGTCATCAAACATGGGCTTCAGCTTTCCCAGATCAACACCGAAGCTGGAAGAGATGCCGGCAAATGCAAAATGCTGCGAGCATGAGTCAAAGCCTTCATATGCGAACAATGTCCGGGCTTCTTACAAGATGTGTATAGAATTTGAGATCAATCTGGCGGGGAAGCATGTGCAGGCATGGTCTGTCGAGATTCCAAGCTTCGAAATATCCCACACGCATGAATTTGGAGGGTGGGGAGGCGTTATTGGTAATGTTCAAGCCGCAGTTAGCAATACAACTGTTCGCGCCGGGCTTCGTCGTTCCTGGTGCCCCAGTATCGGCCGGATTCAGAATGCAGAAGTCTTTGGAAATACCGCAGTTACCCCAGACATTGCAGCATGCCTTTAGAGGGCATGGGTTCAATTCGTTTATCTTGCTCATGTCGCTTGGTCTCTTTGTTCCGGGGACTGTGGGACCACATGTCGCAAGAGGATCCTCAGCCGGCATGGGCGGCGCTCCCGTAGATATGCAAATGCGTTGGCCTTTCATGAGAAATTGACAGCCCTGCCAGCCCCAAGTCTTCTTGTTGCGGTCCTGCAACTGCTGGACTGTCATGGAATATTTCCTGGCTATGGTGTCGCAGAGATCGGTCGAGGCAATAGTGTGTGTCTTGCAAGTGCCATCTGAATTGGGCTGAGGAGAGAAGTCGGGAAGCGTGCCCGAGGAGCAGCAGTAATACTTGCCCGCTTGGATCTTCGCGTCACTGCAGAGCTTTGAGTCGCCGTTGTATTCAACGAGCTTCGCCTCGGTGATCTTGCAGCGGTCAGCAACAGCCCAGCAACCATCCCCTTGGACTGCTTGTGTGTAACTGCAAGTTGCTCGCTTCGCAAGGGTGCCATTATTCTTGGTCTCGGGACCAACGAGGATGTCCGAACCTGGAATCATCGATAATGAAGCGCCAGTCCACTTGCTCTCGGCTTCCCATGATCCGGTAAGGCACTTGGCATCGTTCCAGCTTCGCAAAGCCGACTGCACAGACGCTAGGTCACCAGTGGTGTCAACGAAGATACCAAATATCTGAGTGTTGAGGGAGTCTTCCTTGCAGTACTGGGCAGCCACTTGGCGGACATCTCGAGGATCGAAGTGCTTGGAAGCGTCACGTATCAACGTGGAAAGGCTTTTCTTTTCAATCTGAATGCCTCCGTAGACACCAACAATTGCATCGCCTGATTTTGCGAACAGAGCCACGGTGTCACCATCCTTCTGGTTCTGTACATGGTTTGCGAGCCCAAGTATCGCAGCCTGAACGGATTCGGCGTCGCCCTTGCCACTGTTTCGAAGTACAGTAATGTCGACGGCCTGTTTCTCGGTATCGAATACGGAGGGGGTCGAGTTTCCGCTAGCTACGACGAAGGTCTGTCGAGTCTTCAATGTGGGCGCCGCATGGTCGACAGCACATGAACGGATGCCGATAGAAGAAGTCTGCTCCCCGATCTTGGTGTAAAGGTTGAGCTCGAGAAGGACCGTCTTGTTGCAACTGGCCAGGTCGTCTATGTTACTGTAGAGAGCCCAGTTGCCGTCTCTACTGCAGGAGAGCGGGCAGCGAGCCGAAGCGGAGAACTGATCAAGCTCTGGTTGCGGTTGGTTGGGATTGAAAACTTCTTGCGCGACTGAGAGAGGTGAAAAGAATGATAGAAAAATGGAAAGTGTCAAGAGAGACAAGTGTGCTCCGCGAGCGGCAGAGGAGCGAAGGGGTGTCATCGCAACGATGGCGCTCAACACTTGATTCTCCAAGTGCGTAGCATCTTCAGATAATTTATATAGACTCCATTGAACAACTTCTAGCACGGTCTACAAAATTCGGCCCCAAGTAGAGTACACCTGTGGCAGCCTTAAACCTTGGCTACCGTGGCAAGGCCCGCGTCCAGACCGTCAGGTTAGAGCTAACGGATGTCGAGCCGTCAACAAGAATGGCACCCTGTCAGGAGAACCCTGCTGTGAATTCATCGATACGGATGTCAACATTGTGCAGGACTGCCATTGACCAGGAACGGTGAAGTGCTTATCCCAAACCATGGAGTGATATGATAGTCGGTGAAGAAAATGATTACGCGGCATTAGAAGTCTGAAGAGTTTAACATGTCTCAGAAAATTGGGGAAAGTGAGGTATCATCGGGCAGCGACCCGAATGGGGCGAACTGTGGTGGGCTCATGGGCCTGGCTAGTTTCCCATCCATATACAAGATACAAAGCTTAGGTGCGGACAGTAAGAGTTGGACGTGATAGAAGAATTCAATCCATAGGCGTGGACCCAAGCGCAGGGAACAAAAAGGCAGGCGGCGGAAGGACCCTATTCTCCGGTCTTCTCAAGCCTATGCATTCCCCTATACCGGCTACCACGTGGGATGCCTAGGTAGCAGTTCCGCCAATTAGACCTGGAGATTCAAGTTTGTTACTCTTGCAGAACCAAAGCCGAATTCGGTAGCACAGACGTTGGGGGCTATGGGATTGTGGCCTTCAGCTTGTCCGGCACGAAGTACCGGTAAGGCCCAACAAAAAAGTCTGCAGATAAGGAACGATCAACCCATCCGGCGCTTCCGCTTATCGGTCGTGGGTCGAACATTGTGAAAAGGGACAAATGGCCGGCGGGGGGATGACTCTACCCGACTTAAGCTTTATCTCGTATCTATACCTTGTTACAAGAATTGTCCAGAAAACCCTGCATAGGTAAAGCTAATAGTACCGTTTGCTACAATGGGTTTGGCATTTTGGCCCCCTTTGCGAGAGAGTACGTACCCCAGGCCTAGGGAAGACGGTCGGCACGATATATAGATCAGGAGGTGAGAAATGTATGCCGGTACCTTAGGTCCGTGCATCGTCCATGGGCTAGGCCTAGTGCACGTTGACTTATCGTTAGCCTAACCCTAGGAAATATACTGTACCTGCAGTACCTAGACAAATCGTCCAAGCGGTTCAGCCTTGTGGTGTCAGCAATACGCTTATACTTGGCATACATGCAAGTTCTCGAGCGGGTTTGAAGACGATTATGGCTAGTGGATCGCGCCCTTCCGTTGACGAGACTATTGCATGAAGCAACAGTCTAGACTCTGGCTGTGGGGTCCAAATGCTTTGGTGATGGCTTACAGGAAACAGTGCCCACGAGTTGCCGTATATAGTTGATACGTACACGCTCAACTATGTTCGTTACGGCTGTCCGAGGGTATCATCAAAGATGGTCCCCATTGTTCGACTGAGCACAAGTTTGCTCTGGTTCTCGTTTCTGTGCAGCGCTGTAATTGCGAAAGCAATTCCACAGAGGTAAGAAAATTCTCTATAAGATCGCTTTAGAGATATATCCGCTAATTACAATAGCGCAAACCCCTACGTCTCCCCACTCACAGTCCGGCAGGATGGACAACTCCCCAAAGAAGCTTGCTATTCCAGCTGCGAACTGGGCGGCAAATGCGGCGGCGGCATATGCAAGATAGGGTCGTTGGCCGCAAGGTCGGACCTCTTCAGCCGTATGGTTGCCAATGTCTCCGACGACCATCTTATTTTCGGGGATAATCCGTTGCGCAAGAGGACGTTCCGGTTCTCCCACGACCAGAACGCGCCTATCACCGCCAAGAAGAGGCCGAAGAAACAGGAATCCCTCGATTATGTGGTCCCGATTCTCAACTCCAACGACGGGGAAGACACGTATTTTGGACCAGTGTTGCCGCTGTTTCATGCAAGAGGTAACGTAGCCATACATTAGACGTACCAATATTTTGGGATGTACTAAGAAGTACCCAGGAACACCCGCTGCGGACGAGCGAGCAGTTAGTGTGTTCAGAGAATTCGGGGACGAGCCATTTCAGATTGGAACCAATGGGCTCATGGGATGCAGCATAGTTCTTCTGGTCTCAAATGAAGCAGTGTGGATGGTAAGTAGAGCCCTAATGTTCATATCGACAGTCTCCCTGAATTATTTTAACATGTATTCTAGTCACATCTTTGGGAGGCCTACTCGAATGGTGGCGATGACTCGAAGTCAAATAATGCATTCTACGAGCGAGTAGTCCAGTTCATAAAAGGGCAGCCAGTGAATAATCCTTCACCATCACCGATAATGGACAATGAACCATGGCGACTGAAGGAAAACAAAGGAAGCAATCCCAACAAGATCTATATTTCGCCAACTGGACCTGGGATTGACGGTACCAAGTTCCCTTCAGGCAGGGGGCAAAACACACTCTTGTTTATAATGGCCCCTACTGCACGTGGTGCGACAAGCAATTCTGCTCCACTCCGATACCCGAATCACGTTGAAAGCATGAAGACGGCGGTCGCTGAACAGCTGTCCAAGAAACCCGGGTATAAAGAAGTCAGATACGTCACCCTCGATCCCGACAATGTCCCCGGCGACGAAGACAAGATGTTTAACTCACTTCGAGGAACCGCTCTTTTTCAGTATGATCCTAACAGTGACGGGAAAGGCAGGAGGGCGTGGCGTCTGTGGCTGGAGGGAGAATATACCGAAGTACAGCTGAGGTAATGTGCGCGCATGTGGCCTTCCATGCGAGTCCGAAGGTGGATGAGCGTGTTACGGCTCCAATATTTTGTCCGTAGTTCCGCGCGGCGGATTGAAGAGTATAATACAAGAATGTCAAATACAAGACGTGGCTGTTGTTGGTATACGATTAAACTGGACCTTGGGAGTAAATTGATGCATGTGACTGGGCGGGCGGAAAGATACCAATCATGCTACATGGTCAGCACTCCAGCATTCCTTCTTACTGTACTACGTTCTCTTCTTGACCTGATTTTACCCAATGACGTCTGAACAGCTTTAGAGCTTCTCAATTTTTCATTTCAAAATAATGCCTCTCTTTTTCTCCTTTTCTTTCTCTTCTCCTTCATATATTTTACCCTAGAGCAGCATTCCCTAGCATAGTAAGTTGAACATCCTGTCACATGTTCTTACTAGCATATCTTTTCTAGTTCCGCAAATCTAGGAACAGATGTGAGCCGGAATATGCACTGGAAACGGTCGCGTTTTCGGTCATATTCATCCTCATATCTTCAAAGTGCGTACCTATGTAGTCTAAGCCACAGCACCTGGTTGTTCGGGTAGACATGCAGACCTATCCATCTCTCCCATGCCCCAGGGTGTGTATCGTCGAATGTGGCGTACATGTTGGAAAGTATAGAGTTGGAAAAAGGATGTGAGTAGTCAGAGCTCTGTAATCTTTTACGCATGCCTGACGACCTATTTCTCAGTCCTTGTAAATCAGTAAATGTTAGGAAGTGCCACTTTTGTGAATGTCATGCGGCAATCGTGCCTAGTATCATTGATCACTCCAATGCGTTCACTTGCAGGTGTGGATAATGCTTCTTCCCACGAATTGCTTCCGTGCCATATGTTGTCCCCCTGAATCATACATTTCAATATACAATAGCCGTACCTACCTGCCATCTAAGGCCCCACGAACTATTATAAGAAATAGCTGCAATACGTCGCCGCTCCACGTGTTACGCAAGAACCTCGTAGCGCCTCTTGCAGATGCAGAGATGGCTCGTGATTGATGGAATTAAACCCAACGCACGTTGAAATGCGTTCATCGTGCATGTTACTCTTGATTTGTAGGTGAATCGTGAAACCATGCATCCCGATTTATGCTGCCGACTAGGAGGGGAGTCTCATGCGTAATTAAGCCATGTCATGGATCGGCTATTGTCCACCTTGTCCAAACGGCGACTATCTATTAGGGTTCTAGCGGGTTTATCACATTTGTGGGCCACCTGCTAACGTCGACACTGTTTTAGCGTTTGATATTTCTCCGCAAGAGCTGGTAAGACGAATGCATCAGAGTACGCTTACGTTTCTAAGGCAAGGTGACCAAGGAGATGCCTCGCACCTGGGAACGACCCTTCCCGGTCTGATGATTCTACGGGTTGTCGAAAGAATAATGGAACTAGAGTGTTTTCACGTGGCGCATAAGTGCAGTGACAGAAAATATCCGACTCCCTTTCCCGGGCGCTCGACCTAGATGAATTTCCGCTTTGGGATGCATTAAGCGGTCAACCGGGCACAGAACGGCCCGCCTACCGCATCTGCCTCAAACAACACCATGAAACACCAATTTTGCCAAACAACTAAGTTCCCTTACCCCAGCCCCGGCTTCCCTAATCGGCTGTTACACCAGGATTATGACGGGGAACTGTGGGGCAGCCTGCAGTATTAAAGGTAGCCAGAGGGCCGGGAATACACAACCAGCTTCAGAACTACCAGCTCCCTCCAGGTGACATCCGCTCCAGTTCACCACCATGAAAGTCAACACCGTTGCTTGCGGCCTTCTGGCTTCTGCGGGTTCGGCCCTCGGGGCTCTTCAGCAGGTGTCAGGATTTGGTTCCAATCCAACCAACCTCCAGATGTACATATCGGTCCCTGCCAAAGTTGCCGCCAATCCTGCCATTGTTGTTGCTGTACGGTGATTCCCACTGGATTCTAGTTCCTTGCTTACAATCCTTCCAGCTCCATCCGTGCGGCGGAACCGCCCAACAGTGGTACAGCGGCACCAAACTTCCCGCCCAGTCGGAGAACCTAGGATTCATTCTCATCTACCCGCAAACCACAAAGTACAGCAACTGCTGGGATGTGAACAACGCCGCTTCTCTGACCCACAACGGAGGAGGAGATGCTGCTGGTATCATCAGCATGGTCAACTACACCCTTCAGAAATACAAGGGCGACAAGTCCCGGGTCTATGTCATGGGAGGCTCTTCGGGCGCGATGATGGCCAACGTCATGGTGGGCTCCTACCCCGACGTATTTGAGGCCGGTGCTGCGTATTCGGGAACCGCGTTCGCATGCTTCGCTGGATCCAAGTCCGACCCGACGCCTTTCGGATCCAACCAGACGTGCGCTCAAGGTCTCCAGCATACCCCCCAGGAGTGGGCGAACTACGTGTATAATGCTTATCCTGGCTACACTGGGAAACGTCCTCGCTTCTTGGTCGCCCATGGGCTCGCCGACACCCTCGTTCGCCCGCAATGCGCTTACGAGCAGCTGAAGCAGTGGTCGACTGTCCTGGGCGTCACCAACACCCAGAACCAGACCGGCAGCCAGGTCGATGAGGGATCCCAGTACACCAAGATGATCTATGGTGATGGCACGCAGCTGGTTGGTTACTTCGGTCAGGGTGTTGGCCATATTGCGCCAGTTGTCGAAAGTGTGCTTGTGAAGTTCTTCAAACTGTAGGCCTGGAAGGTGCAAGGAAAAGAATGGAGAGGAATGTATTAAGTCACTATGTTCGTCGTATATATTTGAGGAATTGTTGACGCAGACCTGTCATGGCGTGTTAGCTCTATTTGTGACTGGACTCCAGAAAATCAAATGATGTCTACCTGTGTGAGAGGTCTCATGGGAATGAGCGGGTAATCAGGTTACACTTGGAGAGATGGGGAAAGAATTTACAACATTGTGACGGTGTCATGTTTCGGCAGCCAACAATGGTGGACTGCTCCGAAAAAAGGATAGCAATGTTCATGATGCAGTACGCTCAGGACCACGAATCAATTTCCTAATCCTCCTCCTGAGCTCGCCAGCGTAGACCCTCCCGCGCGATATTGAGTTTACTCTGGCACAAGCCCGTGAGTGCCGTTTGGATGTGTTGGACCCCCTGAACACTAAGACAGATGATTCCGATAGTGAAACGGAAGGATATACTCTCGCGTTCCAAACATTCTAGAATCTCGACCCATGCCCAATATCATTCACTTCAACAGCATCGTTTCCCTTTCGATCCAACCGACTCCCAACCACCGTCAACATGGGGAGAAATGGTCAATTTTGCTGCATTCGATGAATTCCGCAATCAACGGTGTATCTGTTACCTGGCCCAACTCCACTGCGGCCAAGTGGACATAACAGTCCCAGTTGAAGTGCGGTTTGCGTTCGTCGTTGCCCAACATCGGACATGTAGTTTGACATTTCTACCTCGACTGATCAGTCTGAACAATAATCCAATTGAATATGTTAAGAGAAAGCCAGGACCATGGTGGTAGACGTGTTGAATGGGATTGTTTGTTTGGCATCCTTATCGATAACATCGATCGGATCCAGTCAGGATGACGTCAAATTCGAGCTACCCATCTCGGGAATCTTTAGACATACTCGCGGGGAAGTACGTTCGTCGAGTATCCCAATACAACTGAGGCACCTTCGAACAGTTACTGGAACGACCATGGACGCACTACCTGTTACAAACAAAGCGGTTGGGGAGCCCGAATCGCTCACCAACAAAACTCTCGAGACAGGTGCATCAGCAGTACAAGTATTGAGCCACTCCAAGAAGCGCTTCAAGTCGGCTAATGTGAATAGAACTTAGCACCAGTTGAGCGGATATGTGCCCACTTGAACGCCTTTCACGTATATGCCGATGATCTCGGGCGCCTTGTCGAAGCGAACCACTACTGCGCCCACTTGAACGACGAAATACGGCAGTGCATCATCTACGATTCTGCCACTTTGCCCGCTAGAATCATTGGGATCGGTTCGTGCTTCCCAATGGACTTGATATTCGGGGTTTTCGCTGACTGCATGCAGAATACATGATAACGTCTCGCTTATACGAGACACTCGACGCAGAAGAACAAAAGCTGTGGCATTCTCACGTCTTCGAAGTCAAGTCCGGCATGCTGATCATGCCTAAACCCAAGGCCGTACCCGACGCCGTATGGGAAGTAGCCGAAAACAAGGAGATGGAGGAAGTGATACATCTTTACGGAAAGGTATACCATCTGTGGCAGACGGATCGCGGGGACAAGCTACCTCTCGGCCCTCCAAAGCTGATGATGAGTTATACTCGAGCAGACCAAATGCCGGATTTCGAGAAGGTCATCGGAGAGCGAGACAAGAAATTTGGGAGTGATTGGAGGCGGAAGAAGGAGGTGAGGGAGCATATCGAGACGCCGAAGATCCATGAGAACGCGGATTGGGCATGGAAGGAGAACGAGGGAACCAAGGACGTGTACTGAGGCCAAGATGGTCACGGAGCCGCAGGAGAGGTACTATGGACCGTAGGCTCTGACGAGCGATGCTGAGTGCTCGGGCCCCAAGCATGTATAAGTGCCATTCGAGAGCGGAGCAGGATGGCGTGGAAGGAGGCCGTGTGCTCGCGAGTACTGAGGCTATAAGTTAGCAGCCTGTGTGGGATTGGGAAGAGGTGAACTGTCTGGTTCCCCCGTGTTCACCCATGCTCCTCATCTTCCACTTCTTCAATATGTGCGCCAATCGGTTTCTCCTTTCTGCCCAAAAGCTTTCCCATAATATCCTTCTCGGTTTGCGAGTCTTCTTCGCTATCGCTTTCGGACGAGTCTGCGGCCGCGTCGGGGTCTTTTTCTTCCAGCACACCAAGTCCCAGGTTCTGCGCGCATCAGTGATGCTCATATGAATGTGCGGTGATCTTACCATCTCAATATATTCTCCTTCGCCATCTCCCTCTGTCTCGATTTTTCTATTCTCCAGTGTACCCGCCTGGCGCTCGGCCTCCAGTTCCTCATTCGCAGCTTTCAATTGTGGCAGGAAGTCCTTGAGGAAGTCGCGGATGTCTGGTCCTAGTTCATCCTTGCTGATCCTCATGTGAGGTTTCTCCCCTCTATTCGCGCGCAAATTAACAGGTCCGGACTCGTTCCGCTCATCCGCCGTTTCCGACCCGGAATCGTCATCGTCATCGTCACTGGTGCTTTCGCTTGCCGCGTCGCTCGAGCTCTCTGAACTTGGCTCCTCGCTCGATTCGGAGAGTTCACTACTACCTTCGGAGTCCATATCGCGGATATCTGAGGCACCGGATGTGCTTGCAGCTCTCGACGCCGAACGAGCTGGGACGGCGGATTCGTTGGAGGCAGGCGTCCCGAGTTTGGGGCGAGTACGGCGGTGGTCGCAGATTTTGACGTCCTGTAACCTTTTCCTTGAGATTGCTGTATCCATGGTGTGGACGGAGTGGCCTCCGCGTACAACGGGGTGGATGTGTGAAATTCGTGATGGCATTCGAAACTTGAAGCTTTTCCCGAAAAGCTCCCGATGTGGTTTAGCGCGCTATTGGGGCACGTGAATGTGGCTGGACTGACCTGCAGCCCGTAACCCCGCCAAACGTCACTGAATCGTGGCCATTCATGGTACAAGCAGGGGTTCTTGAAACGGTGCTCTGAAACACTCACGAGTGGTCGTTGACCTGGGCTGTTCGGCTGGGACTCTCCTTAAGAGAGCCGCCTGAGCCTCCAGACCGCTCTACACCACGACACCCTGCTTTCACATCATCGCCCTCGTTTCGTTTTGGCTTTGAGGCAGACTGATTTCAAGCGTCTTGTTTAGCGGCGTCTCTTCTTTGCTATATGATAAACTGCTAAGGCGACTTCCCATACCCCTCAGTGTGCCTCTGATCGGTATGTAAATGCGTTTCCTCACAGCCTTCTTTGTGGATACGGTACAATGTTGTCTCGATATATGTCTCTTGCCTAGGAACCCGATTCCGCGAAGGGAGAGGTGCTTGGCCAATGACCTCGATGCCTGACCTTAGGCGGTTGCAACATACTTGCAGTACTTTGATAGTAAACTGCCACATTACGCTGTGAAAGGAGCTCGACATGGCTATTCTCAGAGATCTGGGCTTTTCTCATTTCACTTCCAGACATCTCAGTCTTTCCGTCTACTTTATTCTTCAGTCATCTGGGTGTCAAATATAAATCTGAATCATTGACTTTGATAATGCAGTTTTCAACATCGTCCAAATCAAGATTCTTCTTGGAGACGTTCCCAGGCTTCAGCGGGCCATTTTGGAACATCGAATTCTCGGAACAACATCACGATTTCCGATTGCAAGCTGATTTTTGGAACTGCTCGCAATCGTCTTCAACCTCACAACGTTGCTCTTGCTTGAAGGATTCCGTAAAGACACCATGGCCGGCCGCTTCCCCGTTCTTTCAACCTCCAACCTCCCTCTAGCCTCTTCCACAGAGCAATCCGCCACGGCGTCTCCAGCCCGCGGTAGCGCCATGCTCAACTCCATCTTCAAATCCGTGCGAGTTCCCGAATTCCGCTTCAAATGGCAATTCTGGGCAGAAAAAGGCCAGCAATCTGTGCCATCATCCAATGACAAATCTTCCACCTCGGAGGATTTTGCTTCCCGCCCAAAACCGCTCGGAGAGCAAATCATCACTATCAAGGAGTTCTACCAGCACTTTAACAATATTCCCACGGAGTCGTTGAAGCTGCGAGACTCGATACATCTGTTCCATGTGGGAATCAAGCCGCTATGGGAAGACCCGAGGAACACACGCGGAGGGGCGTACTACTTCCGTATCCCCAAAGACATTGCGGAGCAATTCTGGCATGAGATGTGCTTGCTTGCGGTGGGTGATGTGCTCCAGGGAGCCGTGGAGACAAAGCGGGAGTGTGAGTATTTTTACTGAACGTATTCAAGGGCAGAACTAATACTGAGAAGCATTCAATGACGATATTTGCGGAATCTCTTATTCTGTTCGCTGGAACGCTGTGCAGATCGCAGTGTGGAATCGTGATGCCGACAACGAGGCTGGGAAGGAGAAGCTGCTCGCTGTGATCTTGGATAAGCTGTCTGAGGAGCTGAGACCGAAGAAAGAGAGCTACTGGTACAAGGCTCACAAGGAGCACAAGGGCTTCATCGCGCCTGGTGCAGCTTAAGGCACAGGCTCCACTATCCTTTGGGAATCTTGAGATGTGGAAGCGTTGCGCTGGTTAAAGGTCGCGAGTATAGAAGGATAGCAAGTGTGAACGTCGTGCACAACTTGGGACTTTAGCTGAACCCAAGTCAAATCGAACAGGCCGAGACATTGGCTCGATTTGATTTCCCAGTATAAAACTGCAGTGTCGGGTAGGGGTGCCCAACAAAAGCAGTTCACCCAACCGCCCATTTCCCAATCGGGGCAAGATTACCCGAGCCCTTCACCTCCGAGCTGAACTTGTTGCAACCTCGAACCCGCGCAAACCCAGGTGCCATGGACAATGTCCACCGCCCCCAATCCTCCTGAAGGCTCCAGAGACGCTCGCGATGAGCCTGGCCGACAACAGCAGCCTCCTCGTGGCAGCATCTTCGCTGTTCCTGCACCGATAAAACGGCTCTTCGACAAATTCCCGCTCCGCACATATCCTGCAAACGAGCTTCCATTGCGCGCCCCGAGACACCGCGATGAAAATGTGCTCTACGTCTTTACGACAGATGAAGGGGTGCGGAATGGCGCGCCGAGCTTCAATCCTAGTTGCTTGAAGTGGCAGGTCCGTCGTACCAGCCGCAGCAGTATTTGCTGGTCTGCGTCCAGTCCATATTGTTTTGCTGACTCTGAGTGACATAGACATATCTCAAATTCAGCGGCATACAATTCCGCACAGAGGCGTCGAGCAATCATGCTTCCCCCAGCGGTGCGCTGCCTTTTCTGCTACCCGCCGTGACAACGGGCGACACGACGAAGGCTGTCCCGCGGGTGCCTTCGGCAAAACTGCAGCGATGGTGTATGAGCAACAGTCCTTCTTCTATTGAAGAACCCGGCGATCTACGATATGAAGCCTATCTTTCATTGCTGGACCACCGGATACGACGCGCTTGGGTACGTCCTTGTCGCTGCAAGTGGCACGGCATTCAATTACTGACTCCACACGCAGCTCTACACAGTATACCTCTCACCGCACAACTTCCCGTCCCTTGCCGAACCCCTCTACATACTCCCTACATCGAGCTCCGCCTTCGTCCGCCTCACCACCGCACACACCCTCCGCCGCGCCGCAGAAGCCGAACTGCTGAAATTCTCAGCCGTCATCAACGTCGAGAGGTTGTACAAGGACGCAGACGAGGCCTTTGATGCGCTGGAAATGCTCCTAGGGCAGAATACGTGGTTCTTTGGTGCGGAGCGGCCGGGTCTCTTCGATGCTAGCGTTTTTGCTTATTCGCATTTGCTTTTGGATGAGGGGTTGGGGAAGGGGTGGGTAGATACCAGATTGAGGGATATGGTAATTCGAAGGACTGGATTGGTCATGCATAGGGAGAGGATCTTGAGGGAGTATTTTCAGGCCTCTCCGTCATCCTACGAATTAAGCGGAGAACAAGACGCTTGACTGTAAAATATATGTATATCTATTTATGATCAAGAGAACGAATACGAAGACTGTCACAAGTGTGCAACACATGCATATAAATTGCATTAGTTTTCCTAAAAATGCTTCCAGCTTCCAATCCAGGAATACTGACTTGGCGACGCGACGGAAAAGTGGTGAGTCACGCTAGGTAGGACGACGCGACATGATAGGCGGAAGGGCGCAGATGTCAAAGGAAAGACTCATAATCGGAGAGATATATCTGTGAGATCTCTGCCATTCTTTTCAGGAGATAAACCAGTTCTTCTCTTCTTTTCTTCTTTTGGCTTCAGCACCCTACTTCGGGCACTCATAGCATCCTGATATCAGCCAATCGCCTTTCCTCATTCCATCACCACAATTGGGTACTGCCCTTGAACGAATCGGCAATAGCAGCATCTCTCCGGTAAAGAAGAGGGAATACTTATCGGCTTCGCAATGACGCAACCCACATCAATCAACGTGACATTCGACACTTCCCTGACCGAAGTACCCACCGCAAACCAGCAATCACAGACCGTCCCAGCCCCCAATATATCCTTCTTTACCACCGAATCAGATCCCTCAGACGCGGGTCTCCGTCCATCTACCTCTCAATTACACAGAATGGAGCAGGAATCCACAAACCCCAACTCCACACCCGCTTCAGGAACTCGCTCCATGACTCCTACAACAGTGCAGCATCTGCCTACGCAAGAGGCATACGATCAATGGGCCAATGTCTACGATACGGACGGAAACATGCTCCAAGCAATTGACGACCTCGAGCTCTCCACGTTACTGCCGGAGTTCTTAAGCACATTGACATCGACTCGGCCGGTCGACTCCTCTACCATCACTCTCATCGATCTCGGCTGCGGCACAGGCCGCAATACCACCAAACTCCTCGCATACAACTGGCCAGAGGTGCGTAGCGTACGAGTCACAGGCCTCGACTTCTCAAAGGGCATGCTCGACATTGCAGCCAAGAAAGTCCAAGGCGCTGTGGAATCGGGCAAGAGGGAAATCAACCTGCAGCAGTGCGATTGCTTTCCCACCGTACGAGACAAGAATGCCTCGCCTGTTCCTCCCGTGGAAGGACTCGCTGCTGCGGATGCGGCCATTAGCACTCTGGTCCTGGAGCATGTTCCACTGCAGGATTACTTTGCCACGCTTGCTGCTTTGGTGGTGAACGGAGGGTATGCGCTCGTGACGAACATGCACAGCGAGATGGGCTCTATATCTCAGGCTGGATTCGTCAATGCGCAGGGAGTCAAAGTAAGGGGAGAGAGCTTTGCGCATACGCCTCAGGAAACGGCGGAGGAAGCGAAGAGAGCGGGATTTGAGGTATTGCGGATCATGGAAAGAAGGATGGAAGAAAGAGACGTTGAAAGCGGGTTGGTGGGGTATAGGGGGAGGAAGTGGATAGGCGTCATGGTTTGGTATGGGTTAGTGTTGAGGAAGGTGGAGTGAGTGAGAGAAGTAGGAGGACAATGGGGCGAGACTTGAACGATTAATGACCAACCTTGAAAAGTTTTTGTTTGTTTATGATCAGGATATCTCCGCTAGTTCAATTCCCGACTGGAATTCACGTTCATCCTGGGAAAGGTGCCTCACGTTCTGCGATCCTGATTACCTAAGTACGCCCGCCATCAGCTCGCGTGCTCCTGCTGTTACAGTGCAATGAGACACTAGAGCGGCATTGCATCTTCAAATTCACGTCCGTACTGAAATGAAGATTTCAACGGGAAGAAGAGCAAATTGAATGGCGTCTAAGGTGGGAGGATGAGATAGAAGTGGAGGAATGCGCACGGGCCCCAGCATCTCACTTCCCACGTGATCACAACGCTTTACCTCATTGAGCAGCTTCAACCTCATCACGACTTTTCCGCATCACAGAGGCAACCAAGCTCCGATCGCCGCCGTTCGCCGTCTCCAACTCGTCCAATTCCCGGATTCTTCACAATGGCCGCACCAGGAGCAGGACTCTTCCGTTTCGCCGTCCCCCTCGCGATCGGCGCCGCTGTCGCTCAGTCCGCCATGTACGATGTCAAGGGCGGAACGCGCGCCGTCATCTTCGACCGATTGTCTGGTGTTAAGGAGACAGTGGTGAATGAGGGCACACATTTCCTGATTCCTTGGTTGCAACGGAGTATCATCTTCGATGTTAGGACAAGGCCGAGGAATATCTCGACGACAACGGGAAGCAAGGACTTGCAGATGGTTACGCTCACGCTGAGGGTACTGCACCGGCCAGAGGTGAAGGCGTTGCCTAAGATTTACCAGGTACGATTTCCTCCAGTTGATATATCTGCGTTGTTATGAAGAGGCGGCGTTACTGTGGACATGGCAATTGCCGTTTGTAAGCTACAAGCTAACCAGGCTTCAGAATCTCGGCCTCGACTACGACGAGCGTGTGCTCCCGTCTATCGGAAATGAAGTCCTCAAAGCTATCGTCGCCCAGTTCGACGCCGCCGAACTCATCACCCAGCGTGAAGCCGTCTCGAGCCGCATCCGGAGCGACCTTCTCAAGCGCGCACAGGAGTTCAACATTCAACTCGAGGATGTTTCGATCACCCATATGACGTTCGGCAAGGAGTTCACCAAGGCCGTTGAGGAGAAGCAGATTGCACAGCAGGAGGCGGAACGTGCCCGCTTCGTGGTCGAGAAGGCGGAGCAAGAGCGCCAGGCCAACGTTATCCGGGCAGAGGGTGAAGCCGAAGCCGCCGAGACCATCAGCAAGGCTGTTGCGAAGAGTGGCGACGGTCTCATTATGATCCGTCGGATTGAGACCCAGAAGGAAATTGCACAGCTGTTGGCCCGGAATCCTAACGTCTCATATCTCCCCGGCGGCACCGAGGGTGAGGGCGGCAAGAGCGGAGGCAACTTCCTTTTAGGACTGAGGGGTTAGAGTTGGAGGGAGGAGGAAATGACGAGCCGCCGCTTTGACATGGGTCAAAATGCTTGGGCATGGGTTTGGGCGCAAGGCTGTATGATATCTATTGTGAGCATCTTTGGTACTCTTTTGTAGGGAATTTAGTCTCCTCTTCACAGGGTTGTCACCTCATACGCCGTGCCCTCGCCAATTAACGGCTTCGGACGCTTTCGACTTGGACACAGAATGTCGATTGACTCTGGACGGACCAGAGGCATTGCATGCATGGCCGTGAGACAATGCATATTGAGAATCCGGCGTTAGCTGGCGGACATTCTCTCGCAAATTATTAGTGTATACGCGAGCGCAGATGCTGGCAAAAGATGATATTAGTGCTAAGACGCTGACAGTAGGCTGCCGGTGAATAGTTTTCCGTAGGCACGCTCACTACGGTGTACTTACATGCAGACCGTAGATCTCGCACAAGTCTGAGTTAGCACATCCATGTCAATGATCCAGTGCGATACGAGAATAGGCAGGTCCAAGGACAAGCTCGCTCAATGAAGTCCTACGGATCTCAACAACACTGGGAGTGTTTCTTAGGCACTTACAGCGAAATCGGCGTCGATATGTAATCTGAGGACCTGATCAATGCCCAACTTCTGCATCTTGCGGTACAGCATGTCCAATAAGCACGCCATGCAACATACAGGCGATCATGAGGGAGCCCAAAGAATGGGTTTCGGAACTGCATTTTACTTCCCCGTCCTCCGAAGGGTGGAGGACGGTCAGTGCACAGCCTGCTGTGGCTACACAATCGTGGCGGTGCGGCCAATGAAGATCCTCACATCTCTCATGTCGACCTGCCATTCTGCAAACCAGCTGCCTGAGGAGCACACAAGGCATTTCCCAGCCTGACTCCGCCATGGACTCAATACACATAAGCACGACAATTCAAATGGACGCGCAAGACCCCATTCTAGCTCTGTATCCTCCTTGCGTACGTCTTCTTGCAACGCGTCGGGTCGGAACCCAATGGCGGTCAAACAACGGCGGAAAACACGCATGACTGTGACGGTCGCGGTCATCCGACTCTTCGACACTCCTAGGAATGGATGCTCAGCACGCCTAAGCAGGAAAAAATTCACTGCCGGAAGAGGAGGCGTCAGCCACCCTTCGAAGGTGCTTAGGGGCATCGGTAGCGGTGTGGGTAAGTTCCGTTATCCTCTGGGCAAGGAGAGATGGAAGCAATGGCCGCACGGCTTTGGCAAACCCAATGAGATTCTAAATGATCGCTTGGAGCTCTCTAGTGAGGGTGTGGGGAGATACAATGTGCAAAGGTATGCTGGCCAGCTTTTGTCCCACTGGTGATGCTAATAAGCTATCAACACAGTATCCTTCAAGCACTCGAGTCTGATAAGACAATATCTATGTCGAAACAGCCTCTGAGCGAAGTCTGTTCCAACACGGAGCTTTTTCTACGAAGCAAAGATCCAGATCTCGGAACAACATCAGAAGACAGGATCCTACGCTCGTTGCTACTCGTCCAGGCGGCAATCGAAGTGTTGAGTACAGCTCGAATCCAGCATGACAAATCCTTCATTATTCCACAGGACGGGCAGATTGGCATCCGCATCGACGAAACCTGCATGGCAAACTATCAGCATTTATTGCTGCGCCTCCAAACCCAACTACTGAAGGCATTGACGCGCAAGTCGGCTGCGGCCTCATCATTAACCGACCTCGACAAGACGCAACGAAAACGACTCAACTGGTTCTCAGAGTTTCCCGACGGCCAGCGGCCGCTGAGTACGACGTGGCCTTGGTCGATCAAGCCTTCCCTTGCTGTGTTATGGGGGTACGTTATGCAGTCTACGACAGAATGAGCCAGCAAATGTCACTGACAATACAACAGCGTATGCTGGATGTTTCCTGTCCTTCCTGTCTATGACGAAACAGATCAACAGTCACAGCAAAACGTCTCCATTCGCGTACGCATTCCGCAGCAGAGAGTCTTGCAGGACGGGCAGCTTAATGGATGGAACCCCCCGCAACCTGATGAATGTGAGATACCCAAGGCTGCCTCGCCACCACATTGGTCGCAGCGGCACTGGGCCATAACGAGAGATCATCCATGGCTAACGTAGGCATCCAAGCAGGGTTCAACTATGGCGTCCGATGCCTTGAAAACACTGGAATACGACCGCAGATTGGCTCCCCGTCGTCTGCTGATGATGGTGCTTCTTGTGCTGGCAACGGGCAGGGCGATGGTTGTGGCGGTCCACATGCGGCCTTCCAGAACGTGGCGGGCCTGGCGCCAAGAAGCAGGGGTACCCTATCACGTGCAGAAGATGCACAGCCACACTTTCAATTTGGTTAGTAGCTACTTTTGGATATCATAGGAAAGTCGACAGCTCGGCCGTGAGTCACCGTTGATCCATGGATGCCTCCGCTCCGTGGACGACTTGTCGCCCCGTTTACGGTTCCAGCCTTCACGAGCCGGATGCTGACTATTAGGCAGGACGGTCCGAGCTGGGCTCGCGTCAAGCTTATTACCCCAGCGTCCCACCTCCTGACGTGAGGCGTAACGGACCCTATTCGATACCTGGATTCTCAGGCATCTCCACCGAAGAATCCGAGTTCGCCTTCGCTCAGCAGCAACAGCTGGATGTTGAGAGCCTGCCGCATAACTCTTGGTCACTAGCGCCCTCGGACACGCAATCCGCTTTGCCACAGCAGTCTGGTCACCTGACCTATCCGCTGATAATAGTCAATGGAGAGTCCCAGCCGCAGAGTCAATACCTGAATCTGAATCCGTACCAACAACAACAGCATCGTGCACTACATCTGAATACTGCACTTTCAAAACTGGGGCCTCATCCTCACGCCATGGGAGACTGTCCAGTGACAGGGTCCTCGCCTATCAATACGATACACGAACGTAAAATATCTCTCAGCTCTAACGCCAACTCGACTATACCTACACCTGTTAGTATGGGCCCGCTCTCGCCACACCTGTCCCCATCTCCAAGTCGACGGCATTCTACAGCCAGCTCGCAAGGCCAACCGATACTTTCGCCATCAGCAGCGCCTTCACAGGATGGAGAGGAGGAGTACTCTCAAAAGCACAGGAGTTTCAAGCGTGCCGAAGAGCCACGGAGAAACCAGGACGGCAAATTGATATGCGTGAAGCCCACGTGTATAGGCGTCACATTTGACCGCAAATGCGAGTGGAGGTAAGTAACATGCTCCCCCTCTAACCAGGAAATACTGACTTGTACAGCAAACATATGGATAAACATGACCGACCCTACATATGTACTGCAAAGGGCTGCGAGAAGCTTCGCGGTTTTACGTACAGCGGCGGTCTCCTTCGACATGAACGCGAAGTCCACAAGCTCCATGGCGGAACCAAGGAGCCTCTCTTCTGCCCTTTTCCAGACTGCAAACGTAGCAGCGGCTCTGGATTCACCCGAAAGGAGAACCAGCAAGAACATATCCGTCGCGTGCATACGCGCTCCAGCAGTTCGCAAGGTCCCATTCACACGCCTGTAGCGCCCTCAGAAACTGGCAATGAACGGCTTCCAAAGGCTGATTCCCCTCAACAAACGACAACACAAAGCGAAACCGCGCCTCTGACTCACCTGAAACGCAAGCGGATAGCGGAACGCGAATATAGCCACGAGGAAGGTCCTATAAGTCTGCATGAGGAGAACAAGCGTCTACGGAGACAGCTGCAAGAGAAGGATGCCGTGATCCAGCGACTCCAGGCGCGGTTAAAGGAGCTAACGCACGCACCATGATGGCACGACATTCACGCCACTCCCGATCCTCTTAATGGTACCATTTCTACATGTTCCAGCAGATATTCCCCCATTCCCTTATCCTTTGGTTTAGCCTCTTTGTAACGCATTACATGACGGACGTTTCTCTTCTATATGATAACCGGAGAATTTGCATAACGACGGTGTTTCCCGAATTATTGCACATGTTGGAATATACCCTCTCCTCTTTTCCACAGAGTTCACAGATATCGATTCTGAGCGGCTCTTCGGCTTCAAAGCCGCCACACCATTTCTTTTTGTTTGTTTCCTATTTTGTACATACGTCTCCACCTCTTGTAAGAATGCGATCTCAGCTCAGACGAAGACTGCAGAACCGGATCTTGCGAAACCGGCTTCTTTCCCAGATTTTTCTCAGACAGATAGATGGATGATGGATGGATATTCCCTGCTCTTCCCACTGCTCGGAGATTGCTACAGTATTATGTATATTCCAGAGAGTAGCTAGACAAAGATTGTTGTATTCTACATTCGAAAGGGAACATCAGAATTGGCGTGTGATATGTATGGGCTGGCTCGTTTTGTAGAGATCACGCTCGTATCCCCTGACCATGGTGTGCATCTCTCGCGACTATGTCGGATGCGGTAAATACCGGTACCACAGGTGCACTACTTTGTAAGATCTCCTCACAGCTTTGACAGACAGCCATTCCCACTACCGTGTTCGCCTTGTGCCACATTCGTGCCCGACAAACGCCCTTAACTCACACACACGTAGCAGTGAAACGGGAAGGGCCCTTCAGCGACGCCCTTTTCCCGCCCTATTTCCTCAACCTTTGAGGAACCAATGCTTCTGGCTGGCCAGCTGTCCCTCGCTCTCCCTCGTGCGCTTTTCCCTTTCTCCTTCACAAGTCCATATTCACCGGCCTTGTCAATTATTCGCCCTTTCCAGGCACCAGATGCGTTTTTTCGTCATAAAAGGGCTGCAACAATAGCCATTCCATGCAAGCGAAAGACAACTTGCATCTACCGTTTAGGTATGTACCAGGTGCCAGGCAACACAAAGCATAGGTAGCTAATCCACGGTTCCACTTGTTGCCTGGAACCACCTCCCTCCCTCCCTCCACTACCTAAACATAGCTCATAATGACCTCCCGATCCCCCACCTGTCACAAGAGTATTTTCTCAAATAGCGTACCAATAGACGGCGAAGCGCCAGGCAGCCGCGCAGCGCTTGAAGTCCGAGCCAACCGTTCGCAGAGTGGAGGCAAAGTCCCATAATATCCCGTATCTGTGGACAGGATGAGTGAAACAAGGACGGTACGGCGTCCCGTATGTCCGTGACAGATCGAGGATGACGTTGAAAAGAGGGTGTGGATCGGATTATTGGCATCCGTCCGACGCCTTCATCGTCATCATGACCATATACGATACGAGCATCCATTCCGAGTTTCGCCTCTTCCTGTTTCTACACCGTCAGTTGTGTACACGGTATCTCGTCAATCAACCACACCTCACTACATACCTGTCCGTCTCAAAACACTAACGATACAATTCCCATCATCGGTCTGACTCCATGTCTTCTACACCATCGTCATCCTCACCACATCCCGATTTGTCATCCTTCTCTTCCAAATACTATAATCCCTCATGCTTTGTTTCTCCATCCCATCTCGGATAAAGGACATTGGTCCGAACAAAGAGTCATCGCCTCTGCTGCTGCCTGCCGTGCCATACCCTCCCATCCATGCTCCTCTCCCATCGGCGCTTCATGTATCCTAACGCCCTGATTGGCCAGATCGAAAACCATGTGACACCGCGAAACCGCGCGTCCGGTCCGGCTTTCTCGCGTTGCTTTGAGGTGAGAGCGTATGAGAGGCAAAAGGAAAGGACTGGTGGAAAACTAGCACTGCCCCTTACCGAGGCAATTCCACATTTTCTCCAATGGCCACGAGAAACTTGCCAAGAAATCTACGTTTCCATCAGTCTAGCGACTGTGGCGGTGCCCAGGTGCTTCGCGCGTGTCTGCAGCCCAGCGATCGGATCCGACCAGGGGTGGTGGGATAATCGAGATGCAGGTCCGCGGGGTGGCGGTGCAGGGACCATGAAAGATCTCGGGAGGTGGCACTCTTGAGAGAAAAACGCGACGCTTCGGCCAGCTAGCAAAAAGCTGTTGTTCATAATCGAGGTGTACAGTAGCTGTGGGAGATGCAAGGGGACCTTAGGTGATGCCGGTTACGTGAGAACCACAGAAAACAGAATGGATGACTGACTACGGTAGGCTGTTGTAAGCAACACCGCCACCGCGCGAATTTGCGAAATCGCGATTCTGCGATTTTGCAAAAAGGCACAAAACAGTATAAAAACAGTATATTTCTAGCTGCGCAAGAGGGTATTTCTAGATAAGTAGTAGTTAAGAAGACTATTATAGATAAGAAAAATATGCATGCAGAGGTGTAGGCGTAGGTGCAGAGGTATAGGCGTAGGTGCAGAGGTATAGGCGTAGGTGCAAAGTAAGCAACGCTGCTGCTGCGCGAATTCGCGAATTTGCGATTCTGCAATTTCGCAATTCTGCGATTTCGCGATTCTGCGATTTCGCACGTTAGCTCTCTGCACCTACACCTCTGCACCTACGCCTATACCTCTGCATGCATGTTTTTCCGATTTATAATAGTCTTCTTAACTACTACTTATCTAAAATATATTTCTACAGCACTGCGCAGCTAGAAATATACTGTTTTCGTGTGTAGTAAAATGCTCTTTTTTGTTGTTTTTGCGATCTTCGCAAAATCACAAAATCGTAATTTCGCAAATTCGTGCGGTGGCGGTGTTGCTTACAACAGCCTACCGTAACTGACAAGAGATAAAAAGAACTTCACAGTACACGCTAAACACACACCTGAAAACTCCATACCATCACTCGTACTTTTCGGCACTGGCCTATCACAGCGTCGGACTTCCCTCTACTCACTCCTTAATCTTCTGCTTGTGGAACACATCTACACCTCATCAGTAACCACTGTCACCTCGCATCTTCCAAACGGAATACCTACTAGGTACCTCTGGCATCCACCCCTCTCTCAAGCTGCAAAAGAACTCGCCCTTTGGCGGCACCGCTGAGGGATCGTCCAGCGCGCCGGTCGCGATGTATCGAAAGTCGGACTTTGCCTGCTCCTGATGCATTGGATTAGCGGACGCGTACCTCAAGTTTGTATTTTGATGTAGAAGAGGAAGTACACACCCCGTACTCGCAGATATAACTCCCGCACTTGGGGCAAAACTCGCGATAAAGGTTCGTTCCGGAGCCATTGTCTCCTACATGCACCTATGTCTCAGTTAGCACCACTCTCATCCAAAGTTCCAACTGTCCACTCATCGTCATGATATCAACGTACAGTAGGTTCCCCGCTCCCTTGCGCATACCTAAACCCCTTCAGCGGCACCTTGGTCGTCAACCCAAAAGCCCCACCAAACGCCTTCTTGCAGTTCTTGCAGTGGCAGAGACTTGTTCGTGCGTCGTCCTTGCTGTCCAGGTGCATTTGGAAGGTGAGGTTGCGGCAGTAGCAGCTGCCGGTGAGGTCGATGGGTTGAGATTGGGAGGACATGGTCGATGCTGATGAGGCGGTGCGTGTCGTTAGAGTCGGCTTAGAGAGATTCGATGAGGAACTGGGAATGGGAGAGAAGCTGTTGACTTGCAGCGGCCGGTGTTGCGATGTGAAGCTCACTTGCGGGTGTCGATGTGACGTCACTTGCACCAATGGGGTAAGGTGTAGGTGGGATGTAGTTGCCCTACTGTATACATTGGGAGGACGTAGACGAGGCCAATAGTTGAGAGAGAAAGTGCGCATGACTGTCGCATTTCGCGCTGAGAGCTATAGCTAACGGGAAAGAGTGATGTTCTGGTCTTCGGAAAGGTCTAGGTGCTCAATTCGTCAGAGGGAAAACCGATTGCTGTAGCAGGCTCCCCAAGGCTTAGCGTTCTGTATTTTACTGTGCACTTGGTAGCCGGGACCTCTAGGTTGCGGTCCATATGACTTGACCTTAGTTCCTGATTTCTAGAAGGCCTTTCGACTAGACATATCAATGCTAGTCCACTGTCGTGCTATAGGTACATGGCACGCCTCCGGGCGATGGGGAGAACACTGGGACACAGAGGCAGCGTTGGAATTGACGGTTTGGTGGGTTATAGCATTAGTGATAATAGTTTGGTGATAATTCGTGTACAAGCCCGTATACACTAGACATTACGAATATGCATACAAATATGGTAACAGGAACATACTAGATGCCTGGACGTGAAGTCTGTGACAGATCCAAGGGAAACATGCCGAAGCGGAGGATGAAATGCGTACAAGAAGATGACTCCATCACATCAGGAGGAGGAAGTAGATCGGTCGTGCGGAAATGCCTGCTGGAAACAAATCTGAGGAACAAATTTGAGGAATCGAGGCGAAATAACGCTCGCGAAACGGCGGGGTATAGAGAACGATAAAAGCGCAACGGTTGAAAAAAAATCGGGGTATAGTGCAGAACGTAGTGATGCAAATCAGGCCCGCCGACAGTCTAGATTAGAACTCGAAACGTTTCGAAGAGAAAAAAGAATGAACGTCACTGCTTCCCTCACATCATCATCATGAGCCTGGTCCTCCTCTTCTGAAGGTTGTTATTCAGGAACCGGTTATTCGGCCCAGGGGCCAGCGACGACATGCTCTTCTGGACGGCATATGCGTGCCGCTCGCAATATGCCTTTCCGTTGACTTCGTAGTAGTCATCCCGGAGGATGACACGGCATGTCAAACAGGTGAAGCATCTCGGGTGGAACTTGTGGCGCTGATCCGTCTCCAGATATTGCCCCTCTATGCCGCGGTTGCACGTTCTGCAGAGCGAGCCGTTGAGCTCGTGGTAGTGCTGCTCGCAGTAAGGCGAGTTATCGAAGACGTAGAATTCTGCGCTTGGAAACGGTGAACGGCAAGTCTTGCAAACGAAGCATTGCTTGTGATATCGTCCAGTAAGACGGCCGGAAGAATCTTTTACGGATTTGCCAATAATGGGCTCTGCGCATCCTCGACACTTTCCACGGCCCGTTCCAGTGGGGCGTTTCTCGGTACGCGTTACTGGTTCAGGCTCCGGAGCCTTCTGGTGCGATTTAGGGGCGTTCGGCGCGTTTGTCGTTGGCGTACTCCCAAGGAATTTCTCCAGTGGACTTGGCGGATCCCGATATAAATGGCCATGCTGAATAGCTGGGTCTAGGGGGGACTCGGGGACTTCGATGGAAAATGTGCCCGGCCGGGGCAATGGGGCGGGGTTTGGTGCCATATTGTACGTCGGTGCTCCGGGATATCTCGGTGCTCCAGGGTATGTCGGCGCCCCGGGATATCTTTCTGGTATCGGTTTCGGCGGAGTCCGTGGGTCCATGAAGGACTCTGGACTCGCAACTCGTGGGATAGATTCATCGTTCGGAAAGACACCGTTTTCAGTTTTCGATACGTTGCGCGAATGTGGTCCCGAATCCACGGATGTAGCGGGGCTAGAACGTGAACTCGCTGCGCTGACCATGCCGTCGCTGGAGAAAGATCCGTGAGATAGGCCAGAATCCGAGGGGGTATGGAGAGTGTTTGAGGTCACATGTTTTCCGTGCGTCTTGATTGGAGGAAGCGAAGGAGACTCATTGTAGGATGCACTAGGGCTCACGGACCTAGGATTCAAGGTTGACGAGTTTTCTGCAGACGGTGACAAGAGGCCAGATTGCAATGGCCGTCTTCGCGGGGCAACATCATCACCGACCTCTCCGTTCTCCTGCCGGCCAGGAAAGGACCGTGACCGTCGTTTGAAACCTTTATTTGGAAATTCGATAGTCTCCTTTTGGAGGCGGGTCAAGAAAGCTTCGATTCCTTCCGATTGTGATTCATCGTGTTGGGAAACCAATGGAGGCATTGGCGGTATGGGATCTAGATCTTGCTTTTGACTGCCGCCGCGACCGGAGAACGTGGAACTTCGGGATCGATTCGAATACAACGAACTCCTCGGATCGGCCGCTGCGGGATTGCTCTTGGTACTGGCTTGCGTCGCTGACCTCTTATGTCCAGGCTGCGCCTCCTTTGGTCCAGGAGTATTCCGTCCATCCGAGGTTGACGGCCTGCGATCCCCTTCCCTCCCATCGAAAGGCCCAGGAGCAATTGTGTCCATCCGCTTCGCGATATTTTCACCGGCATTCATACGTGGGCTCAACGGTGCATACAACGGGCTGGCTTCGGCGTACCGAGGATGAGGATCGAGTTTATCTCTGTGTCGTGATTTCCCCCTCTTGACGGCACCGGAAGTGGGAAACGGCGGAAAGGCACAATCCATGTTCAATGGGAGATCTGGAGATGGTGGATTATACGCTCGTGGCATAGGACTAGTTGCGCTTCGATTCATTTTGAAGGGTGGCCTTCCTCGAGCTGGCGACAAGGGAGAGGGCGCACTGGGGTCATTGTAACTGCTGGCGGATGACGGCGAGAGAAAGGGTCTATCTGGTCGGCGTCAGCGCAAGGATGCCACACTGTCCACTGTGACCTACTGGCGGCGGATGGATTTATCCTAGGCGGTGGAGGCATGCGACCAGTTCGTTGCTGGCCCATCGGTTTGTTTTCAGTCGACGGACCAAACGTGGCAGCTCGGTCAAGCCTCGGGGGCGCATTGCTCTCTTTGCATTCGAGTCAACGTCTGCTCATCGAAGTGGGATCATAAAAGTATTCATAACTTACTTGCTGGTGATGGAGCACAGACATGATCAGCCAGCTGGGAGATGTCAATATCCACAGAGCAAGTCGAACACTTGATGGTAGGCAGGAAGCTCATGCGGTCGGTGTTGGCCATGGCGGCCCGCTCGTGAGCAAGAGGCCCTAATTGTGTAACTCTGCAAGGTCGGTCGGGCTTTGAGGTAGCAACATAGGGGGTTCGTGATGATTTCGAGGAGGTTCTGCGAGGCTTGAACAGGTACCGTTACTGCGAGACGGAGCGGAAGAGAAAGAGACGGCTCTGCGGGAAGGTGGATCTGGGGAGGACAATGCACGAGAGCTAACCCGATCTGCAAAAGCGGTACGGCAGCTGGTCTGGGACGGTTTGACCCGGAGATGAAGCTGAAATTGGGACGAGAGTCGGAGAGTGAAGAGGTTGGCGGGAAGATGGGGGTAAGAATTCCAACAAGAGGCAAGTCGCTTGGATAGGTCCGAGATCAACAAGCCGGCTGGCCAGGGTCTTCATCGGACTGCCAAACAAGGCTGACAAAGTTGGATGTTTTGCAGTAATTGAGGGTCAATATCGAAGGAAATTCGAGCAAGGCGACCACAGATGGGGATAAAATTCGGCATCGAGGACACGAGACAATCAACAAAAGGAGGAGAGAGCATGAGCAGCCACAACAGACGAGCTGCAGTTGGAGGGAACAGGTGCCCTGCAAGTCAACCCGCGCTTGTTCCTGGCCGCGGCGTTGAAGGCTGATGGCCCTGGCAACCGTGATTCGATGGACTTTGAAGATTTGCTAGGGGTGGTGTTATTGGAGCGGTAAGATGCATCTGCGACGGCACCTGTTCCCTCGGCCAATAGGATACTGGCATGGTGACTTTTGATACCGATGGCCTTGGTCGGCTCCGTCTCGTCAAGCGTCGCAGAGCGTCGCAGGCGCCTGAAAAGAAGTGGAAAAGCCATCGAAGGCGCCGCGGGCTGTGAGGGCTCACTGCCTGGCACCAATAATGCCACAAAGTATTCGAGTTTGAGGAGAGCTGGACAGGGGAAGTCATTCGGCGTGATGGGTACTGCCAAGGGTGAGAGCGAGCGCGCGCTGCAGCCGCCCTGGTCAGGAGAAGTCGAGGTGAGTGGATGATGGTGAAGAAGTGCTGAATCATCATTGGACGATCTGCTTGCTGATGGTGAACAACCGTGGCCACGAGCTCGGTGCAACAGAACAGTGACAGTGACACCAAGAGATCCTTGACGGGATTCGACAGGGGAGGAGAAAGGGTTAGGGTTTGGACGCATCGGGAATAATGGCAGCCCGTGTCCGAAAAGGGGTCCACGGCTCTGATGAGGACGGCACGCCACGCGGGGGAAGCCAGATTGAATCGGTACTCGTAGGGACCGCTACCGCTTCCGTGATGGTGACGCGAGAGAATGGATATGGAAAAGACGGCGACGCTCACAGACGATGCGTGCAAGATCTATCGTAGGCCGTTTGCCTGACAAAAGTTGTCGCTTGTGGGGAGAAAGGAGAGAGAGAAGAGGTTCCTCGCTGGCAACCACCTGGGCACCACATCTAGGAGAGATAACCTTACCGAAAGCGGCTAGCGTGCTTACCTGGATGGAGGGGTGGATGGAGGGGTAGACTGGAAGGAGGGGCCCGGCAACGATGACTTTGGCGAACAGAGCATGATTATTATTTGCCGCAACCATTATTGATCCATTTGGACGCTGATGCCCAGAAATACCAGAGTACTTCTGAGTACTTGTACAATACCGTGGATATGCATGGATCGAGATCCAGCACACACGGCGCTGGGTAGCCCCCCGACTTCCGGCCGCTACCCTTGTCCCCTCATGCCGTGTTTGCTGCTGCTGCCCCTCAACACCGCTCGGCCAGCCAAGCGTGGGGCACTCCAATACTGAACTGTGTGCTGTGTGCTGTGCACTCCCTACTATACCATGTACCGAGTACAGCAACACGTACCGCCACACACTGGCTGACAACTGTCTGTGGAGGACCGGAGGGGGGGTTCCGGTCCACCCAATAAATAGGACAAGATCGAGCGTCACCGCCGTCTGCGACCAACTCCAGAATCAGAGCTTTGTCCAGTGATGGTACTAGTAGTGGCCCCCAGCTCCTGGCCTGTAGTAAGTCACCATGCCGCCCTCTAGCTCCAACAAAAGTGGAGTATCAAGGCAAAAGGCGGTGGACCGACAAAACAGCGCAATCGCAGGGTCGCTAAGGCCCAGAGGCCGTGATGGGCTAGTGGGAAGAGAGTAGCGAAATATCCTATCTATATAACATCCCACTTGTACCCCTCTTCCCTCCCTCCCTCTCTCCTCCCACCACAACTTCACTTCCACCAGCGTGCTCCGCAATCCATCAGCTCGTCCCCAGCCCTTCAAAGGGAAAAAAACACTTCTCTTCCACTAGTACCCGGGCAAGGCAATTGCCCAGCTAGTCAAGACGTTTTCCAATCTCCTCAACTCGTATGTCACCACCCCAGAATGAACTACAAGAGACCGTTGCTCACTCCTTGACAGCGTCCACCACCCCTTCGCAGGCCGACGCTCCGCTCCCTCGGGCGCAGCATCGGACTTGGACTATCGCAATTAACGTCGCTCGGTCCATCAGCCATCTCTAAATACCTCAATCACCAACAATGGCTCCTCACGCCGACAACACCAACGGCTTTGCGAATGGGGTGGTGGAAACCCAGAAAAAGGACCTCTTCACCGTCAACTCTCCCAATGTCCACTACACCGATGATTTCATCAACACAAAGTACACCTACCGTACCACGGCCGTGACCCAGGGTGCCGACGGCAAGTATGTCGCCGCTCCCAAAGAGACCTTGTACGACTTCAAGGTCGACCGCAAGATCCCCAAGGTCGGCGTCATGCTCGTAGGCTGGGGCGGCAACAACGGCTCCACCGTTACCGCCGGTATCATTGCCAACCGTCGCGGCCTGGTTTGGGAGACCAAAGAGGGCAAGCGCGCTGCCAACTACTATGGCTCCGTCATCATGGGCTCCACCACCAAGCTCGGCACCGACAGCAAGACTGGCAAGGAGATTAACATCCCCTTCCATGACCTTCTGCCCATGGTGCACCCCAACGACCTGGTCATTGGCGGCTGGGACATCAGCGGCATGAACCTCGCCGATGCCATGGACCGCGCCAAGGTCCTCGAGCCCTCCCTCAAGGCTCTGGTCCGCAAGGAGATGGCTTCCATGAAGCCGCTTCCCAGTATCTACTACCCGGACTTCATCGCCGCCAACCAGGAAGAGCGTGCTGACAACATCGTTCCTGGCACCAAGGCCTCCTGGGATCATGTTGAGCAGATCCGCAAGGACATTCGGTAAGCCTTCGCAGCAGACCCCATATGGCTAATGTCTAACATATCTCTCAGCGACTTCAAGGCCAGCAATGGCCTCGACAAGGTCATCGTTCAGTGGACCGCCAACACTGAGCGCTATGCCGATATCTTGGAGGGCGTCAACGACACTGCCGATAACCTCCTTCAGGCTATCAAGTCGGGACATGAGGAAGTCTCTCCCTCCACTGTCTTTGCGGTTGCGTCCATCCTGGAGAATGCGCCCTTCATCAACGGTTCCCCCCAGAACACCTTCGTTCCGGGCGCCATCCAGCTCGCCGAGAAGCACGGCGCCTTCATCGGTGGTGATGACTTCAAGTCTGGTCAGACCAAGATGAAGTCCGCGCTGGTCGACTTCTTGATCAATGCTGGTATCAAGCTCACCTCCATTGCCAGCTACAACCATCTCGGGAACAACGACGGCATGAACTTGAGCTCCCAGAAGCAGTTCCGCTCCAAGGAGATCTCCAAGTCCAACGTCGTCGACGACATGGTCGCTGCCAACACCGTCCTGTACAAGGAGGGCGAGCACCCAGACCACACCGTCGTCATCAAGTACATGCCTGCTGTCGGAGACGACAAGCGTGCTCTTGATGAGTACTATGCCGAGATCTTCCTGGGCGGCCACCAGACCATCAGCATCTTCAATGTCTGCGAGGACTCCCTTCTGGCCTCTCCCTTGATCATCGACTTGGTCCTCGTTACCGAGATGATGACTCGTATCCAGTGGAAGGCCCACAGCGCTGAGAGCGCCGATGCCAAGTACAGCGGCTTCCACAGCGTGCTCAGCATCCTCAGCTACATGCTCAAGGTATGTCATGATCTATTCTGATTTGTGACTGTCCGCTGACTATCTCAGGCTCCCCTCACTCCTCCGGGCACTCCCGTCATCAATGCCCTCGCTAAGCAGCGTGCTGCTCTGACCAACATCTTCCGCGCCTGTGTCGGCCTTGAGCCTGAGAACGACATGACCTTGGAGCACAAGCTCTTCTAGGTCTGCTGAGTCTCAGTTGCTCAATGATCCGACAATGGCCGGTGGAGATGTGGAACGTGCGGGAATATTAGTCTGGTGCTTGCCCTGAGCTTCATTGAGACGTGCTAGATACACTCCTTAGGTTGTCGCCTACCGACAGCAGCATTTACTAGCGAACGCTTCTCTCTAAACCTAGTTGCCTTGCGTTGCCCGGGTCTCTGCTGTTCAGTGGACCATTGTGTTGTGTGGTCGTGCCGTCCTCTTCTCTCACCCGGCTTGCAGGTCGTCCCTTCCTATCCTGTCTTCCCCACTACCCACCCACCCCGCCCTCCTTCGCACTCACACTTCATTCCTGCACAAACCGTGTCTGTCCAGAGCCGTCGTCACATAGCACTTGTTCCCTCCTCTGCATTCTCTCGTTCACTCTATCAATCTTTCTGCGTCACTGAGAGCCGCCGATGCCCCCTTACAACCCATCGATACAGTCCTTCTTCTCATCATCTCCGTCGCGGCCAACCGCCAGCCAGCTGCCACCATCCAGTCCATCCGTGGGAGAGGGTGTTGACACAATGAGTCGCAACAGCGTCGGAGATGGATTTACTGAGGCCGAGCTGAGCACCGTCATGCAACCATCCGCATCATCGTGGTCGCCGAGCGAAGAATACGATCAAATGGAAATTGGATCTATAGATATCGGCCCTCGATATGTCACATTCAAAGGCAGGATCGTGCACATATACGACCAGCCGAGAGTATCGAACAAGGCAAATGGAATGGTGAAACCGCTAGAATCTAAAGGCTGCTTGAAGCTGATCGTTGCTGACGATACCGGAGCCGTGACCGTAAGTCATCGCTCTGCATGTATATTCTGGTCTAAAACGCGGAGCTGAGCAGGTCCGTCTATGGTACGCTCAAGTCCGGTACAATCCTCATCTCGGACAGGTCGTCACTGTGTGGACGGTGCATATCTCGCATGGCACGAAGTCGTATCTTACTTCGAGGCCGGCCCCTTATTTTACGTCCATTTTCCCCGAGCGAGAGCGATGTTGTCATATAATCTTCCACGAAAGTACCGAAGACGACGGAAACTGCTACAGGCATCCGTACGGGTGCAGTGGTACCGAGCTGGTACCTGGGCTTATGACTCTCCGGGAGTTTACAAATGGAGGGTATGATGTTGAAGAAGCGAAACTGCTAGTTTGCGTCAAGAGCATTGGTGCGCGTAGTATGTCTTCACAGTGCCGCCATTCTCATCATCGCACCGGCTTACTGCTGCTCCAGCAACCCGAGGGAGCCGTGGGAAATCCGGACGCTCATACGAGATGATCAATATCCGGGTCTTCGATGACACGGCCGAAGCAGTTCTCACGTTGTACGACATTGTATGCCATTCAGCGTCGAACTGGCAACCATCGCACACCATACTGCTCATCTCAGAGCCAAAATGGAGTATCGACAACATCGCGAAACTTTCAGTCAATGCAAATACGAGAATCGACGTGAACCCGCACATGGCTGATGCGCAGTGGCTGCGGGCAATGGCCCAGAGGTTGACGAAGAGGGAGCATGTCAACCCGCCGTTTCCGGTTGGAGGTAGGCCTCGTAATGTTGCGTTGCTTCCCGCTTTGAGGCTGATGAAGAGGAGTCTTCGACGTTGAAGCTGTAGAGACGGCTCCTGTCCGAATGTTGTACACTCTGGCGGAAATCGATGAGTTGTAAGGGATTCGCTGGTTTTGCTAGCATTTGTAATGTGACTGACTGGACTACAGTGCGCGAGGTAATCCGAAAGGTTTGCATTCAGTCTAGTGAGGGTGACGGTAATGTGAGGACATGCCACTGATTCCTCGACAGAGCGATTCATGGGCTATATAAGTGTCGTCCTTACCGAGTTGAAGTTCGTCATCAACTTCAAGCGAAATATGCTTATGAGCACCGAGTGGTATGTTCATATTCAAGCAAATGGCAGTTCTCGGCATCAAAAAGCTGAGGTTTCTCAAAGTTGCGGCAATCCCATCTATGCGAATTCTCTAACAGCCCAATGCACACGCTGCGAGAAACAAGTCCCATTACGCATCAACCCCAGAATCGTACGTCAATCGCTCCCTGACTCGAGCATATAGAGTCAATACTGTTTTTTCGTCAGAGTACGTCTAACATAGCGGCAGATCGGCCCCGTCATCGACGAGACGGGACAGGTAGCGAGCGGAAAGCTTATCTTCTCGGACGAAGCATGGCGACAGTTGCTGGGTCGGACGCCCGCGCAGCTGCTTCGTGATGACGTCCAAGTGCTATCTTTTATGGAGCAGAGAATGCTGTTCTTGCGTGTCACCATGGGGTTCGCCTGGTGTGCAGATGGGACAGCGCCGGGACCGGCGGAAGGGGAAAGAGTGACGCTGCCATTTGAGCGGAAGAGGAAGAGGTTGGATGTTTTTGGGGAGGCGGCGACGGGCAAAGGGAAGGGGAAGGGGAAGGAGAAGGAGAAGGGCAAGTCGGATGAGAAAGAAGATGCGAAGACGAGGCCTGGCGGTCAGAAGGAGAAGAGCGAAGAGATGACGGGCGGGGTGGGTGAAGTGGGCCGGTTGTGTATCTGGTGTGTTAAGATGTGAGGGCAGCTCAAAGGGCGGAAATGTGTTGTGTTATGTGGAATAGGGGAATTATAGACGATGTCTGCGTCAGCTAGCTGGGAGATCAACTCGGACTAGCCCTCTGTCGTGGAAAACGATGAAAGAGTTAGGTTTAAGGATACCAACAAGAATATATGGACATTTCATTCCTGGCAAGGTGCTGCAGACCGCATGCAAGGGGCTTCGACGGAAAATGCATCGATTCCGGCATAGTTAAGGTTACGAGCTTCATTGAAAAACGTGAAATTCATTTCTATTCATACGCGCAAAAGCATTTTCTACGCAGCATACGGTATTGCTGTGCTCGTAAGCACAGTCTCAAAAAGTAAATGAAATCGCCTTCTTCCTTCTAACCCCTTTCGCCAGACTCCCGTCCTCCCCACCACCCTCTTCCCTCCACTTCCATCTAGATGAGCTGCTGGAAGGCGCGGTTGAGGGGAGAGCGGAGCGGCTTGACATCCTTGTAGAAATCAATGGTAGCCACGGCACGCTTGGCGATGCCCTCGGGAGTGAACTCGAATTTCTGCAAACACAGTCAGTCAATGGTCTGCGATTGTCGCTCATGCATAAAGTGTCATCCACATACCTTGTACACCTCCTTGTATGGACCGGAAGCGCCGAACCTGTTGAGGCCGAACTGCTCGTGAGAGTACTTCTCCCAGCCAAGGGTGGACATGACCTCGACGCTGAGCGCGGGGATGCCGTCGGGGATGACGGAGAGCTTGTACTCCTTGTCCTGGACATCGAAAACCTCAACGCAGGGCAGCGAGGCAACGCGGGCAGTGATGCCCTGTTCCTTGAGCGTCTTGACGGCCTCGAGGCAGAGCGAGACCTCCGAACCGGTCGAGACGAGAGTGATCTGGGCGTCCTTGTTCTCCAGGACGACGTAGCCACCCTTGATGGCCTTCTCGATCGTTGAGCCCTCGAGCTGGGGAAGGTTCTGGCGGGTGAGAGCGAGAATGGAGGGGGTGCTCTTCGAGGTCAGAGCCATGTAGTAGGCAGCGGACGTCTCGTTGCCATCAGCCGGACGCCAAACCATCATGTTAGGCAGAGCACGGAAGTGCGCAAGGGTCTCGATAGGCTGGTGAGTCGGTCCGTCCTCTCCGAGACCAATGGAGTCGTGTGTCGCGACGTAGATGACGCGCTGATGTGAGAGAGATGACAGGCGGACAGCACCTGCGGCGTAGGAGACGAAGTTGAGGAAGGTTCCACCAGCGGGGATGATGGTGCCGTATGCGGACAAACCGTTCATGATGGCGGCCATGGCATGCTCACGCACACCGTACCTGAGATAGCGACCGGTCCAGTCACCAATGCCCAGGTTAGGAGGCTGGAAGTCAACAGCGTTCTTCCAGCGGGTGTTGTTGGAGCCCGTCAAATCTGCGGAACCGGAGAGCAGCTCGGGGATGACGTCGTGGATGGCCTCCAACACGGTCTCGGACAGCTTCCTGGATGCAACGGCAGGATCAGTGGGCTTGTATGTGGGGAGCTTGTTCTGCCAGCCTTCGGGCAGGTCACGCGTTAACCGCCGTGCCAGGTCCTTGTGCAGATCAGGGAACTCCTTGCCGTACTTCTCGAACAGCTGGTTCCACTCTTGCTCAGCAGCAGCACCCTCGGCGGCGTGCTTGTGGTACATGTCGTAGACTTCCTGGGGCACGACGAAGCTCTTCTCGGGGTCGAAGCCGAACTTCTCCTTCGCTTGCTTGGCGTCATCGGCCTTGAGGGGGTTGCCGTGCACGCCACCGGTACCTGCGAGCTTGGAGCCGAAGCCAATGGTGGTGGTCAGCTTGATGACTGAGGGCTTGTCCTTGACCTCCTTGGCCTTGCGGATGGCCTCCTCGATGGCCTCCAAATCGTGATCACCGTCCTCGACGTGCTGGGTGTGCCAGCCATATGCCTCGAACCGCTTCATGACGTCTTCTGTGAATGCGCACTTGGTATCACCGTCTAGCAGTTGTTAGTGTTCGCTCTCCCTGGCCCGAAATGGCACTGCTCACCAATGGAGATGTGGTTATCGTCGTAGATGGCAATCAGGTTGCCGAGCTGCAAGTGGCCAGCCGTAGAGGCGGCCTCGCTGGCAACGCCCTCCATGGCGCAGCCATCGCCGAAGAAGACATAGGTGTGGTTGTTGATGAGGTCATAGCCGGGCTTGTTGAAGACAGCGGCGGTGTGCTGTTGAGCAATGGCAAGACCAACAGCATTGGCGAAACCTTGGCCGAGAGGGCCGGTGGTGACCTCAATACCAGGGGTATCATGGGACTCGGGATGGCCCGGGGTGATGCTGTCAACTTGCTGCAGAGACAGTCAGTGAATGGGAAATGGAGAGGTCGCTGGTGGCTTACGCGGAAGTTCTTCAAGTCGTCCATGGTCACGTCATAGCCGAAGAGGTGGAGAAGAGCATACTGAAGCATGCATCCGTGGCCGTTGCTGAACAAGCGGTTAGCCTCTCAGTGTGCTCGGAACGAGGCGATTGGGCCCAAGGTGCAAAAGTTATGGTGATTAGGAGAGAGGAGCCGACATACGAAAGAACGAAACGATCGCGGTTGACCCATTCGGGGTTCTTTGGGTTGAAGGTCATGAACTTGTTGAAGAGGACATGGGCCACTGGAGCCATGCCCATAGGGGCGCCGGGATGGCCGGAGTTGGCCTTGGAGGTAGCATCGATCTTTGAAACGAGTATGATTAGCAATTGAACTCATCATGCACGAGAACAGCAGGTCTGTGAGGCTGAGGGTTGCGGAAAGCTGTCCAGGAGGGGCTGTTGTTGAGGGTGACGAAGGTGGGGTTGAGGGCAGCGGGCCGGTTCCACTTACCGCAAGCGTGCGGATCGTGTTGATGGCGAGCTCATCCGTCTTAGTATACGGCATGATGGGCGAGATGTGAGTGAATGAAGGGGGAAGGGGTGAACGAGAGGGTGTTGAAGAAAAAAAAAGTCAGGGCAGGAGAGATGGGCGCGGGCGGTTTTAGGGCGGCGACGTGCAAAGCATGACGGCCCGTCTGCGGCAGGAATGGTGGAAGATATCTGTGGTGGGGGGGCAACGCCGACCCCACCAGTTGGACTAGGTGCTCCGCGCTTCGGAACCGGAGAAGGTCAACCACTGCCACTACTCCCGCCGCTGGCACTCATTATTAACAAGTATTGCCCCTTACTTTTCTGCAATCATCCCAATCAGCAACCCCAGCCTTCTGTCGTCCGCACCGTCGCTGGCACACCGAAGACGAGCCCGACTGGAGGGCATTGTGTGCCTGAATCAATGATGACAAAGCCTGACGCAGGACCTATATGCATAGTCAACTGGTGAAGGTCCGACAACTCACGTGATTTCTTATCTGCCACCGGGTGAAAGAGCTAGTACACTGGATGTGTGTCGCAGTCTCTGTAAATACTATTCAGACCATTGACCCGGATTTGCCGTCTTGAGACGTCTGATATACAAAATTTCTATCTGCCTTAGCCTAATGCCTGTCCATGGCTACCCCTCAGCCCTGCCACCAACGCCGCGCTAACGAATGGAAGAGGTCCGGCTGCACCTAGACGACGCCTATGATACAATAATAATCACGGGAACGGAAAGAATAGAAAAAATCGAAGAAAGAACGGAGAGGAAGGCATCCAAAATGGCCATACCGTCGTGACTCTATACGTGGAAGCCCAAGAATTACAAGTGAAATGACAGAATAACAGCGGAAGAGAAAGGGAGCCTTCATGTAACCGGCTTGGTATAACTCACATCGAGGAAAAGGTCCTCTCCATGGCGCTTCGGCGTTAGGTTTGGCACCCACGCTGGGCTTTTGGGCACCGTCTCAACCTCCCCATGCCGAACGCTGTCCACCGCCCTGACCGCCTCCAAACCGTACATCGCAGGACTTCTCAGCTCGTTCCCGCTCTGGACCCGCGTCCGACGACCACGAGGCTGTGTGCGATCGTTGGAAGCGCTTGGATCCCGCGTCTGCATGCTCGCCGTTCGGGTGACTTGCTGGTGGTTTCCGTTGCGGCCCTCGCCATCCGGCCTTTGGACGCTGTCCATTCGCAGCCCATTCTCGAGCTTCAGCGCTTCCCTCTCACCTCGCCGTTTGACAAGCAAAGCAGAAGGCTCCGCGGGACGTCTGAAAGGTGCCTGACCCTGCTGGCTTGTCGGGCTTCCGGGACTCTGGGGACTGCGTGGAACGCGCTGATTCGAAGCCCGGGGGATCTTGGGATACCGCAGAGAGGATATGGGCGATTCCGCCACTGGCGACAGACGAGCGGCATCCGACAACTCCTTGTCCCCGTCGTCCTCCTCAGGCGTGGGATCATTCGAGTCTATACTCTCAAAAGACGTCTGTGATGATATGGAATCGCGCACGTGTGTCGATGTCGATGTCGTCCGAGAAACCGTGCTCGCAGATTTCTTGGGTTTGGGAGCGGCGAGCTGAGGGGCTTCCTTAGGAGTTCTTTGCGCATAATGTGGAGCCGACAGAGTTGGCATGGGCGTATGCTGCCTGAAGTAGTAGTCGGGTATGTAGCCCTCCGTTCCATAACCTGAAGATGCTGCACTTATAGCCCCGGCTTCCTGTGGAGTGGAAGTCGCAGAGATATGTATGGCGGGCGCAAGCATTGCAACTGCTGGGCGAGCTTCCGGTGGAGAAGGGAAGACCTCTGCAAGCGACCTGGAATGTCGAACGGGAATTGCCAGGGACAGGCTAGCTTGTTGAATCGCCTGAGAGCGTATTGCTGGAACTTCTTGCTGCGTCGCAATAGGGGGCAAATGTGCAATCGGCCTGGCCGGTCGGAGCGTACGAATGGGTGGTATCGGTACTGGGGGGGCCGGAAGCAATGCAGAACGTCTATGCCGCGACCGTCCGTCATCTTCCTCAAATACAGTATCCTGACTGAGAACGCTATCTGGACGGCCAGATGCTTCCAGCGTAAAACAAAGCGTTTGCCGTCTTTGTTGCCTCGTATCAGCAGGAAGTGGATGCCGGGGACCATAAGCAGAGGGTCTCTTGTGTTTGTTAGTAGCTTCAGCACTAATAGCCACTCCAATCCCTTCAATAGGGATGGATGCAGAGGAGTCTGTTGACTGGCGAGCCTCACTGCGGCTAGTGACGCGCAACTCTGGTTCTCCCCGACTTGGAAAGGACAAAGGCCCCTCTGTCGCGGTCTCGGGCCCATTTCGTCTTGCTGTTGAAGCCGGGTACCTCAAAAAGGGTCCTTGCCCAGGTGGCTGGCGGAGAGTGAATTGTTTCGGTGGAATGCTCGGCGAGTCAATGACGGGACTGCCTCCAATAGAAAAGCCCGAACTCCGATCTGCTGGGAAAGCAGCACGTTTCTCCTCGTCATACATCATCATTTCGTTCCGTTCCCTTCGTTTCCTAATGAAGATACTAAGCGTCATGAGACCTGTTGCGAGCATAAAGGCCGCCACTACCGCCGCAACTAGACCTGCAATCTGGGCTGGCTTCATTGTTGGTGGAGAGGTCACGGGTGCAGCAGCCCCTGAGATTGTGGGCCGAGAAGACGATGATGTTGCAGCGAGTGTGAAGGAATCAGCAACAATCGTTTCGGGAGTGGGCGAGGGTGGTGTTGATGGGGTGAATGCTGTAGCGGATAGAGGTGGATTAGGCGGAGACGTGGTGGAGCTGGTCACGGTGACAGTGACAGCTGTCTGTGTCTGTGTGACTGCGTCTTCCTGACCGACGCAGACGTTGTATGCTGAAGCCGCTTGGCCGTCGACGATAGGGCAGGATGCATATATACAGGCCAACGCAAGCTCGCCCAGAGAACTTCCAGTGGTGCTATAATGGGAACAGAGACACTTGATGTCGACGGGGGAGGTACATGCAAGCGGGAATTGGGTGAAGAGCGAGGTGCTTAAGCATGTCTGCGCACAGGTTGGCACAAGATGCTCGAGCGAAGTCGGCAAGGGGAGTGAAGTTAATAGGGTTGGATTCGGATTCTGTGCCCAGGCTGATGTTATGGAAGGTAATAGTACGCATAGCCTCGTGAGGTGGCTTAGAAGCATAGTCGTCTAGACGGCTCATGGATGTCAGCAGAGTTTCCGGGAGAAGCGGATTATGGGCTGGAGAACTCACTGAAAACTCTATGAAAACAACATTGGGACGGTGGAGTAAAGGTGCTCCGTCCAGCGGCAGCGTGAAGGAAACGCAAGGAACTCGAAAGAGAGAGAATGACGGAAACTCGTCAGGCAGCTGCCGTGTCAGGATGGGGTCATATCATTGAAAACGGGACACTTTGATAGGGCGCGGCGCTTGGTTGAAGATATGTATTCTAAAGTCGCTTCTGGAACGGAAGTGTTGACGTGTTGGAAGCCCGCATGGGCAGGCGCCGAGGCGTTGCCTGGAGGAGCACGCCCGAGCAAGTGGAAGGAGCTTTAGCGCTCGCAGGATCATGGTGAAGGACTGACCAGACGTTGCTACGCATCCGTGGTGTTGTGATGCAATCCATGGGTGTTGGGCTGAGGGTCAGCAGAGTGGGCGCTTGCGATCAAGTGCGCTAGCCGCATTGGGTGCAGATTAAGCGCCCTCGCCTCCTTCGTGCGCCTCCAGCTGCATGCCTTTTGGCTGTTTGTTGATGAATGAAACCGAAATAGATCTTGGCTCCACCAGTCCTCGGCTCTAGCTGGAGGTGCTCCTTTCTGTCGGTACTCCTACTATTCCCAGTGGCCAGTACTCCGCAGTGGTGTTGCTGGGGTGCATTACAGAATAGCAGCTGGCGGATGCCCCCCTCTCGTCAGTCTTCCTCCCACGACGGTATACCATGGCGCCACTCAGATCAGACTAGTCATACTCGTTTCCTTCTCTCTTTGGACCTTGGAACTGGATTGTTGGAAAGGCACAACAAGTCTTTTTTTCTTGTGTCAGCGCGGGCGGGATCAACCGCTCCGTTGGACGGCTCCAGCAGTTCGGACTGCAGGTGGGAGGCGAGGGCCATGCAGGTAACGAACCTCCGAATCGAGCTCCGCCATCGATCTTGCAGCAGCAGTGCGATACCCTCAACCGTCGAGTATGCGGACTGCAGGTGCTTCGCCAATGCCTCATATTGACCGACAGTGAATGCTGTGCCGTTTGTTCATGTCCGTGAAGGAGGCAGTGCGTCGTTTCCATGTGGTCATTGCAAGATGAAAACCTTTGAGACGTTTCCTCTGACCCGTATACTGCGCAGGCGTCTAAAGATAGCTCGACTTCTTTCTTTCCGCAGTGCATACGTGACCTTCACCAAAAATAATGAGACTGATGAGGAGCAAAGTCCCAGCCTAGCGTTGCCCAAAGTCGATGTGGCAGCCATGGATCGGTAGAGCCGAAAAGAAGAGGCCATGTTGGGCTCGAAGTGAGCGATTGCTGGCGGGCTCGGAGCAGAGCATGTTCAACAACATGATTAGCTCTGGGTTGTACAGGGGTTAGGAGTGTTGCTCTGGACCGAAAATCGGGACATGACGCCTCGCCCGACAGCGTCTTGGGAAAAGAAGACGAGAGGTTCACTCAAGGTGCCAACCGAAAGGTCATTGAGCCCAACATGAGTATATCCCTGGAACGAGGATGTTGTAACGATTAGAAGTAATTTTTCTCGTCTGATCTGTCCTGGTCGAGGGTACGGGAAGGGAGAACTGGAGGGAAGGGCATGAAAGCAGTGAATAAGAAGGGTTCTGTATATAGTTGTAAGGCTGGACTGCTTGAGAGAATTGGAAATTGATAGGAAGCGTGCAGAACGTAGAGAAAAATGCCGACCGCCTTGGTGACGAGCGCGTACATGGTACGCCTTGTTCTCGTACCTAGTATAGGTGCTCTTTCAGGTACCTACGTAGTATTGTCCCTAGCCGCTGATATGCGCGATATGCTTGAATACCTGCTCAGTAGAAGTAGCAGAGAGATGTCGTGGTTTCGTTATCAAACAAGGCCGCACGGTGCAGAAAGTATCGACTTCATCGGCCGCGAGTGATGGACCGGCCCCAGTTATGGTCATGAGTCGGGGAGATGAAGCAGACATGACAAGTCGAAGCACTAAATCTGATGGCGTTCAGAGTTCCACCGAAAAGGGGGGAAATGAATTCACGTGACTTCCATCCGGCCCTCTGTCTGGATCAAACAGGCACTAGCGTAACGGACTGCTCAGATCAACAAGTTGAAATGTGATGGCATGGCATGGCTCGACGTTGCAATGCGGGTTCTTGCCGGAGGGGCTTGTTGAAAGGCCCTTTTTTGCGCGTGGAAACATGATTGTCCTCGCACCAGCAATGTCAGATGTCAGAAGTGAAAGTGCGAATCATCATCCAGCAACAGTTTCCGATTGCATGTTTCATCGGTGCTGGGCAAGGTCCTGCCCGCGGCCCCGCAAATGGCGGCTGGAACCTTTGACAGGCTCGGATTCGTTGATGGTTGGCGCCCCTATTCCAGAGAGCTTCTAGAAGGGGGAGCTCGTCAGCTCGCCGAATGTCATGAGTGATCGCCAAAGCCAGTGGCGAGCATGGAGAGGCGGCATCAAGGTCGTTGCACAGGACCGGTGGTGGAACGAGCCCTCGGGGCGTCTCGTGTGTCTCTCTGTGTTAAACTGTTCGGGGTTACGGATAGGCCTCTGGGGGACGAAACATGGGATGTCGGTGCCGCGGACGAGCTCAAGGTTTCAGACTGCTGATGAGCGCGGCGGGGGCATCAAATGACGGGCAGGAAAACGCAAAACGCGTCGAGGATGCCGAAGGGCGAGTCCGAGGGAGGATTCTGAAAATCCCAATACCCCGTTTTCCCTCTTGATTCTTATTATGGTTAGGTATTCGTCTCGTCCGTGGTGACAAATGCGTGGTTGGAGAAAAGGGTTGGCCGACATGCGAAAAAGCGAGCCAGCCTAGTGTGCCGAAAACGGGCTAGTGTGGAAGTGCCTTGCAAAAACTAAGCCGAATCAGGCCGCACCTTTCACCATCTCACCATCTCTCGCTGCTCAGACCCCCTTTCACATCCCCGGCCAGCCGTCTGATCAGCCAGCAAAAGCCCTCGCCAGCCCGCTCCCACAGCTTCCTTCCCATCATTCAACACCCACCGCCCGCTTCCTGCAACACTGCAACTGTCGGTCCGCCGTCTTCACAGTACAAGAGAGCGGACGAGGTCAGAGCTACTTTAAAGAGCGGCAGACTATCACTTCGGCCCAAGCTACCATCGCCGCCAGCGTCCAGGAACAAACTCCCCGATCCCCGTTTTGTCGGCCAGACCGCCGCTGCCAGCCACCACTCGCTCCCGAGAAGCTGCGAACCACCCCCCTGCCTCAACTGCGAACCCCTTCTCGCACCCCATCCGACCCCATCTGTCAGCCATCCTCCTCCATCAACCCCTTCACCTTTCCACACTCCACACTCCTCCTCTGTCGACTGCCGCAGGAGCGATCCCGCACATTCGACACCGCCTCCTGCCTTTCACTTCACTCCCTTTAACCCCTAGTCCTTGTTGTCGTGAGTTTGCCCCCTGTCCTGGCCTTTTCTTTGCCTCCCTCCCCCCTTCCCATCTACACAGTATTCTCCAACGTCGCCCCATCTCGCCACTGCCCTGTTCTTCTGCGATCCCTCCTGCGAGCCACCTCAATCGCATCGCTTCTCGACATCCTCACCGTCGCCGCCGTCGCATTCGCTACTGACCTTGTCCCTTCCTCAGGTTCGTTATCGACAAGCCTCGCTACTCAACCGAGGTCGCATACTGCATCGCACCCTAATCATCTTTCACCTTCGAACCACAACACCTTCACAATGGGTTGCGGAATGAGCACCGAGGAGAAGGAGGGGAAGCAGAGGAATGAGGAGATTGAGAATCAGCTCAGACGCGACAAGATGCAGCAGCGCAACGAGATCAAGATGCTGTTGCTTGGTGCGTAACCCTCCACCTTCGCCTTCTGATGGTAGAGTCGCATTAACCGAGCACAGGCGCTGGTGAATCCGGCAAGTCTACCATCCTGAAGCAGATGAAGCTCATCAACGAGGGTGGCTACTCTCGCGACGAACGCGAGTCCTTCAGGGAGATCATCTTCAGCAACACGGTCCAGTCGATGCGTGTCATTCTCGAAGCCATGGAGTCGCTCGAGGTGCCCCTTGAGGACCAGCGTGCCGAATACCATGTCCAGACCATCTTCATGCAGCCCGCGCAAATTGAAGGCGACAGCTTGCCCCCGGAGGTCGGCAATGCCATCTCCGTGCTCTGGAAGGACGCCGGAGTGCAGCAATGCTTCCAGCGGTCTCGCGAGTACCAGCTCAATGACTCTGCCAAATAGTCCGTCCCACAACTCGCACTTGCTTGCAAAGACTGACATGCAAAAGTTACTTCGATTCCATCGACCGTATCGCCGCGCCGGATTATATTCCCAATGACCAGGATGTCCTTCGCTCTCGTGTCAAGACCACCGGTATCACCGAAACCACCTTCATCATCGGAGACCTCACATACCGCATGTTCGACGTCGGTGGCCAGCGTTCGGAACGGAAGAAGTGGATACACTGCTTCGAGAACGTCACCACCATCCTCTTCCTGGTCGCTATCTCAGAGTACGATCAGCTGCTGTTCGAGGACGAGACCGTGAATCGTATGCAAGAAGCTCTCACGCTCTTCGACTCCATCTGCAACTCGCGATGGTTCGTGAAGACATCCATCATCCTGTTCTTGAACAAGATCGACAGGTTCAAGGAGAAGCTCCCTGTGAGCCCCATGAAGAACTACTTCCCCGACTACGAAGGTATGGATGGCGGCATGGTAAACGTCCGAAATGCATCGCTGACAGCCTCATAGGTGGTGCCGATTATGCTGCCGCGTGCGACTACATTCTCAACCGATTCGTGTCCCTGAACCAACACGAGACCAAGCAGATCTACACCCATTTCACCTGCGCCACCGACACAATGCAGATCCGCTTCGTTATGGCTGCAGTCAACGGTACGTCCAATATCCATGTACTCTGCTCATTGCTCGGTCCGTATGCTAACGCATCATAGATATCATAATCCAAGAGAACCTTCGTCTGTGCGGTCTGATATAACCATCTCGTTGTGGGGTTCAGTCACGGTTCGGTTCGGCTCGCATGTCATGTCCTTTTGACGAACGACACCATGGTCATGGTGGTGGGAAAACGTATCTCCTTTCTTTAAACCTCCTTCTTCTTTCCCTCCTTCCCGCTATATGTCGTAGAGCGGGCGCCGCTCTTCTTTTCCTTCTAGCGACACACGGATCTCCTTGATAAATACCTGATACCCCCTGGCATCATCACGGCCGGGGCTGGAGGCGGACTTACTCAACGTGTAGCTGAATCGCTCTCTCTCTATCTCTCGCTTTAAGGGTGGCTTCTCTGTATCTTCCGCTTTCCCCTTTCCGTTTCATTTTCCTTCTTCTTCTTCCTCGCCTTGACTTCGAATATCACTTGTATGGGATGAAATGGACATATGGACGTGAATGGTTTGGTTGCGAGTGAGGATGACGTAGACGAGGGAATGGGGGATAGAGGGACGTTGCTGAGCCGCATTCACGGAGCAAAGTTGAAGTTGTAGCCATATACATTTTGTAACTGCACTTGCATTGCACTGTATGTACTGTATTGTAGTTGTCTTTGCTAGGGGGGCCCAAGAAAAAGCTAATGTTGGGTTTGAGTAGTGGTGGGCATGCAACGTAAAGTAGCGTGTATAATTAATTTGTAGCAATCAAGGAAAGGAGTTAGATATCTTTTTGAACTAATTACTGTATAGAGGGCTTCCCTATCTTGTAGTACACATTGGAGAGGCCAGAGTAGGGCTGGAGGTAAGATGGGATAGCGAGAGCTCCACCTACTGTTGCTTCATGTGAAAGTGCATGGATTCCTGGTGTAGATGTTTTGTCCCTCCTGTGTCCATTGGGATAGTCTACGCCGTTACGCCGCGCTCGTATTCGATGCAGGTGGGTGTAGGACGCTGGTTTCCCTGTTTCAACGTTGTTGCACGGTGAGACGGTGTACGACGACGAGGAGGAGGAGGGAGTAGGATATAGGGTAGGTTGTGCAATGCTCGCTTGCATTCACCTTAATGTATTTATCTATACTACCGAGATACGCACACTTGCAAACCTAGCCGAGTACAACTGTACATCATTCATGATCGCTTGAAAAACCGCAATGACAGGCACACGGCATGCATGCAGCATGTTCCGTAGGACGGAGGGCACGACATGACTGTATCCCCTACATAGTGTAGGGAATCTATTTATGGGCCTGAGACGGGAACGGGGAGGGACAATTGACATGAGGGGTGCCAATGGGATTGGTGGACCAGAAGGATTTGATGAACGAGGCGTGCGTGGCGCATCGTTTTGGAAAAGACAGTATACTGTGCAGATAAATATATTCCATTTGCACGTGGTAGTAACTGACTACTCCTCCGTGCGCGAAGTGGATACAGGATAGAATAAAGGCGCCTAGTAACTACATAGACGATATACAAGGCGCCTGGTGAATACATTGATATAGGCGTTAGTGAATATATTGATATACAAGGCGTCTACGTAGTAATCACAGACGATATACAAGGCGTGTCCTGCTCCACCCTACTCAATGGCTCTCCGTACGTTACTCTTGCATCCCACATACTCGTCATACCAGACTAGTAGGGCGTGTCTGGCTGATATCCGCCCTATCGGCACAAGACGCACGTACGTATGCTGGTGGTAGGTACGTATTCATCCAGCGCACTTTCGCGGGCCCTCTGCAGATAAATTCAGAGCATTTCCTGTCTCTGTTGTACTCTTATCCAAAACTGAATCCTCCGCTCCGATAGCGGCGGCGCTGAGCTGAAAAATCTGGCCTGCTGTTGCCGTTGTTGGTGGCCCAAGATAGGTAAGTAGGTCAGTCGTGGGCGGAAATCTCAGCTTGCGGCGTGCCCATCTCCTCGGGTTTTGGGGATGGCGCGGAGAGCGGCGTGCATGCGTATCTAGGTACTTGCACATATCAAGTTGCTGCTACGATATTTAGAAAATGGGGTTTGTAATAGTAAAATGCGCCGAGTGGATCGCCTAATGCTGTTGGTGACATTGAGTAGCGCATCGTGTGGGGTCCTCGGTGGGTTAAGTCTATGTAAGTGCCATATGCGTTTGCTCAAGGGTGTCGAGGAATAGGTGCATGAACAGTGAGTGATCATAAGGGACGACCTCAAATTATATATCATTTGAGGGGAGATTTCGATTCTCGAGGATGCGATGGGTATGCATGCTTTCCAGAAAACGCCCAAGCCCACCTCATAGCAATTAGATACGAGAACCAGAATAAGACGGAACAAGGACATCTTATGCCGCCCACGAAGAAAGAATGCAGACTGAGAAGTAAGAATGCCGCCGGCCAAATCGTAGCGCCTAGGATGCGAGAAGCCAGGGCCAGCTAGCTACATAAAAGGGAAGGAAATTGTTAAAAAAACTGTAATCGTCGCTCATGCGCGGTAGGCAGCCTCGGGTCGAAATAGCCCGTTCTCGTCGCGTTTCAGCAGCGCCAGTCGCCTCGGTGCAGGATCGCCAGCTCTATTCCGCTCAAGATCAAGCTCGAATGCCGTCTTGTCTTGTCTGACGATACGGCTCGGTGCGGCGTCGACGACCATGGGACTCAAGTTGTTGCGATACGCAGGACTTGGTACATGCGCGTATGTTGGACTAGACTCGATGCTGCCACCGTACGACGGACTTTTGGGAGGCACGGGAGGGCGATAGGAGCCGCGGATCGTGGCACCGATTGCCACTGCTATGGTACCGCTTGTCACTGTCGTTATGCCCCTGGTCTCACTGTCAGGTGGGTGACCGTTAACCGCTTTTGTCCTGCTCCTTTGCGCCCGCGAGAAGAGGGGGCGTAGAGTTGGGGCCGAGGCGCAGAGAATCCCAACGTGGACTTCCACCATGCTCCAGATGTGTATTGGGACGATTTCAAAGAAGGGATCCGCAGATCTCGTGAAGATGATCAGGAATTGAAGGCGGAAGCCTGCGGCCGTGACGGTGATGAAGCCGAGGCCAAAGACGCCGAAGAGAGCGAGCTTCTCCTTCAGTGGGCGGGGGATGGAGAGGACGAGCTTCGTTGGGAGAAGAAGGATCCAGACGTCAGTTACGATGTGGAAGATGGAGGCGACTGTTCCCGAGTGTTAGACTGATTTTATTGTGAAAACGGAAAACGGTGGCCACTGACAACGGTAGAAGATGTTGGTGTTAATACATCTGCCCTTTACTGTCCCTGTGAGGTCCCAGGCCTTCTCTATTGGGACACACTGGCCGATGGTGCCAAAGGTGACAACGACCTGAAAAAGGACAACGACAATAAGTGTCCATCGCGATAACTTCTCGAAGGACGGACGGACAGCTATCTGTGGTCAGCTAATGGTTGATAGTTTTCATGGACTCCACCTGCAAGCGTACCGATTCGGAGGTAGAAAAGCAAGATTGATACTTTGGCAAGTGTGAGGACCAACTTATAGGTGACCACGACGGCTATTGTGACCTGAGTTTTGATTGAGTGCCTTTCTAGCAAATAGATTGATTCCATAGCTCATACCTTGATTAAGCCTACCATATCATGTGGAGAAAGGTCCTTTCCACTGAATCCAGCGTTGAACGATTTCGCCTCGATGAGCACTTCCAAGGCGTATCCGAATGCAAAGAACTAGAGCTCCAGGCTTAGATGAGTCGCCGTCAGCAAGGTTGGGCCACGCACCAATGCTGCGATCATGGCCCAGTCGTCGGCCCACATGGTGCCAACAATGTAGGCGCGAGTGAAGACACGCAGACCCACCGCGACCGCTACGAAATAAATGATCAGGGCCTCCCTCCTCCTGCCGTCGGCGGCTAGACGTACCTCCAACAAGCGTCATGGCGACAGTCACAGCAATCATGGTGTTCTGACGCGCCATGATGGCGGCCGGCGCGTACTTGGGATCGGTCCGGTCCATTGGGGTTGTACACGTCCTCCTACAATCTGTCAAGTAGCGGATGGACAAATATGAAGAACGAGTCCTTCAACCAAAGTGATTTTTGCACATTGAATCGCCGTAACAAAGGGTCTCCAGCACAAGGCATGGATCCACGATTGGAGTGCCCAACGGGAGGACATGGCGCCCATTATACCTCGCATATATCTCAGTATTCGTGGGTCAGCGCCCACTGCGGAACCACCATTCCTCTGGTAGCGGTCCCTATCGATCAAACCGTCTGGGCTGGGTCGCTATACCCTTTGGAGACGCGGACCTGGGGATAAGGTTGGGCAGTCCCCCGGCACGAGAGTTCAAGCAGAAATGGTGGGCAGAGCGTCGCTACATCACTTGCATATTCACAAACGTGAGACCGTTCATGGGGTAGAAAGCTACGAGGGTTGCAGCCAAAGGAGTCGAGGTGAGGGTTGAGAGGTAAGAGGTTCGGTTTCAGCGAGAGTCTATGCTTGGCCGGAGTAAAGGCGCTAGGACGAATTCGGAGTAGGTTCATACACTTCGTCGACAGCGGATATTGGATGGATGGGAGAGACACGCTATATAGCCATTGTCAATGCCTGTACGGAGTATTGCGGAAGTGGCTTTTTGCATGTGAGGGGGATAAGGTCGAGGGTGAGGGATGACGCGTGCTGCCCACGCTGTGAAAATCCGACCGAGACGAGGCCTTGGAGGGACTGAGGGTGCTCTCCATCCATTGACCGACGTCGATATTCGTTGAAACTACAGAGCAAGCCTTTGTGAGGCATTGTGCATCATGGCTTGCGAGTTAGTACCAGTAAGCATGAGAGACAATGCCGTAGGTGTGCGTGAGTAGTGCGCAGGGGCTGAGGACTCGTGGTGGTGATTCACGCGGCGAGGTCGACTCTCCATGGTTAATCTAAGCCAGCAGACAGCTGAGAAAAGGTGTGATGTCGAGATGTCTACTATAGTACTAGGCGGAAGTGTCTTCTGTTCCACAGGGAGCCAACCTTGGAAGTAAGCATAGGTATACTAAGTTCGGTAGTAGTGAGCTTCAAGGGGTGCCGCATATGTGGCCTAATGGACCTCTCCGTCCAGGCAAATAACGCCAGATTGGCTCTCAGTAGACGGGATTCGGAAAGCTCGCGGAGTTAGGCGTTTAGTTAGACGTGCGATGTTTACATGACGTTAGACGGACATGCTCAGGCGGGTGTCTGGCGGAGTTGGTGGAAGTCTGTGTCGTAGATGCACGTTGAAGCGTGGCAGTGCAGGAGGTGAGGCGGTGCTGCATGCTTGGCGGTGTATAGACAGCTGTACCCTACACGGCCAGGGATGGGTATGCGAACGGAGCCTAGACCGGACGACGGAGACGAGAGACAATCGAGTTACTTTGGGGAAATATAGCAAGGTATAGCAGAATTGCAGTGCCATCGTTCTTCATTAGGGTTTCGGTGATGACTACCCTACTTCAAGGCTTGATGGTTTGGGCCACGGTCAGTGCTCGAGAGGGATAATCAATTGCGACGCCATAGGGATGCGGCATTTTCTGCTCATCCTAGATTGCGTGTTTACTGTTGAACCACACCCCGAAGGAGGCGGAAGTGGGATTCATATTGGCAGAGACAATGACGACGGCCTGCTTATAGACACATATGTGACTTTCGTCCGATGACGATGACGACGGCGCAGCAGGAGGAGACCGGGCAATGGCCTGGCCCGTGAGAGATTGTGCCAATTTGATGAGGCTGAATCAGAGAAGAAATGAGACTTGTGCCGCAGTGGGCTCAGCAGCTCATCACCCCGACCCATCTGTCCCAAGGGGGCCCTCAGCTCCTAACTATCTATAATTGGATGCGGCTGTTGTCTCGTGAAGATGGTTTTCTGCTCCCTCCTCTTGGTGCTTCACCATCAGAAAAGCATTACCACCCTTGGGGACCCAGAGCACCGCTAAAGACCTACTCCCACAGCGTCCACACTGCGTCGAATGACTACCACTACTCTACCGCCTTTGTCTGTCCAAGAGCACGCGAGCGGCAACACCCGTAGGCACGCGGGGGTTGGATGCGGCACCCATTCTGTTACCTTTCTGAGGCCAATACCTACACAGTACCGGGCCCCCTCTCGCCACTGGGGGCTGCCTGAGGCATCAACCCCTCCCCTTACCTTGACCAAACACAAAATAATCATCAGATATTCGCCGTAGCATTGCGTCAAGGAGCCAATCCAAGCGGCATTCTTGGCTACGTCGTTGCCCAGCAAAACAAGGACAGCCTACCACGCGGGCCCCCCCGCTGCCGCTGCCCCTCCGGCTGTGCTCATCACCATGCAGCGCCCGTCCTTGAAATCCAAGCTGTCCCTCAATGCCCGCTTCAAGAGCTCCTCCACCAACGGCCCCTCCTCCTCGTCCACGAGCATCAACGAGACTGCCAATCCAAGCCCAAAGCGCAGCATGGCCGAATTGAAGCCTGCACTCGTTCTGAAGGCCAATGTTCTCAAGGTAGGTCGGCTGAGCGATGCAGTGCAGCTCCCCCCGTTCCGCATCCAAGCTAACGGTGCGTCTTGTAGGGTAGGAACCTGGCTGCAAAGGACCGCTCAGGCACCTCCGATCCCGTAAGCCTCATCCCGAGCTTCATCATCTGTCACCATGGCTAATCGTGGGTTATCTAGTACCTCGTGCTCACACTCGGCGACGCCAAACAAGCGACTCCCACCATCAACAAAACATTGAACCCAGAATGGAACCAGGTGCTGGACTTCCCCATACTAGGCCAGCAGACCCCCCTCCTTCTGGAGGCATGTTGCTGGGACAAGGACCGCTTTGGCAAGGACTACATGGGCGAGTTTGACGTCATACTCGAGGATGTCTTCCAGAACGGCAGTCCAGTACAGGAACAGCGATGGTACCCCTTGGAGAGCAGACGAACCGGAAGAAAGAAGGCCGTTGTTACTGGCGAGATCCTTGTTCAGTTCTCCCTCGCCGACCCTTCGAATCCCTCTGCAACCCCGGAGCAGATCATGCAAAAGTTCCTGAGCCTGACGGCGTCGACGCCCAGCCCAGACGAGGAGGACGAGGATACACTGCTTCAGCTGGAGAGTGGGGAAAATGATGACCAGGAGGAGGAAGAGGAAGAGAGCTCGGACGAGGCACAGGACGACGCTCTCAAGGCTGAGAACAACGAAAAGCGACGGAAGAAGCTAAGACTAGCCAAGTTAAAAAGAAAAGCTAAGCGGCGAGCGTACGAGTTCTCGGACAAGACCGAAGTGGCGGGCGTTCTCTTCTTGGAGATTGTAAAGATCACCGACCTTCCCCCTGAGCGTAACAGTAAGTCCCCACCTCGGCATTGCAGAACCCGTCTCACCATGCAAAGTGACACGCACATCCTTTGACATGGACCCCTTTGTTGTCACGTCACTAGGCAGGAAGACGTACAGGACCAGAGTCATCAATCATAATCTCAACCCAGTGTTCGAGGAGAAGCTCGTTTTCCAGGTTCTGCAGCATGAGAAGAACTACTCGATGAACTTTACAGTCATGGATCGGGACAAGTTTTCTGGCAACGACTATATTGGCATGGTCAACTTCCCGCTCGAGAAAGCAGTTTCGGTAGCGCCCGAAGCGGATCCTGCGACTGGCTTGTATAAGCTTCCTGACCCGCAGGATACGTCACCCGTCCCCGAGGCCAAAAGATCTCGCTTCCGCCTTCCCATGTCACGCTCATCGTCAACTCACAGCCTGAGTCGCCTGAGGCCTGGATTGAAGAAGGAGGGCTCTGCAAGCTCCCTCTCCACTATAAGCAAGGAGGCGAGTGGTAATTCACTGCCTCCCCCCACGAGCATTCCTGAAATCCCTCCTTCAGAGAACAGCGGATGTGCTACACCTGTCCCAGCTATCAATTTGGATCCCTCGGTTGTGGATGATCAGGATTTGAAGACTTACACACTTCCTCTCGAAATGAAGAACAAAGAACGGTGGGAAGCGAAGCACTGTCCCACTCTTTACATCAGGGCAAAATACCTTCCGTATAAGGCTTTGAGACAGCAGTTTTGGAGAGCCATGCTGAAACAATATGATGCGGATGACAGTGGCCTCGTGGACAAAGTTGAGCTCACAACCATGTTGGATACACTAGGCTCCACCTTGCACGAGTCGACTATTGATGGCTTCTTCAAGAGATTCTTGGCCGAGAACAACAACGAAGAAATCTTGACTTTTGACCAAGCGGTGATTTGCTTGGAAGACCAACTGCAGAGTACTGAGCGCTCGTCCCAAAAGTCCGCCTGGAGTCGGACGATGCAATCAAGTGGTGATCTCACAAGCTCCACCCCAGGTAGCATGACCCCCTCAATGACATCTGAGGCGCTCAACCAAGATCCCACCAGCACGGCAATTCCCACGATTCCCGTCGAGACTCTAGGACAGGAAGGCGAGGAGGGCGACGCATTGTACAAACCAGACGAGCTGGGAGACGAAAAGGAAGAAGAGCACGTTGTTGAGATCCGGGAATGCCCCATCTGCCATCAACCGCGACTGAATAAAAAGTCCGATTCGGATATCATCACCCACGTCGCAACCTGTGCCAGCCAAGATTGGCGTCAGGTGAATAACATCGTCATGGCGGGCTTTGTTACGTCTAGCCAGGCTCAGAGGAAATGGTACACGAAAGTGATTAAACAAATCTCGTACGGTGGGTACAAGCTAGGTGCAAATTCGGCCAACATTCTGGTGCAAGATCGGATTACCGGCCAGATCAATGAGGAGAGGATGAGTGTGTACGTCCGTCTTGGCATTCGTCTTCTGTACAAAGGGCTAAAGGCGAACAACATGGAGAAGAAGAGAAGTGAGTATACCCTTGACAGTGCGGCCAGGCACTCTGCTAACCGCATCAGTCCGTAAGCTACTTCGCTCTCTCAGCTTCAAGCAGGGGAGAAAGTACGACGATCCCGCTTCCGCTGCCGAAATTCCCGGCTTCATCGCTTTCCATCAGCTCGACATGTCTGAAGTGCTCCTTCCCACGTCTGAGTTCAAGACATTCAACGAGTTCTTCTACCGCGCATTGAAACCGGGAGCCCGCCCATGCTCCGCTCCAAATGACCCAAGGGTTGTTGTTTCTCCTGCTGATTGCCGCGCGGTTGTCTTCAACCACATTGAAACAGCGCAGGCAATCTGGGTCAAGGGGCGCGAGTTTACCCTGCAGCGTCTTCTTGGTGATGCGTATCCGGAGGATGCGAAGCGGTATGTCGGAGGGTCTCTGGGTATCTTCCGTCTTGCGCCTCAAGATTACCACCGATTCCACATTCCAGTGGATGGTGTTATGGGCGAACCCAAAACCATTGAAGGTGAATATTACACGGTCAACCCGATGGCAATCCGGTCGGCGCTGGATGTGTACGGCGAAAACGTGCGCGTACTTGTTCCAATTGATTCGGTTGCCCATGGCCGAGTAATGGTCATTTGTGTTGGCGCAATGATGGTCGGTAGCACCATGATCACGCGCCAGGCTGGGGAGCAGGTGAAGAGAGCGGAGGAGCTGGGCTATTTCAAGTTTGGCGGCAGCACTTTACTGCTCCTGTTTGAGCCTGGACAGATGAAGTTTGATGACGATTTGGTCGCCAATTCCAAGGCGGCTTTGGAGACTCTGGTAGGTTGCCTATGCACAGAGGACCTGACGGATTAATGCTAACACTGTTAGATTCGGGTTGGTATGTCCATTGGCCACAGCCCAGAAAGGTCACCACATGTTTCGGATATGCGCAAGGACAACCCGACCCTGGAGGAGAAGCAAGATGCTAAACGCCGTATTGAGGGTAGCTTGGCCCCAGCAGGCGTCCAAGGCCCTATGGCAGGGGCGGGAATGTGAAGATTTGATTGATGGGTACACTAAAAGAGGCACAATTCACGTGTAGTGCCTCTTTGGTCGGATATGTCGGGGTTCTAGCCTCAAGGATGGCATGATAGACACGGACAATATGTGCATGGAGCGAAGCATACTGGATAGCGGCTTGGGAGCTGCTCTCCTTGGCGTTGTTTGTGATTAGCGTGATTGTACCTGAGAATACACATGGTTAGTTTTGGACTGTAGTAGCGTTGCCTCTTGCGTTGAAACAACTTCTCTTTCTTGGCTGCTCAGTTCAGCCGTGCAAACTGCGGGTTGAGGTTACGTGCTAAACCGAAAACGGGAATGGGTTGCTTAGTCAGAGAGTTTGTTTTGGTTCGAGCTGCCCAGGAACCCGCACCCTACAGCAGGACCAACTCCCTCCGCCTTCCGTCCACTCCCCCGCGAAGTCTCCCACTCCGACTGTGCCAGCTATTCACATTATCGCCAATCACTACATTTCGCTCACCTTCGACATATCACGCATATTCTCCGCCGCGTAGTACAAACTCCCCAAGCATCGTCGTCGCGCCTTCCATGCACGCGCTTGACCCCCCGTCCACGAGATCACCAGTATAGCAGCCGGACCCATGACCGCAATTATTGCGAGGAATCCTCTGCAATCGCTACCTACGGCAATGAATCGTCCTACTACGCGACGGAGAAGTCAACAGAACGCTTTTGGAGATGACGATGCGCCCGCTGCGAAGAGACCGAGAACAGAGGTGAATGGGGCAGGGAGGAAAACAAATGGAGCAGCGAAGCCCAGCGCAAAGGCCGGTATGTTATTTGGGTCCTGCGATCCGAGCGCACCATTATTTCATAGAGCCGAGTCATGACGCTCAAGCACCTATGGAGGAGGACGAGAAGCATTGAAGCGCTAACCATGTTCCCAGCGTATAATGAAAATGCCGACGGTTTCCAGTTCACCCGCCGTACGTCTCGGAGGACAACAAGGTCGCAGCACGCAACCGAACCCATACCCGAAGAGCCTGCGAAACCCGCTCCTGCGCCAGCGCGTCGGAAGAAATCGCTCGACGCACCAGAGCCTCCGGAATCAGGACCGCAGAAGAGACGGCGATCCGCGCGGTTATCGGGGGATAGTGAGAATTTAGAGCCGACAAAGCCAGTGGCAAAAGTTGCGAAGAAGAGCGCACCACCAGAAAGGAGAAGGAAGGAGGTCACGCCTGGTGTTGCGCAAAGGGAGACAAGTTCGGCGCCGGTGGTTCAAACTCCCAAGCACGGGGATTTGCATGTTGCCAAGAAGCGCAATGGTGGTGGGACAAAGGTGATGCTCCCTTTTGCGGATACGCCAGTTATTGCGCGGAATAAAGAAATGCGGAAAGCCAGCCAGGAGGGACATCGTAGGAGCAGTACAGGGTTGCGAGGGAGAAGAGCAAGTTCCTTGATTGATAGTGGCCTGTCGATAGGTGAGTTGAAGCCCAGCAAGTATGCGGTTGTATACAGTGATTCAAAGTGCTTGCGATGAAATTGCGACTGACATTTGTAGCACTACCTCATTCCGATGTCGAAATCGGCGATTTCTACAAGTATATTGAGGATGGTCTCATGGAGCAGCGCCGAATGGCCCAGTTGTTGAGTTGGTGTAGCTCAAGAGCACTGTTGGAGAAGCCATCAGGCGATGTGAAGGATGGAAATGCCATCATGGCAGGTAAGTCTTGCTTCCAGAGAAGCTTGTGACCAGCACTGACGTGATACTCAGCACGAGCAATGCAAGAAGAACTAATAAACGAGTTCGGAAGCAAGCCAGAACTTTCCAATTGGTTCGACAGGGTACGTCACGCACTCCAGTTATCTCATTGGAACATTCTTACATCGCTCTGCAGGAGGAAACCGTGCCAACAACTGTGGTAAAGAAGTCGAACCCAGTTAATGAAAGGAACCAGGCTACATTGAAGGAGCTGGAAGACGAAGTGCAGCGGTATGGATACCATCAAGCTTTGCACCATCAACCTTTGTGCCACCCTCACTGACCGATATCTACAGGCTTGAGGAGGAATTAGCGGCATGGGAAGCAATTGCTTCATCATCATCGCAACCGCCCCCACCCGCTCCTTCGATACCCACGCCATTCCCAACCCTCTCAGACATCGATGTCTCTCTTCTAGACCCCTCACAAGCCGCTATACTCTCCGCATTACAATCGCAATCCCTACCCAAGCCGTCTGAACCCGCACAACCACCGTCTGGTCCCTTCACATTCACGACTCCTGAAGCCTTAGGAACCCATCTCTCCCAGCTTTCCCTATCCCTGGAACCGAACATCGACCTCCTTGCAGACGGTTTGCATAAGGTTGAGCAGTACAGAATCACAGCAGAACGTGTCGCAGACCGCGTACTCGGAACCGCAGCACAACGGCTCGAAGAGAGGGACAAGCAAGGCAAGGAGATGGCGGGAAGTGAAGGCATTGGCATAGGCGACGTGCTCAAGGGCCTTGCAGGAGTTCTTAATGAATGAATAGTCCCCTCGGAGGCGAATCATAATGGATCCATCTTTTGGCAAACGTTATGCCACGCGGCTAGACCGGTGTCTTCTTCTTCTACGAATCAGAATGATATATGTGGAGTACTCCTTTGTTTTTCCTTCTACCCCTTGGGCCAGCTTCTGATTTCGGTATCTCGGGGTTGTGTGGCATTGGCGCGGCATCTTGTGCGGTTCATTTTCTCACTCGCGTTCGCGCTGTGCATTGCGAAGGTGTTTATTCTGTATCGGGATGGATTAGCATGGGTTCTGGGGCTTTGCAACTCGTGCTATTACTATACTGCAAGGGAATATGGTTTAGGAAACGGTGAAGGGAAGGGGATAGAAGTGCGCGACTTGGCCGTCTTGTGAATACGATGATGATGAGGGTTCCAGCAGTGAGTTTCTTGACCCGTCAATGGTTTATCGGAATATCACTTATGTTATACATGTCTCCAGAGCCGATTCTTAACTTTTACATAAAGTGCTCCGTCCCTTGCATCTCAGGATGTCAAACTCGGAACTACCAAGAAGGTCGTTCGCCGCCCGGCACCTTTCACACTCCGTAGCGAGCATTTAGATGACCATCAGACACTCCTAGCTCACCAGCCCCTGAACCGCCTCCCTATTCAACCCACCAATATCCGGGTCCTTCGATGACGGGCTTTGTCGCTGCTGCCGACTCCTCGCCCCCGACTTTGTCGTCGACAACTTTGCCATCGAATCCGCAGCTGGAGTCCTCTTCTTAGGCGACACCTTCGCCCCCTTACGCGACAGTCCTTCTGCATCACCATCACTCTGGATGCGAGACTGACTGCTCTCAATCGCCGCCTCTGCCTCGATATTCCGCACCGCGCGCGAGATGGCCATGGTGTACCCGCCAAACCATTCTGCCCAGGACTGTTTCCCATCGGCTTCGGTGGTGTGCTGCGGGACGGCCGAGGAACACTGCTGCTGCTGCCGATGCTGCTGCGGTCTCGATCTCGTCTGCCCAGTCGTCCTCGCCGCCGCCCTCCTCTGCTCCAGGAAGCTCCTCGCTACGTTTTGCGCGGCGGATACACCACTTTGGATGCTCCGCACGTCGTCCATGCTCACGGTCGCGGGGAGGGGGATGCGATAGCTGCCTATGAGGGTGACTTGTCTGCCTCCCTGACTGCGTCGTTGAATGCCCGGCGAGGAGACGCGTGGAATCTCTTCAACCAAGTCTTCTTCTTCTCCTTGCCCCTCTGGAGGTTCGTCAAGGCGTGTGCTGCGCCGTCGCCGTGACTGTCGTGGCCGTTGATAGGACTCCAGATCCCGCCTTGCGACGGCGAGTTCCCCTTCGAGGCGGACCAACTCCTCATTTTTCGCCTCCTCCTCTTCCTCCTCTGCTTCTCTCTCCATATCAGCATGGACAGTACCATCATCACGACCATGCTCAGCATCCTTTTCGAAGCCTCCTACCACCTTACCGCTTTGCTCCGCCGCAGCTGACGTACCTGTATCTACATCTCCCACCTGAACTTTCGAGTAATTCCGCCGACTTCCCTTGCCGCGTCGACGTGGCGAGCGCACTCCTCGCGCTGCACGACCTGCTTTATAGAGCTCCTCGACTTTGGCTTCGAGACCGCGGACGCGGGATTCGAGCGCTTCGAGTTCGCCGGTCGCGGATGTGGTAGGCGTGTGTGGGTTGCTAGCTTTGGTGCTGGGTGGGAGTGCAGTGGGTGTGGATGCGGCTGGAGGTTGAGGTTGAGATTGAGATTGAGATGGAGGACGAGTTTGATCGAGCTTCAACGATGAGGGTGGCTCCTTGTTCAGTTTCCTTGGTCGTCGACGTGTGCGGTTGGGATTCGCGGAAGCGCCGTTCATCGTAGTAGTATCTGCATTGCTCTCCTGTGCATCTGCAGTTCGCGGTCTAGGTGCAGTTGATATCGTCGTCTTTCCCTCTGCCGTATTTGCTTTGCTGGGCTTCTGCTGCTGCTTATCAGGCATGATTTTACCCGCAGAACCTGGCATTGCAGCAGCTGGTATGATAATTCCCTTCTCTTGGGCTTTCGCTGATGTTCTCGACGTCTGCGTCTGTTGTTGTGGTGATGACGTCGCTCTAGGCTGTGAAGAACGCGATTGCGTAGCTATAGCTGGCATAAGTTGGTTGTATTGAGAAAAGCACAGAATACAAATCAGGGGAATGGAAAAGGGAATCAATATGCCAGAGCGCAAAGCAACTGGAAGGTTAAGATATACGGTGCTCAGACTGCGGAATCAACCCTTTGTATTGAGTAGTACGGAATTGACGTATGATGCAGGACCATCACCCATCACTACCAGGGTCCAGACACTAGCTTCTTTGGGCCATGATTCCCATCCTGTGAACACTTGCATCCAAGGCGACCATGAGCAAAAGGCACAATATGAAGATGACATGCTACAGATTTTAAGCCACAATACCTCCAATCCCTCAATATCAGAGCCAGATAATTCGCATCCTCAACATTCATTTACACATCCCATCCCATAGTCCATTTGATCCATGACCTGGTAAGCCTCCAAACCTTCCAATCAAGCAAGCACACGTCAAGAAGCATAAAGACATCCACTTTGCATTCTAGATACATTTTTGCGCGAGGCAGAATATGTGCGGTCCCATCTACCTCACCACCGTCACCATCATCTCAGTCTTTCCTCTTCCATGCCCATTCAACTTCATATGCGTGGCCCTGGGTCCCAAGAAACACCGCTCATCCGCCACAGCCAAAGCGTAGAGAGGAGAGAGCATTGAGGAGAAGCCAGCCTGGCCCAAGAAGTGGGGAAGGGAAACAATAACTTTTGATGAGAAGGTACATGTTCAGGGAGGGACCAGGGCGGAGGAAGAGGAAACAATGGGATAAAGGAATGGGTCATGAGGTGGGGACAGAATACCAGCATCCTGAGCGCCCGGAAGGAGATCTCTTAACCAAGTCAAAGTCTAGCCCACGCCTTGCGCTCAGAACAACATTACTTGGCGCCGTAGTAAAGGTGTCGTGTGCAGCGGTGGATACCGCCGCTAAGGAGAGGGGGACATGCCATGCCATCGGAAACATAAACGTCCGCAAAGGAAACCCAATATGCCACACTGCGCCGGGCTTTTGCGCAGCGAATTGAGCATCCATGATATGTCAGGAAGAGATGGAAAACAGCCAAGAGCCTTCTTACGCGGACAGAGGCTCATATTTTACGAAGCAATCGCACGGCCGCGTCCCTTGTACTTGTTGCTCTTGGCCGGGACCGTACTCCATCCCTCTTCCTCTAGATTTTCAGTTGTCGATCCAGCAGGAGCAGGGGTATCATTGGACTTCCGCCTCCAGGAACCCTCGGTCTTGCTAGGTTCCCGAACGACTTCATTGGGCTTAACCGCCTTGTCCTGGACGATATTGCCGTTGGCAGAGGCGTCAACTGGCGCATCTCCTTCAGTGGGCTCAGCTCCTTCATCTCCTGCGCGGCGAAGGATTTCGTAGTTACGGGAGGCGGGCTTCTCTTCGGTGTTCGACTCCTTTGATTTCTCGGTAGTTGGGGTCGCCGGTACAGCCGACTTCTCCTTTGCCGCAGCTTTCTCAGCAAGCTCTTTGGCCTTCTTTTCCTCGCGAGCTTTCTCTTCCGCTTCTCTCTTTGCCCGAAGAAGCGCTTGTCTCTTCTCCTCAACCTCACGCTCGCGTGCAGCAGTGTCGATAGGGCGGGCAGCGCCAAAGGGATTCGACTTGGAGTCGGAAGAGGAGGAGACAGGAGCAGGATCGGATTCCGAGACGGTCCGCTTTGCAAGATTCAGCTTGGGACGGGTAGCCGGGGCTGCGGGCTGTGGGACAGGGGACGACGGAACGCTGGTCTCTGGAGTGCCAGAGGGGGATTTAGCAGGTACTTCAGGCCGCATCCTCGCCCGCCACTGATTATCAAGTTCGGCGGCTGTGGGCTGACGTTCAGGACGCTCCTGAAATTCACGGCGCGGAGGGCGAGAACCATCCTGAGACCGGCCCTCTCCCCAAGCGGGCGATCTCCTGCGCTCAACGAACGGCCCTTCATGGGTTCGCTGGCGGCCTTCACGAAAGGGTCCAGCGCCAGCAACCGGCGAAAGAGGCCCTTTCCGCTCCCAGTTACCAAAGTCGCGAACCTTTCCATCATTTTCGAAGCCTCCGCGTCTTCGTCCTCCAGCCTCGCTGCCCATATCAGATCGGTCCTCAAAACCACCGCGATAGCCACCGCTACGGTTCTCGGAAGTACGGCGTCCTGGAAGGTCAGGGAGAGGACCCTTTCGAGTCCAGTCCGACATGTCCTTTTGTTCCGGACGATCTTTCGCTAGTTGGTTGTCAGTAGGATGGTTTCAGGCGGCGAGAAGTATACGTACGCGGCTCAGCGACGCTGATCCGGATATTTCTACCCTGGAACTGCGTGCCCGAGAGAGCCAGAGCCTTCTTCAGGCCGTCGAGGGAGGCGAACTCGACGTAGCCGAAGCCTTTCGGCTTCCTCTCGAGCTTGTCCTCCACAATGCGGACACTGGTGACTTCGCAGCCAGTGAAGAAGTCCGTCACATCGCCTTCAGTGGCATCGAAAGACAAGTTTCCGAGATGGGCTGTATAGGGAGGCCTTGTGGGAAGAGGGAGCTCCTCACGGGGCTGGATAGCGAAGCCGCGATCGTTGCGCTCTGGGCGTACGTGTCAGCAACCAAAATTGCCAAATGTGCCGGTCGACTTACCGTATCCACGGTCAGAGTTGAAACCTCCTCCAGAGCCGAAACCACGCCTGTCCGAGCCATAAGCGGAGCTGGCGGCTAACGAACGGTCAGTATTGCGTGCCCTTACCCCACATCGGGATAGGAGAGAGGTATACACACCTGGTCCGCCTATGCATGGTTAGTTGACAGTCCGGACAAAGTGGGGAATGGGAAACTCACTGCCTACGGGCATGTCTTCCATCTCATCAGCCCAGGAGCCGAGAGCTGCCATCTGGTCAGTTTCCACAGCCCCGCATGCGAAGGAGGTGGTGGCGGCATACATTGATCGACCAAGAAATCCCCCAGGGACATCTTCTGCTGCTTTTTGGGAGCTGCGAGCGCATAAAGTTAGCCGTGGGATCCTCAGAAGACGCTGGGGCAAGCAGCGGCTGCCTTGTGCGGCGGACGCACAAGGGAAGGTTGCGTACCCATGATTGCGAGTCGCAGTCAACGCGCGGTCCGGGAACTGCGCGCTGGCTGTGAGGGTACTGAGAGCGTTGCGGGCCCTCAGTGAATCGATTGTGTGCGAGTGAGTATGTATCGGTCGTAGGTGGGCGGCTGCAGAACGGCGACCACGAGCGTTGAGGAAAAAGTGATGCGAGGGCGTTGAAGTGCGATTTACTCGCTTAGTCATGTTCTGGGTGCGTGTTCTCCGGGGCATCCGATCGGCCCTTCAACTCCTCCCAGAAGTGTAGTGACATCAAAACAGGCTCTTCCCATACGCAAAAGGTTTACTAGTGAATATAATACACTGGCATTATACAAACTGGGTGTTTCTACAAGATGAAGAGGGCCCAGCGGCCTAGTAACGAACACATCACGAGCCCGCTGGGGATCATTAGCCAGGGTGCAAAGGTCGGAGCAGCTGCAGGTATGCCTTTCCGTAAACCCATCTATTCTCCCCGCTCTTCTTGAAACGTCGGCTCTACTTTTCCCCTCTTCGATATGATGGTTGCGCCGTGTGGCATCGATGGATCAAATTCACGCTCGTCACGTGACGATTCTGCTCAGTATAAACGTCATGCGAAACGTATAGATCGCGATCTTACAAGGTCGACATTCGTAGTAGCCATATCGAACTGTACTGACTCTTCGTAGCCGTGCCCGGTTTCGCAATAGGCGGCATTTTCGGCACTCTCCGAACCACCACCCCTATATTCTTCTCCGTAGTCTCTGGCTTACAATGGTTCGCCATCGGCACTACGTTCTGGTCCGTCCGGACCTCCATTCTCGACAATGTCGGCGTAAGGAACTGGTGGAACATGACGCGTGGAGCGCCATTTTCCCCGCGGCCTGAGGCTCCACATTCGAGAGAAGACAAATTGAAAGCGAGTACGATATCCGGCAGTGTAACGGGCGCCTTCTTGGGCTTGGTGCTTAGAGGTCCACGAAACGTCATTCCGGGAACGATCATGTTTACGCTGTTTGGATATGGGGGCCAAAAGGGGTATGACTGGTTCGAGCAGCGCCGCACAGACAAAACGCATAGAGTGCAAGAATTGCAAAAGGAGGGAAAAGAGGAGCTGAACTGGTTGCAGAGGCTAACGCAGAAGAAGTGGAGTCCCATGAGTATCTTGACGGATGAGCAGTACGAGGAGATGCTCAACGAGAAGATTTTGGGTGTGGAGGTGGAGATTGCGATGATTGATGATAAGATCAAGGAGTTTAGGAGACTGCAGGAGGAGGCGGAGAAGAAGCAGTTGTCGGAGAAGGGGCAGACGCAAAGCAAGCAATGATCCATGATGAGTCGGGCTTATGTAAGATATTGTATTTGAGCTTGACATGTACAGTAGACAGGGGAACTGCGAAGAGTATGATGAAGTGGATCACCGAGATGTTGCACATATGTACCCAGGAGACACGGTTTCTGAAAGACATGTAAGGTAGTTAATTGTACACGAGGGTTGTAGAACATGCCAAACAGGAGGAGATCGAGTGAAGGAAAGTGATTTGTTGGCAATTTTCTAGACGACCGTACACTGGTGGGCTTCCACAAGAACGAGCGCCCACGTTTCCCTTCGCAAGTTGGCAATTTTTCTTCCTTCAATATTGAACAAGGAATACCGGCAAAGCAAGAGAAATACCGGCAAAGCAAGAGAAATACTGGCAAAGCAAGAGAAATACCGGCAAAGCAAGAGAAAACCTTCCCAAGGCTAGAATTACTCTCCCTTCGGCTTCCACCACCCTTGCATCTTCCACAGCCAATACAGCTTCATCTCCAGCCTCTCCCTGATCTCGTCCTCCACCTTATGCCCATCAAACTTCATTTTCCGGCACTTGGAAAGCATCCTCACCACCCTGGGCGAGATTCGATCCCACACACAATACTCCCTCTTACTCAAGTCAAGCTCGTCCATCCGGTCGCAGATGAAGCCCGCCGGCCCGCCCTCCACGACATCCGCACAGATCTGCAGCACGGGAACGCAGTTAGGGATATGAGGCGCGATGACGAACGTATTTTCGTCGATCAGAAGAAACCCGTGAGGATCATCAACAGGTTTGCTGGGCTTATAAGCGTGCTTCCTCCAGATGTCGCGGTCGAGTTCGGGGTATTTGACTTCTTGGAAGAAGATTTGAATGTCTGGCGTACTTTCATCTTCTGCCTGGTAAATCTCGTTCAAGGTCTCGGCGATGGTGAAGGCGGCGAAATACTGGAGGATGCATTGGCCAGACCACTTACCTTTTTGAAGACAACCCAGCCCGAAGCAGACGATTTTCTTGATTTGCACGTTGTCTTTCGCGCCGGCTTGGAATTGTTCCCGTAGGAGCTTTTTGGCGATCGAAGCATCCCATAGTTTCCTGAGCTGAGTGATCTCCTCGTCCCATTCCTCGAACAATTGTGAACTCTTCGAAGCTAGGGACTTCTCCCACGACTCGAGATAGACGGGCAGTGGGATGTGCGTAGAGCCTTTCCCCTGCATGTGACGGCGGTTCATAGCCTTGAGGTCCTTAACCGGTTTAGTGTCGAACGCTGGCTTATACTCTGGGGAGAGTTCGACATACGTAAGGTAATGGAGGTCTACATTATATTCTGCCGGATCGTAATCTCCCGCTCGCTTTTCCGGATTCTCCCATACCACGCGTGTCTCGCCGTTGATATCTTCAAACGTCAGGGAGCGGACATCCTTCGGCTTGAAGTCGTTCCGCTTACCTTCTACAGCGGCCCGGGTATTCGCGATTCTTTGGAGCAGGTTTTTGGTGTAGATGGGGATTTTGCCGCGGTGCCTTTCTTCAAAAGAAACGAGATCGACGGTGAAGACTATGCCGCTGTCTTCTTCGTCACTGTAATCGTCACATTCGGTTGGGTGCAGGCGGACGGCGCATGCGGAAGGGGAGTGCTGTTTCTCAAAATAGGGGTGGGAGGCGTCGAAAGGCGACGAAGAGGAATCGGAAGTACTCAATACACCGGGCATGGTCTCTGGAAAAGGGGTTGTGTTATAATAACAGGCTGTGGTGGTATTGCTGTTCGCGGTTGTGCAACGACCCAACGTGGGAAATGAGCAGTGCGTAACGGTAGTGAATAGGTTTATGGCCCGTGGAGACTGCGGAAGTCGCCCCCTTTTTGTACCCTTCTGTAGGGATAAATGCAATGATCTCTGCTTTCCAAAGACATTGTACGGATATGAGCGCTGTGCTTTGTTTCTTTCCCGACGATGTAGGGATGCCTGCTCTCGTCCAGCGCTAACTGTGCGGCGTTGTCCCGTACCTCGACACGAAGCATTCATAAACTGCTCAAACAAAACCGTCAATGTATTGCGTGTCGTATCCAAAAGCGCTAAGGATTATATAACGTTCTGCCGGTGCATGGTTGAATCATGATACTAACGGATGTGTGGGAAGGCTTGGTTCCAGCTGCAGCCCGTAAGAAAGACATTGTGCACCATCACAAGTGCAATGCGACAGCTTTCATTGCTGTTGGGACAAGAGATTTGATGTTGTAAAGAAGAGGCCGGTGTTTGTATAAACAATGCGGCTCGATGCTTTGTTGATATTTATTTTTCTTTTTCTCGTTCCATCGCACCGAACAGAAATGGGAATCGACAGAATATATTGATGGAATCAGGCCGTGCTTTGAAGATGACATGAAGGAGTACATGTATGCACAGTGAACAAATGTTTGCTGCATATGTTTGCTCTATTGATTGCTTATGAGATGGAGCCTCCTAGACAAGTCTAACATATATGTCTCTGCCGGTAAACCCCGCAACGATATGTACTATCCATTGCTAAGGGAGCTTATCCTCTGGAGACGCAAATGGCTTAGTTAGCTTGGAAGTGCGACTCACACTTCGATGGAGACCAAGTTAGTTTATACGGTGCCTATATATAGATGATAACTATCATAGTGTATGCTGCTCTATGTTACTAGATACATTATGCCCGGATACTCAACAATTGAGTATTATTGCCAGTGTTTTCTCCTTGACATATTGTCCGAATGACTGGGCTGTCGAGAGCATGTACTGCGCAGCGGAATCGATGCTGGATGTGTAGGTTGCCCCAGGGTGGGGGCGGGAAAGGTGTGATAGCTGCCATGGTGAGCTGGGTTTAGCTGTGTCCGAGTGGATGGGGTAGCTGTATGCAACAAGGGGGTTTCAGCTGGCACCGAAATGTATACTCCGTATTCCGCAGCCTCACGCTCCAGTGGCTGGCTGCTGTCGCCTCTGCAATTAATAAGCTCCCAACTCGCTTCCGCACCAGGATGACAGGCATCTGATTTTAAGGGCCTCATACATAACAAGAACTTAGCACTGGCCTTATCAGTTCCCATAGAGGCCTCTTGCCTTTCTTCAACCTCCTCGGTACTTAGTTCGTTACATCCCTACGAGTCGCACCAGTCTTTCAAAACTATACATATTATTATACATGTTATCCGCGAACCTCGCCCAGGTGTGTACGGTCGTGCTATTTCGCAACCGCAGAAGATCCCGTCTATCATGGGTTCTCGGGTGGTTATGTCCGGTGGTGATCGGGCTGCTGGTGGATATGGCCTGGCCGCCAACGCTGCTCTACGCCTTGATTGGCGTTGCGCAACGACGTGCGCCGGAGCCGTCGTCGTACGCCTCGCGGCATATGGAATGCGAGATCATCGGTAACCCAGACTTCTACGGCCTGGGCATTCGTCTAGGGATCTATTTCCAATGGCTCTCGGCGCTGTTGGCCGGGCCCTCAGAGGGTGAGGGCCTCCTTGTCAGCTATTTCGTCTTTGCGCTCGCTCTCTATGTGTCTTTCTTCGTGTTTACATTTGGGGACTCGGCCACCTTTGTTGCCGAAGTTGCAATCATGCTACTTATTTTCTTCGGTGGGATTTATATCATGATAACGTCTCGTTTCTATCGGAAGAGAAAAGTGCCTAGGGCCAATGCCACGGAATATGGGAGCATGGGTCTGCCAATTGTCTATAATCTAGTTTTGTTTCCCATGGTACTCTATGGTTGCTGGTTCTGGTGCAGGATGGCAGGTGGGCGCATCAAGCCATTTGCGGAGAGTCCATGTGGAACCTATTTATTTCTATTCGCACGCGTCACACCGGGGCGGGTAAGGATGGCAAGCGGTTTCATGGCCTTTGTGTTCATCTACACTCTTCTTGCCGTCTGCTTTTACCAACTCTCTCAGCTGATTATGTTTCTTGGTCCTTTACTTTTCGTATGGCGCAACCGGAGCAACTTGGCCGCATCATCCGAACCACAGGCCGCGAACTCCCCTAGAGTCCCCTCTATAGCCGGGTCTCAAGACTCTATCCCGGCGTCTTTGCTGCGTTTTGTCCAGCTTGGCGTTCAGTTCGACGATGCGGATGCTGTTCTCTTCAGGCAGAGTGCTATTCAGATGGTCTACGTCCTACCATTAACAGTCATCTTTGTCCTCGTGGACCAAGGAGTCCGGCTGATCTTATGGACGACGGGGCAAAGCAAAAAGCCATGGGTGGACCCACTTTTCAAAGCCGAGAGAGAAGATGGAACTAGAGGCCCTTTGTCTTCAATGTGGGTAATAGTGAGGCTCCCCCTCCTCTTCGTACAATCTGACTACTATGCAGGTCCGTTGCCCTCTACGTATTCGTAGCGATAGCCTTGTCGATTCTGGGCGTGGAACTGACGCTTGTTTGGAACTCCATTTCTGGGGTGTACGAAATAAAGTCCCCGGGGCAGTTGATTCCGTTGATCATCGGCATGGGGACTCTTGGTCAGGTTCTCTGGAAAAAGCTAATCAGTGGCTTTGAGGTGCGTACCATTGCCGACTCCTACCTTGCTCAAAATAAGCCTCTCTGTTCGGATGGGCTTACTCGCTTATATAGACGCTCGTGGATCGACTTGTGGGTCAGTCCCCAGGAGATGTCAACCACGGTGCGGAGCGGGAACTTGATAGCATTGCGCGAGAAAGGACTGTAGACATCGAAGCTGGAGCGTCGTTCCAATTGCCGGACAGCCGCTGGATGGTCGTTTCATCTTCTCTACGTCGTACTGCTGCAGAGCCTAGCCCTTCAGCTTAATGCCAAGTATTGCCTTGAACAATGCCCGTTGTGGTAGAGCAAAGGGGATTACGACCAATAGGTTGCACAAGTGCAGGGGTAGGATGTGTTGGGAGGGGAGAGGGTGTGGTGCCATGGTGAATCGGGACCTTCGGGACATAAATTGAGGCCTCCCAGGTTTCTACATGTGATACTGGGCCTAGAACACCATGTCGGGCGTGTGGTACCGGCGGCGTTGACGGTCAGCGAATGGGATATAGGAAGGTCATATGAATGGTGCTGTCGTGCGAAAAGAGAGAAAGCCGTCATGGTGATTGAAAGATGCATTGCAAAGTTTTGCTCCAGGTCGATGACGCACATCAGCGGCCCAGCCACAACACGCTAATTAGCTCGGCTAAGCTTGGCGCAAAGCTTGGGTTGTGGCGCCAGCTTGTCTGTCCCCGTTCCAGAGAAAGTCGCAGTGGAGGAGATTTCCACGACAGCCAAGACAAAGACAACAACAGCAGCGCTCGAACGCCTCGATACGGCCGCCAAAGCGACAGCTGGCTAGAAATTGACATTGCCTCGGAGCACTGCGTCTTGGGTGATGTCGGAATGGGACTCGCGGATTCGTTGGCTGTGAGACGGTGACGTGCACAGTACTGTGGTATCGATGAGAGTTTTGCAACACCATGGGGGGAAATGGGGAACGGAGGCAGGGCTGTGGCTGAGATTGTGAGCACGCCATGACGCAACCCAAAACTTACCAGGGACACCAGTGACCTTACCGCCATCTCCCACAAGGAGATCAATTACTTCAACGGGCGCGCGACCAAGTTGACCAGCAGGTTTCTATGGCCATACTCACCAATGCTTCTGGTCGATACTGGACGTCCCGTGCGATCGCCATCACGTCGGCGGCGGCCATGAAGGAGCAGCGCGGCAGGCAGGTTGGAGGAGCAGTAGGGGAAACTCCAAAGCTGTGCAAACGCAGTGCTTGGCGCCCATCGTATGGTGAAGCAATGACGTAGTGCGCCTGCTGGTTGCATCACCGTCAAACCCACCCTGTACCACGGCAGCCGCAACTCCCCCCCTCAGTTATAAGACCCGTCCGCTCCCTCTCTCTGGGCCTTTTTTGAACACGAATCCAGCACACACTCTTCCACTCACCACCTACTACTGCCAACAGCTACCACTCACAGTCTAAGATACCACACGTGCACGCGACAGTCTACTCTCCTCATTGGCACGGCCATAACAAGCTTTTCTATTTGTTTGCACTGCTATTGTTTTCCTTGCCTTGATACCCTGATACCCCTTCTCTCTTTCCCTTTTCTCTTTCACCATGTCTGGCGCCGCAGTGAACCGTCCTGTGGACTTGAAGCAGAAGGAGATTGATGTCAAGTAAGTCAAGCGTGCATTCCACAAGTCCGTTTTGCAAGTCTCGGGCTAACAACGTCACCGCAGCAACAAGCTCCAGCTCTACGGCATCTATTCAGGTATGCAAACAAGCTCTCGTTGCAGTCTTTCATCTGCTGCCCCGGCTGCTCATGTGCACCCCAGTCCGTTACACAGGGCTAACAGTCAACGGCAGCTTTCGCAAACGGCAAAGTCCCATCGAACAAGCAGATTGACGTTGCCTTGAATAGCGTCCTTGCGTCGAAAGCCCTCTCTTCGCCTTCCAAGAAGCTAAGCTCCGATGGACAACGTCTCGTCGCCGACCTCAAGGACGTAATTGAGCAGGCCAAGATCCTACTCCTCACCAAGAACGACGGCAACCTTCTACAAGACTTCATTTGGCAGACGCAGCAGATCAGTGGCGGCAACGCCCAAGCCCCTGGCGCCCCGGTAGATAAGGACACCGCAAGGCGGCATGCCAACGAGGCCCTCGACGGTCTCCGCACCCTCGGCACCCTCATCATCTCCAATGGCCAGTTCCGCAAGCTTCTCTCCGATGCTACCATCCTTCTCCGTGACATCGCCGGCGATGCTGCAACCAAGACGGCCAACAAGGTCAACCCCACTGAGGAACAGCTGGCCCAAATCGACCGTCCAGCGGATGACAACACCTGGCATGAGGTCCCAGATATGTCCAAGGAAAACCTTAAGAGCCAGCTAAAGCAGAACATGCCCGTCAGCAAGAAGGATGCTCAGAAGGATACCCAGAACATCGCTGGAGACGTCTCCCAGGCCGCTCACCCTCAGGGTTCTCGGGATCCTACTGACACTGCTCAGCTCGGAGCCCGGGAGCAGCAGCAGGGAACCCAGCAAGGCATTGATGCTCGGGCTGGCGTCGATACGGCCAAACAGGCTATTTCGGAGAAGGTCCCCGACGAACACAAGGAACGGGCCAGAGAGGTGCGTGATCGCCAGCGGGAGCGCTTGAACGAGTACCTGCGGGGAAAGATGCCCCAGGAACGTCGTGAGCAGACCATTTGGCGTCTGAAGAAGATGGTCGTTGAGATCCAGGGCCACCAGGACTATCAGCAGGCTATTGATACTCTGCTCCGCCTCGCGGAGCAGTATACAGGTCACACCAAGGACGTTGCTCTGCAGAGCAAGGGCACCGTCAAAGGCGCTCACGACGACGATGCACTACAGCTGGCAGAGGCCGACCTCAAGGTACGTGTACTCAGCTTTCTGCAAAAAGGATCAAGACGTTCTGACCAACGTCAAGACTCTGCTCGAGCGATTCGCCAACAGCACCTCGTTTGATGATCTCATCGATGCGGTCGACGACGTGTACAGGGATGCTGACCGCGATCCCGAGCTCAAGAACTGGTTCAAGCAACTTGATTCCTACATCCGTAGGTGTCTGAAGGAGCAGGGCTTCATCATGGATGATGCTGCTACCGAGGAGTGGAACAGGATCTACGACCACGGCCACTATCTGCTCCGTGACCGTTACCGTGGCCACACTGACCGCATTGCTGACGAGTTCAAGTTCCTCGGCCAACAGTTCGATGAAGAGTAAGTCAAATACAGTCCATCTAGCAAGGGCGGTACTGACTGGTTGTGCAGTCCGCAGAACAAACGATTCGCTCAGTCTCTCACCAAGCTGTTCAACGACCTGGGCCATGACGAGGCTGGAAACACCAAGTTCAAGCCCCATCTAGTCAAGGATCTCACCGACGTTATCCTTCCTGCCTTCTTTGAGAACATCAGGTATATTCCTGTTCCCCGTATTGAGTACAGCGACCCCATGATCGATGCGGTCGTCGAGAACTTGGTGATTGAAGGGGACAACCTTGCCCCGAATGTTCTCGAGTTTGGGTCCGATAACTACTGGCGTTGGGGACGAAAATCCATCTCCAGCAAGCACAAGAACAAGGTCATGCTCTCCGTGTCGGGCATCCAGATGGATCTGCGCGATGTTTCTTACTATGTCAAGCGCAAGCACGGCTTCCCCTCTGTTACCGACAAGGGCGTCATGGATGTCTTTATGGGCGGAAGCGGCTTCAGCTTCAAAGTGGAGATGGAGACTGCCGATCCAACCGACAGGATCCATTACTTCAAGATCAACAAGGTGTCTACTGACATCCAGCACCTGTCCATCAAGCTGAAGAAGAGCAACCATAAGCTCTTGTTCTCCATGTTCAAGCCACTGCTCTTGAAGGTCATGCGCCCTGTCATTCAGCGTGTGCTGGAGAAGCGGATCAGAGACTCCGTCAACCAGTTGGATGGCATCTTGTACGATATCAAGATGGAGGCCGACAAAGCCGCCGAGGATGCGAAGCGCAACCCTGACCCCGAGAACGTCCAGAACATCTATCAGCGTTACGTCAACGCTGCCAACAAGCGTCTCATGCAAGGCAAACAGAAGAAACAGGAGCTTCAGGAACGCGCCAAGGACACCAAGGTCAACGTTGCCGTGACGAAACATGATTCCATCTTCAAGAATATCTCTCTCCCTGGCGGTATCAGCACCAAGGCCACCGAGTACAAGGAGCTTGCTGCCAAGGGCGACAAATGGGAGAGTCCGGTGTTTTCCATTGGATCCGCGAAGGAGTCCACAAGTCTCCCCAAGATTGCCAATGTTACACGCAAACCCCATGGCCGCCCTGGAGGGTATGGGCGTGTCGACCCCAATGCAACGTCCGAATTTGGACAGCCGTGGTCTCCTCAGAAGCATGAGGGTCATCCTGCCGGGTATGACCAGGGTTTTGCAGGCCTTGGACAGCCCGCTGCCGCAGGATACGGTCACGAAGATGCAAGTGGCTTGGGGAAAGCTTCCGCCGGCCGTGCCGACAGTGCCGTTGCTGCCCCTGGTGGCGCCGCCGGTCTTCCCACTGGCACCGGGAATGAACACTACAACACGAGCTGGGGCAAGGAAAACCCAGTGCTCCAGGGCTCCGTCTAAAGACTGTTTATTGGAGGGAGTAATGCTTGCTTGAACGGATTACGATTTCCTTTCGTCTTTTCCCATGATACCATGCGCGAGTCGTACACCAGCGTGAATCGAATCCTGGATCAACCGCAGCTAGGAATGGATTTGCCCGTAATGCGGAGGACAGGGCTTGGGAGATCAGAGTTTAGCCAGGCTGTATGAGTAACACCTCCAGACCTATAGTAACAAAAAATTCCTCTTGTTCCGGTCTCTGTTAGTTTTCTCCTATCGTGAACGTGTGACCTGATGTTTCTGGGTTTCCTTGTGTCCTGTGGCATGTTGGTCCCTGACCCATTCTATTGAGCCTCCGTAACGTACCTATGTTCATGCCCATGGAGATCCGCCACTGCACAATCCGAAAGGAACTTGGGCAGTTTGTGTGGTCAAGAATACCAATACTGACTGTATATACACGCTGCACCCATCCCTCCAGGATCCTTCCATCTCATCCTCTTCGTCTCATCGCACCCTATGCCATCATCCCATCCTCCCATCTACATTAGTACCACCTACCCACCCTCTACCTAATCATCCTCATCCTCCCGCCTCTCCACGGCCGCCCATCCGGCCATCCACCTCCTGCCTTCCCCTTCTCCACACCCCCTCAACTCCCTCGCCATCGCGGCCCCTTCCTTCCAATGCCGCACTTTGCAGTCGTCGCCCACGCTGACAAGTGTGCCGTTGAGCGCCCACGTCACGCTCGTGACTTCTGCTTCGTGTCCGCGTATCAAGGGGGTGCCGACGTGGGAGTAGATGGGGATGGTGTCTGTGAGGAAGGAGGAGGAGGAGGCGGTGTTGGTGGAAGCTCGAGTGCTGGATCCGCTGATGGAGGAGAGCGACTGACGTGTTGATATCCTGTTTCTGGTGTTGGAGGCTTTGGTGTTGGCAGGAACGAGGAGCGGAAGACCATCGTCATCATCGTTGGGGTCGTCCTCTCCGTCCTCCTCGCCATTGAGATGACTCCTCCCCCTCTCCCTCCTCAGCAGATTCTCATCCGTAGGAAACAACACCGGGCATCCGTCCGTGCTCCCCACGGCCAACATCTCCGCATGCGCCCCCGACGCTCTGCGCAAACTCGCCTTCACGTAAAAACTCCCCGCGTGGAAATTCGCGTGGCGGAATCCGTACAGGGGGCCCAGACCCTCCCGCACGCGCCCGGGGTCCGTGTTACCGTAGTACTTCTGGCTCGCCGAGTGTGCGAGTGATAGCTCGGGGGCGAAACCCAGGATGAGGTGAGCGGTGCTGTATGCGTAGACGGTGTTGTCTTTGCTGAGGGCGTAGAGGCGGGAGGCGTCGCTGTTGAGGGTGAGGGAGTTGATGGCGAAGTGGCGATGTCGCGTGTGCGATTCCGGGTGCTTGGTCGTGGAGATGGGGAGGGCGGGGCCGCGGAGGGAGTAGCGGCCTCGAATGTCCCAGAGTTTGACGCAGGTGGAGGCGTCGGAGGCAGTGAGAAGGAGGTGTTGGCGCCCGTCTGGGAGGAAGGAGAGTGCGGTGACGGAGATGTCGCCGCGGCGGGAGAGGGCGTCGGGTTTGCTGGTGGAGGACGAGGAGGAGTTGTGGTTGCCTTTAAAGGAGGTGGAGAGGCTGTTGGAGGCGTGCTGGAATGCACTATCTGCGTGGGCGGCAGCGAGGGTGCGGATGGAGCTGGCGTAAGGGGCGTCTCGACCCCAGGCTGAGTGGATGCTCGTGTTGCCGCCTTTACATCGTAGATCCCAGATTTGGACTGCGCCGTCGCGGCTCGAGGTTGCTACGATTCTGTCGTCACCTGGCTGGAAACGGACTTGCTTCACGCTGGACTTGTGTTTGGCGAGTATGTGAACGCACTGCTGGGTGCGGGCATCGAGGATCTGGGCCGTCTGGTCGCCGGATCCTGTGGCGATGTACATGTCGTCGGAGGAGAACTGGACGTCCATGATGGCGTTGGTGTGGGCACGGAACGAGAGCGTGGCTTTGGTGAAGTCGGTGTCTTCATCGGCGTCCAGGAGGTGGAGCCAGCCATCTTCGTCGCCGACTGCGACCATGGAGTTGGCTGGTGAGGATGTTAGTAGCTGTCATGTGATAGTGCGATATGGTAAACTCACTGTTACAGCTGGCAGTGCAGAAAGGCGGAGCACCCTGAGGTAGTTGGTGGAAGTCATGCGATGAGCTGTAGAAGTCGGCCGTGTAGTCGTGAGGCGCAACGCAGTGATCTCGTATGAAACCGCGGCCTGTGCCTAGAAGTCCGCCAAACGACCGTTGCAGCGTTCTCGAAGGTCCACCCGAAGTCCTCAGCCGTCTGATAGGCGTAGGGTAATGCGGCGGCTCCTCAATAATGGGCAATTCATCCTCCAAGAAATCGGCCGGTGGAGGTGTGACATGTCGAGGCCTTTTCGAGGGAGAAGACTGCAGCGGCGAGCTCACAGGCGAAAGATATGCAGCGGCTGCTCTTCGCTTACGACTACTCAGTTGAGGCGTCTGCACTTTTTCGGAGGGAACATCGGCGAAATTGACCGTCTTACGGGGAGTCGTCGTTTTACGATGTGTGCCATGGGGTGCGCGGTTGATAGCGGAACGGGTTATATCCTGTAGCTTGCGGGATGACTTGGTTCCAGAGGGCATCCGTCTCGAATTCCGCGGTGTGAAGAAGCGGGTAAATCGTTTGGGAGTAATAGGAGGCGGTTTCTTGGGTTTTCGACTACCCATGGTGGACGGAGGCAGCGGTGGTGAGGATGGAGGCAATTCTGATATTCGATCATCGAGGCTATGTGATATGGAGCCTGACATGGTTCGCTTCTCTAGTTTCGAGATTAGAGATACTAGTAAACACAGGAAGTCGAGGAGGGCAAGCAAGGACAAGGAATTAACGGATTCGAGAGCATTGAGTGAAAAGCTGAGAGAGAAGTGGTGCAGCGGAGCCCTGGAGGTTGGATTCCTGGTGGGACCGCACGAGCCAAATCGCGAACGCGTACCCACGCGCAAAGTGGTTTTCCGCCACATCTGTGGCTGGCGTGGCTGAAGATGTCGGCAATCGGAGAAACTTTCGCTTCCGGTCCCACTTTTTTTCTGTGTCGCAATGCTTTGCGGCTCAGAAAATTGCGAGCAGAAACCAGCAGCCCTCCCGCTGTTTTTGTATCCCCCGCCATGGCTGCTCCGAAGCGGAAGGCAGAAACAAATACCGGCATTTCGCCCAAAAAGGAGGCCGGCGCACCAGCAGACCGTTCTGCAAAACGGCAGCGGAAATCCGACGCTGCGGACGCCGGAAAACCAGCCAAAGTCGCAACTGCGAAGCCTGAGAAGGCGGCCCCGAAATCTGTATTCAAGAATGAAGAGAAGGCATTTCCTAGGGGTGGCGCTAGCGTTTTGACGCCGTTGGAGCACAAGCAAATTCAAATCAAGGCCAATCAGGATGTTCTCTTTGAGCAGGCCGGCATCAAGAGGAGTGGAAATGATGATATGGATATGAGCGATATTGGGTCGGAGGCAGGCTCGGAGCAAGCTGCTAAAACTACAAAGAAGCGGAAATCGAAGAAGAGCAAGAAGGCGCACGAGGAGGAAAAGGAAAATGTGATCAAAGTGGAATCGCTGAGCTTCAAGGTAGGCGCGACGTGCAACCCAGGAGAGTCGTCTCTAACAGCATGTAGAGGATCATACCGGGTATGATCATCCTGGGCCAGGTGTCCGAGATCACTTCCCGCGACCTCGTTCTCGCTCTTCCCAATAACCTCGTGGGGTTCGTGCCGCTTACCGCGATATCCGATAAGTTCACTGCGAAGATTGAAAAGTTGCTCGAGGAGGCTGACGCAGACGCTGGTGAAGATGACGAGTCAGACGATTTTGAGGATGTCGATCTGGACAAGATGTTCAAGGTCGGCCAATACCTAAGAGCTTGCGTCACGTCCGCTGCAGACGAAGTTCCGACAAGTGGCACAGCGAAAAAGAGAATAGAATTGTCGATCCAGCCAGCCTTGGTCAACCGGGGCCTCGCCAAATCCAGTATCACTGTGAACGGAACCATCCAGGCGTCAGTGGCCAGCAACGAGGACCACGGCCTGATCATGGACATGGGCCTCGAAGAGCCGGGACTGAAGGGTTTCCTCCCTAAGAGCGAGATCGGCAAAGATGTGGACCACTCCAAGGTCCAGGAGGGAACCGTGTTTCTCTGCACAGTCTCCCGTCTGAATTCTGATGGACGGGTTATCACGCTGTCTGCCGATTATCAGAAAACAGGCAATCTAAAAAAGCTGGCGCACGTCACGGACGCTCCCACCGTTGACGTTTTCCTTCCGGGCACTGCTGTTGATATGTTAGTGACGGATACCACGCCCACGACAGTTACTGGGAAGATCATGGGAATGCTGGATGCCACAGCGGATGCCGTGCATTCTGGTGCAGCCGACCGAGGCGAGGATATGTCTGAGAAATATAAGATCGGATCTAGGGTGAAAGCTAGAATCATTTGCACATTCCCCAACTCGGAACCCAAGAAGGTTGGAGTATCCTTGTTGGACCACGTCGTTTCGCTTTCCACCCGCGTTTTCGGCAAGGCAAAGGAAAGCAAAGACCCTCTGAGCATTCTTCCTATCTCCGGGTTTGTCGAAGAGGCAAAGGTGACGAGAGTCGAGCCTTCGAGCGGCGTGTATCTGGATATCGGCGTTAAAGGCGTCCCGGGCTTTGCCCACATCTCACGATTGTCGGATGAGAACGTCGACCGCCCTTCGTCAGAGTCCGGTGCCTTTAAGATTGGATCTAAGCACCGGACCCGCGTACTCGGATACAACCCGCTGGATGGGCTCTACCAGCTTTCTCTGGAGAAAAAGGTCTTGGAGCAGCCTTTTCTGCGCGTGCAGGACGTCAAAGTGGGCCAAGTCGTCAAGGGAAAAGTTGAAAAGCTGATCGTGGACAAAAAAGGGCACACTTCTGTACTCGTCAGCCTCGCTGAAGGCATCCGCGGGTTGGTCTCGGAAAGACACCTTGCTGACGTTCGTCTGCAGCATCCTGAGCGAAAGTTCAGGGACGGGGCCACAGTCACGGCACGAGTGCTCTCGGTTGATGTGGAAAAACGCCATGTCAAGCTCACGCTCAAGAAATCTCTAGTCAATTCGGACGTGGAACCATGGGTGGACTATTCCACTCTATCAGTGAACGACAGAGGACCCGGTACCCTTGTGGAGGTCAAGCCTGCCGGTGCCAAAGTTCGCTTCTACGGACCTGTGAAGGCATGGCTACCTGTCGCGGAGATGAGCGAGGCGTACATCGAGGATGCTACGAAGCACTTCCAAGTCGGACAGGTGGTGAATGTTCGCATCATCGCCATAGACCCGGAACATAAGCGTATGATTGTCTCTTGCAAAGATCCGGAAGCTGTCGATGCCGATAAGGAAGCAACATTCAAATCTCTCAACCTCGGTGACATTGTCCGTGGCACAGTTCTCGAAAAAACGGACGACATGGCCACTGTGGATATGGGGCATGGGGTTAAGGGACTCCTCAGAATTGGCCACATGACTGATGGATCTGAGAAGAAAGACAAGGCTACCATGGCACGGCTGCGCGTGGGAGGTCCGGTCGAAGATGTTGTAGTCATCGATAAGCGCAACAAACAAAAAGCCGTGATCCTGTCTAACAAACCGAGTCTTCGCAAAGATGCCCAAAACAAGAAACTGGTTACTAGCTTTGAGGATGTCAAGACTGGCGACAACTTGCATGGCTTTGTTCGCAAGGTGATGCCAGATAGGGTCTACGTTGAGTTCGGTGGTGGCGTCGTTGGCCTGTTGTTCCAGTCTCAGCTTCCCGATGACATGAAGAACCTGGCAGATTTCGGCCTACGACAAGACCAGTCGATCACAGCTCGCGTCAGTTATGTCGACGAAGGGCAGGCTCGCTTCTGGCTTTCGATGAGAGCCGACGCCGAAACCACTGCGAAGCCTCCCACTCAGGGAACGGTCGGAGAAGCAACGGTCAATGCTGTTGACAAGAATATCAAGTCTACCACGGACCTGCACGTTGGGGACACTACACAGGTCCGCATCAAGTCTGTCAAGAGTACTCAACTGAATGTCCAAGTTGCGGATAATGTGCAGGGACGAATATCTGTGGCCGAAATCTTCAATAGCTGGGACGATATCAAAGATAAAAGACACCCGTTGGCTCAGTTCAAGGCGAACGAGATTCTTCCCGTCAAGGTTCTCGGGCTTCACGATGCGCGTAATCATCGCTTCCTCCCCATCACCCACCGCCAGGGCAAGGTACCTACCTTTGAGCTTACAGCCAAGACCAACACGGATACTTTATCGCTCGAAAACATCACTCCTGGCTCTTCTCACATCGCTTTCATCAACAACATCGCTGACCGATATGTGTGGGTAAATCTATCAGCAAATGTTCGTGGGCGCATTGAGCTTCTCGAGCTTTCGGATGATCTTTCTCTTCTTGCAAATGTTGAAGACAACTTCCCGATTGGCTGTGCCTTGAGAGTTCGCGTAAAAGCTGTTGACGTTGAAGCTGGCCGTCTTGATTTGACTGCAACTTCGACAGAGTCTACCAAGCAATTCGAACTGAAGGATCTCAAGGAAGGACTGGTGCTTCCAGCGCGTGTTACCAAAGTTCACGACTCTTCCATTGTTGTCAAGATCAGCGAGAACATCGCCGGACCCATTTACCTTGAGCAGCTTGCGGATGATTATGATAAAGCGAAGCCGAAGAACTACAAACTCGGCGACATTGTACGCGTTTGCGTTCTGAGCGTGGATGTGCCCAACAAGAAGGTTTGGCTATCGGCCAGACCGTCGCGTGTGCTCAGCTCGTCTCTTCCCATCAGGGACCCCGAAATCAAGGACATTTCGCAACTGAAGGTTCACCAGGTGGTAAGGGGCTTTGTGAAGAAGATTGATGCAAAGGGTGTCTTCGTTCGCCTCGGTCCGCACGTGGATGCTTTCGTGAAGATCTCGAATCTGTCAGACGAATACATCAAGGATTGGAAGACAGCTTTCCAGGTGGACCAGCTGGTGACTGGAAAGATTATCGCTGCCAATCCGGGCATGCGAAACGCGCAGATGACCTTGAAGAAGTCTGTGGTGGAGGGTGAATACGTTCCACAGCTCGAGTTCAGTGATATGGAAGTTGGGCAAATTGTGACAGCCAAAGTCAGGCGTGTCGAAGACTTCGGTGTCTTCCTTGTCGTCGACAACTCACGCAACGTGAGTGGCCTGTGCCATATCTCTCAAGTTGCCGACTCCCGGGTGCAGAATCTAAAAGCGTTGTACAAGGAGGGTGATGCTGTTAAAGCCAAAGTCTTGGAAGTTGACCCAGAAAAGAGGCGAGTCAACTTCGGCCTCAAGTACTCTTACATCAAGGGCTCTGAAGAGGATGACGACGAGGAGGGCAGCTCAGGCGAGGAAGAGGATGATGCATCGGCGGTCTCCGAAATGGATGTAGATGGTGTGGATGAAGACATGCGCAGCGTGAAGAGTGTGGATGATGATGACGAGGCCATGCAAGACGCCGAGGAAAATGAAGGTGACGACGAGGATCCTTCGCACATGGCATCGACGACTGGTCTCAAGACCTCTGGGTTTGACTGGACGGGCGCTACGCTCGATCTGGGCGAGCAGAAAGCGGCAGATGAGTCTTCATCGGACGAAGAGTCTAAGAGGAAGAAGAAAAAGCACAAGAAGGCCACCATCCAGGAGGATAGAACTGGCGATCTTGACGCCCACGGGCCTCAATCCGTTGCTGACTACGAGCGGTTACTGCTTGGCCAACCAAACAGCGCCGAGCTCTGGGTCCGTTACATAGTCTTCCAGCGTGATCTCAATGAGATTGAGAAGGCGCGCCAAATTGCTCGTCGTGCGTTGTCTGTCATCAACCCTCGCGAAGAGAAGGAGAAACTGGACGTGTGGACCGCCTTGTTGCACTTGGAGAACGACTTCAGCAGCGATGACACTGTTGAGGAGACGTTCAAGGAGGCCTGCCAAAACAACGACTCCCGAGAGATACATGAGCGTATGATCAAGATTTACGTCTCTTCGGGAAAGCTTGATGTAAGTACTGACCTGCATTTCATTTCAGTTAATCCGTGCGCTAACTGCAGAACCAAATAGAAAGCGGACAATCTCTACCAAGCCATGACGAAGAACAAGGAATTCACGCCTACTCCCTCTCTGTGGCTCTCGTACGCCACCTTCCTCATGTCTACCCTGCAACCTCCGTCCCCAGCAAGAGCCCGCGCGCTCTTGAACCGCGCCATGCAATCTGTCCCGGAGTCCGAACACCGCTATCTCACGTCCAAATTCGCTGCGCTGGAATTCAAGTCGCCCAACGGCAACCCCGAGCACGGCCGCACCATTTTTGAAGGGCTCATATGCAATTGGCCCAAGAAGGGCGATCTCTGGGACATGTATGTCGAGCTGGAGAAGGCGCATGGTATCGGAGAGAACGTCAGGGCGTTGTACGAGCGCATGGTGAAGCAGAAGATGAAGCGGAAGAGGGCGTCAGTCGTGTTTAGGAGGTGGGCGGATTGGGAGGAGAATATTGGGAATTCAAAGGGAGCGGGAAAGGTCAGGGCGATGGAGAAGGACTGGATGGAGAAGAAGCTGGAGGAGAAGGAGAAGGAGGAGTAATCTCGTCTGTTGTGAGGTCTATTGTTGGCAGTCTGCAATTGTTCGCATAGTAGCATTGCTGGGCGTTTGGCGGTTTTGGGAAAAATGTATTCTTGGATGATCATCAAAAGGAGACCTTGTAGCTGTTACTTGCATATATATTTTGATCTTGAAAGCCATGCATGACGGTCGCTATCTTTGGTAGGAATACCACCGCTTTCAATGTATTCGCAGTTGCACATCAAAGGAAACCATTTGCACTCATGTACACATGTAACCCCACGTGATAGAATCCATCTCTCTCCCTACCTCTTCAACGTCTTCTGCTTCTCCGCATCCCTCACCAAAACCTCCTTAACGAACAAGCCTTTCCTCCTCCTCACCCCATCCATATACCTCTTGGCCACATTCTCCCTGTCGGCCAACTCTCCCAGATCCTCCAACTCATCCTCCGTAAACGGCACCCAGAACGGATCCTCATCCAGCATCTGGAATCCCGCGAACCGGAGCTGCGGACTCGCGCTGCCAGAACTCCGCTTGCGAATCTCGTCGGAGAAGCCAAAGGACTCGGCCACGGGAAGCAGCGCGTTGATCGTGAACGTCTGGTTGCCGGTTGTGCTGGCAGAAGACGTCGACGACAGCGTCTCGCTGAGGATCTGACCGCGACGGCGGGTCAGCACGGCATATACGCGTCCGAGGACGTCCGTCGAGGCTTGAATTTCGCAGTTGTACATGGCGAGCAGGAGGCGCGGGCTCCAGTCCAGGAAGCCTTGACGGATCGAATCGCGGACCGTCTTGATGATTTCGCCGGTGAGACGGCCGCTCTGGTCGGTGGTCTGTTGTTCCGATGGAAGCGCGAGGGTGACCTCCTCGACGAAGACGGCGATTCCTTGGACTGGTTCTGCGCAGAGAGGTCCTTGGGCACACGCGAGCTGAAAGGCATAGGTGATCTTATCGGTGAAGCTTTGGGCAGTGAGGACATGCTCGGTAGCATGCGTTGTAGAAGCGTCCTGGGATGGTGCTTGAACTTCGCGCAGTCTGTCATGCGTTAGTCTACAACACGACCATATGGTGGCATGCGAACACTTACGCCTTTGTGAAGATTCCGTCGTTGGTAGCGTCCACCAGGATGTTTGGCCCCGTTCGCCTGGGACCGAAGGCCGCTATTCTATCGATAACATTTGCCCATGTTTCTCGTTGTCCCTTTGCTTCTTGGAACGCTTCTCCAAGTCGTTGCTTAAACTCCTCTAGTGTTAAAGTAAGGCCCGTCTCGAGAGGTTGCGCCTCCTCCATGCCATCTTGTTCGGCAACAGTGCCGTCTACTGAACTTCCTGCGCCTCTGCGCTGCCTCTCTTCCTCCGCCCGTCTCTCCGCATATAGCCGCTTGATAGCTGCTGCATTCTTTCCTAGGAACTCGGTAACACTAGAAGGCAAGGGACGTACTCGCAGTCGAACCGAGATCTGCTTGCTTGACGTGATACCAACAACTGTACCTCGTGGCAGCGCGGGGTCTTTTGGAGGATTCATCTCAGCGGCTGCCACGATGGACTCCCGATAGGGTACCATTGGCTCGCCAGCTTGTATTTCGCACTTGGCAAACCGTTCGCGAAGGTCCTTTAGACACCTCTCGAGGTGCAGTTCACCCGCTGTAAGGATAACATGCTCTCCGCTTTGTAAGACTTCATACTCAGCACAAGGGTCGCTTTCAACCAGTAACTTCAGGCCCTTGATCATCTTGTCCAGGTCTGAAGGGTTTTCTGGCTCCAGGGCGACCCGCACGATGGGTTGCGAGCCCATTGTTATGCCTGCGAGGTTGATAGAACCAGCCAATTGCGAACATAGTGTGCCGGACTTCAGCACATGGCCAGCTAGTCCGCCGATACCGAAAACCACACCAGCCGGAACCGTAGTCAGAGGCTCAAGACTTCGGCCCATCATAAGGTACAGTGAAGTGACCTTCACCTTTTGTGGTTCAGGCGACGCATTCGGATTCGCAGGCGTGAATTTGGGACCCAGAACGTACACCTCGTCGCCGACACTCAATGTTCCAGAGTAGATCCGTGCGAAACCAATGAGGTGCTCGACCTCTTCTTTTGTCTCCTCGGTCCCGTCTGCCGTCCCAGTGTCTTCTATACCAGTAGAACCAAGGGCATCAGCAAGTCCCCCAACCTCTTCGCCATTTGCGATCGCCTGTTGACGCGCAATTTCGGCACGCTTCTTCCGGCCCAACTCTCTGGCTTCTTCTGCGCTCAGAGTACCACCCCTTCGCCTGTTTTCCGGTAGCTCGCTCTCGGGAACAGCGACCATTTTGCTAACGTATGCCACTACAGGGGCACTCTTGTCCGTCTTGAAGTCGACTATGGCTTCTCTTATTTCTGGTGACACGGCATCGGCGCCAGGCGAATTGTCGATGAGTTCGGGCATGCGCTGGGCTTGAGCCTTTGGTGGAGACGGAAGGTATTCGATGACAGACACGAGAAGTGCTGTTGATAGCGGGAGCCATGCCGCGAAGAGCGTTGTTAACAGTGCCCGGGGATCGCGGGAGCGGAGGATGTGGGGAGGTATCGTTAGGGAAAGAGATTTGGTAATCTTTTCTAGCATGGCGGGATCTCTGTAAATCAAGGTGAATAAGTATATTGGCGATGTATATACAGCGAGAAAACAGTTGGCAAGGGGAAAGGAGAGGGTATAGGAAATCCACGCACCCCTTCCCATTGTTACCTCCGGTGGTAGCTTCATACACCGCCCATATGTTGTCCAGGACTAGCTGCACGAACATGGGTTTCAAGTGACGACCTTTGAGATGCTTGGAGCCAAGAACGCGTTTGGTTTTGGGGTCGAGATAGTAGTCTCCCCATAATACCTTTTCAAGAACGGAGCGCTTTATACCGAGTTTTCTTTCATAGAGGCCGGCAAACTGCTTGACGGTGAAAGCCCAGCCATCGATGGCACTGCCGAAGATGACGTTGTTTTTCTCGGGGGCGAAGTATATATCCTCATCATCCTTCTCTTCGTACTCAGCAGGCGTGCTAGTCGTGTCGATGCTCTCGGCGTGCTCCATTACTGAAGACGAGGTCTGAGGCTTGTCTGCGGCTGCTGCGTTTAGTCGCTCCTCCATCTTCTCGCGCCATCGAAGATCTTCTTCCATGCGCTCTCCTTGATAAAAGCTGCCCATGACGGCGTTGACCTGTTCTAACAGCTTGCTCAGGTGCGTGTAGGCGTCAGCGGGGCTCATCTTCAGCTCTGTGATTAGCCTGTCCATCTTGTTAATGACAAGTAGAGGTTTCAGTTTCTCGATCCACGTCTGCCTGAGCACAGTGACGGTCTGACTACACACGCCTTCAACGGCGTCAACGAGGACAACGGCACCATCGCAAAGCCGCGATGCGGTTGACACCTCGTAGCTAAAGTCTATGTGCCCGGGAGAGTCTATCAGGTTTATGAGGTGCTCCTTCAGCTCTGGCTTCTCTTCCGGGGAGGACCTCCGTGTTATCGAAAAGTACAGTGATATGGCGGACGACTCCATGGTGATGCCGCGCAGCTGCTCATCCGGTCTTGAGTCCAAATAGCGGATCTTGCCGGCCAGCTTTGGTGATATTATACCATTCGTGGCAATAAGGGCATCGGTGAGAGAGGTTTTCCCATGGTCGACATGGGCTAGGATACATATCTAAAGGGTGCATGAGTATCCGCAGAGGCGCGGGGAGGGGTGTTTGACATACGTTTCGAATGCTCTCAGCCGCGCGCTGGAGCGAAACGAGCTTCTCGGGAGGAACGACGGGCATGGTAGGCGAGTGGGAGTGCAGCAGAAGTGGCAGAGAAAGGGTGCAACCGTTGGCTGGGAAGCGTCCAGAAAGTTGGGCGCTTCTGTTGGAAGTGATGGGGCAACAAGAAATCCGAGACAAGAGGTTGATTGCCCCGCCGTGATCTGACAGGGGTGACCGGCCTACCGTTGCCAAGCCACTAACTCCAGCTCCTCAACAGGGGGTTACCACCACGCCGTCACCTGCCCCGGCTCGCTCGAAGGGTCCCGTACATTTTCCCAACACTGTTGTCTCCCCACATACAGTACGTCTCTCACCACCGAGCACAGTTCCTCGCCTACACGTTCTTCTCGTAGCCCTCCGCCATTGCCCAGCCTTCACGGACAGGTCCTGTGGATGACTCCTCCTCGTCACCAACAGAGACCATGGCGGCCACCGACGGGCAGCCTCCACCCCCCTCGGCTACCCGCATAAAACCACCACGCATCGATGCACTGCAGACACAGCATGCCAATTGGGCCGTGTGCTCACCCGTCAACCAGAATGGAAGCTTCGAGTTTGACCGTGTCATCAAGGCTGGCTCTGTTCTCAAACGCACTCGCAAGACCAAGGCACGAGCCCTGGATGCCTAGCATCTCTTCCCAGAACACTGACAGTTTGCTCAGAAATGGCGATCGGCCTACCTCGTTCTCCGTCCCAATATTCTCTCCATATACAAATCAGCCGACGAAACCGGCTTGCGCCATCAAATCAATCTGGCAGATCTGACCGCCGTCGCCCGTCAAAAGGATTCGAACAAGAAGAAGGAAAATGTGTTTGGCCTATTTTGTCCGGCGCGCAACTTCCATCTAAGCGCACCGACGGAGAAGGATGCGCAGGAATGGGTTGACTTGATACGAACAGCTGCACGGATCGACAGGGAGGACGAAGAGATGATTCTGCTCAGCCCGTCTGGCAACAAGACCACATTCTCTGGTTTCGGAACACTCGCGCCGAGGGACAATGTTGTTTCGAGCTCATCGGAAGCGGAACCCACTGGGACTACGGCACCTTCTACTGCCATCGACATAATGCATCGAGGACGTCAGCCCTCGCATGCTCTAACCTACTCGGGTAACGAACATGGCTCCTTCTCAGACTTCTCAGACACCGCTGGACCAATCCATGCCCGCTTTCAACGATCGTCCGCCTCCCTCCCCCGTCCATTGGAACAGCAGAACGCTTCCCAGGTGAGCAATCTCAACGCCCTCCCGGATGATGAGCGCGTGATATACCATGGTTGGCTCTACCTCTTAAAATCCAAAGGCGGCGTCCGACAATGGAAGAAGGTCTGGGTCGTGCTACGACCAAAGTCCTTGGGCCTGTACAAGAATGAGGAGGAATATGCTGCAAACCTCATCATCCCCTTTCCCTCCATTATCGATGCAGTCGAGATTGATCCGGCGTCGAAAAGTAAAAAGTTCTGTATGCAGGTCATCACCGAGGAAAAGAGCTTCCGTTTCTGCGCCCCAGATGAAGACTCTCTCGCGAGATTCCTGGGTGGTTGCAAGTCCATTCTGGTGAAGAGAAAGGAATCCGAGCTCCAACGTGAGCTGCAAGAAGCACAGAAGTCGGCTCTGTCTCCGCCAGCTGCAATGAAGCACAACCCAGTTGCAAACCAACAGTCGGTTCCGCTCGTTACCGTCGAATCGAATTCTCATTCATTCCCGGTCCAAGGTGCACGTTAAGTCAAAGCAACTCAGTCGATCTCCGCATTATACCACCACTTGTGTGTGTCGGCTTTCCCATCGGCTACAGCGCCCTTCTCCTTTGTTGCCATCCGCGATCCAATATTCCCTTTCTCTCGGTTCTGGAAAATCGAAGCGGAGGCTGTTGCATTTCTCAAGCGCTCTTACCTTCATGATCCTCACGATTTACGATATCTGCATTGCCTCGAACCCTCCCAGGCAGGAGTGCTCTTGGTCGGCCTTTCCATCACGCCGGAGGGCGACTGGAACCCGGATCGTAATCTGCCTGGACAGCCTTGTCGGCAACTTTTCCTATCATCTTCTAGTGTGTGTAGTTTAATGTATAGTGTAGCGCTTGCAGTAGATTTACTAATACCAACTCTGGATATCGCGAGCCTGACCACGATTCGACCCACACAGAATCCTGGCAGTTTATTTCTGTATTATTGGGTACATTCTCCTGCCAACATTCTTGGTCGTGGCACAGCAATAACGCCGACACCCCCCACAAACAATCACGCTTCAACGGGCAGGGAGATCTAATTTAAAGTGCGTACAATTTCAAGAAATTCCTCAACCTCAACCTCAACCTCGGCAGGGCGGAGGACTCAGGCTTATTTGCTTTCAAGATTGCTTTCTTTCTTTCAGATCTACAGCTTACTATGTATATACTACGGGTTTATTCTAGGATTGATGCCGGAGCAGTTGTGGTGCCAGTCTTACTCTGCGCCACCTTGTCGCAGTACCTGTATTCGAGGGAGTCTGAGCTGCTCTCGGATATACTAACGTGGACGATACTACCTATATTCTTCGTTGCCTCTCGCAAAGGGACCGCGGAGCCGCAACCGGAAGCGAACGGCATTGACGATCCTAAAGTCGCTTCCTCCCGGTCACTGCGGATAGCGGCGACGTCCGTTGGAGTTGTTTCCGGGTACAAGAGCGAGTATACTGCTCGTATTCATCTTCTTGTAAGTATCCCATGCATTTGAATCTTGACAACTACCGCTGAGCTCAAATCATGCAGCCGTTTCTTACTCCTCTTCTGCTACATTGGCGAGTCCCCATCACTCCTGACCGACAAAGTTTTCCGTCACGGCTGTTTGCTCCCTTTGTCCACAAGATCTGGGGTACCTATGCGGTGGCTATATTCTCCACCTGTACGTTGTCTGATGGGGACTTTTTAGCATGGCCAACAACGTTATATATCATACGACTCATACCTGTTTTGGCTATGCTGTTGATCTACCTTAGCTTCACGAATGGGGCCTCATACTTCCCCCTGCAAATCAACTTTGAGGAAAACATCAAACCACTGTCGTGGCGAGTACTATGCATCTTGATAATGGTACTGGTCATTCAGACAGCGTTGTTTGGATTCCCGAAGCATCCCTACCTCCCACTTCTGGCAGCTCAGTCTTTAGCTAAAGCTTCATCTTGGTTCTTCCTGGCTTACGCGGTATGAGCAATCACCGATTCCTATCGTCGACTTTGAAATTTTGCTTATATGAGTAGGCAAAACATGCTTCATGGAGCATTGCCTCTGCGATAGGCACTTTCAGCATGGCCTCAACACATAACTCCTCTTCATACACTTCATACGCACAGGCTGTGACGTATATATTATGCTCGCTACTAGCTCTCGGGCAAACTCTTCACATGCTTCCCCGACCATTGGTCTCTGCGCGTTCTTTCCTCTGGCTCCTGGGATTCGTTCCAGTTATCCCATTCATTGCATCCAACAACATCATTTGGAAACACATATTAGCCGCAGAGACGAGCTTCCGCCTCTCATCGCAAGCCCGTCACCCCGTAGAAATCCTCGCTCAGAAGGCGAAAACGCAATTCGAAGCCATGATCCACAGACAATCTCAGAATTACAGCGCCGCATTCGCTGAGTACCGCCGCCGTTACGGCCTTGACCCTCCGCCTGGGTTTCAAGCCTGGTATGCGTACGCTGTGGAGCAGCAGTCGCCAATTGTCGACGAGTTCGACATGCTATTCGAGGCTATATTCCCGTTCCTGAAGGTGAGCGGGGCGCAGGTGCAGAAGGCTATGGAGGAGGCATATGCACAACCGGGCAGTGAGCTGTGGTCGTGCGTGTTCTCCCCGGGAGAGGGGAAGACAACTTGTCAGCACCCGGGTCGGACTTTTGATCGCCATACCGGACAGATGTTCGATGAGTTTCTGAGGAACGTTCGCGGGTTGGATGGAGTAGGCGATGTCAGGTTCCTAATCAATCACCTTGATGAGCCGCTGGTCTTGCTATCAGACAACCAATCAACTCAGGATAGAGACACGACAGCATTATCGTTCAAGAGCGGCCTGTCTCATCGCCCAGTATGGGACATTCTCACCCAGCACTGCTTATCAAAGAACAAGAGGCGAAGATATCAAAATGACGAGACTATCAAAGCGATAGACAACTACGGCATCCCGTTCATCACCTCTACTCAAACAGCTATGGACCTTTGCCAGAACCCGCGATACAGCACCCAACACGGCTTCTTCCAGAGCCCAGCTTCCTTTCGCTTATTCGAAGGCATCGTCCCAATTCTATCAACAGGCTCACCCTCAACAATGGGCGACATCCTCTACCCCAGCGCCGCCTACATGGAGGACGATTTCGCCTACGACGAAAAATACGGCACAGAATGGGACAAGAAGAAAAACCTGCTCTACTGGGCGGGCTCCACAACCGGCGCCTTCGCCACCGACCATTCGAGTGAGCAATGGCAGCACTTCCACCGCCAGCGCTTCGTCACCTTCGCCAACAACCTCCATACATGCAACCATTCCTATCTGTCAGAACACGGCAACGCAATCAACCGCACAACCACCACCTTCCTGAACCCACGACTCTACAATGTCGCATTCACGCAAATCTCGCACTGCGCTCGCGCGTCCTGCCGCGCTCAGTCCCACTTCTTTTCCCCCTCGCTGCCTGAATCACCGCACGCCCCGCTCCGTCACCGACTCGTGTTTGACCTGGACGGGAACGGTATATCGGGTCGCTTCTACCGCTTCCTGGCTTCGCACTCGTGTCCGCTCAAGCAGACGCTGTTTCGAGAATGGCACGATGAGCGGCTGGTGCCGTGGGTGCATTATGTACCCGTGAGCATGGGAATGGAAGAATTGCCGGAATTGGTGCAGTTTCTGGCGCTGACGGAGAGGGGAAGGGAGCTTGCGAGAAGGGTGGCGGAGGAGGGGAGGGAGTGGTTTGGGAAGGCGATGAGGGAGGTGGATAGGGGGATTTATGCTTGGAGGTTGGTGCTGGAGTTGGCGAGGGTGCAGGATAGGGGGAGGGAGGCTATGGGAGAGTAGCTTAGGTGTCGATGTCGTATTTTAGAATTTGAATTCCGTCTAAAAACTTGGTGGATGAGAGTCTAACGTCCGCCACCATGTCTTGAGTGGACACGAAGATGGGCCGCTGTCCCCCAGGAAGCAGGACCGTATAACTAGCTTCGTTATCAAGTCACGGTGGAACAGGGTGATTGTGTGCGTGGGTATGTGTATGTTTGTGTTGGTTTGGACGTGGAGTGAGTGCGTGGTTTTTATCTGCAAAAATGGAGGTGTCGGTGTGTATTGATCTCTCTCCGTTTGTCTTGGTGCCGCAATGGCCCGGGGACCGCTTTTTCGTTGAGAAAAATTACCACACACATATAACAACCAGCAGCTGAGGCGTGTTGTCAGACTTTCACCGACGGACTTCTATCGGAAACCGACCACAGCGCCCAAATCGACCCGATGGCGACTTGGTATTGGTCAAAGGCAAAAAGCGAGCCGAAACAGCGGATGGATGGGGTCTGAATTGACAGTGGGCGGCCGTCCCTTGGAGATGATGGGGTGTCAATCTGCTCGACACAGCTGTCAGCCTCAATCCCAACGGAAGCCTTCAAGAGAGCAATTGTGAGGAAAAGGGGACGGGGACAGAGTGGTATTATCGTTGTCACTGAAAGAGGCCATATAGAACGCAAATAAAGGGGTTGACTGGAATGTTTGTTCGAGCTCTGAAGAAAGGGAGACATGGCTTTGAATGAAAAGGAATAGAGGAGGTTCAAAAGTAAATATGATCTCCTGAAATTACAGACGGCCCAGATATCACAAAAACCGTTAGAGACCACCCAGCTACGGCGGCAAAACGGAGAGATATGTGCAAGTGGAACATATAGGAGGTGGTGAGGGGAGACAATGACGTGAGACCAGATTACAAGACGAATTTACCATATACGGGTATCATAAGGAAGGGTTGGGTTGCGGTCCACTGACTTGGAAACAAAAGAAGGAGGTTGACACCAGGAATTCCAATCACTCGAAGTTACTGCGAGGATCAGGTGCGCAGTATCCCCTACGGAGTATGAAGTCCGAGAATCTGTCTTCCATGCGAGCCCACTTGCCAGTGTTAATAGTGCAATTTCAGAGTCTCGAGGCGGAACTTACTATGCTCTTGTGCTCAATGATACCGTCTTTGACCCAGAAGCCATAGCTCCCCATTAGGTTTGCCATCATAACATCCGTGAATAGACGGTCGCCCACTATTGCGACCTGAGAAGGTGACGTGACCTCAGAATCAGGGTTTCTGCGAAAGTACTCCATAACCTCGGCCTTGCAGCCGGGTTTCTATACGGTGTTAAATCGTTCAATACAAGGTTCGAGTACAACGCTTGGTGGTAAGACTATGCGCAGCTTTGGATAAACGCACCTTCGTAGAATGTCTGAGGACCTTAACACCAGTGGTCTTCTCTAGTAGAGCGGCTTCCGCTTGGTGCTTGTCCGAGGCCGTGCCAGCTGTGTTGGAGACGATCAACAGCTTAGACCCAGGGTACGCATTGCGAAGTTCCTGAAATTTCTCCTTCTCAATTGTTAGACCAAATAATTGGATATATATACTCGAATCTCCGACTTGGAATTCCCATCATCCACGGAGACAAGAGTTCAAAATGACAAGTAGATAGAATTCTAATATTCGAATACATACCTGGTATGGCCCATAGACTTCGTTGGTATGAGGTATAGCAAAACAATTATCCTTATCCAGGACTACGGCTTTGATATCGACGTCCTTCTCTCCATCTTTTTTAGAAAAGGCCTTTGACAGGGGTATCGGCAGGTGATTGAAAGTAGAGACGGTATGTTGCGGGAGGCACAGAGCCGGGTCTCTGACCAGCCGGAAGACATTGAGTGTCCCCGATAGATTCATTAGGGGGAGTGAGAAAACGAGTGTGAAATTCTATGTAGTATTTAAAGGAGCAGAAATCTAGGCATGATACAGTAGATGCAAGACACCTCCTAGACCTGGGCACGGGCATGCCAAGAAATCCGGTCCAAGCTCCAGTTCGGAAATTCGAACATCACCAACCCCAGATCGATCGTCTACACTCATTACGCCTACAAAACCACAGTCTCATTGCGGATATCAACAGAGGACCCTCGCATAAAGCGCAATCAACATGACGAGCACGATCGGCATCCCGATTAAGCTCCTTAATGAGGCTACTGTACGCGACTCATTCACGCTGCAATAGGCACTACTGACTTGCGCATAGGGTCATATCGTGACGCTGGAGATCACTTCCGGCGAGGTATACAGGGGCAAGCTATTAGAAGGTGCGCTACCTTCCTCCTGTGCAGTTGGACTGGCGATCCTGACGTTAAACCAGCCGAAGATAACATGAACGTCCAACTGAAGGATATCACCGTTACCGCTCGCGACGGTCGCGTCTCACATCTCGAACAAGTTTATATTCGCGGTTCCCACGTGCGATTCTTCATCGTCCCTGACATGTTGCGCAATGCGCCGATGTTCCGCTCCCGGGGTACTAGGGGTCGTGGTGTCGGTCTTGCACGCGGAAGGGCAACCGTGAACAGGGCGAGGGGAGCTCGTGGGGCCCGCTGAACGAAGATAAATGAGAAGGAACAGGAAATTTGGAGTACGGGATATGGGCTTCATTTGCTCCGCTGCAGGAGTAATGAGACCCCTGCAAAAACGCGGAATGCCATGACGGGATTGCTGGGCGAAGGCATGGAAACAATCAAGAGTATGGAAATGGTGTAAAGACCTGGATTCATGATACCACTAGAGGCGATTGAGCGCCACTGTTCATCTGGGTGTCTCGTGGGCCTTGCGATACTGCAAACCATCTAATGGGCAATGCCACAAGCGAAAGCGAAAATTCGATCAAGATCAACAATTCGTCGACTTAATGGCTGTGAAGACCATAGAGATACCACAGCAGCACGTATTTACTGTATGGCTGCCAGTGTTATCTAGATTAACTCGTGAATCTTGAATAACCACCCCACTTGTAGAATGCCAAGACCTCCGAACCTCCGCATCTACAAGTACCATCTCTGCAGTCTTGAACTTCCTCCACATCAGCCCTCCCTCGGCAACTTCAGCATGGAAATCAGGAACCCTCGGCGCATACTTGTCCTCGGAGCGCCAGACTCCGGTGTCCTCACCCTCCTTAAAGGTATTTCAACCGCTTTCTTCACCAGCTCACATGCTAAAGTCGAGATCAGACCTCACAGGATCCGCTCCCGAGCTAACCTCCGACTCCACCGCCGGCCTGTCTCACAGTTGGGAAGTCACTACTCGCTACTATAGGGCATTGCTACCGATATGGATTGATGAGATTCCCCACGTCGAACAATGGCGAACCGAATTCATGAAGCCAGAAGCGAAGGAAGTTGTGTCTGTGCTCGGAGCATGGATTTTTTGTTTCCGCAAACCGGTCAAGGAAAACGAAGTGGTGCATGTGAGGGAGTCGCTGAAGGCGATTGCGGAAGTCATTGAGCGCGCTTGCGGATACACTGGAGATGCGGTGTGTTTGGCAGTTGCTATGCCGCAGGGCATGACGCCGCATCTGGAGAGGAGCACGGAGGAGTGGGAAGAGCTGTGCAACGAACATGGCTTTGAATTTGTGGACAGCGAGGCCAAGGGGAAGAATGAGTTTGGCGAAGAAATGGGTATCAAGAGGATAGAGGAGGCACTCAAGGCGCACGAGTGGGACGGCGACGATGCAGAATTGGAGTTCGAGGGAGAGGATGAGTTCGGAGAAAGTTTCGATGCGGAAGAGGCGGAGATGGGGAGGGAGCTTTTTGGCGTGAAGGCTGCAGTCAATGGTATGGAAGACGAAGATGCCGAGGCACAGGTCGAAGAGTTGGAACGGATGATGCAGAGGATGATTGCTATCAAAGGTATGACTTCTCAGTCTTATATGCTATATGACGTATATTCTGACCGTAAAGACATGGGAGAGGGCCTGCCCGAAGCCGAGCGGAGACGCTTTGCCGCTAAAGCCGTCGGCGACCTGATGAAAGATTTCTGAACCCTCAACTCCTCCGGCCAAGACATATCAGAAATGGGAAATCCATCTCGCGTTCCGGCTTGCCGTTTTCAGCCTCTACCTCCTTGCGAAGGACGAATGCGCGTTCGACCCGCACTTCGTTGAAGCCAGCGCCAAGGATGATCGTCTCTACCTCCTCCTTCTTGATACCATGGCGCTGTACGCCCTCCCTCTTGCTCTTGGGATGGAAGGGTACCGCCTCCGGCCCGAAGTCCTCGTAGTCTGTCAGTGCTATCCGGCCACCAGGCTTGAGGCACTGGAAGAGTGTCACAATCAGGGGAGCCATTTCGGGGACATGGTGTAGCGTCAGGTGCGACACTATCAAGTCGAATCTGTAGGGGTGGTCTTTGCCGGACTCCCCTCGACGCGTCGCGAGGGCTGCTGCCGCACCTTGTACATGTATGTCGTCTGCGTCTTGAACTAGGACATTGACAGCAGCGAGATTGGCCTTGTCAGGACTGGGCAAAGCCGCTACCTTCTTGTTGAATGCATCAATCATGCCTTCCGCGGTGTCGACGCCGACGAGCGAATGAACGCGAGGGGCGAGGAGCAGCGAAAGGAGGCCGGTCCCGCAACCGATTTCTAGCACATCGAAGTCTACCATTCGTTAGTCCCACGGCGACAGAGGTCAACATTGCGAGACCTGCTTTTTCCACGTTCGTCGGCTAGTTCAGGAACGTAGCGGAGCAGAGCCTCAAGGCACTTTTGGACGCTCTCGACATGCTTCTTGTTGTTGTCCCACTCGGCGGCCTCTGCATTGAATCGTGCATTGTTCACTTCCTGCGAAGATAAAGTTGGCGCAGCGGTTGCCATGGTAAGACTGAGATAAGTGCGAGAGATGAGGTTTTGGGAGAGCTCGACCGTCTTAACCAAAAGAATGTAGATCACTGCGGGGAATGCGGGGTTTATGAGGTACACCGCGGTGGAGCATAGTAGCGTGAGTAGCTATACTACAGATTCTTTTTCTGATGCTTTCACGTGTCTCAGGTCCGATTACTAGCAGAAGAGCGCTCCCTGTTTGCGTGCATGTCGAAACACTGCGGTATTTTACCTCTGTTGCTGCAGGACTGGACTTCTGAAACTCATCAGTTCGAGATCTTCATAGCACTGTACCTTTTCAGCCACACGCTCATCGTCAGGCTACAAGAGCGATGTGTGAGATGCATGGTCTGCGTTGTCTCAGCCTTGTACGTCCTAACAGTATATGGCATGGTTCCGAACCTCACGACAGGGGATTTCGATACCGTTGGAGACATCAATTGCGCCAACTCTCTCACGAACTATCTAAAGGCCAAGCCGCATAACCCACGAGGATGCAGCCCCGTAAACTCGCGCGTTGTACTCGCAGGGATCTAACAGCAACTGTCGACCGAGAGGAGAGAGATCAGGCTACCAACGATCGAACGTGCGTCCTCCACATCTTCGCCTCTCCGGTCTTCGATCCACAAGACATCGCTCAGCAACAGTGAAAAGTATATTGCGCTCTCATACACATAGGGGACGAAAATCATACCGTACCCTTGGAACGACAAGGCCAGACGGTGCATGTCACCCGGGATCCAGAGTCCGCGCTGCGCAACATGAGCACGAAGACAGAAGCAATAGAAATTCTGGGACTCCTGTCTCTGTGTCGAGCGTTTGCTGCCAAAGATGCCCAGGATAAGATTTACACTTGCATTGACCTCACGAAACCTATTGCTGGATTCAATATTGATCATGTTACTCCCACACATATTTAGGTAAAGTGTACACCAACTTTGCGGCCGCGTACATCAGTCATACTGTAGCAAAAGTCTTTCGATCCAGTATCGTGCCATACTTTGTACACAGTAGGGCTCCGACACCAGGTTTTTCGCTGCTATAATCAATTGGCACCCCGTCTCGTAGGTATTCGATCAATTGACTGAATCCAGGGCGTTTGGAACTGCACAGGCTCCGTTCGGTTCTATTGTGCTCTGGCAGAACACGACCGAACAGCTGGCATGATCGCTCTCGTTGCCAAGTCCAATGGCTCAATCCCACAACTCCGCCTCCGCCTTTTGCATCTCAATCGTTCTACAGTAGTTCCCGGTCGTGATTGGATGCAAACCAATTCTGCGCCACATGTTCATATGTTCACAACACAAATCTGGTCACATGGCTGTCACCGCATGTACCTGACTGGTTTCGTCTCCCCGTCAGCTGGATTGTCGGTGAGGACGGAGAGGAGTTGGGAGAGGGAGAGGAAGGCAATGACGCAAAGGAGTAGACAAGCCGGGATGACTCGATAGTTTTCGAACTCTCCTCTCTGCTGTTCTCTTGTTGTTGAATTTCCCCGCAGTGCACTGGCCACCGGCCACGTGCGCGGCAGACTCCCGCCGAGCACCTAGCCACATTTCAACATCAACAGACCTACAAGGCAATTCATTGTTGCCAGTAACCCGCGAAGCTCCTCTGCGTCTCTACCGAAGAGCGCTGACCCCTTTTGAAATCCCTCCCCAGGTACCACCGCGAACCGTCGAGCTGTCCCCAGCGTTTCGCCGATCAGTGCGGCTTACTGTTCCCCTTCACGTCTGCCGCGGCAACCCTAAGCCGAACCAACATCGCCGAACGAACTACCGCCGCGTATCACACTCCCAGATGTCAACCGTGTCGGGGAGCGCGTCCAATGCCTCTCCGCCGGCTACGCGTCCGCCTCAGCAGCACACTCGCACTTACCAGGCCTGCATCCCTTGCAGGCGCCGCAAGGTCCGCTGCGATCTAGGTCCCGTTGACAACCCTCATGACCCACCCTGTGTTCGCTGCCGACGTGAGAGCAAGGAGTGCTTCTTCTCCGCGACTCGTAGAAAGAGGAAGGGACAAGATGGCCAAGACCTGGACGAGACTCTCGACGACTACGAGATCCGCAATGGTAGGAAGCGCTCACGCACCGCGCCCGAAATCATTCACGTTGCGCGCCCTCCGAGTGGGAACTATGTCTCCCAGCCCCTGACCCCCGGTGGCTCTGTGGGAAGATATGAGCCTTTGCGACGGCCCACGACACAATCGAACACGAGCGAAAATCCGCGCAACGAGGAGGATGACCAGAATGTGAGCAATGCGACCGCTGGCATACTGCAGACCAAGGAGGTCTTCAGTGGACATGATGCCCTGAACTTGCTCTTCGAGGCCGCTGGACGCAATGGCGACATTGTCCACCACCGCACTGGCAGCGGCTCGAATCATGCTCAGCCAGCTATGGTCACAGCCCCGACGCCGACATCCTCGACGCGCTTTGTCAGCCCTCAGATGACGTCCACGAACAATTTCGACAACAGGAACCAAGCTCCCCCGGCCCCTGAGCCATCCTTCGAACCAGCTCGAGAACAGTCGGAAGTCCCAATACTGCCGGAGCCTCGCAATGACCCTGCCCTCCCAGCAGCCATACAAGCGTGGCGCAGATTCCGTTTGGTGCGCGCAGGCTGGTTGACCGCAAAGGAGGCAATTGCCTATATGGACTATTTCTATACCTACCTCTCCCCACTGACTCCAATCGTCGTGCCCGACTACCGGGATTACGCACTTCACGCTAAGCTCCTCAAGGAGGAACCTATGCTGGTTGTGACAATACTCACCATCACTTCTCGGTTCGTCATACCCAACACGGGCGGCGCCAGGACTCGTGGTTATCATATGCACAGCAAGTACTGGGACTATCTCAAAGGAATGATTGACCGCATGATATTCGGACAGGAACAGTTCGGCGGCGGGTTTTGTGGTGCTGGCCAACAACCTGGCTCGGACACAAACCCACTGTCACGCAAAGGACTCCGGACTCTTGGTACCGTGGAGAGCCTTATGTTACTCACAGAATGGCACCCGCGCGCTCTTCACTTCCCACCCGGCGACGATGACGACGAACTCGTACTCCCAGATGATCTCGGGGAAGTGGACACGAGGGCCGAGAACAAAGCCAGTGGAGGACAGCGCATCGATAGTTGGCTTGAACCCTGCTGGAGAAGTGACCGCATGTGCTGGATGCTGCTCGGAAATGCCACTGCACTTGCATTCGAGATCGGTGTTTTTGATGATACCAGCGAAGCTGAGTTTGAGGAGGAAAATCGCCATTTATCGCATGCAACGGTGAAGGCCTACTTCCGCCGAAAGAACCATCTCAAAGACCTCTTGAAAATCTACATCACGCAGACAAGCGGTCGATTAGGTCTGACCACAATGCTCCCTAAGCTCGAGCGTAACTACCAGATACCAACCAAGACGCCCAATGAGCTTTATGAAGAGCGCATTGCACAAATCAAGCCGCCTCCGCCAAACCTTGGTATGCGCCCGTCGGGACCGGACGGACAGCGCCTGCCATTCGAGTCTGTGGCGACCCAACATCGCCATGCAGTTCAGGATCTTGTGCTTGACTTCTGGTCGAGGATAGCCCTGATAATGGACATGGGCAATCAGAAACTGTTCCCTAACCGTCGACAGACGCGTGACCTGTTGAAGTCGGGCAAATATGAAGAACTATTGCGTTACTTTCAGACTCCGCTGCTGGACTGGAGTAGGTCTTTCGCCTTGGCAGACAAAGGTACGAGCCCTTCACCTGGAGAAAGCCACCCATTCTAATTCCTTCTCAGTCCCTAAGCAACTCAGATACGTCCTCACTATTGAGTATGAGTACACTCGCGTCTACCTCAACTCACTGGCGTTGCAGGCCGTGGTGGAACGTTGTACCCACAATACGCCGCAGCAGCAACACTCAAACCTGAACGGGTCCTCAAGGGATCGCGATGGCGGCGCGATTCCGTTCAGTACCCTCGTCAAATGGTATGGCAATGACCGGCACTACATCTCTGAGGTCATCGACGCCAGTCGCAATGTGTTGAAGGCCGTCGTGGAAGGACTGTATCCAGGGGACTACCTCCGCCATGCACCCGTGCGCACCTTCTTCCGCATCGTCTCAGTCGCCATCATACTTCTTAAAACTTTTGCTCTGGGTGCCACGGAGGACGATGTGGCCTACTCCCTTGGTCTTCTGGATCGCGCAGTGGGAGCCCTTCGGACGTCAATTGTCGACGATGTTCACGTTGGCAATCGGTTTGCCGAGCTGGTGGAGACGCTCACCAGACGCATTCGGTCGAGGTTTGTCCGCCTCTCAGCCAATGCTTCAACAGGTATCTCCCGTGCTGGGAGCCGTTCTCCGACTCGAAACGGCGCACTGACACCGACGATGGGCCCTCCTCGTCAACCAATTCAATCTCAGAATGGCGCAGGGCAGCATCTACAACCCCCATATAGCGGCCCAGGAGCTGGCTATACGAGCGCTACCACTTCCGTGCCCGGATCGCCTTCACTGAATCTCACATCTGGTCGCCAAACGCCCAACCCCTCCCTCTGGGGCATTTCAGCCGAACCGTACGACCCCAACTCGGGTCAACATTCTCTCATGCCGCCTCCGGGATTCAACCCGAACGGCTCCAGCTTCGACTACATGCAGCAAAACCAGAATTATAACAATGTCAATGGCTATGATAATTCGAGCAGTTTCAACCAAGGCGATCAGGATTGGTTGACCTTGCCGCTTGATCCTTTGCTCAATCAATGGGGTGCCGATATCACTCAGACAGCCATGGGTCCGGATGTCGGTGGCATGGATATGCTGGACATCCTGTTGAATATGGGCGGTGGACCTCCTGGGAGCGCTTAGATGGTGCTCAGAGAGTGTGACGATGATAGAGGATTGGACCACGAGGACCGTGTTCTTCGTATGTTGCGATTTTGGAGCGGGCGAGTTTCCGAGTTTTGATACCCTGCTGTGTATGTTATCGACTCTTTTGCCTGGTTGGGGTCTTGTCGTTGAAGCGTTTCTGTTTTGGTCCGTAACTTTGGCGAACGGCGTTCCGTCAGAATGGAGTATTATTAATGCATCGGCGGATTCTAGGTTACGAACTGGCGTGCCTGGGCAGACACATAGTCTCTGCAGCAAAAGCTGGGCTGAATATCATGACATTTCAGATATGTACACTATGGATACAAACAATAGGTACTTATACACCTCTGAAGGACCCAAAGATTTCAGATCATTTGAAGGAGACGCCTCCAAAACTCAGCATCCGCATAATCTCTCTCAATCTGGTATTACTCCTTGCCGTTCATCACGCCGTTGCCTGCCACGCATCCAACAGGTTCGCACCACCGGCTAGCATACCGCAAAGTCCAACAGCCATATCGCCCATCAAGCCCCCATCGACACTCCAGTGAAGCGTCAAAGGGAAATACCCAGCATTGCTGAGTATATCTCTCCACCATAACCGATCCTCCGCCCTCTTCCTCTCCCTCACCAGCTTCCCCTCCTTCTCCCCATCCGCCTCCAGCGCCCTGTCCTCCTCACCCGCATAGTACCAAAGCGTGCCTAGCCTTGCACCCTCCAGCACCACATACGCTGCCCAAAACCGGCACGACCATAACCACCATTTCGTCTCCCGCGCGGCTCCCTGTTCCCCGGCCCATGCTTCCGATGTCAACACCTTCTTTGACGACAAGTATGCCCCATTCTCCAGCACCTGGAACGCCACCAACGACCCAATCTCCGCCCACGTGATACCCTTCAAGATCCTCTCCTTCCAACTCTTCCTCTGCCGCGCAGCACCAGCACCATCAGCACCTTTCCACTCCCCCTTCGCCCACGTATACAACCCCAATAACCCCCACAACCGCACAAAGATGCGGAAGTCGGAAATCACAGCGTACAGCGCCTGGCTGCTCTTCGCCGCCTTGGCGAGCACGGCATCGCGCCTCGGAGCCGGGAAGGTAGCTACGAAAGACTCGCCCGGTAGGAGGAGTAGCTCGTCGGCTTTTTGGGCCACAGATGCCGCTAGTGTGGAGAGTTTGCGGTTGAGGTGTTTGGTGATGGCTGCGGAGAGGAATTTGAGCGTGTAGCTTATTGTGCAGAGGAAGACGTCGATGCCGCGGGGGGTACTGAGGAGGGTGGAGAGGCGGGTGAGGGTGCGGTCGGTTTTGGTGGCTAGGCGGTGGAGGGTGCGGAGGAGGAGGATGCGGAGGGTTTGGAGGGTTGAACGGGGTGTCTTGTGGGTGGGTGTTGCGGCTGAGGAGGAGGGTGCTTCTGGGGAGCTTGAGCTTGATAATGGTGGCGATGGCGAGGACGATGATGAGGGAGTCGTGGTTGGGAGCGCGGGGTCTGGTGCTGTGGTTGTGGATGGCGGGGGATGCGGTTCTTCTGCCATGGCCGGTGTATTGGAGGTTGCTGGAGCTTCGTAGTTCGCTGACGATGGAGGAGTCGTCATAGATATATGTTATGGTGTTGATGGCGCACTTGCGATCAACCGAGGTCGGGTAAGAGTTGCCTCTTGAGTTCGGCTTCTCTCGCAGGCAGGTATACACGGTTTCACGTGCTTATTATTCACCAACGTGCAGGTGCGGGTGAGAGTACTTAGGTAGGATAACGTTATGGGTAGAGAGGTTACTGTCGAATTGCCTGCAAAGTGTGGATATCTGTCTGGATCAAGAAGTATGAATGAATCGCGAAGCAGTGGGAGGAGGCGGATATGCTTAGTAAGCATCAAAGTCACCTCCCTCGTTTCGTGCAGACTTCAAGGCAGCATAACAGTTGAAAAGGAGATATTGCGCTATACAGGAATATGTTGTCCATTGAGCCTTTGGATTCCCTGATTCTCGACTTGCCTCCTAGCTGCATTGAGTTCTGGCCAGTAAACCCCAAATTTGCGCTGATCGGCACCTATAACCTCGAGAAGCAGGAGGCTTCTCAGGACGCCGAAGATGGTTCTAATACGATCGTTGCGGATATAGCGGCAGTGAAGAAAACGCAGCAACGCAATGGCAGTTTGGTCCTACTTCGTGTTGGTGCTGAAAATATGTGAGTCAATTTTTCATCCTCATTTCAGACCTTCCCATTTTCTCTTGATTGAGAGGACGTCGGTCAATTTACAATTTAGAGCTCAATTTATAAATGGCTGCCAGTGGCACGTCCTGACTGTCTTATAGAGCTGTTCTTCAGACCCTGCCCACACCTTCTGCAATATTAGACATACACTTTGCGCCATCATATCAACCCCCATCTGTCTTTGGCGTAGCGACTTCGACAGGCTCTATCGGTCTCTATCAATTCACTGGCTCACAGAATCATGACCCCTCGATGTCCAGCAGCTCAGATGCCGAGCCTTCCATCTCTCACCTTCGGACTTGTCAATACTTCCCCGAGGATGTGCTCGTAACAGCCTTCGCATGGCACCCGAGCAGACCGGCGGTCGCCATGTCGCTATCCTCAGGAGAAATAAGCTTAGGTGGCATCTCAGGGGAGACCACTAATGCTACCTTGTGCACGCATGACCTCGAAGCATGGACCATTGCTTTCACTCCCGATGGGCTTGGCCTATATTCCGGCGGCGATGACAGTACACTGAGATTCTCTGACGTGGCAGCGAACCTCCAATGCGTGCTCGACGAATCCTCTATATTCCACTCAGGGGACCTAAAAATGCCGTGGACCGACAAAAGAATTCATGGAGCCGGCGTCACTGCTATACTACCTGTTGTGGTCGAGGGAAGAGAGGACCTGGTGCTCACTGGAAGTTATGATGATCGCATACGGTTATTGGAGTTACCGCCTATAGGTCGCCGCACCGTTCTGGCAGAGCTGAGCCTTGGAGGCGGAGTTTGGCGGCTCAAGTTGCTGGATCTGAAGACCGCCCCTACTTCAGCCGACGAGCAATGCTCTATACTCCTGCTAGCATCTTGTATGCATGCGGGTGCCAGGATTCTAAGGCTCTCACAAAGCGCAAGCGGTAGCTGGCACTTTGACATACTCGCAAGATTCGAGAAGCACAAGAGCATGAACTATGGCAGCGACTGCCAACCGCAGTTGGCGGAAAACGGAAAAAGGGCGTTTGTCACCACGAGTTTTTACGACCGACTGGTCTGTCTCTGGCAATATTGAAGTTGCTACGACTAATGGTTACAACCCTCGAAAACATGAGCCGCACCATAATTAGAATCAACACAACCAAACAAAGAATGACGTGCTGGCTAAGCAGCAAGCTATACTACGCCGCAGCTGGAGACAGCGTGATGCTTTACGAGTGGTCTGCTCAGCTGGAGTCAAGTACCCCGGCTTACCAAAATATGTCGAGCAATGAGAACGAGGCGTGGCTTTTCAGCTCCTCCACACGCTGCCTCCGCTCTAAATCTCAACCAGCTTTCGATAGGGATGTTACTTTGACCGATCGATATGATAACTACGCCACTTGTCAGAATGTGAACATATTCATCTCATGTGATGGCATGCGCCTCCACTCGATGGCCGATACGAAGGACACGAAATATCATGTCTCACACTATGCCGGTGTATTGCGCGGGTCCATGAGGCACGCTATCGTAACTGCGTCGAGTTCTAAATTGGAATCGGCGGTGCAAATACCATCACTCTCATGCTGACTGACCACTACTGAAGGCCCCCGGCAGTGGATATAAAGAAGGCGTAATCTCGAGCAAGAGTTTACTTGCACAACAAGCAGTTTTCTATCCACTCTTGCAAGGATCATCGTATCAACATCTACCTTTATCTTTACCTCCGAACCAACCTATCTCATCCTTTCTGGAACAACATACGACATGAAGCTCATCGCTGCCACCGCTGTTTTCAGCCTCGCCTCTGTCATCGCAGGGATCCCTATCGGACAGACCATCATTCCCGAGACTCTCTCCATCTACCATGGCTACAACGGTCGCATCGAATACAACGTCGGTACCGGCAAGGTCTCCCGCGTGCAAAATGGCAACGACGACATCTCCACGCTCGTAACATTCAACTTCCCTGAAGCGACAAGGGGCCGCAAATGCGAACTCAAGTTCGAGCGCGACGATGGCTATCCAACCAGTTCTCCCAGCATCATCGACGCCTTTACCTCGTCCCAGATTGCTACTGGACCCAGTCCGGGCTGGGGACCTCCGTCAAACTACCGTGACGTGCAGCTCGGCAGGTTGAGAGTCCCAACAAGCGGCCAGGCCACTGTTGACTGGGGGAATTTCGTCTTTGATTGCCCGGCTGGACAGAAGAAGGGCTACGAGTTCGCGCCTACGGGTGACAGTACCTATTTGGAGTGGTCGAAGTCGACGGATGGGCCTTATATTCGATACTATTAGTGGTTGGTGTTGCGCGGCAGGGAAATTGTTGCCATATTTTTAGGACTTGATACAAGGAGTTTTTGAGTTCCCTCTTTTCCGTCTCTTTTCCTTCCTTAGCCGCTATTCATCCTTTAATATTCAAGCATTTACCATTCATAGCTTCTATCTCATCGCGTTTGCATATTTAACGAAAATCAATCTGAATTTGAGAGTTATCTGGCGACCTCCAAGCTCACTCCGAATCAACAGTGATCATTTGCTACAATGCTTCTCGTAGCCTAGATTTTCACAGATTGAACTTTTTTTTGCCTATAAGCCTGTGATGTTGGTTGATTTTGCTAGTTTCCGGAAAGTCAATGTGCAAGGTCACAGCACTTTCACCATCACGGTTGTTATTTGCCTAGTACAGGGCTTCTATGTTAAAAGATTACTACCGTGAAATGCAACATCGACTTTTTGGTCATTCGTGGAGAATATGGAAGAGAACTGGCAGCTACGTTTTGGGTGGCGCTCCCCTGCTTACAGCATAGCAAGATAATAGTTTCTAGATGCGAAATTGAACAGAGACAGATTATTGGTTTCTGCGCCCGTAGAGGTTTATTGCACCAAGATTTTTTCACGTTGCGTTGGCTTCTATTCAGTGTTTCTGGCTTGTTATAATCCGCTCAGAATGTTGCCAATAACAATGTTCTGTCGCCGCCTGTATAGTATGCACCTATATACAGTGCTTCTAATTGAAGCCGAGCCATTTGCACTGTGGTGCGCTAGTGATTTGGCTAACACCGAATTATTTAACATTCGCATTCCGTATTGCTAACCTTATAGAGATCTGGTGTAGGTTCGCTAGGTTCTTACTGTACACAAAATGGGCGTCTTTTGCAGGATTTCAAATAATGTTCCGAGCGTCACTAAGAGTACACCCGCCGTTGGTCTTTTGGTGTTCGACAAAGTACACTACCGCGGAGACTAACTTGGGGGTTGATGTTCACGAACCAATAGAAACAGGAACGGAAAATAAGTTCCGAGACTGGTGTGGTGGAAAACTGACCGCAGATGATGCCGTTATGCACGGTAGATCAAATTGCATGGTGACTAGGGTGCAGAGTTTGGATCTACACAGTAGGCCAGCGAAGATACACACTGTCTGCATACACAGTGTCAAGACAAGTAAAAACCTGTCCGTTTGCTCCTGGAATATCCTGCGGTACAGAGAGTCTACCGAGATGTGCCACCTTTCTTGAAGCCAAAGGTCAACTAACGTCCGTTGTCCTGCTGACGTCATAGATCGCGATCTGTGTTTGTTGTTCTCCATCGACGACCCTCTTTGCAACGCGCGCGCTTTTTTTGCCGCCTCCAAGAGAAGAATATCACGCGACGACGAGGTGACCAAATGCTTTCTCAGCAAAATTGAATAATGATTTGTCGAATACTGACGACGCCGACCTTGGAGCCACATCTATGGGACGATGTGAATGCAACAGGTCCAATGGTGACGATCTTTACTCAGCCTGATGCAGCTGGCACAACAAAACAGGCTTAGGCTCACAGCAGTCACAGAAAGTGCGTGCCCCGGGGATTTCTCAGTCGAATCCCTGAGTCAAGCCCCGGCCGAGCGTGACTAGAAAATTCGAAGTTTATCGAAAACAGTTGTATGCAGGCCAGAAATGGACGAATAAAAGGTTATAACCACGCACCCAAAACTCTGCAAGTGTGAATCGCCACAGTATCTACCCTATCACCGAGCGGTTCGGCCGGGCCTGTGATCACGATAACGATGACACGACATCGGGATAGGATGCCGAGCGGTGAGCGTGTGTCACTGCACGATATCCTTCAAGGTGCCACGAGTACGGTGATTTCAAAATCATTGGCAGTGTTCCCGGCCCCGAGAATATGGTTTTAAGAGAACGCATAAGGCGGCATACGTCAACGTGACACGGTCCTACGGCACAGAAGCTGTAGACAAGTAAAGCGAGATAAATAGTGTTTGGACGTCGTCTTATCCCTCGAGCATTCCATCAATCCAACATTCCACCACTCCTCAGCACAAAGGGCGCATAAACCCTCCCGAACGAATCCCTCTACCAGTTTCACTACTCCACTGTCAACCACCTATTCTTCACCATGGCTCGCGTGCACGCTACCAATGACTACGGCACTGCTGCCGCCCCACGCTCAAACAAGCTCCACCGTCCTCTGATCCTCGCAAACCATTTCTTGCACTGGAGCTCTTCCGTGATAGTGATGTCTATCTCCGCCTACTTCGTCGCAAAGTTTAGTCACAACACGCACTTGATATATTGGCTCACGATCGTACGTATACACTTGCTCCTTACCGTATGTGGCCATTGGGCTAACTTTCCTAGGCTGCCATCGACACATTGCTCTACCTCCCGGCCCTCTTCTTGCCCGCCATGAGGTCCTACAAGGGATACTTCGCTCCAGCGGCTTGGGTATTCTCCTACCTCTGGCTGACGGCCTACATCTTCGCAGCACAAGACTACAATTTCGGTAGATGTGCATACCTCTCGCCTGCCTTTGTCAACAAGTGCAGCATGAAGCAAACGATTCAAGCATTTACTTTTATTGCCTTGTAAGTCTTCCCTGTTTTTCTCCCCGGAGGTCGTTGGCTTCTGCTAACACGACTCCAGCTTCACCAACCTCGTCGGCCAGATCCTCGAGGGCCGTCTCTGGGATCGCCAACGCTTCAAGGGCACCCATGCGCTCGATGCTGACAAGACCCATGCTACGGCTCCTGCGACGGCTACTACCACTACCACAGCACCCACCACGGCCGTTTGAAGTGCGCAGAACTTGAGAGTAACAGAAGGAAGTAGACATGTGTAGTCACTTCGTAGTGCGACGATGAAATGACTGGAATGAGTGGAATGACCGTGACATTGTATTATAACCAGAGACGTAGAACTCGGGATGGGGTGTTATGTAGGAGCAGTACGTAATTTCTAATGGACACTCTCCACTACGTTCAAGCGCACGGAGAACTTACATGATGTTTTGCTGCTATCATTTCAACACCCCGTGAGGCGTGACTACGACAGAAACTTCCCGCCTATGAGGTGGAAGACGGCTTCTATCACCAAGAAAATTTTTGCTGGTTTCAAGAAATAGAGACCATGTTTCCGCAATGCATTGCCCTTCGAAGTGCGACAGAAACATGGAGATATGAGAATATCACCCTCTCGAACCACCAGCGCAAAGAAAGATATTTTGTTACTAGGATTTACTCAGTTTGAAAGGAATTTCCATATTGTGCTAATGCTAGGCTCAAGGGAGCTTAGAAAGTGCTCCTTGACCCAATGTACTGTATCGATAACCTGACGATGCTAGGAATACCTACCTCCACGTATCGTTCACAGTCGCAGTGCTACCGCACCCAACCGCAGTGGTAAACCTGCGATTCGGGTCGCTTTCCCACACGACCTGGCCGTTGGCGGTCTTCCGGATGTACTTATACTCAAACACTGTCCCAGCCGGCAACTCAATCTCTGCAAACCAGAGAGGGTCGCTGTTGGTATACTTGCTGGCGCTCAGAGGCTTCGCATCGGCGGGGCTCCAATTGCCCAGCTGGGTCAGTTGACCGGTGACATAGATATTCTCGCCAAAAGTGGTGGTCGCTCGAACGTTGAAAGTGGTCTTGGTGTTGCACGCCGGAGTTCCGGTACAGGCTTTCGGTGGAACGTTGTTAGACGGCTCGTCCCAGGTCGGGCTAACAACACCAGCTCTACGTTCGGTGGCGGTGAGAAAAGCGGCATAAGACCAGGTCAAATCCGCCGCCGAAAGAGGTGAGCCGTTGTTTCTGTCAAACTGCTCGGCCAGCGCACCGTTCGCGGGCGTGTATTTCTGCACGACGGCAATAAAGTCATCTCCGTACGTCTTGACCGCGGAAAGGATGGAAGCGTAGGTCGAGGAGCCCTTTTGATAAGTCCCCACGGAGATAGAAGGAAGTATATCCCGGAAGAAAGGAAGAGAAACGGAGTTGACTGTTATGGACCCTTGCTTGTCCCATTGATAGATGGCGGAGTAGAGCTGCTCGGCTGCTGCCAGCGTAGCTAGGTACCATGGATTCCCGTTGTAGTAGACATCTTCCGAGTACCTTCCAATCCCCACTGCCCGGCCTTGAGCAATGCCCTTATTTACTCCATAGATGGAACGGAAAGAATCAGCCACTGCCTTGTGATTCGCAAGCGCACGAGCTGAGCACGGCTGGAAAGTGGCGTCAGTGCAGTTGGCATTTGGATCAAACGTGTGAATGGACGAGATGATAGAATTGACGTCTTTTCCGGTGCGACCGTCATTCACGTTGATGTTCGAGTCGATATAGCTGCCAGTCCAAAAGCTTTGCGCAAAGCATAGAACCTGGGGTGCAGCTTCGGCGCATCCAGTGCACTGCTGGCCAAGCTTAGTAGCCAAAGCCACACCTTCGACAAGCGCCCGGTGAGATGCAGCGATGGTGAAGTAGGACGAGCCGTTCACTTCTTCCCAGAGGTCAAAGCCGGTCTGATTCCAGTACTTGACAACGTAGGCAAGGTCCTTGGCAATGACAGGCCAGACGGTATTTTTGGCTTGCGTCGCGCCGCCATTTTGAATCAACCAGTTGGCGTAGATGGTGAGGGCAGTTGCCCGAAGCGCTGGTCCATCACGCTGTGGCCGGCCCCAAGCACCAGTGAACGCGGTTCGGTCAACATTGAACTTTGGTTCTCCGAGACCACCCGTATCTGGCCCACCGGAAGGGTTTGATACGCCTTGCAGGTACGCCTGAGCAGTCACATAGTCGTCGATCTTCTGCTTGAGGGATGTGTCGCCCGCGATGAGTCGTTCCACCAGAGCCTTGTATGTCAGCGCAGCGTCGCGAGTCCAGGTATACCAGTCTGTTTCCGTAAGTAAAAGATCAAGCAAACTTTTGAGGACGTACAGTCAGGATTGGACCTTGAAGGACTGGCTACCACGATTCCCGCTGGCACCCCTCCGGCTTTGCTACCATCGGGGCCGATGTTTGCAAGAACTCCTTTCAAGGATATCTCCGTTTGAGTCTTGATGAAGTCGTCGAGTGAGGCCCTCTTCCGATGATCCGCCACCGGAGAGGCATTCACACCGACCAGGAGGAGAGCCGCTGGGGCGGCGCGAACAAGCCACGAGAGAAGCATGGTAACAATATGCTATTGATAACCTGGGGATGATGGTATGTTTGTGGCGAGGCGTCTCTATTTATACTCGTAAGTTTGCGCTCCCATTGCGAATTTTTAAATGGGCTTTTGGACCCAAGTCAGGGATCCTGACAGATCGTGGAGTTGAACTCCCAACTGGGGAGAGACTGTGGGGTTGTACTACGACGAATCCGGGGCCCCGCAACGGACAGACTGACGGTTCTGGTACCTGGTGGCCGGGATAGATGACGGAGTCCGCGTGAATTTACCTTCGCTATTGTACGCATGTCGTCCCCGTCGGAGCCAAGGCGGAAGGTGGTCGGAGTGCGTGGAAGCATTTCATCGGATCCAGTACCGAGCTGTATAGAGGGGAAAGAACATGTGAAGCAGCAAATCTTGGAAAATAGATGAAAGAACGACTGCCCCTGCTCACATTGCGCCACGTGATTCGTTCGTTCACTAGACCTTCCTAATCTGTACTAGGCTTTTCGGCTATCCAGGTCGCCACGGTCAGATCAATCGCTCCGCCGTGTACTACTATGTATGCAAAGCAATGATCCTATATTATTGGACGACGGGAATATGATATTAATTAGTGCGTATCGGTGCTGCGGGTGCGGGAATTCCCATCTTAGCGAGAAATGGTCAATTCTTTGACCATTTCAACAGTGCCCAATTTCGGATTTTGGAAGGTAACTCTATATTGATAGCTTGAGAAGAAGTACTGGTGGATTTGATGTAATGCGGTTGTTGAAATCGGGATTGCATTCTGCTCTGTACAACGCTACGACCATCACTCCTCCCAAGGTGTAGTTAGGGACCAAGATCCATATACAGTGTTGGTGTTCGTAGATCCATCAACACTTGCCCGGCATCTCTTCACGGGGACAGCTTCTTGCGCCCTATTGAGCTTCACCTCATAGGTTAATTCCACTAAGCGTCGAGTGACCGGGCGCAGTGTGAGTGAAGTTGGAGCGGAAACCTGACTGTTTCGGAAGGTATATGTAGATAGGTGCACAGAGTGAGTAGCCTTCTAGGAGGCATAGAAAAAACCCATATTCCCAATCATGAGAAAGCGAAGCTCTCGCTGTCAGTGAGAGCGACACCATGACATCCTCATTAACACTCGAGGAGTCCAAATCGATCCCAAGAATGCTTGACTGAATTCAATGTTTCCCATGATTCACAATCCGTGGTTTGTGATCCTATGTATTGACAGGTAACTGCCTTGTTTGGCGATCAGATACTGATTTGAGTATTGAAGGGCGACAGAAAGTGGCCATAGAGCGATCCCGCCCTAGTAAGGAAAGTGTTCGGGTATCTCAGTAATTATGCATTCATCCGCCGGAGGTGGATTTATCGAGTGATCGGTACCCTATGCGATAGGAAGGTGTCCACGTAACGTCATGGCTGAGTGAGCGAAAAGCCAGTAACTGCACTAACCATACCACCCTCACTGACACTGTATATGACAAATGATATACATATTCTGCAGATATGTAAGAGTCTTTAATAACTTGGGATCACGAGAAGGGGAGGAGCCATGGAGAAGAATGTGCGTTATTCATATCCAACACTGCGACAACTGTGCCCTAACTAAAGTACTTATGTACTGCTCGGTATAAGCAATCCGATGATCCGGGAAGCACTGGCTCTCGTCAATACGGCGGACAAAAAAGGGACCAATATAGCCTATACGATCTTGCCTTTCTTACAATATCGGGTTTCACGAGTTTACCATCTCGGCCGGTCTCAGGGGCGCATTGCATGCCGAGCAGTGCTGCAGGAAGCCGTTGCCATTGCAGGCATCGCATCGTATATGAGGCGGTCGGTAACTCCAATCAGTATCTGTCAGCGCAGTTCAAATGTGAAGATGGTGTAAAGCGGTCACTGTGAAGTGATCGCCCGGCAGCCCCGTCTGACATAACCACATCTCTTTAGCTTAGAGTTGGATATGAGCAACAAGAACGGGGCATTTCTGGCATGAGGCACCGTGGGCTGAAAGAGTCCCGTGCTCCGTCCTGACAACGCCTTCATTCCGGGATGAACTCTTGTATCTCCGAGTGGAGAAAGCCACACTTTGCATCCAAGTAATGGTTGGGGTAAGATGTGACTCACTGAATCGGATGACCTTTACATTTCCAGCATGTCTCAATCTTTACCTGTACCGTCGCTGCGCACTCTGAACACCGCGCAGTGATGTGTGTGCATGGAATCGTGGTAGCCATCGTGGATGAAGTGGAAAATGTACGAGGTCGCGAATTCTTAGGGAGAAATAGGTGACGGGAGGTTCGCAATCTAATACCGTAGTCAACCTTTATTCTTACAGTCCAAATGATAAGCTGATTCTTATCTCATTGTGGCAGCATCTGGCTTTAACTCACCTCACTGACCGACAAGTCCAATCCCTTGCTACGAATCTCGCGCATCACAGAATGACAAGTTCCAGAGACTGTACTCCTTGGCACGAAAACTCAGAAATTATTGCTACTATAAGCTGACGAGGCTAATAGATCAGCGCTGCAATTTCTCCACTCACGCGCTGCCAGCGTTGCGTGTGAGAAGTCCTCCACAACCAGCTTCGTCGAGGGGTGCACAAAGCCTGACGCCCCGCTTCGGCCAGCAAATGGCTCCAACTCTACTGTATGCTCTTTGGCCACTTGCTTCTGCATATTGTTGCTACTCAAGTGGATCGCGAGTGGCTGGCAATCATGTGCCTACGTTGTGGCATCCCAAGAGAAATGCACGCACCCACGTCGAACGAGATTTGAAGATGCCTCGGCCATGACTATGAGTAGTGTCATGACTATCGAAGAGCTTTATACAGAACGCCGACTATACCATTACTTCGAGGTTGACACATCCTAATGGTAGCCCTCGGGGTCAAGGCACCAAAGGGTACTGCGGAATGGAAGGAGACCCTCAACTTCGACACGGAGCAACCTCAATCCACGGTGAAGTCGTTGTGTGCATGTTGTGGAACAGTGATGCAGGGACCCGTAGCTTAGACCGGTGGTGACTGCTCACGTGGATGGGGACTTCTCGGAGAGCCACGCAAGTCGGGCAGCCTCGCAGCGAATCTGCCATCTCACGATCCAATAACCATTTGGTTTCCGTCATCGTTGCCTACAGTGTGCTTACGTTCTTTTTTAGCAAGAAATATAGGGTTACTCGAAGCCGGTTGCAATTGATACTCTAGTTCCTTGTACACATGGGCAGCTACTACCAGAATCACATGTGCCAGCCCCATGGGAGGCGTAATCATGAAACTGGCAATCAAGCTCTGTCAACGCATTCTCAACTTTCTCCGTACAGAATAGTTCCGTCACAAGGGACGCTGCTTTGAACGGAGACTGGTCTCATTCTTTTTGGACCATAGGGTAATGACGATGCGGCCTCATCGTTGGTCGGTCACAGAGGTCTCCCGTAGTTTTGTCCCGCCCGTGATCAGGTAGGTCGCCACCGAATCAACATACATTCAATCTCTTTTGCTCTCAGGAGTATCATCATAGTAGCTGCTGATACCTTCCGTCTCCACTCAATGATGCATGGTGCGGTTTTTAGCACCTTAGGGTACTGCGCGGAGCTGCCTCAGTAGCTGACACGTTGTAGCTGGTGTTTTATCGCCGACTCGGACTTGTTCAAGTTCCGAGCTTGCGAAAACCTCATATCGCCGAGATTCGGATCCTTTATTCACCCCACTCGTGCTCTGATCCGCCAAATCTGACCCGTTTCAAGTAGTCATAACTGTTTATCGTACGGCTGAGCCAACAAGCAGCATCGCATCTCGTAGAAGCTTCGCAAAACTATGACCGTAGTGAGTGCAGATCTAACGCGTAAGTCAGTGCAGGGAGAAGTAACATCGAGAGCAAGGTTTTCTCTATGGGTCTCTGACTTTAATGGCCGCTGTAGCGGATTGAAAGGGGTAACAACAAGAAGAACATGGAAGAATAAGACTCGCTCTCATGGCCTTCCAATGTGAAAGCGAATCTTTAAATCAAAGCGACTTCCTCGCCTGCCTTTCTCCTTTTCATGCTACGGCAGGTTTACGCCATCAACCTGCAGCTTATCAACAGGTGCAGAAGTATAGTATTTACATAACATTATGTCGACATAGAGCTAAGATGACTAAGTGAAGCGAGGCCATTATGCCGTATACATTATAACGATCTGCGGAGCTCCTGAAAAGTTGAACAACTGCGAGATCATGAAAGTAACAATGAATGTTCACGGATCGGAGGAAACCGAACTCGGAAACCCAAAACGTCGACCGACCTCAGCATAACTCTCCTAGTTTCTAAGACAAGAGATTTGGACGTCGTCTATCATCATGCATTACACAGAACATGAAGGATCAAGAAGAGCAAAGACGGAAGATCGGCCCGAGAAGGCATCCGCGCTTCAGAGAAGGCGAAGACAGCGAAGGGGAGCGGGGTCATCTAGCACCCTATATATCATTCAGTCCGCGATGACAGCACCGAGTCTTGAGAACCCAACATTCCCCTCATCTGCGGCAGACGGCTCAGCATCAGCAGTCAAGTGTTCTCCGTCCGAATGGACCGACCATACTCTCAGACATAACGCAATTGACGCTTGGTAGATTGCCAGTGAAGTCGCAGCCTCAGGCACCGAGAGTAGGCCCCACACTCACTTGTAGAGACCGCGTAGTTTACATTTGACAGGAGCTAGGGATAGCTCGTAGACTAATTCAACGTCCGATGTCTTGAGCAAGTACCTGCAGTTAAACAGTCAGGATATACACTGCTAGAATTTCATTGATATTATGTACGTCATTGTCGCAGAGCAGAGCTACCGCTCTGGCAGCCGGAACAAATGGCGCTTCTCGCGATTGTCACCGGCCACGACATATGTCTCAGCAGAACTATTTCAATTGGTAGAGAATGAAATTTGCCTTGAGAGGCTGCAGTCCCAGAATGGCCCATTGAACTCTCCATCAGTCAATCATATGTTATCCGCCGTGTGCGCCTTCCCGTTACCCGAGACCCAGGACCACCAACACCGTGAAAAAGACATACCAACGAAATGAAATAAACACCGCTGAGACGCCTTGATTACCTCGTGAGCAAACCAAGTTCCACCAGGAGTGGTACGGCCGGTTATACTGAAAAAAGGTCCAGTGAATATTGATGTACTCTCTCAAATTCACTCGCGGACCGATGACCGCCGACCGGGGCCAACCGAAACCAGATGCCCGCCTGACCATTGTCAAATCCCATTCCTCCACAGTTACTGGAAGAAGGCCTCAGGAAGAGTAGTGAGGAGCCCAACCACACCGGCTGCTCCAATGGCCATGCCAGTGGCAAGAATTCCAGTGAATTTGACACCTTTCCGGAGCTTGTTGTACCGGCGGGGGACGGCTACGCGACGCATTCGCTTGCTGTTTACCAGGTCCTTTTCCGCCAACTCTTCAGCCTTGCGCTTTGGCGGGCGAGCAGACGTGAGGGCGATGCTTGACGAAGCGGCTACTTCCGTTCGGCCAACCTCTTCCTCATCTGTGTTCTTCTCAGCCACTTTGGTCTCGTTGGATTTCTCGTCTCTCTGAACCTCGACCGTGGGTTGCATACTTGCGAGCCCAGATAAAGCGCAGTTGCTCGAGGGAGGCTGCACGACGGTGGATACGAGCTCGGCGACATCGGTTGGACACTCGGCTGCCCGTGAACCCGTAAAGGTGAAAGGTTGGCTAGACTTATCCGCGCTCTGAGGGCTAGCCTGGTTTTCCATCGCCGACTGATTGGTGCGTTCCGCAACATCAAAGGGGTAGTTTCTAAGAGGGCTCACGGCTGGGGCCTGAGTTTCGTGTGAAGCAGTCATGAGTTCTGGGATGGACACCTTCGTGCGCGATGTTTGGGAGAAAGTACTAGGAGTAGGGCCGTCATTGCAAACGGACGGCAACGATGTTTGGTTGGCGTCCCATTCTAGAGTATCATCGCCACGTTGTGCCGTACTTTGGTGCAGTGCAGGTGCTCGATATAGTGGAATGTCATGGGTGCCCATTACGCCCCGCATGTACCAGTGCGTTGCAGTGGAGTAGGTTGTGGGATGTGGCTGGACTGCAGTGAACCCATACATTTGGGTGGATATAGGCAAGCCACCAGCAGGAGCGGGAGTGGATCCGGAAATAGGAAATCCCTCTGGGCGTTGAGACAGGGCCTGCTGACCGGGAGCAAAGATGTTGCTATAACCGTATACTGGGGTACCAGAAACTCCTTGGAGGCTATCCCGACTGGCTTCTGCGCGATTTTCTTGGGCAGTCTGTTGAGTAGTATTCTGAGCGGCCTCTTGTGCAGGCTCGGCGTCTCTGGAAGATGCAGTGGCCTCATTCTCCCTCCCGATAGGTATGTCCAGCGGATTGAACCATTGCCTGATGTCATTTTGGGTCTCGCTACTATCCGGCAATTCTTCGCCTAAATCTTCGAGTTCGCCGTCACTGGTTGACCCTAGCCCAGGATCCGAGGCGGAATCGTCCATGCTATCCGAACCCACACTCACAGCTTCACCGAGTGCATTCCCGGTGTATGCGGGACTCCCGTCACTCGTATACTCGTCGTGGGATTCGTCAAACAGAACGTCATTCTCGCTGCACGAGCCATCCCAGTCGTGAGCCGGAGAAGACGCTTGGGACGGAAAGCCGATGCCATTGGGAAAACATACATCTTCCGGAGAACGTCCACGCTCAGGCTCGGGCTGAACAGGTGTAGCGTTGAAGCGGTATTCCGGGGCAACAAACGTATCTGTCGGATCAGTTTGATCGTGGCTTGCAACATGTTGGAGCTGACACATACCCTTATCCCGCACGATATCGACTCCAAGCCTTAACTTGTCCCCATTGTGCAGTTTATACCGAGTGCTACGTTGGAGCGGTAATCCATTCACCGTAGTCCCGTGTGTTGAGTGATCTGTAATGAAGATTGCATCCTCCCCGCTGGCGTTGTCGAGATAGGCATGCTCTCTAGACACGACGGGACAATCAATATAGGCATTGTCGGATGCGGGTAGTAAGCCCTTGTGAAGGCTTTTCGAACTTCGACCTATCACAAAGGGGGTGCCGGGGATAATGCGGAATTTGCGTTCTGGAAGAGGATCGGACGGGTCTTCGGCCAGTAGCCTCACTTCGAAAGCAGCTGGGGATTCGAACAAGTGAGTGGAAGAGACGAAGGACAGGAGACGCGGCAACTCACAATGAGAAGACAGACGGGATGACATGATGGCCAGGGGTTACGTAGTAGGTGCTGTGGTGGATAGGCAGAAGCAGAGTAGTTTGCTCTGAAAGCCAGTGAGGAAGTACGGGTGGCAGCCCTTTATAATTACACAGTCAGAGCGGCGTGCCACACCAGATTCCGACCGACTTCCGACTTGTCAGATACTGTGTGAAGTCGGGGAATAGTGAGAAATGCGGAGCAGGCAACAATCTTGGACGCTGTGACGCCTGTCTCCTCCAAGGAAGGTTCACTGTGCCTCGCCGCAGCGGTGAAGGGTACACTAGACATGGTCAGCTGAAGGAATCCGTGAAGCAGAGTAGATGATCAAGATCCACGTACGGTGATACCGTGCACTATCAAGTCAGACGGTCGGCACTCGTCTTTAGCTTCGGCCCTTTGTATGTCGTCGCCAGCAGCCTAGGGATGACAAGCTGTGCTTCCGGAGCCTCCCCGAATTCGGATGAGCGGCGTGCTCGTGGAAGGAGCCCCGGAGGTGAAGAGAAGGAAGGTTAGTGTCGCAGATCACTAAATTGAAAGGAGCTGAGGTGTTAAGAGGAAGGCTGCAGTGAAGTAGGGAGTTGGGTAGGTACCTACCTAGTAGGTACCTAGGTCCTATCACCGCACGTGAGAGAGCGGGGTTATGGGCTTATCGATAAGTGACCCACGGTTAGGCAGGGATTACGACTAGCCACACCCGCCCTAAACTTAGCGCCCTTTCAGCCACCGCACCGCCTCGGGTGGAGTTCCACCTCAAGAAAATCTACGGGATCTGCCCTCCGGACCCATCTCTTGCAGCCATAATAAACTCACTGCCGCCCCTACGCCTCTCCCCTTTTGATCCGCACGCTCGTGCTGTGGCAGCACTAGGTGTACCACTCAGCTCGCCCGTGTGCGGCATCTGCGAGCGCATTTGCGCATCGCCCGCCTTCCGCCGGCCATAACTTCGACCTCCACCATGACAGCAACCAACTCTCTCTTCGCTGGAGTGAAGCAGCCCGTCGTTGACAAAGTGCCTGCGCGGATCAAACACATACAATTTGGCATCTAGTGCGTCCAAACCTTCCTCAGGCCTTCCATGCAATCTCTCTGCAGCCTACTAACAATTGCAGCTCCAACCAGGACATCGTCAATCAAGCCGTCCTTGAAGTCTCGGATCGCAATGTCTACGACCTCACCCCCGGTCCCGACAATACACGCACTCATACTTCCCACGGTCCTATGGACCCCCTCATGGGAATTTCCACGAAGACTGGCAAATGCAAAACATGCGGTGAGGGTTTGGACACTTGCAATGGCCACTTTGGCCACATCAAGCTCGCCCTTCCTGTGTTCCACGTCGGCTACCTCAAGCACATCATTGAGGTCCTGCATACAGTCTGTAAGGACTGTTCTCGCGTGCTACTGGAGCCCGATGAGCGGAAACGCTTTTTGCGCAGCATGCGCCGACCCGGGCTAGACAACCTGCAGCGCACCACCATTGCAAGGAAGATCATGGAAGAGTGCCGCAAAAGGAAGACATGCCCCTACTGCAGGGCCGTGAACGGAACGGTGCGCAAAGTGGCGGGTCATCCACTCAAGATTATCCACCGCCGTTATGATGCCTACGACCGCTCGACGGCAAAAATCAAAAAGCTTCCACCAGGCAAACTTGAATTCGATCAATCTCTGGAGACCGCAAAAGCTGGTAACCCCGAACTGGAAAAGCACGTGAAGAAGGCCGTCGACGATATGCATCCCTTGCGTGTTCTAAACATCTTTAGGAAGATCTCCGACGAGGATTGCGAATTGTTGGGCATGATACCCGAAGACGCACGTCCGGAGATGCTGATTTGGGAATACGTGCCTGTACCGCCGGTGTGCATCCGACCCTCGGTAGTTCAGGAAGCAGGCGCAACGGAAGATGATATCACCAACAAGATCGGCGACATCTGTCAAATCAGTGGCATCATTCGTGCTGGCCTGCGGGATGGCTTTCCCCTCCAAGTCCTCATGGAGCAATGGGACTTTCTCCAGCTGCAGATTGCGATGTACATCAACAGTGACGTGCCTGGTCTGAAGCAGCAAGGCTTGCAGAAGTCGATGCGAGGCTTCTGCCAGCGCCTCAAGGGCAAAGGCGGTCGATTCCGCCAAAATCTTTCTGGGAAGCGCGTAGACTTCTCCGGTCGGACCGTGATCGGGCCAGACCCGAACTTGGGGATCGACGAAGTCGCCGTCCCAGAGCGGGTTGCCAAAAATTTGACGTACCCCGAGAAGGTGACGGACTACAACAAGGAGAAACTCAAGAAACTCGTCATGAATGGAGCAACGCGTCATCCCGGTGCCAACTATATCATCTCTGCGAGGACCGGGCAGAGGAACTCGCTCGCAGCTCTTGCGAGGGTGCCAGAGAAGAGGGTGGAACGGTTGACCCGAGCTGCGAACAACCTTCAAGTTGGCGACATCGTCGAGCGGCACTTGGAGGATGGCGACATTGTGCTCTTCAATCGCCAGCCGTCACTGCATAAGCTGAGTATCCTCAGCCATCGCGCCAAAGTTCGGCCGTGGAGAACTCTGCGACTGAATGAATGTGCCTGCAACCCTTATAATGCGGACTTTGATGGCGATGAGATGAATTTGCATCTGCCGCAGACCGAGGAGGCCCGTACGGAAGCCATCGAACTCATGGGGGTAAAGTACAATCTCGCCACACCGAAAAACGGAACTCCAATCATTGCGGCCATCCAGGACTTCATCACCGCTGCTTTTTTGCTGAGCAGCAAGAACAACTTCTACGACAGACAGACATTCTGCCAGATCTGCAATTACATGTTCGCGGGCGAAGGTGCCTATGATCCCGATACCGGCGAAAAATCCCCCATAGATATTCCTCCGCCGGTGATTCTCAAACCCCAGGCACTATGGACGGGAAAGCAGGTATTTAATGTACTGATGAGACCTAACAAGAAGTCCAGAGTGCTCGTAAATCTGGAAGCAGCCGGGAAACAGTTCAAGCATACACCAGGTCAAGCGCCGGATCTCAATGCCGATGACGCCTATCTGGTCATCCGGAACTCGGAAGTGATGTGTGGCGTAATGGACAAGGCGACTGTTGGAGATGGCAAAAAGGATTCCGTATTCTATGTTTTGATGAGAGACTTCGGGCCAGACTACGCTGTTCAAGGTATGAACAGATTGGCCAAACTCTCCGCACGTTGGCTGTCGAACAACGGTTTCTCCTTGGGCATCAGTGACGTTACTCCGGGCGACATTCTGGTGCGCAAGAAGCAGGCTCTGATTCAGGAGGCGTACGCCAAGTGCGACAAGTTGATCAAAGACTTCAAGGAAGGGAAACTACAGCGTGACCCTGGTTGCGATGAGGAGAAGACAATGGAGAATCGGATTGGTGGTATCCTGTCCGGCGTTCGGCAAGCAGCAGGAGACATTTGCTTCGAAGAGCTTAGCAGATGGAACTCCCCGTTGATCATGGCCAAGTGCGGTTCAAAAGGTTCGAATATCAACGTATCGCAGATGGTTGCTTCCGTCGGTCAGCAGATGATTGGCGGTGCTCGTGTCGCTGACGGGTTCCATCATCGCACTCTTCCACACTTCCCGAAAGACGCCCGTCAACCCGCCTCCAAAGGATTCGTGAGCAACAGCTTCTTTTCCGGTCTGAATCCCTCGGAGTTCATCTTCCACGCTATGAGTGGTCGTGAAGGTCTGGTCGACACTGCGGTCAAGACTGCCGAGACCGGCTACATGAGTCGACGTTTGATGAAGTCGCTGGAGGATCTGTCCGCGCAGTATGATGATACCGTCAGAGACTCGTCAGGGGGCATCGTGCAATTCCAGTACGGTGACGACAATCTCGATCCAGTGGATATGGAGGGCAAAGCAAAGCCTGTCAATTTCGATCGCACTTTCTCACATGCCATCACCTCAACGTGGGACAATGCTGAAGCGAGCTTGAGTCCGGCTGAGATCCGAGAACGTACCCTTGCGAAACTGAACGCGGAGCGAAACAAATACATTCGGTACAAGCTTGACGGTATGACCAAACTGGATTACAATGACAGGAGTGACGAGAACATCGATCAGAAAGAGTCGATTCGCGATTTCCTGGATATGGTGCAGGATTACATTTTCAAGAAGGCGGACAAGCTCGAGACAACGCTCGTTCACCTCGGTATCAGGGAACTGTCGGCCAAGGAGCGCAAAGAGATGCGACCTGAAGACGCAGACAAGTACAGCCTCGCAGATGGGATCGCCAAGATTTCTCAAGCGGCGTTGGACACTTTCATCGCGCTCTGCCTGACTAAGTACGATCGCTCCAAGGTCCAGCCGGGGCATGCAGTAGGTGCCATTGGTGCCCAATCGATTGGAGAACCCGGCACGCAGATGACGCTCAAGACTTTCCATTTTGCCGGTGTCGCCGGCATGTCCATTACTCAAGGTGTCCCTCGTATCAAAGAAATCATCAACGCTTCCACCACCATCTCTACTCCGGTCATCACGTGCGAACTGTCGAACAAGATCAGCGAAACCGCCGCGCGCATCGTCAAAGCCCGTGTAGAGAAAACATATCTCCGAGACATCATCCAGTATGTTGAAGATGTCTGGCATCCGGACGGCGCGTACATTGCCTTCCGCATCGACTGGAACGCCGTCAACAATCTCCACCTCGAAATCACCCCTGAAGAGATCTCCCACGCCATCAAAACCCACAAGCCTCTCAAATGGGGCAAGAGCGGCACCAACGTTCGTATGGTCTCCAACGTAGTCCGCGTCGAGGTCCCAGACCCTAACGCCAGTGGGAAGAAGCGTCCCGCATCCAAATCGAGCCGCACCAAGCAGACCGACTTCTTCGAGCGTGTTCAGACAGTCAAGCAGCTCATCCCGGACGTCGTCATCAAGGGTTTCCCAGACTGCGAGCGTGCCATCATCAAGAAGGACACTACGCCCAACGCCCAAGGCTTCTACGAATGCCAGCTCTTCGTCGAAGGCTACGGTCTCAAAGAGTGCATGACCACCCCGGGTATCGAGCCCTACAAAACGAAATCGAATCACGTTATGGAAGTCAAGAAGGTACTGGGCATCGAAGCCGCGCGGGCCACCATCATCGCCGAAATCGGGGAAGTCATGAAATCCATGGACATCGATCCCCGCCACATGCAGCTTCTCGCCGACGTGATGACGTTCAAAGGGGAAGTGTTTGGCATCACGCGCTTCGGTCTGCAAAAGACGAGGGATAGTGTTCTGCAGCTGGCCAGTTTCGAGAAGACGCCTGATCATCTGTTTGAGGCGGCTGCTAAGGGGAAGATCGATAAGATTGACGGCGTGAGCGAGTGTATCATCATGGGCCAGCCTGTGAAGCTGGGGACGGGCGCGATGGGCGTGATTCGGAGGTTGAATTTGAAGGAGGGCGAGGTGGGGGCGAAGAGGACTATGTTCGAGGAGGGATGGGAGGCGCTGTAGGCGAGGGCTTGATTTGAGGTGGAAATGGTTTTCGAGGCATAGCATATTGGTTGGTGTTCTGGATTGGATCTAGGCTAGCATTTCATGGCTGCATGACATGGCGCGCATGGGCGGCATATACCACGTTTGTCAATTTACGCTTTTCTCTCATTCTGGGTTGCCTTTGACATCGTGTGTAGGTTGGCGGTCGACATGGATTCGACGACTGCGCTCTGGGATTTTCGTTGAAGTAGCGGGACTCTATTGCCGGAATTATCTGAAATATGTACGAATATAGCGGTACATGAGCAATGTCCATATGCATTACCATTATGTAGCTTCCCCATATATACATGGTATTCCTACACTATCATACATGCATATATACATAGTCTTCCTCCGAAACAAGTGCTTCCTACTCTACTTCGCCAAAAAGCTCTGAAACGCCTCTTGATCAATAACGACACTCCCCACCGCCCTCAACTTCTTCCTGCCCTCCTTTTGCTTCTCCAACAGCTTCCTCCTCCGACTCACGTCGCTCGCGTGCAACTTAGCCAACACATCCTTCCTAAAAGGCTTGATCGTCGCACGGGCAATGATGCGTCGCCCCACCGCTGCTTGGATGACAACTTCAAACATCTGCCTATCGACGTGCTCTTTGAACTTCTCGACCCATGCGCGGCCGACGCGGTCGACTTGGCTGGAGTGAAGGACGCGGCTCACGGCGTCGACGGGCGCGCCATTAACGAGCAGGTTCAGTTTGGAGATGTCGGATTTGCGGAATCCGGCATCCTCGTAGTCGAGGGAGGCGTAGCCCTTTGTGGTTCCCTTTAGCTTGCCGAAGAAGTCGTCAACGAGATGGGACAGGGGGAGGTCGTATTTCAGGATGACTTGGGTGGCGGTGAAGAAGGTTAGTTCCTTCTGTTCTCCACGGTTGGCTTCGCAGAGCTCGATGACCTTGCCTAGGTATTCGTCGGGCAGGGTGATGGTTGCGGAGACGTACGGTTCGTGCACCTCGGCGACTTTGCCGTAGTGCGTGTCTTGATCCGGGAACTCGTTGGGATTGGAGATGATGGAACTGGTGCCGTCTTTCCAGACGACTTTGAAGGGGACGGAAGGAGGCGTGATGATGATGTTAGCGCCATGTTCCTGGCGGAGGCGGTCCTCAAAGACGGAGCAGTGGAGAGTGCCTAGGAAGCCAAGACGCCAGCCTGCGCCTAGCGCGTCGGAGGATTCCTTTTGGATGGTGACGCTGCGGTCGTTGAGAATGATCTGATTGATACTGTCTTCCAGATGCTCGTAGTTGTCCTGGTCTGTGGGGAAAGCCGCGACAAACACCATGCTCTTCGGCTCTTCAAACCCCGGATACGGTTCCACAAGTTTCTCAGATCCAACCGTCGTGTACGTATCACCAACTTTGGCTTCCTGGGACTTCTTCATGCCAGGATTGAAGTGAATGTAGCCGACTTGTCCCGCCTTTAGCACCGTTTGCGGTGTTTGATCCGGATACATGATACCTACTTCGCCCACTGTGTACTTCAGGCCCGTGGCGAATGAGCGGATCGTATCTCCTGGACGGACCTGGCCGTCAAATATCCGCACCAGCAAGACAACTCCTTTGTATACATCGTACCAAGAGTCCACGAGCAGCAGTCGCAGTGGCTTTGAACTGTCTCCTTCCGGCGCAGGAATCCGTTCCACAACGGTTGGCAACAAAGCCTCCACATTCAGGCCGGTTTTGGCAGAGACGAGGACTGCGCTGTCCGGATCAAGCTCAAAAGTGTCCTTCATCTGCTCGAGGACCCGCGGTGGGTCCGCATGAGGCAGATCAACCTTGTTAATGACCGGCACAAGGGTGAGACCTTGCGAAAAAGCGAGATAGAAGTTGGCGACCGTTTGTGCCTGCACACCTTGGCTGGCATCGACTAGAAGAAGGGCTAGTAGCAGTATAAGCATCAATCCAAATAACTGTGAATCTGCAACCCACCTCCTCCACAACTAGCATAACTCCGCGAAACCTCGGCACGGAAGTCGACATGGCCCGGCGTGTCAACCAAGTGCAGCAGGTAATCCTCGCCTTTGTGATTGTAGATCATGGTGCATGTCTGCGCCTTGACTGTGATTCCGCGCTCTCGCTCCACGTCCAACTTGTCCAGAATCTGCTTGTTATCCCCAGGCTGGATCGTACCAGTGAGCTCCAGGAGGCGGTCCGACAGTGTCGACTTGCCATGGTCGACATGCGCTACAATGCAGAAGTTCCGGTACCGTTCAATGGGAATTTCGGCAATGCGCTTCTCCAATTCGGACTGCGGTCTGTACGCTTGCGCATATCGTCTGGCGAGTGGAGGTATCCTTTCAAGGGGCAGCCCAATCCGGTGAGTAGTAGCGGGCGTCCGCCAACAATGCAGGAACGTCCGCCAGCATGACCGCATGGGTTCGCATGGACCGGATGAATAATGAGTGCGGATGGCTGCGCATTCCGATATGGTGGAGAAAAAGTCTCCTATGAACTTGGTACACCTGTTTATGTAAGCCAGAGGTTGTGGCTTTTGTGGCTAGTGACGCTAGTAAATGTGGGTTCTGCCTTTGCAGCAGTTGTTCGTACCCACCCAACCTGGGCATCCCACCCTGCATGCTCCGAATCTTTCCAACGTGCATACATGTCGGTCTGCTAGTCGACAACCCTTAGACGAAGACTTCTTTGTGCAGCCACCAACTTACAAGACCTCCTAGAAGCTTGCTCTTCAGCTGCCTTGAATCCATCGTCTATTGTTCCGTTGCCTTGACAACGGCGAGATAAACACGGGACTTGCTCCTCATCTACACAACCGTAGAGACCGCGAGTAGTGATTCGAGCAACAAAATGTCACAGTCAAAAACTTCTTCACGGTCGCGTTCTGACGGGAAGAAAGATTCGTCAAAAGTGCACAAGCTAGCACTGAGAGGCGCGTCTTCCCCTCGCATTCGCATGAAATCAGCTGACCTCCTGCTCAGGTTCATCCAAGATCGTCAATGAGTTCGTAAGTATCAGGGAGCTGGAACTCACATCGCGTGTTTTGGTTGACATGGAATAGTTCGAATATTCAATCAATACAATCCTGTTTCAGCGTGGCGTATATCCAGCCGAAGATTTCACAGCGTACGTATACTGATCAGTGTCAGTGCGAGAAGAAGTGTTAATCATCAACTCAGGGTCAAGAAATATGGACTGACTATGATGGGTGCGTGCGTTCGCTGATCGATTCGCTGCTCTCATACTGACAGTCCCAGTCACTGCCGACGACCAAGTAAAGGCATATATCAAGAAGATCATGTCTCAGCTGAAGGAATGGATGTACGGCGGGAAGATCTCAAAGCTTGTTGTCGTCATTACTAGCAAAGAGACCGGCGAGCATGTTGAACGGTGGCAGTTCGATGTGAGTAGCTGAAAAGTCTCACTTGGCACGGTCTGACAGTAATTTAGGTGCAAATCTTCGGCAAAGGCTCGAAGAGTAAGTCATCAAAGAAGACGGGAGATAAGGAGAATGCACCAGCAGAGTAAGGTTACCGTATGAACGGGTGCAACAAACTACTGACAATGTTCGTAGGGCAAGCGAAGCACCTGCGGAGAAGACAGACGAGGAGATTCAGGCCGAGATCCAGTCCATCTTCCGCCAAATCACTGCATCAGTAACCTTCCTGCCAATGCTTGACGGGAATTGCACGTTTAACGTGCTTGTCTATGCGGATGCAGACTCTGAGGTTCCACTCGAATGGGGAGACAGTGATGCGAAAGAGATCAAGAATGGCGAGAAGGTGCAACTGAGGAGTTTCAGCACAAGTAGCCATCGCGTTGATACCCTTGTCAGCTATAGGTACGTATCTCGGTCGACTTTCCCTCTGTATGCTTGCTAATGTAGCGCAGACTGGCGGATTAGGCACATTTGCAGTTTGTGGTACCGTGTATATTCTCATATTGGGTTTAGGATTTTCTTCTCGGCGCATAGGAGTAGAAGAACATGGTCTATCTTGGTTACCATCAAGGGAAGCGTCACCCCGGAGTATGCTGAACAGGCGGACAGTTTTCACTCATTGACCTTGTCTAATGAATCTGTCCCATTCTTAACTCTCGCTGTGCTAATTGCTCACGCCTTCCCCTGTTCAAACTTCGCTGAAGATGTCTCTCTACGGCCTGATGTCCACCATTTCCACTATTATAATTTGTGACATCCCTGGCAACTCGAACAAAATTCATTTCCACGCTGCTCTGCTCATCAACGTTCAAGCTAAACAATGAATTAAGAATGCAAATTCACTTCGACACTCCAGAAGCACGAAGGTATCCTAACCGACAAAAGCTCTAATGCATTAAAATATCGAAAGCGGAAGAGACAAGAGACAAATCCAGAGTGCGGAACTCACATACTCAACGCCATCCAATGCAGCACCCAAAATTCAAAGATTAAACTTGCAAGCCGTCAAACCACAAACGGAGCTCAGACGTCCAGCTTCTCCTTGCTGACCATAATCTCTTCACGAGCCACAGGCTCCCTCTCTTGCATCCTCTGCTCTCTCTCCGCCGCGCGCCTCTTCTTAGTCTCAAGCTTCTCTTGATCCTCGCGCATGCGGCGAATCAAGTCGGACCTAGCGCGGATCTTGTGTCCGTACCTGTAGAAAACGAATGGGATGGGGATCATTGCGACTTCCAGCAAGCCCAGCATGGTGCCCGACCACCGGGGCCCGAGGGTTTCGTACCTAAGCGCAATTAGCGATGATGCGTATGCAGAGGAGGCGAGTGCGAGATCTTACATTTTCGGGCCAGCCAGTGGCAGTGTTCCTCCCAGTGCGCTCCTGAGAACGGCATTTCCGGCAAGGGCAGAAGCAGCGTAGATTCCGTAGGAATGCACGAGATAGTTGGACGCATAGACGAAAATGGCGCCGTTGCCTGCTCCAAATGGGACGCCGGAAAGGAGTGGGAAAATCCAGTGGATGTTGGGCGGGCAAGTCCAAGCAAACGCAATCTCTCCCAGGGGGACGGCGATGGCAGCGATGCAAACGACGCTAATCATGGATTCCGGGGCCGGCTTGCCAGTCTGAGGATCGGGCTTGTGCGAGTTGATCATCCGCCTTATGAGGGGTTCCATGCTGATAGTTATCATGCAACCGATTCCGATCCCCATGTAAGCCAGACCTGTGAAGCCGTAACTCCAGCCTCGAAGTTCGGCGAAGACGATGGGGTAGGAGACAAAGCAGAGGTACATGACGCCGTAGACAAGCGCGATGTAGACGTTCCAGAAGATACTGCGGAGCGTGAGCTTCGTCTGCGTCCCATGGGAGTGTGCAAACCGTACCAGATGGGTTCTTTCACAGCCATCGAGAATGGGCGAACCAGATTCTCGCGAAGCATAGGCCAGAACTTCTGACGATCGTCGTAGCGCGAGTGCCATCTTTCATCCCCCGTCTCCTTCCGCCTCTTGGCCGCTTTGGCCCGCAGGATGGCGGGACCATAGGTCTCTTTCGTAACAAGAACCATCAGAAAGGACGGGGCTGCCGCTATCGCGACGATCCAGTTGGTCCATCTCCAGCCCATATATTGACTGGGAATTGCGTTAGAGTCAGATGTGAAGGAACCGAATAGGAGCACGTACAAGACGAAGCCTCCAACGAGAGGGCCCACGACTGGGCCATTCATTGGACCTATGCTCCATAAGGAAAACGCTAGAGCACGATACTCGTCAGTGACAATGTCGGTCACGCTGCCCGGCGAATTTGTAATAAGTGCCGCACCGGCTATGGCCTGTCCATGATTAGTCCACATGTGTATTCCGTACAAGGCTGGTTGTACTTACGCCGAAAAATCGGACCACCAGGATTGTTGCAAGGTCTTGTGCCAGTGCAGCCGGAATGACAAGGACAATGAAGAGGAAGACGGAGATGATATAAACGGGCCTTCTGCCATACATTTCAGAAAGTGGTGCTAATATCACCGAACCAAGGGCCATGCCGATTAGGTAGGTGGTGATGCCTAAGACGAGGGGAGTTTTTGATGTTTGGAAGGTCACCTCCATCCCGGGGATACCGCTCGTGTAGCTAGTAGAGTCTGGTTAGACGTTAGTTTGAATAATCGTGGAAGTGGATATTGGAACATACACATCACCACGATCAATGTGGAATAGGACATGAAGGCCATGACCAATCCCTTCCTAACCATACTCCAGTCCTTGGGATTCTCCCCTCCTTCATCAAAGTCAACCTCGAATCGCGGGTCGGAAGTCATATTAGTAGCGGTGTGGGACAGCGCTTTATCCGCCTCTTCTTCGACGAGGCCAGCATTGCGACTGAGTGTTTGGTTGATGGACTCTACTGCGTCGTCCAACGACGAGGGCGAGGCGGTTGACACTGAGCAGAGGGATTGGCGCTCGATGTCCTCGCTCTCCAGCGCGGATTTCCCTGTGGATGATGGCGCCACACCCACATCCTTCTCTTCTTGTTCGCGCATAGATGCTAACGCGCGAGTATCCTCGGGTTCTTGGCTATGCGCTTATTTAGCGCGGCGAGGCGAGATGGGAAAAGGAGTAGAGAGGAAAAAAGAGAAGGCAGCAGAGCAGAAAGAGAACGGAAAAAGAGGAACAGCCTTCCTTCCACACATCTCTGAGGACGGCGCTGTTCCGCATTCATATCGGTGTGTAGCCATTCTGCCGATCTTGCCGGCCCTAAATCTCGTGCCGTAACCTAGGTAGTTTTGGAGGGACATCTGCGCTAAGGATGTCGCAAAACTCCCACGTTGTACTGTGTATAGGTTCCAAGGGCTATCCATCTCTCTGATTGGGAGATATTGCTGCATTTGTAATCCAAGGCCAATCGCAACGGAGACTCGCCAGAAAAAGAGGGAACTGGTTGGTTGAGCCTCATCAACATGACCTCGGTAGATTGCCCTTCTAGCGTAAGTGGAGAGGGTCGTGGTGACGCTTCGGCTTTGCAGCTCCACTCTTACAAATTGACGGAGCATTGTAAAGAGCGTTGGACGATATGCGTTCTCTCCGCTACCGATGCAACTGTAACTATAGAAAAACATCGACATGTGTTGACGGCCGTCTGAGCTTCCACCGATTCTTGCGAAATATTAGTGTAGCAATGAGCTTCGTGCACATCCCAAACGCGGAGCAATACTATGAACACAAGGCGTGTACGCGCTTCGTAGACTGTATCAATACTATAAGATACATCGCTATTTCGCCAGACTCACCTACCTGGAATACTGCGAGGTGCAGTCACAGTAACACAATTGCCAGCTCTTCCCTCTGCGGCTAATAGATACCGGGGATGAGTGCATACTTTGTCTGGCGCTTGAATGCTTCCCAGTCCGCACCATATCTCTTCTCACAGTACTCGTTAAGGAGAGGGACGCCTCGAGTGACAAAGTTATAGAAGAAGAAAGCACCATTCAGGATCCCGAGGGCCCACCCCCCAGCAGCCGTCCCATATCCCGCCCTCCAGATCGTGTATGCGCCGTAGTTGATATGCCGTGCGAAGCTCCACAAGCCGCCCGTATATGGCTTTCCCTTGTTCTTTGGATCGGCCTTGAAGCGCTTCCTTTGCACTTCAGCAATGAGCTCGATCAAGATTCCTGTCACATAGAGTGCGCTGCCCACGATGAGACTCGGCTGCGGGAAAGTGGACTGGGCGGATGCCGAAGACACGCTGAGCAGGAAGGCGTAACTGTTGATGCTATTCACCAACGTGTTGAAAACGCTGACGACAAGCGCGACTTGGGGACTCATCGGCTCAGCACCAATCGCTACCGCCCAGATGTCATGCTTGAAAGCACTTCCAACCGCCATGCCCAGCAGGATCAGCCTGTATGGAGACAAGCCCAGATTATCAATGATTGGATATCCCGTATGTGTGGGAAGGCCGGGCGGAAGCGTTCGCAGCCCCACGCGGTGGAGGAGCGCTGTCCCAGCACCATGAGCGAGGATAGAATATTGTAGGAGCGGATCGAGCGAGCGAAGGAGGACGAAGAGCGTGGTTCCGACTGGGTTTATGCGGTATTCGCCTCGTGTGATAAGATCCTGAGCTCTGGATGCAGCAGAACGCAGGTCACCGGAAGCAGAGGCAGCTTTTTCGGCCATTGTGAGGGTGTGGAGGCGGAATGTAGGCTCTGGTGTGTAGTGATAAGATGCGAACTTGGAATGCTGACGGTGGAGGGCGACGAGCTGTGGTTATAAATTGGCCTCGTCCGAATACAATCAACGGGCGTCTTACTGTGATACAAATACCAAATCTCAGGTAAGTAAGCCAACGCCGGACTGCTGGTACATAGTGCGGGTCTCCACGCCCGACTGAACAGCGGGGCGTCGCAGGGGTATAACGGACGCCGTATTCAGGTGAAAGGCGCCGCTGTGTAGATATAAGAAGCTCTGAAGCCTATGTTGCTAACGACCTAATTAGATTGTAGCCAGTTGGAGGTGAAGGGTGGTGCTCAGGCGGACGTGGAAAGCTGCAGTCGCCATCCATTATATAGGGGGTGGTTGACGTAGTTGTAACGGGCGGGGAAGCCCCCAGGTCGAACGAGTGGCATCGGATATGTCGTCAGCATGCGCGCCTGAGGCTGGGTCGCCGGAACTTGTGACACAAGCGTCTTTGTTCTCATCGACGTTTCTAGGTGAAAGCTCTGCTCTTTGCGCGGCCTGCGGTGGACAACTGCGGAGGTGTGGATGTCAAAGACAGGTGGTTTCTGGCGTCAAAGGAAGCATGAGATGGAAGGAGCAGGAGCTATCTGAATCGGGTATAGTCTGTTTGTTTGTGCGGCGCGTGTTCGCGTCGGAGGCACGGTCAGACGAAAAGCTCTCTCCGAACAGTCCACTTCCAGTGTCTTTCCTACGTAGCAGCCGTTGCAGTTCAGTCATCCGACCTTGCTTGGAACCTCTGCGAGTATCTTCACTGCCAAGATTTCTACCTCATCGTTCCCGTTGTTTGCTCGAGGTTGTTGGCTGAGGGCAAACCAAAGGTCTATTAAGAGGGGGAACGGGAGAGAGAGGAGGGAAAGCCACGAACCCTTTTCGGTCACAATGCTGGGTGGATTGGAGTGTGAACGGCACGGTTCGAGAAAGCACCTGTATATTGTCCCTTGCCCTGTACCATCATTACCTCACCTTGGCTCTCCACGCAACCAAGACCTATTGGGACACTCGACAGACGGTGAGAGAGGCGACTACTTTCGGCTGCGGTAGCGTTAGTGAAGGCTGCTACACTGTCTCCTTGGATCGTACACTCTCACATTAAGCAGTATTAGCTCGTGACACCATCAGCACGCTCCAAAGCGGATAGAGTGCTAAATAACTGGATCGTTGAACAGCCTCCATTTCCGCAACAGTTCCCTGCTGGAAAAATCAAACTACACCCTCTCTTACCAGTGCTCGCTTTGGTTGTGTCGGCTTTTCGAAACCGTTGTATATACCATCCGTTTTTGGAATACCCTGATCGACTTTATATTCCAATGTCTATCGCGTTCAACGCCGTATGCGAACTCCTCGAGGCTCTTGAGAAGCACTCCATCCGAAGTCCCAAGCTTACCTTGGAGAGGGAGCAAGCCGCGATGCGCCAGACCGTTTCGAATTGGTTCAGCATCCATCGAGACGCCATCGATCATCCCCACACCAACGGCGGAGCACTCCTATCGGCTCTGTTTCCACATCGAAGGAAGGATCGAGTGTATGGACTACAGGCTAAATCGCTATCAAAGAAGATGGCGAAGTTGCTAAATCTCAACAATGAGCAACGGTCTGTCCTCGAGCATTGGGAAGATGGATCGCACGTGGATTTAGGAGCATGTATGGAGAAAATCATGTCGCCTTGGGACGGCACTTTCAAGACTCCACCGGAAATATCTCTGGACAGGGTTGACCGCCTGCTCGTCCAAACGGCCAGCAAATCCCGTTTTTCGGACCCGGCCATTCGAACTCAACGTGTCTTGGATCTCGATACAGATGAGGAGCTCAAGTACATGCTTCAGAGGCTCAGTTCCTGGGAGGCAAAGTGGCTCATCCGCTTGCTTCTTCGAAGCTACTGCACTCTTCAGCTGGATGAGACCTTTATCTTCAAAGAGTACCATTTCCTGCTCCCAGACCTGCTTCTATTCCAGAACGACTTTGATGCTGCAGTCCAACTTCTACGAGGCGACCTTAGCTGCTTTCCTCCGGTACCAAATGCCAAAAAAGAAAGGGATATGCGTATAGAAGCGTCCAAGAAACTCAAGGCTGTTGTTGGAACCAAGGTAGGGCGGCCTACCTTTCATAAAGCCTGGTCCCTCAAAAACTGCTTTCAACTGACCGGCGACCGTGCATGGGCGGCGGAGATCAAGTACGATGGCGAATACTGTGAGATCCACGTTGACCTGGAGAAGAGCGACAGTATCAGGATTTTCTCGAAGAACGGAAAGGACGCGACCAAGGATCGTCAAGCGCTCCATGACACTATACGACGTGCGCTCCGTATCGGGCGCCGTGATTGCCCAATCAAACGGAACTGCATACTTCTTGGAGAGATGGTCATCTACAGCGATAAAGAGCAGATGATCCTCCCTTTCTGCAAGATCCGAAAGCACATAAGTCGCTCTGATTCTTTCCTGGGTACCTTGCAGGACTCATTGCCCCACGATTGGGAGCACCTCATGATCGTCTTCTTCGACATCTTAGTGATGGACGATAAGCCCATTCTGCGAGAATGCTTTCAAAAACGAAGAGGTGTCCTTCGCGAGGTTGTGCAATCCATACCCGGGCGTGCCTGCCGTTCGGAGTGGTACCTGATCGACTTCAAGACGGAGGATGGCAAAACCGACTTGAAGCAGGCATTCGCGATGTCCCTTGCTCTGCGACAGGAGGGCTTGATTCTCAAGCCTCTTCATACGCCCTACTTCCCCTTGTTCTCCGATGCGGGTCACCGTTATCGAGGGTATTTCATCAAATTGAAGGAGGACTATTTGGCCGATATGGGCGGTCAGCGGGACCTGGGCGATTTCGCTATCATTGGAGGAAGCTTCGATCCTCAGGTTGCAGCGAAAATGGATATGAAGCCATTACACTGGACGCACTTCCATGTCGGCTGCCTGACGAACAAAGTTGCGACAGAGCGGCTGAATGCCAAACCAAACTTCAAGGTGGTGGCAACGGTAAGCATAGACAAATGTATACCCAAAGCGGAAGCCCGATATCTCAACATGCAAGGTCGCCTGCGCCAAATCGCCATCACCAATGGTCGTAGTAGCGAGTTCTTTGAGGTGCAACAGTCTCTGGGATACGGTCCGAAAATGACGGTGCGTTTCAAGAGGCCGTTCGTGGCGGAGATACTTGGTTGCGGGTACGAGCAGTTGCAAAACGAGACATTCGAAATGCTTCGTCATCCGCGAGTCAACAAACTCCACCATGACCGCACCTGGGAAGACACCGTCACAATGGAAGACCTCGAACGCATGGCCCGGGCTAAATGGGACGTGCCGGACGCTGCTAAACTTGATGGCCACGCTAAAGATGTCGCTCTATACGTAAAGAGGTATATTAAAGAGATGGGCGGATCCCAAGTCGCAACGTCGGAAGAGGAAACGACTCAAGAGACGACCCAGTGCACAACACCGCGAACAAGCCAAAGCACACCGCGTCGATGCCCCCAGGGGACTCCGGAAGGCGCTGTCGTGCAGGAGACGCAGCAAACGGATACGCAGAGCACCTGGACGACCACCTCGACGGCGCGGTTCTGTGGAAGCACCCAGGGTAACGGGGTCAGGGCATCGAGGAGTGCTCGCATGTTGGTTAGGGAAGACACGTCCGAGAGAATAGCTCGACTGATCAGACCGAAGAAGCCTGGCCCGGATGTCTCCCGTTGCAAACCATCTGAGCTATCACCATTCCGCACGTCTCCATCAGACAAACGCCGACTTAATGATGCTGTTGTTAGTCCGCCCTCAGTTAAGCGGAGAAGGGTGGCAACTCCTTTGAAGCACGCTGGGTCGAAAATCAATGTCGGCACGTTCGAGTGTGATTCGCAAGAGAAGACGATACATGTGTATGCAGAGGCGGGCTGGAAGGTTAAGGTGCATGACAGTTGAGTGTTCAGTTTGTTCTAAGATACCCATAGTATTTTCAAGAATAATACTCACATCTATTCTTCTCATGATCCGCCTGTGCTTGTCTTGAGGCACCTTCCCTGCTGACCTTGTAGACCACGAGAGAACAAGGACGCATTGTGAAGTTCCTCTGTGATCACTTCGAACCACCCAAACCTGGACAATAATCAAACATTCAAAGTTAACAGAATCAAAAGGAGATGGCCTGAAGCAACTGAACTAAAAAATGTCTATCCGTACACCTGGACCAAAGCCATAATGACCCTTTACCCAAAAATACACGATCCATTCCCGCAGCAAACGGGATCCTCTTTCGCACAGCCATTCTCGTCGCAGTGACACGCGCAAGACCCATTCGCACAGCACGGCGCCGAATCCGCCGAACAGCCACTCTCACCGCACTTACAATTGAAGTTGTCAAATGGCGGCGGGGGTGGTGGTGGCGGCGTCTTGTCAGCAATTGCCGCCATGATGAGGTCCTTGACGCCTGCGTGACCCTTGGACTTGGGATGGAAAATACGGCCGTATGCAGCCGCCGCGTAGTCTGAACTTTTTGCTTCTGGATAGCGGCTGTCATCCAAAGTGAGGGCCGGATTCTTCGCTAGCACAACCGAGATGCGGCATGCAGCATGCTCTCCGAAGTCCATGTCAGCATCGCTGTTGATTTTGTTCTCGCAGTCGGCTGCGTCGGGCAGTGAAGCCGCACCCACCGCGGCGGTTGCATTTGGCCAGCTGGGAAGGTTGTCGTAGAGAGTTCCATCTGGGGCTACGTCCTTGTCGTACAGCTGGAAGAAGTAGTTATGCGGATTATTGGGGTTAGGCTCCTTTGATCCCTTTTCGCAGAACCGATTGTCTTGGAAGGCTGGGTTCGTGTCGATGATTTTGATGATTTTGTTGGTCCCCTTAAACTTGTCCGATATCTCAGTAGCGGCCTGCCGAATCACGGTGTTCACTTCATTCGTCAGGTCGTTGATACTCCTTCGTCTCTCCTTCGTCATTTTCTCTCCACAGTAAGAGTTCCAAAAGCAAAACTGGGAGTCGTCACAGTCATCCGTTTCCGCGTTGAAGAACCACGGGTACATCAGAACGTAGAGCGTGAAAGTGTCCACCTGTGGATGTGCAGCGTCCATGATCTCGGAGTACGTTTGCAGGAAAAGGTCCTTGAACTCCGGCTTGTGGATCGTTTCCAGCGCGTTCTTGATGGCCGTCGCGCAGTCCGAGGCAAACGGGCCGAAGAAGTAGTAGACGCAGCCGTCCAGTACTTTGAAGAATCCAGCGTCGTTGCCGCCAGCCCATATGACAGCAGCGTCGTTTTGGGCGACTGCGAATTCTTTATCTTGCGGGTCATGGCCGTTCGACTTCGGCTCATCCTTGTGCATGGCTTTCTGTTTTGCGTTAGGAAGGCAGAAAGGGTATGTCTGGTGTGGTGTGTACGTACGATCCTAGCACCTGAGCATGCTATGAACTGTATCTGCTTCTGATCTCCGGACCACCACTTCGGTTCGGCCCATAACTGGCCACCGACACTCCAATCGCCTCTCCTAGAGCGATATGTTTAACAAAGTAGGTCTCTCTTGGCCAGTAACTCGACTTACTTGCAGACATCCGATGTCTCTTGCTGTTCCCACTGCTTCCCTGCGCCAACACCAGCAGCAAAGGAGTCACCCATCATCGAGAAGATCTGTCGAATTGGGCCGCCTTCGCGCTTGACGAGATCGAGGCCGCGAGGGCTGTGTAAGTTGATGGAAGGAGGCCATGGACTACCAAGTGCGACCGTGGCGAGGCACAAACCACTCAAGATTTGGGAGACTGTAGGAAAGATTGCCATTTTGTGGATGGTGGATGGAGATGTTCAAAGAGCAGCGATGGTGGTTCATAAAGACTTATCTACAGTTTCCGTCTCCTCCAATGCATTGTTGACACTACCCCCAATTTCTGAGCTCATCTCGTTGTAGGATGAAACATAGAAGTAAATGGCCTAGATTCCACCCACATCCAACATAGCCTCGACAGTGACTAAATCTCCAATAAGAGCTCAGGGGAGACGCCGGGGGGTTGCGTCCATCCAGCCTACGTGCGTGTCTCAGCGAATACGGGAAATATTTTGTGCGGAGATGTCCGCTAGGATTCATTGTACTTCACTGCAAAGCGCCAGGGGCTGAGGCTGAGTAGATCTTGCCAGCCGTTCAACACGAATCCTTGGGGCCGGCGCTTACTGAGTGTCTATAATCCTCGTGTTTCTGGTGAGTGGCAATTTGTTGCAAGGACTTGAGATCGATCTTGTTTGTAGCTTTCAGATATACATTCCAGGGACGAGACATTTCAGAATACGTACGCACTCCGAGACCTACCCGTACTCTCTAATCTCTCGGTTACGATCTCACATATAAACAATAACCAAGCTTGCAACAAGTGAGCCTGTCATTACGGTACTACTGCCTCTTTCCACGTCCGACCGCGCACCCCTTGGCGTCTTTTGTGGGTTCTATTACCTGTTTAGCGCAAATCAATCGCCGTGACCTTTGAGATTAAAAGAAAGCTAGAGGTTCAAGGGTTATTAAACATAGATGGATGCGTTATAAACCTACTGCTAGGGCTCCAGGGTGTCTGAATACCCTACGGTAGACATGGAAAGCTGCCATACACGGGAAGTGCGGGGGCTGTTGAGTCGGATCCGGATGTGGAAGCCGCAGTATTCTCCGTTATAGTCTCTGGTTCTCTCTGTATGCTGTCTAATGTTTTCCTAGGCAGAGTGGGAGCTTGGATTCGTCGTTGTCAGATGCTTCAGGTTGCTTCAGGTTGTGAAACAGCAAATCGGCCCCGCGTATATTGCGCGGCGCAGGATTCTCAGAATTTAAGCTCAGCATATCGAGCAACAAAGACCGGACTGTGAGGGCCTTCGAGGCGCCCTGATGTGTTTGCTTTTTTGGAGTGGCTGCGCAAGGGCTACCGCAATATTTCTAGGATATTTCTTTAAAGGAGAGGGACCTCTCAAGTGCTCCGTACGTCTCACTGAACACTGATACAAAACCGCATGCCGCAGAAGGATGGAATCGATGTGCTTTGGTAGATCACTAGTCTGTTGAAGACGTATAGGTATCGTCTCCTGTTCTGGAACCGGGGAGCTGTAAGCGCCACGCCAAGAAGCTATACGGCTCACGTCAGAGGTTTGGGGCTTGCCTTGCACATTCACGGTCCCTCTCGCAGGGGATTTGGGGTCGCAAGGAATTGATAACGGTAGTACAGAGCTCTGTCCGAACGTTCACCCAACAATCTCATGGTCGGGGTTTCAGCCTCTGAACTTACGGCCGAACCGTCCCACACCCGTACCCCGGAGGCAAAGACCCTCACTCGATTCGATCCCGTAGTGCGTTGAGGTGTTCTTACGTCTTTCGTGTTTCCGTGCATACCTTCTTCTCAATCTCAGGCTCCGCCCGGCTTCATCGTGTATCGTTGTGGAATGCCAAAATCACTGAAAGAATGGTGCGGCTTCGGCATGCTTGTTCCACAGGCCCTGGCCATAACCTTCCGAACGCCAGTCTCCGATCACATCGTGTCGAAATTGCTGGTAAGTTCCCTCAAGAGAGAGTCCATGTCCCAGAATTGACAGAACTTCCAGAACGCTCACAGATATGATGTTATACAAAGTCATCTGTATCGTGTCGTACCCTCAAGTGATCTGCATTCAAAGCAGTCATCACTACAGGTATACCGAGCACTTCAGATTAGATTGGACGGTTCTAACTTTGATTTGTTTCAGGACGTTGCGTTGGTGGCTTATGGAGTCAATATCACCGTTGGTACCCCGCAACAAACTGTGAAGGTCCTTCTCGACAACAACTTCCCTTTTTTATTCATTCAGTCTGCAGATTGCGATTCTTCACTGTGCAGCTCTTATGGACATTCAGGGTTCAATTCGTCTGGGTCGTCCTCATACCAAGATGGAGGGTCCGGCCTGCAAAAATTCCATTACGCCAATGTCGACTTTGAGGGAATTAAGGCAAAAGATCTGGTAGGCGTCGCTGGCCTCGAACTGGATGAACAAGTGTTTGAGAACGTTGTGACGGCAAAACCAAGAACCTTCTTCCACTGGTACTTTGACTATAACGGAGTCCTCGGGCTAGGCAGGCTACCTAGTGAGTACGGACTCCACAGCCCGTGGCAAAGTATCATGGATAGACGTCTCTTGACCAACAACGTTATCTCTTTCGTCTTTCCGCAGGGCGTGAGAGACATGGATTCACCTCGCAATAACGGTGAAGTTTCCATAGGTGGTTATCCACCAAACTTCACCATCTCAGATTATATCCGCCTTCCACTCTTGACACGAGAGGCTTCTAGACCCGGTTCCGGATTCTCTTGGGCGACAAGTCTGCAAACCTTGACCTATCAGAACCAGTCCTCGACCTTGTATCACGAAACTTTCGGCAGGAGTGCAGCTGCATACTTCTCAACAGCATTACCATATATTCAACTGCCAAGACGATGGGTCAGGTTGATTATGTCCAGCGTCGGTCCTACGGAACACAATGGATTCTTCGAATCGTTTCCATGTGAGAAGAGAAATACCCTGCCGAGTTTGGTGTTTGGTCTCGGAAACAAGAACATTACACTCAGTGCTACCGAATACACTTTTGAGCTCAAGTCAACAAAGCGGAAAACACATAACTGTGTCATAGCACTCGACAGCAGTGACAGTGGATTTTCAGACGACGCTGAGAATGCGATCATTGGATTGGGTTGGCCATTCCTAGAGAATTTCGAGGTAATATTTAATGAGGATGAACTCGCTGTCCTATGTAAGTCCTGTCAATTAGTCCCAAGGTGCACACGATTTCTAACCCGAATAGTGAAGCAACGGGTCGTTTGAGGAATCCCCCTTTCGCCATCTTTCTAAGAAAAGGCTCGCATATCTTCCGTCAGATGGCATGGATGCGATCAAATAGTCTCCATCGGATTGAGTCGTTTGGCAGTTAAGGTGGCGTTCTGTTCGGGAAAGGATTCCGAGGTCCTCATGGTCCCTGAAGCCAAAGTCTCTAGAATGCCAATACCTTAAGTCCTTTGGCCCTTACGGGAGAAGGTTAGGTTAAAGTTTGCACAATTGGTCCGGGGGCCCCGACGGCCGAATTACATTAGTAAAAGTACGTCGCTTCATTTATCTATCCCAATCTTCCTCCTTCCCACTCTTCCTGCTCAGCCTTTTCGGACCACGCTCAGTGTTGCTCAATAGTATACTTCACATCATCCAACGCCAAGCCACCATACATACTTTCACCATTATCCTTCCTCGCAATGCTGAATCCCACACTCTTCAGATCACGCCACTGCCTTGGAAACTCGGTCCTGTTCATCTTGAAATCCTCGATAACATGTCCAGGGTCCAGGCGAGGGAAGGTGATTTCACGCTTGATGACTTGACCGTTCTTCTTCCAGCCCCAGATGCTGATTGCGCATTCGGGTTGTGGGACGCCAGATACGCAGGCGAAGGAGAAGGAATCGAGGGAGAAGGTTTGTTTGGGCGGCCTGTCAGGCGAGTCAGAGGATGCGTCTTCTATTGGAACAAAGAGAGAAAAGCGATAAAACGACACTTACGAATCTGGAATGCTAATGTTGCCGCTGCCGCCGAATGCCATAGCCCACTGGTTCCCAGAGGTTGGTGGGATGAAGCCGTCGTACTGGTCGACTTGGAAGGTGGTGTAGCTCAGACCATTATAGTGGGGAGGGATGGGGTTGAATGCTCCTTCGGTGAAGGTAAGGTCGTCATAATAGGCGACGTAGGTTGTACGAGATCTCCGGTCATGCCCGTCCGGTGTGGGCGCGGCAAGAGCGAGTGCCATAAGAGGCAGACTAAAAGCCAGGGTCGTCTTCATATTGTTGTGCTTTTTTCGGTGTGTGTTGTAGCGATGTGCAGACCGCGGGATGGAAGGATTCTCGAGTGAATAAGTATACGCTCAAAAGCAAGTTTGCTTGTCGGTCGTTGTACGATGCAAACATTTCAGTGGTCACTAGGTCACCTTTTATATCATCGTTGCCCTAAGTAACCCTACTGTCACAGTACACCGGACCACGAGAGCTTGCCTGGTCGGTCCTCACCGTGGCGTGACGACACGAAGTCAGTGCAACGGTGCAATAGCTCGAATTCCTGCCAGACGTTAACGGCTATTGGATCGCTCCTCGTGTTTGCCTCCATCTTTCGCATCTAGATCCCACATTCGCTCTGGGAAGCTGGGAGTGGAGTTTGCGCAAGCTGGAAATAATGCGATGCTACGTATTGGGTCGATGCTATTTTTGGGTGGTCGTAAGAACAATTTGGATCCATGGATGTTTTGGGAAGCGGGCGCTGATCAGCTGCATTCGCCGCAACATTACCAGTCCCGTGATTGGTGAATATTGGCACACAGTTCACCAGACTAGTGAATCAATCCTAAGTAGGACAATAGGCATTCTTTAGCTCAGGATCTCATCTTCTAAGCTCTTTTCTACACAGTATATACGGTAATCTGGGATGTTTCCGTTCATTCATCTGCTTTCTAGCCATTTAGAGAGAGAAGCCTCAGCATCAGGTACCTGACCAATGTGCATAATAGGAATCTCATAATCAAGAGAGTATCCCGTTCAACAGCCTCAACGATATGGTCTTTAAAAACGTAACTCTACACACAACGGGACCTCTCAGATTTCAGCCTGGGAGAATGTCTGTTGTTGCTGATAACTATTGCACAATTTTTCAACGCCTTGTAGGCTGTTGTTTCCCGGTCGGTCAATGTGCTGCAGTAACAAAGGTAGAGGTCACATATTTACGCGTTTATTCTACATTCTGCCCGTCCGAACGCCACTTGCTCTCCCAAAATTAAGCCATCATCTCATCCACTTTTTTGAATCAGGCGCTCGACGCAACAAGATCCAGCTTTGTGGCGCCCAAACCACAGATGGAATAAAGCTCCTCGACTAATTTGACCGGAAGTCGATAGTCGTTTTCTCAATGCGCTTTGATTTCCGTGTAGGTCCAGGGCCGCTCTTCGCGCCTGGTGCTCTCTCCACGTTCCTTTCAACATACTGGCAGAAGTGAGTAGCGAACCGTGCCACGGAAGAGGAAGTTAAAATGACATACCTCTTCTGTCAAAGTACGTGAGAGCTCCGGATCAGCGGGCGAGATGTCAAGTGGATTGATCTTAAAGCCTCGCCCAGCAATGATCTTCTCAAAAGCGGGATCGGTTGCATGGACGCTCTGAGGGGTTGTGTCCGTCAGTGGGAAATTCACGGTTGCGACAAGTGATAGGACAAGACGGAAAATCTGTCTCACCTTGAATGAGGCGAGAGTCTCCGCAACTACATCGGACCCACCTGACATTGAGGATTCATCGCGACTCAGACGGATCTCCGTGGGGTCGTCGGACCCCTTCTCTCCAGTCCTGTTGAACCAGTCTTCTGGGAGCCGTGGCAAAATTGGAGAACCGGAAGAATATGGATGTCGCGAGAGAATACATGCCCCCACAGGTCTCATGTGGCTAAGCCGCAGCTTGCGACTGAACAGGCGAGCTCCCAACTTATTCATATTGGTTATTGTTACAGCAGGCGTATGGTGGATGGACCAGATGATCGACTGCGAGTGTCTACGGAAAAGCCTCGTTGAAGTAGATGCGATGACAACATTGATCTGGATGGTCTTGGAGGCAGGTGACGTTGTTAGGGGTTCTTCGTCCCCTCAGACTTGGGCCGCCCAAAGGTCATTGGTCGGACCGCTCCTGCGGATGAATGCCACTGGTCAAGAGCCGAAGAGGAGTGCTTTTGTTCTATGCCAGTGGACACCGCGATGACACAATAAAGCGCCGAGCGGTGGCGGTACTAGAGCGACTGGGATACCAGGTGAAATGCGTACAATGCCCCGCCCGTACAGTGAAAATCGTACTGTGGCCGTTGACCAATAGAAATCCGCGAATACTGACCTCTAGGAACAGACTAAGCGTATGGTGATAGGACGATAGGCTATGGCAAGGAGTCAGTCGAGTTATGAATTTGTATGGGATACGGTGAGAAAACAGACCGAATCACCTTCACAACTCTCTTCTTCTCCTTCACTCTCTGAGTCACCAAAATACCAAGTAAAATCTTGAAGTTAAGAGCAGTCAGTTAACTACATCAGACTCGAGTTCGCGTAGGAGGCTTACCCTCCTTTGCGCCCCATTCATGCAACACGGCTTGTGTCTTCTTTCGGATCTCCAGCCTCGCTTTTTTCTTAACCATGCCTTCACCCAAAAGCTTGTCATACTCGGTATGTTTGTGCCTTATGTGGGCGATGACGGCTAGATTTACTCTCTTCTCCATGGCAAGCTGGCCGGTTCGGCCAACCCTCCGAGAGTACTTCCGAAATCCATGTTTGAGTACCGCCTCTTTCTCGTCTTCAGGAATATCCGGAAACTGAGTCTCTATGGCCATAGCCGCTTGACGAATCAGTGCATTGTCCCGTTGTGCCGTAGCAGCGCGGCGCGAAGCGAAAGTCTCTCGTGCAAGCGATTGAACCTGGAAAAATATGGATTTCGGAACCCTGATGCCCAGCACCCTTTTGCCCTTTCCCTCGACCACTACATAGACCCGTCTACCTGCCTCGTGGGTCAACTTGCGACAATGCAAAGTCTTGTACTGGCTCCCTTTGGGGAGGAATGCATATCCCTGTGGCATGGGCTTGTCCGCTGTAACGGTGATCTCGTGTTTTGGGGGCATGTTCTTCCCTGTTTAGTGAGTGCATACACGCTATTATGTATTCAACGCGTGAAGAGTAGGTTGAATGTGCCTTTCAGTGTAAGTCATGAACCGAATCACAACGCAACGGCGATGAGCGGGCAGCTGATGAATCTTAACGTCTCCTGTTCGTAAGAGCGGCTTTGTTCCGTCATAGCAATGTGCTGTTGGAGCGGGAGGTGCAATAAAAGAGTGATAAAGGCATAATAAATAATGAAGGTTTTGAAAGTTTCGCAAATATAGGTTTGAACAATGGAATCTTGGAAGCCGCAAGTGAAAGGATGGGAGGTGGTGACAATGGGGTTAGCTGACGTAAGCAATATACTAATCCCGGAAAGGTATCGCGCAACACTCAAGCATTGAGCGTGCCCAGGTGCGTCAACCTTTCCTTAGTGACAGTGTATTGTGCAGTTCTGACGATATCTCTCGATATCTCTCAACTCCCTCGCTACCATATTGGCGATGTCCTCCTCCTCCTTACCGGCTTGGTCAAGGGTGTGGCACTGTTTTTCATCGTTTGAGAAGTGAAACACTCAAGGTCTGACCAGTGACTGCAAACTTCGTTTTGATCTGGACAACCAGATTGTGCTAGCATACCACTTTCATACCCCTTTTCTTTTTTTATCGTTTTCAACTTCATCGATTGATACGGTCATTCCATCTATCAGGCTCCGCACCATTTACCCCCTGTACAGGACACGGTGGCTAATACCAAGTGACTGAAGGCAAACTTACGATTCCAAGGTCCTGTCTGCGTTGCGACAACATTGAAATGCTTGGAGCATTCAAATTGCACATCCCCCATGGCTTAAAATGAGAAGACCACGGTAAAGTTAGCGGGCGCTCAGAGTAACACGGTGAGTGGTATACCCTCCTAGGAACTGACAGAACCCTTCTTCGACTTAATACGCGGTACTGTACCCGGGTCCTCTGCGAGATAAATCCGCGTACACAGTATTGGTTTTTCATATTCCTGGAATCTCGGCGCATGGGGTTGTGCGGTTATATCTCGGGCCTTTCTTGATCTCATGCAGAGTAAACCGGGTCGATATATGTCATCTGGTAGATAGATGTGGTGAGGAGCGACTTCACTTCTGTTACCCTGCTCAATTTACTGTCAAGGGATTGTCCATCCTGATGTTCAAGAAATTGAATGTTACTTTCACCGATAGTCACTGATTTGGATGAAGGCTTCTCGAAAATTTCTGTCCCGTTGTTACGGACCTACGACGATGCTACACTGGCAAGTTTGGACCAGTTTCCGTTTGCACCAGGCGCAACGCATTGCTCTTACTCCATAGTATATTGATGGCCGCCGCTGATTCTAAGTTTAGGTTGGACGATGTTGCCTTCCTACGGACGTTACCCGGAATGTCCATATTATTCCAACTTGCTCAACCATACACTTCTCTCTAGGTCGCATCAATCGTGGCTTCATAAATGTTTCGATCAAGTATCTTAGCCGGTGCTTCCCCGGTTGCGATCCTGCGTATCACCATTCTGGATCTTGAAACAGGCCATGGCATCGCCACGCTACCGAAAGCAAGGGTTGATTTCCCGAGAATCCATCCCGCGTAGAAAGTGTGGTGACGTTGAAGCGCTGAGGAACACCTGGTACTTCATATTGTGCTGATTCTTCCACCATTAAAGAGCACTTTCCCCTTCTCCACATATTATATCTCAATATCAAACCACGATGTCTTGGCTGTTCACCTGACCGGCATGGATCCAGTACGATTTTAGCCGTGATCGCGGCGATCATAACTTGGATTGGGCCAAGCATTTCATGACCCCAACATGCAAAGGTCCTGAATATCCGAGTTTATACACAGTAGGGGCAACACTTAGATTGCTCGCTCGTTTGGCTTCGGAAGCAGGCAGTAGACGCGCGTAGCAATTGCCCTTCGGCACAACTCCCCCGTGGGGATTAATCAATGCAGGCCACCATCTCTCTAAACTTCACTCCGTGAAACGAACTCTGAAATTCTGATAGGTCGAATAGGCATCTATGGGATGCTAGAGCCTTCTGAGATGATCCGGTCTATGTTCCTGGAGCCGGAATAGAGGCGTGTTCAAGTATAAAAGCTTGTCTCTGCCATATGAATTCGTCAGCATCCACCAGATCTCTCCAACGATACTCACATCCTCACGATGAAGTTCGGTCTCGTCCTTTCCGCTGCCGCCCTCGCTGCTGCTGCCCCTGTGGCGGAGCCCGAGGAGGTTTTCTCCCGCCAGGCAGCTGAGAGTATCCATGAAGCTATGGTTGCTAAGGGCAAGCAGTACTTTGGTACTTGCGCCGATCAGGGCCGTTTGTCTCAGGGCTCTAACGCTGCCATCGTCAAGGCCAACTTCGGTCAGGTCACCCCGGAGAACAGGTAAGACGATCCAGAGGGGTTTGAGAGACAATTCCTGACCTCTCCCTAGCTTGAAGTGGGATGCTACTGAACCTAATCGCGGCCAATTCAACTTCGGCCAGGCCGATTACCTCGTGAACTTCGCCACTCAGAACAACAAGATCATCCGTGGCCACACCACCGTCTGGCACTCTCAGCTTCCCAACTGGGTCACGCAGATCCGCGACAAGAACACCCTGACCGAGGTCATGAAGAATCACATCACCACCGTGATTGGCCGCTACAAGGGCAAGGTCCACAAATGGGATGTCATCAACGAGATGTTCGAGGAGAACGGCAACTTCCGTGCGTCCGTCTTCTACAACGTCCTTGGAGAGGACTTCGTCCGGATCGCCTTCGAGACCGCCAGAGCCGCCGACCCGAATGCGAAGTTGTACATCAACGACTACAAGTAAGAACCGCGACACTCCACTCGCTTCACCAGTGCTAACAAATGCGCAGTCTCGATTCGGCCTCCTACGCCAAAACCCAGGGCATGATCCGCAACGTGAAGAAGTGGATCTCCCAGGGAATCCCCATCGACGGCATCGGCTCCCAGGGCCATTTGACCTCTGGCCAGGGTGCCAACGCTCCCGCCGCCATGGCCGCCCTTTGCGCTGCCGCTCCCGAGTGTGCCCTCACCGAAGTCGATATCCAGAACGCCCAGACCTCCGACTGGCAGGGCGTCGTCAAGGCTTGCATGCAGCAGAAGAACTGCGTTGGTATCACCGTTTGGGGTGTCCGTGACAACGACTCCTGGAGGCCTCAGGGCAACCCGCTGCTCTTCGACTCCAACTACAAGCCCAAGAACCACTACACCACGGTTCTCAACACCATCAAGTCTTCTTAGACGTTGGGTGGTGGAGCACTGGGGGGATGAGGTGGATTGGATTGTAAATAGTCTGCCAAAATTCGCTGTAAATATCTAAATCACGCACCTGCAACTCAGGTCCGGTTTTGACTTGTCACATCTATTCCTGGATTCCATATGTGGCTAGGCGCGCATTTGATCAGATTCCAGTTCAAGGAGGAGATGAAATAGGCACGGAAACCTCTTGGAGGTGTTGTGACACCTAGTTGTTGGAGAAAACGGGGATCTAAACCTAGGATCCCGTTCGTACTTCACTACACTAGAAGTTAGGTGTAACTTGAAGGCTATAAGACCGCTGTATATCACAGTTGACTAGTTTGTACCACCTCTAAAAGCGTAGGGCGGCTTACATAGGCAGAGGCAACGGAAATGGATCAATCGAAATGGAGGTGGGCTCTGTTCTCTGCGTCCTTGGCTAGCACCAGAAGGAGTGCAGCAGCAGAATGCAGCTCGAAGGCCGGCCCTCATCATGCCATCTCATAACCTACAAACTAGGTACGTGTCGCACCTATGGTGAACTTCGTTACCTTACCTGGACCTTGATTCCCGAATAACCACTCAGATATACCCGGACTGATTCCACTGCCATCTTCGGTATCCTAGTACATACAATGAACGACTCAATCCCGTCAATCTCACTGAAACACGCATTGCCGGCCTCGATTTACTGCGATATATTCGAGAGGGAAGTCGTATCCCGTCTCTGCCGCGATTACGGCCGGATAATAAATCCACATTTACTGTGCGCGCTTGCCTGATTCATCCTTTTTTTTCCGATCCCGGCGGGTATCCTGGACTACACCAGAAATGGGACATTGACAATATTGAGGAGCAAATGGCCAGTATGCCCCTTTTGACATATTCTACGTCAATGGGGTCGTCCGCTTCCTCCTTGTCAAGCTGAGGATGCCGATTTCCAGGAAATCGATCGGCGGTTTACATGGAGCCCGAAGGGTTGATTCAAGAGCACTGCACGAAGCGGGATGATATCTGCGAGGAGGTTGAGGGCTGGGAATTGCAGGTGGCCCCGGGGGGGCAGGTCCTACGGTATACCTTTGCACCGCTACGACTGTGGCTTATGTTCGATCATTGGCAGGGAATATCATAGAGTAATTCACCGGGTAACGAGCCACCCCCTCTACCGAGCCAGCCATTTTCCCATACAAAATCCGCGAAAACGGGCAGAGAGACACGCAGCTTCGACAGCACAATATACGACACAACGCCCTAAGGTTAATATATACCTGTTAGATTCTGCCCTTTTTTGCTGTATTCTAGAACTTCGCAAGCTTTTTTTTTATTTATTTTCTCTCTGCTTAAAGGAGGTAGTTGTTTGTAAGGAGAAAGAGGTAGAAAATACCCCTTGTTTTAAGAAAAAGGCAACAAGCAAGAAAAATATGCCTTAGAGAAGGGTTAACTATATAAAGGAGCAGCAGTACAGCCTATCTTTACAAGCTCTAGTATTATTATACGCGTTGCGTGAAGATGCAGCGCTAGAAAGTTGCATGTCTCTGCCCGTTTTCGCGGATTTTGTATGGGAAAATGGCTGGCTCGGTAGAGGGGGTGGCTCGTTACCCGGTGAATTACTCTATAGAGCGATCTGAGGAACGCTACCAATGAAGATAGATGGGTGAGAGAGGTGAGTGTCAGAAGGCACAACATGGTCCTAGTTTCCACCGCTGCCAAGGATTCCGCCCCGCCCCTTGGCAACACACATTTGCTGCCCACACCAAAGCAAAGATCCTCCGATGTCCGAACTCTTCCGACCCTAGCTAACACCATCATAAAATCTCTACCGCGGCGGTCGCCCCTTCGAGTTAGCTGCACACTGTAGTACGCTGGAGAACAACTGCGTGTCGGCGAGCCTCGGCTCAGGATTGTGCAAGACCCATCTTGGTGTGAGGCGAAGACCAGTCGATAGGCAGGAAACTGTCGTTTATCAGCAAGATGGGTCCAGGAGCACAAGGGTTCCATGATGGCATCAATGGGCAATGACAGCACCTGTGAGCCTCGGTCGGTTTCTCGAAGTCTGGGGTTTGTATAGAGTGGACCTGATACTTCTCCAGCTCCTCTCCACAAGTCTCCTGTTTTGGATTCGTTCTTCCCTTTCCTATTTTTCTGTGCGCGGAAGGGTAATTGTTAAGCTTCAGCAATCATTTCAAAACTTTTGTTTCTTTCCGCTTAATAAAACCTGACGACAGTTATGTCGACATCCAAGAGCCAGAAGGGCGATTTCGATGCCGTCCGCGCCGACATCAAGGCCCTCCTCAAGCAGCCAGAATACGACGATGGCTCCGCCGGCCCCGTCCTCGTCCGCCTCGCATGGCACTCGTCGGGTACCTACGACATCAACACCGACACTGGTGGCTCCAACGGCGCGGGTATGCGCTACGAGTACGAAGGCGGCGACCCTGCGAACGCCGGTCTGCAACACGCTCGCGTCTTCCTCGAGCCCGTGAAAGCCGTCCACCCGTGGATCACGTACTCGGACCTCTGGACACTGGCTGGCGCAGTCGCCATTGAGGAGGCCGGCGGGCCCAAGATCAAGTGGCAGGGAGGCCGCACCGACTATGTCGACGACACCAAGATCCTGAAGCACAAGATTGCCGGCCGCCTCCCGGACGCGACCCAGGGCGCCGACCACCTGCGCAAGGTCTTCTACCGCATGGGCTTCAACGACCAGGAGATAGTGGCTCTGAGCGGCGCACACACGCTCGGCCGGTGCCATGCGGACCGTTCGGGCTTCGAGGGCCCGTGGGTCAACAACCCGACGCGCTTCAGCAACCAGTACTTCAAGCTTCTGTCGACGCTGGAGTGGAAGCCCAAGACGCTGCCGAGCGGCGTCAAGCAGTTCGTCTACTACGATGAGGATACCGAGACGGAGCTCATGATGCTGCCGACGGATATGTCGCTTCTCGCGGATCCGAAGTTTGCGGTCTGGGTACGCAAGTACGGTGCGGATAAGGAGCTTTTCTTCGAGCACTTTGCGGATGTTTTCTCGAGGCTGATGGAGCTGGGCATCCAGAGGGATGCGAATGGAAATATCACGAACACGGATAACCAGCTGGGAGGCTATATCAGCGCGCCGAAGAAGGCGAACGAGCCTGGTTTGAAGAAGAATGCTGGGGATGAGGGATTGCCCGTGGCGGAGGCGGACGGCCTGGAGCAGAGGAACGCGAAATACCAAGCGAGAGCGAAGCTGTAAGGTGTGAGAGGAGTGACGGAACGGCGGAGACAGCCATATCACAAGACATAATAATAGATGTAGAGCATTCTGTAGACTATAGACATAGACACAAGCGCCTCCTTTGGTATCTTTGGATGTGAACCCTTCTAAGGTTCCCTTCACTTCTGTTCTTATTAGATATTTTCCGCTGTTATAACTTGTTCGGAATCTTCTGCAAGCGCACTTACTCTGAGTGAGTATGGATGAGGTATATACTATGGTAGTACCCAACCTATGTGTAGTTATTGTCATGCGCAATCGATGTATGTGGATTAACGGCTGATGGGCGAGAGCGAAGGTTGAGCTGAGGTTGTAGATCATGCTGTAAATAGCAGAGATATCAATAATAAATTGAGCATGGAACAGAGAAGCGTACCTCGTACCTCGAGGGTTCATACTGTTATTACATGCCATGTGGTCCTGTTCTGAACTTTGAAGGATGGCATCTGGAATGACTGTGTACTACTTGTGTACACAGTACACAGTGCTGCGTATGGCATGCAGGCATCGAGAATCTTCCAAGTCCCACCTGCTGAAGGATGCAGAAGTTGCAGAGATTTTTGCACACCAAAAAAAAATCTTGAAGATTCATCGGCGCTGAGGTCTGACGGGATTGTGGCCGCATATGGAAGCCGCAGGAGGGCCGATCGCGATGGCCGCGGGAAGCCGATATGCCGAGATCTTGGCAGAGTGAAGGGGTTGCCGCCGAACTCCGACGGCAAACCTCACCTATGGTCCATCATCCTATTCCATATCATTATTGTCCTGCCGTTGTGAAGTGTCGTCAATTGGGAGCAGTGATGGGGCAATGCGGATGGGGAGCACTTTGTTTCCTTGGCAACTGGAACCAGGGGTCATGATTGTGATTGTGATCGAGTAAGAAGAGACGTCTCGACGAGGCCCTTTTTGCATGACAATGACAACAAATGCAGGGAAAAGCAGACGAGAGACACATGGGGAGCAAAAAAGTACTTGTTGGGGCACGGGGTCAGCGGCAGGCGCCCGGGCGCTTATGGGTGCTTGGGTCGGCCCACATATTTCTGCAGGTTTCGGTCGGGCCATTACATAATGCTCGCGCTTGGCAGCCTTGGACCGCCTGGGTTGCTTTTGCGGAGAGAAGGCAGTCACTGCTCAGCCAAAGAAGGCGAGCAGGCGCAATTATTACTGCGTATGACGACGGGCACAAGACGAATGGTTTGGAGTACAGCGAGGACAGCGAGAGCCAGGCTCATCGGGCTCCACGGAGATGCTACGAATTTGAATTGCCTGGTGACACCACCGTTGCCATATTTTGCGACAACCAACAATACGGCGCCAGGATTGCGGGGAAGTTGGAACTTGGGCGCGACGACGTTGATGCAGTTAGAGTGGTTTTCTGGGCGGTGACCTCGCGGATCATCATCCAGGAACCAAGCGAGGAGGGGTTTCAATGTTGCCAGGGGACAGGAGCACGTGTTGACAGCCGCTGAGGTGTGCTCCATGCTTATTGACGCCATCCTGTGAACCAAGTCCTGAGAGACGACCAGCTTCACTCGAGGCCTCTTTTTCTCGCTGTGGCAACCGGCCACGCCGCAGCGCATCAAGTCGCCGCGAGGCTGCCTCATCAGTCCTTGGCCTTTCACACGAGAGAAAAAGACAATCCAGAACGGGCGCAGTCACCAAGCAGTCACCAAGCAATGGTAGCGGCGGGCGCTAGTCTGTGCGCTTTGCCTCATGACCCTTAAAAAAGGCTTGGGTGCAGTCATTCTCAGCAGGCCTTGGCCCAGGTGGTGCCATCACCGCAGGAGAGAGACTCGAGAACTCTCCACTCAGGAGTTTTCATCATGTAAACCGGCGCCCTCAGACCTCTGCACTCCCATGCCCCCTTTTGCACCGCCTTTTTATATGACCGTCAGGTGCCCGCTTCCCTTGCCCTGTCTTCCCGCCGACTCTCCCGCTATTATTTCTCTCCCAGATCATGTTCCTGCCGCAACACTACTATCACCACCTCTTCCAGCATCGCATCAACTCATAGGCAATCCATCTTTCCCTGCTGCGCAACCTGCCTCGGCCCCCGTCCGTCACCAGCCACACCTCTCGCCATTGGTCCATTCACACCTCCACCGCTGCTGCGAGCTGCTCGCTTCCCCGGATTTTCCTCACAGACGACGCTTCATTCGCCATGCCCGGCCGCCTGCTTTCCTTCGTGAAGGCGACACCGTCGTCATCCCACAAGGCCTCCCAGAAGACCCAAAAGTCGCCCTCTGCTCCCACCTCGCTGCTCCCCCCCTACTCGCTCGATCCCCCGCCGTCTGCCACCCCGCCCAACCCGAGGACCAGGTCCGAGGAGTCGCTCGTTATGGATGTATTCAAGCGCCACAGCCTTGGGTCGCGCCATGACAGAAAGAGCCCCAAGATCGAGCCTCAACAGCCGGCCACCATCGATATGGAGTTTGAGTCCCCGCCCGTTGTCTTCTACAACTCCCCCGCTACCTCCACCGGCGCACTTCTCTCAGGCCAGCTCAAGCTCCATGTTGCAGAGCCACACCTCACCCTCAAGAGTTTTGACATGCGCCTCCTCGCTGTTGTAGCCACCAAGAGACCGGTTGCGCCCCACTGCCCCGATTGCCTCACCCAAACCACCGAACTGCACAAGTGGGAGTTCCTCGCAGCGCCCGTGACCAGGAAATACAATCACGGCGTGCACTACTTCCCCTTTAGCCACCTCCTTCCCGGCCATCTCCCAGCGACCACCCAGGGAAGCTTGGCCACCTTGAACTACTACCTCACCGTTACCGCAACCACCTCTTCGGGCGAGCGCATCGCCTTCAAGCGCGAGCTCGACATCAAGCGTGCCATCTACCCTGGCAATGAGAAGCACTCCATTCGCATCTTCCCTCCTACCAATCTGACCGCATCCGTCACCCTCCCCCCTGTCATCCATCCCATCGGCGACTTTCCCATCGAGATGCGCCTGTCCGGCATAGTACAGAATTTGCCTGATTCGCAAACCCGGTGGAGGCTACGAAAGCTGAATTGGCGCATCGAAGAGACGCAGAAGTTCATCGCACCCGCCTGCTCCAAGCACGCTTCCAAAGTCGGCGGAGAAGGCAAAGGGGTGCTGCACGAGGACATTCACGTCGTCGCTACCGATGAAGTCAAGCACGGCTGGAAGACCGACTTCGAGCAGGGCAACATCGACGTCGAGTTCCGCGCAGCCGTCAACCCCGCGTTAAAGGCCGTATGCGACATGGAGAGCCCCAACGGAATGCAGGTCAAGCACAATCTCATCATCGAGATGGTGGTTGCCGAGGAGTGGGCTCCGTTGAAGAAGCTGAGTCAAGCGACGCCGACAGGAGCTGCTCGTGTGCTGCGCACTCAGTTCCATCTCGTCCTGACTGAGCGGTGCGGAATGGGCATTTCGTGGGACGAGGAGCAGCCGCCCCTATACGAGGATGTGCCGTGCTCTCCCCCTACCTATGTCGAAGATTGCCAGTTCGATGATCATGACGACTCGCTACGGCTGTGAGTTTTCATCGACCTGGAACGGCCTCGTCTACACCACGTCAACCACAATCATGCGTCACGATTTTCCTTGTTGTAAAAGTAGTCGATTTTTCTATTTGCCGCTGCGGAGGATATACCCCAATAACCAGCTGGTTGAGCAGCACCAATTCCAGGGCCATCTGTAAATAGTGGATTCTGTTAGGATGGAGTTGTTATGGGCCGGAACTGGACGGCTAGAGTTGAGCACCGGGAGCTCCTCTTGCCTTATCTGAGATTCAGCAGGCGTTGGTGTTTTCGAACGGAAAAAGGTCCTACTAATGCATACTGGGATATAAAGCATAACCCCTGGAATGCAGGTTGTACCATTATGCAGAATAATAATACCTACGGTTTACTCTTGTTCTGGATATCCTCTCACGGTTCAGGTTTAAGTGTGAGAACAACTGCTCCTCATATGTGCTTCTTCATTGGCCTCCGTAGCGCTGCTCTTGCTCCGGTCGTCGCTTCCCTCTTCGTCTCCTTCCTCGCTTTCATCGTGATGAGTAAGCGCTCCTTCTCCTTCTTCTTCATCTTCATCCGCATGATTCTCGTCACCTCCACTGCTTTCGCGCTCAGCGAGCTGAGACCGGAGACCATCCAGAACGACGCCCATCCTTGTTTTCAGATCCGGATTCCACACTTGGGCGAGCTGCGCCTCCATCTCCGATATCTTAGACCTCAACTCCTGGGCGACTTTGTCTTCTTCTCCTTCTTCGTCCACTTCGTGCCCGCCTGGACCGGCTTCCACTGCAATACCGCCACCAAATGATTCAGCAAACTCTGTTGCCATCTTCGCGTTCGAGATCGCAAAGACAACCTCTTCAATGTGGTCCCAAGTTTCCGCCTCTTCTTTCGCAGCACCTTTCCCCTTCCTTTCTCGTCCGACCTCCCCATCCAGGACCCTTCTCCATGCCTCCGCAATATCGCGAACAGGGTTTCCATACGCCCCGCATCCCCAAGCACCCAACACTAACCTCCTCATCCCCTGGGATTCTACGATACGCATGACACCCATCATCTTCCGCACCACGAGGTCCCTGTCCTTCTTGCTCAATCTCCTCTCCTCACCTTCTTCCCCTTCCAGCTCAGGGAACCGCAGCATACCCGCAGTCACGACATCGACCCACCATCGTTCCCCTGGTCCCAGCTCCCCTTTTGTCCCTTCTCCCAAAGGAGCAGAGTCACGGAAAACAAGCACATCGCGTGTGTACACTCCCCCTACTTCTGGCAGGCGGTAGAATGAGTCTTTGAGCGAGGGGAGGAGGGTGGTGCGTGCACAGAGGAACTCCTCTTGTGAGGTTGCACCTGCGAGGATGCCACCTCCGGGACGGAGAGGTGAGGCCATGTTCAGGATACACACGTTCGGGTCTTTCTTCTTGAATGGAGCGATCTGGGACACGTCTGGGTATCGAGCGGGGAAGGTAAGCATGTGCGCTGCAGTGAGTGTATCCGTGGTTATGATGCGGATGTTCCTTCCTTTTCTAGTACGTGTTCCTGTATTGTCCTGCTCCGACGGAGCGATGGATGAGGACATAAGCCCTTCTTCCCATGAAGCTCGCCTCTTTCCTTTCTTTCCAATCGAGTTTCCGTTTTCTTCCCTCAGAACACCTCCATCCCGCTCCTTGATCTTCCTCCTCCCCTGCCCTTTTCTCTTCACATACATTGTCTCTACCTCCTCATCCTTCCCTTTCCCGTGCGTTTCGCTCCTTCCTGGTTCCTCATCTCCATAACGGTTCGCCGGCGGATCCACAAAAAGCTGGCTCCCATCCGCACCCTTTCTAGCTCGTGCATTGGATGCTAGAATTGCAGGCACGACTTTGTTGACAATGTGGCGGGCAAGCTTGGCTCTCTGGTCCCGTCGCACGGCGGGAGGTGCGAGTCCCAACGATTGCGTGGATCTGCCCATGGGAAATTCACTCTGGACGCCACTCTCGTTTGTTGCTAAGAAGAATTATCAACTATGACAGCACAATCCAGGGAAGAACACGACGAAGACAATAGGAAGGATGAGTGGACTGCAAGATGGATGTGGAGGATGGCGGCTTCGAGGAGGATATACGGATACCTAGTACGCTTATGATCGCCACAACGGACAGAGAGGGCAGGATTTACCGAGCTGCGGATACACCCTGCTTCGCGAACGGTGGGGAGACATGCGAACTCCAACCTCAACCTCGCCGTCCACCATTCATAGAGTCGCTAATACAAGTTCTAGGTCGATATGATCTCGGTTCTTCGGGCTCTATCAGTCAAGAAACCTTCCACATTGGGTTAGATGCTGCTTGAGAACCTGTTTCCACTTTGTTCTCCCCATGATCCCCTCGAGAGGAGTGTAGTTGGGGTTGAAGTGGGAGAAGTCCGCCGAGGTGTTACTACGATCTGTTTCCCTACACACGATTACAAAACCCTAAGGGTGAGTTCTGCAGGAAACCCCTTGTTGTAAGATATATATAGACCTGGTTTGCACGTGACATGGCAGCCTTACCGTTCCTGCGACATCAGCCGTCTCGAATTTAAACTCCCTCTCTATCTCGACTCATTTCCGACCTCTTTTCGTCACTGCAGCTGACCTCACGTATTGATATAGGTGAAGCTACCACATGTCCGACACCACTGATATGCCGGCTCTCCTCCGACTCCCGTGCGAAGTTCTCTTTGAAATCGCGTCGCTCCTGGATGCACCAGATCTGCGCAGACTTGCACTTGCGTCGAGACATGTGGTCGCTCCTGTTTACACAGTCCTTTACGAGACTGTCGACTTGTACCTGCCCAGGCCAGAGGGCGGCGGTGTTAGAGACGTTCAGACGGAGCGGTACGGGCAAGTGCGGATGCTATGCTTCTTACGTACGATGATTGAGCGCCCGGATCTCGCACAGAAGGTCAAATCAATCCGGTTGAGAATGTATGGCGGCAGGATGTACAATCACAACAATTCCTTCCGGAGTATAATGCCCACTTTTGATCTGGACTCTGTCCACCAGGCAGTAATGGAGGCATGGGAGGCCATGGACCATCCGGTAGATTACGACGCCCGCATCTGTTGTTGCGACGAGTCTGGATCTGACAGGCCTGGAACATTTTGCAAGCACTTATTGGAGATGCTGACAAAAAGGATGACGGACGCATACAACTATGTTCTTTTGCACCTGCTGCCCAATCTACGCGGAATCGATCTAGTTGGACGCGCTTACCACGACTACCCTTGCATGACTTGCTCAATCACGGATGCAGTTCCGCCCGCCTATAACAACTGCAAGAGCTTGTCCATCGATTATGGCACTGTCAGCGCATTGCCCCCCTGGCCTCCCTTTCTACAGCAGCTTCACCTTCGTGGCAGAAGTGCGTTAGGGTATCCCTCTCCTGGCAGTTTCCCGACCGATCTCCCGCCAGCTCCTCAGCTGCAGTCTCTGACGTTGGAGGTTCCCCTCCTCAGGGGCTTTGTTGATGACCGGGACCCATTCATGGATACCGCAATGCTTGACTGGCCGGGGTTTGGTACTCCACGTGAATCCTTCCGAGAGTGGCTACCCGACCTTGCGAAAGGACTGCAATGCGAAATGCTGCGGCGCTTGGAACTGATCATGGTTCGTGCAACAGTGGGAGCTATATTCTCAAACTTTCAAACAATAACGGATGCGGCAATGACGACATTCCCTAACTTGGAACAACTGACATTGTCGCCCAGTTACTCCATGTACTACGATCGATCACCTATCCCCAGCCATATACGGATACAGTCCATCAAGGATCCGATACCACTACGGCGTCTCACATTGACGCAACTTCTACTCGAAGATCAGCGTGACGAGGGTCATTGCGGCTGCGGCCGGTGCATCGCATTTATACGCTTTGGTCGGGCTCCCGTCGGCGGTTTCGATCCCCACACCTATCATAGCGAGAAATGGCGAAAAATGTTCAAAAGTGATGCGGAGCCAAACTCAAAACCATACCACTACCCAGTCATGCAAGCGGCATTTCCCAACCTCGAGCATCTCGATATCTGGATCCACGCGGCTAATCCTAGCACCCTCGTGTTCTTCCAGCAACTCTACGACGGACGGGACAACTTTCCGAGCCTGCGATATGTAGGCGTCCGCGTCCCCATGGCCGACGATATACCGTACACTTCCATTCGGGGCCATCTCCGTCATTTCGTCCCGCTGTTCAGGTCCGTCGGTATTCTGTTTCAGTTCTCCCGCGACTCGCTCTGGCCGGCCGAAGACATGCAGCGGAAATGGAAAGTCGCGAACGAACTCGGGGATCACGAGAAAGCCATCAAGGAGGCGAGGGAAAGGGAGGAGTCGCATGCCCGAAGGCACCTGATGCCGCCGCTGAGGGTGCTGAGACAGTACTACTCGCGGCCGGGAGACAGTCCTTGGGGGTACCATCCGGACTGGAATTTGAATCCGGAGCCGTTGGGGGAGGAGGCCTGGGAGGAGGTTTGGACGGCGGTTAGGGCGTTGTTGGCGTGAGGTAGAGGTATGTGAGGGCGCGTAAGGCTAATAAAGATGGGCGGGGTGAGGAAGATCGAGGTGTTTTTTGCAAGAGGAAGCGTGCGAGGACCTTTGGAATGCGCGTCGAGGTTTGTTGGAGTGATCAGGGTGGAAACATGTGCGAGGTAGGGCTGATGAGGCAGCCTGCATTGCGGTGATTTGCGGTGATGGGCAAGATGAGAGGCGAATGAGGTCGTAATCAGGGGCTTTTAGCAACGATATTTGTATGACATTCGAGGATTGTTCGAGCGAAGATTGCGAGAACGAGGGAGAAGTTGGTAGCTGAGAAGGCTGTCGGGATTGCGGTGACGGGTTAAGAAGCAACGATTTTGTTGGGTTGTAAGGAGTTCCTGGAAGAAGGATTTGGCGCCTTTAAGACTTTGTCGAGATAGAAGGACAGGCCAGAGACCCAACCGCAATTGTGTTAAGGGGCATGGGCAAGCGTGTGTAAGGAGGATTGTTTTAGATATGCTCATCTCGAGAAATAGAGCCACAAACTGCGTGGCTTGATGAAACGCACAAGGAATCTGGCAATGCGCCTTCTAGCCCTGAACACGCGGATGAATCGATTTGCTCTGCAAAGCAATACACTGCTTTCTCTTCGTCTATCCCCTCTCCCTTCCTACACTCTTCTGTGTTGGAGGAAACTGCATAAGGATGGAAAGAAGACACCACAATTTCTTCAAACCTAAGAAAACAAAACCACTAGCTCCCTGGTTTCTGGAGGAATAGGGAAGCCGATATCGTCTATGATGTGACCCCCTCTATCGCGTCCATACCCCCTTTCCCACTTACGTCAGCACCTTTCGAATATCCAAGCCGATTTTAAGTAGTAGCAACAGGACGGGACAACAGAATGCTGCTCACAGTTCCTATCTTGTGAAGGGACATATACTCTCAACGCATTCTTGTGACCTCGTGGAGTCACACCATGAGTAGGGAGGATGCCGGGATTCTCGAATGTTGAGCTGCGGTGGATCGATCAAAGTCTCTATGCATCACAATTGTAATGACAGGAGGACATCTCAGGCATGAACACAAGTAATCGTCAATTTAGTGCTGCTGAAGCACTAAATCTATAGCATCCCTTAGAGTACTCTACAATGTGCAGATCCGCACTCGGCTCTTCGTCCCCTCGCTATGCAACGGCGTCACCTGAGGGGCCGATGGCGGCTGAGGTGGCACTTGTTCGATGACCACTGCTCCCGTACCGGCCTTGCAACATGGAAGTCAAGACCGTGATTGCAAGAGCTTTCGAATGCTTTTGCCCCGTTATAGACATGCGTCATGAACGCTCCCTCGTCTCCTGCACTCTCATTTTTTCCCCTTCTTTTTCTTCTTCCCTCCACCCCCGCCTGTCGCAGCTTTCTGCGGCACATCCCCTCTGCTCTCTCCCTTGGCCCCAACGTCGACCATCGGTACATCGCTATCCCCACCCGCCGGCGTCTCGATCCCCGCATTCCCAGCCGGCACGCTAAAGTCCGTCGTGACCTCCTTCATGGCAGCCATGTGTTTCCCCAACCTCCCCAGCGACGCGATCAACCTCCCGACTTCGGCGGCCTTGTTCGTCTCATATTTCAGACAGCATCCAGAGACGGGGTCGTACGCCTTGAGGGTGAAGGTTGCGGACGGGGCTTGGGCATCTTGCTCTGCTGGTGGTTGCGGGGTAGTAGTGGGATTACCGGCATCACCGGCGGACGTTGAGTGTGCACGTTTTGAGGCGTATTTTTGTCGTTTGCGGATCTTGGACGATGTGGGTTTGAGGACGGTGTATTTTGATGTTATGCGAGCCTGGAACGAAAGTTAGAATTGCGGGTAGAGGGCAGGTGAGCGAGGATTATTGATGTGGAGCGGTGAAGGAGGCATACAGTGCTCGGTCTAGCTTTCAAGAGTAGGGAGGCTTGCTCGTACCACTCGGTACTGGATGTGAAATACATGGTTGTGGTTTTCGGGGTGGGGCAGCTCGGGAAAGTTGAGATTGAGCTCACACGCTATGTGCAGCCCTGGGACTAACACCTCATTGGGTAAGTGGATTGCGGGGGTTAGGTGGGACGGAAGAATGTCGGTCCGGTATATCAGATGGACCGCCCTTTCCTCCTCACACTGGGGCAAGTAGCTTTGATGTGTCATAATAAGTAGATGCGTCATATGCAAAGGAAAGAGCTAGAATAGTGGTCAAGAGAATGCCTACTAGATAAAAAAGCGGTCTGCGCATTACTTTTCAGCCCCTTCATACCCTCCCTTTACGATCACAAGTCAACCGATTGGATGGATCCAGAATCATCATGACCCCGACGGATGCACTCTCAAATGACCTGGAAAAGCTTCACCTGGGAAAGCTTCGTTCCGCAAATGGCAAACCTGAGGCTGGAGTAGGTGGTGATGTGGACTCAGAAAACCCATCAGCCTGTTCGACAGCACTGAAAACCATCGACGACCTGGTCAACCGCTGCAGGACGCTACATGACGAGGTGGAAACGTACGTTGCCGCAGTGGAGGAAAAACAGAAACAGTCCAAAACCCATCACCCAGTCGAGTATCGCAGTCTGAGAAACGACTTCAAGAATGAGCTTGCTTTCCTGCAGAAGCTGACCACCTCGAATCTATCCGAAGAAAAAGCCAAGCACTACATCGTCTCTTCGAACCTCGTCTATTACGAAGCGTTATGGGATGCTGCGAAACGATCGTCAGGCTTGCTAGCGTTTCGGAAATATTTCTTCTGGAACCGACGGGAAGAGGGGCATAGGCCCAAGGGGCTTAGTCTTGCCAAAGGCGGGCAAACAAAGGGGAAAAGCTCGGCCCTGGTGGATATTGTCGCTGGCGATGGGTTGGAATGGATACGCGTGTCGACATGCTCCGAGAAGCGATTGATATTCGAGCTTGCAAAGTTGGGATGGCAGAACGACTCAGATTCGGATGAGGAAATGCCTAATGCCTCCTCAGAGGACAACTGGGAGGATGAGGACGATGAAGACCAGGTCGACATTGTGAAGAATGCTCGCGAACTGGCTCGAGCTGCTCGTGCGAATCCGATACGAGGTCGACCGCCACAAGTCCGCATCATCCTGACGCGGATATCGTCCGGCCACACGAAGGAAATCGACGCCGTCCTCCAGAAGATTCGTGCAACAGGTTCTATCGTGCAATGCGCAAACGACATCTTCGCGCCCCCTCCGCTCCCAGAGGTCCTTCCAAGACTCATTGTCGACCATTCTCGCGACTTATCGGAGACGCTGAACATCGATTGCACCATTCTCCTAGCTCTGATTTCCGACATCTCGCATAGAGACTGTCCGATATTGGACTGGTATCCTGGAGAAGTTCGTGCTCAGATATTGGAGGAGCAGAAGGAGAAGCTACTGCCAACTCATCTTTATCCTGCAATAGGCGCACATCCCATGGTGTGCACCCAGCAGGCTGCTGATCAGATGAATCTCATTGTGGATACCCTAGCCACAGACACAGAAAAGGAGCGCGCAAACCTACTACTCTCGCAAGGGAACCATACGAGTACTCCGAATGAAGAGCTCGTACGATTATGGTCCGCTACTTCAAATCACCCAGTTCCTGAAGGGTTTACCCTTCCAATACGCGTGGTGCCAGGCATCGTTGACCGTCAGCAGCTACCCAAGGTTGCCGAGAAGATAGCCGAAGAGCTGTCTCCTCTGAACCAAGCCATCTTCTTCTACGGCTGGGCAAACGGCCTGACGACTCTGAGTTCGAATCGCGTTCGCGCACGGCAGATTGACTCCATCATCAATGAGTTTGGGCTGGAGGATGGCGAGGCAGGGCCGCATATCTGGTTATGCGGAGAGAGCCGCAGCTTGATTGCAAAACAAGGCAGGAGGAAATAGTGAATAGAGCCTACCCTCAAGTCTCATAACGTTTGCAAACACCTTTGGAGCTATTCATATACTAGGAACATTACACAGGCCTTTGTCGGTGTTAGTTATCAGCATTACCCGCGCAACGGATCTTAACACATTCCCAGAAGCTTGCAAGCGTTGTGCGACTGTAAACAAGAGACGTGCTACGGAGTACAAAAGAGTGGGCTTGGTTTGTCAGACTTGTCACGGCCATGGAAGGATCCCTGCGAATTATCGGAACCAAAAGTTACCACTGTATGTCGAACTAGGCCAAAGACGGGGGGATATGGTCGTTTGTTGTTGGCGTTCTACCAGAGGCTGGCAGAAGTGAACATTGGAGTGAATAAACCCCGTGCGTTACTGGAGTTATGGGAGTGGCGACAACAATTACGACCTTGAAGGCATACACGTCTCCACAGGGATATCTAGGGCTTCAATAAAAATAGAGACTGAATGTTCTAAGGTAGCAAGACTGCCCATGCGGAGATCGACGTCCCAAGCCCTGTGAAACGGCAGGCGCCTAGGTCGGGCGTTGCCATGGAGACGCATCAGCCAAAACAGACCGGGTCAACTCAACCGCCAGCCGCAGAGGTGGTGTGCGATCCAGTACATCTCCCGCAACCACCTGCACCATTTCTTCTTCTTCATCTTCACGCACACTGCTTCTGGGGCTTCGAGACGTTGTTTCTTTGCGCGCGCTGTCGGCGCACACCCTTCGTTTCCCCTCCGCCCCGCGATAAAGCACGATCCGTTTGACGCGACTGAAACCCACATTCCTCGCTTGGACCAATCCCCACCTCGATCCACAGTGCATGAGCTATTGATCTTCATCGAACGCCGCTGGGAGGCTCTACAGTCATGGACACGAGCTACCTCGCCCAGCAAGTTACGACAATCATCGGCCAGTTGCACGGCCTGTTCGATGAGATTGGAGTCCCCAGCCATGAGAGGGACACGCGCGAAGCAGAGGTAATTTGAGCAGCGCGCGTCTGATAGCCAGAACTAACATGGCGCAGCTCTTCTCTGCTCTGTCGGAGACACTTCACAGCCAACTTCGTCAAGTTACCAAGTACGATCATCCGCGCCGTCTAGCAATGCGGTACTGACTTGCCACAGTGAGAAACACCAAATGACGGAGGAGGCGCATCGTTTGATCAAGACAATCAAGGAGATGGAAGCTTCACTCGATGACAAGAAGCGCGTTGCCAGCTATGGGTCCGACGATGGCGATATGACTGTCACATATCCTCTTACACGCTGCCTACAGGGTCTCAAGGAGAAGTACAGTATCGTTAGCAAAGTGCATCGCGAGCGCTTTGAACAAGTCAGGAGTACGCGGCTTTTTGTTTGCTGCACAACGATGACGCTGACTGGCTACAGAACTTGCCGAAGCCCTCGAGTCGTATGCATCGCATCTAGAGCCAGCATTCGTACAAATCAAGCTGCCACCGACCTCGCCTAACGCTACTGTCTCGCCCTCATTCGATATCTCACCGTCCTACGTCGCGTCTCTGGATAAAGAGTTCACCCGCGTCTATGATGAGTACACTCGCCGAGTGAATACGGTGCAGGTCTTATGCCAGGAAATGATTCAGCTTTGGGCCGAACTAGGAACACCGCAGGCACAAACGGACACATCGGTCGTCAAGTACCATCGCGATGCGCCGGAGCAGCTCGGCCTGCATAAAGACGACATAGCACAGCTGAAGGCTAAGAAGGAGCGGCTCGTTGAAGAGAAGCGTGGCCGAGAAAGGCGACTGGCTCAGCTGCGGGCAACAATTGAAGATCTCTGGGAGCGTCTGGGTGTGGAAGAGCAAGACCGCAAGCAGTTTCTTAACAAGAACCGCGGATGTGGCCTTAGAACCATCAATGAGTTTGAGGATGAGCTCGCGAGGCTCAACGAACTGAAGCGCCAGAACCTACATTTGTTTGTCGAAGAGGCGAGGGTCAAGCTTCAGGAACTATGGGACGCCCTGTATTTCTCCGAGGAGGAGATGCTCGACTTCACCCCAGCTTTCTCTGGTAAGTCGGAACTAGATACGAAGGGTAACCCAAGCTGACTTGACTCAGATGTCTGCAGTGATGCACTCTTGTCGGCTCACGAACAAGAAATTGCTCGCCTGGAAGCACTCAAACTACAGCGCCTACCCATCCTTCAGAAGATCGACCGACACCGTGAACTTGTCAAGGAGAGAGATGAACTTCAAGCTTCAAGTCAAGACGCATCTCGTCTGATGTTAAGAGGACAGAAGGGAGAGAAGCGCGATCCAGGCAAGCTGCTAAGGGAGGAGAAGATGCGCAAGAGGATCGCCAAGGAGCTGCCGAAGGTCGAAGCCGATCTCAAGAAGACGCTTGAAAAGTTCGAAGACGAGTATGGAAGACCCTTCCTCGTTCATGGCGAGCGATATCTGGATGAGCTGTATGCGTCCGCCTCCAAGACTGCTCCACCTCGATCAAAGACACCTTCCGTAGCACCTCTCCCCTCGAAGCAAGCCCCCAAATCGGCGCCGCGTGACAGAGCCAATACGATTCATGGTGGACAGATCCGAGCGAAGACGCCTACAGCAACAAATTTCGGAGCCAGCGTTAATCGCAACCCGCTTGCCAGTTCGGTCATGTCAAGCTCTCACATGGGCTCCACAGGGGGTCCGAAAAGTCCATCTAAGATTCCTTCGCGTACAGGATTGAAGAGTCTCCCGGAGGCACAAAATTCTCCAGAGCGTCGATCCAGGTTGGAAAGACAGGATTCCACACTTAGGAGTATGCCTCCCCCACGCGCTCCTCCGCCAAAGATGAAGGACCTGTTCATTCCCCCCGAATCCGCAGCGACACCCGCGCAACGCTACGAATTCAGCCGAGATCGCAGTGAGAGTATTGTACGGCACGTGCCACCTGAGGATCCTTACGACGACCGATCATACCTGTCGCGCACGATACGAGCCGGTTACGACCATGGGTATCCTCCCTCGGGTGCCGTCAGACAGATGTCGCACTCGTCGCAAACCTCTTCAACCGGTACCGGGCACACCATGGTGTCGGGTTCGGAGAACTGGGAGACGTTTAGTGAGCAGTCAGAGGACCCGGAACGCGACGTCGATGTCTACAAGCATAGGCAGGCAATGTCACGGAACAAACGCTACACTCCCGAGGGTGGCCACGGCTCGCCGAAAGGGATTCAAGGCAAGAAGCTGAGGGGAATAAGAAGCGTGGACAGCGAGGTCATGACGGAAAATGACAGTAGCCGCATGCTGAGAGTGGTGGAAGGCAGCGAAGCTGGCTGGACGGATGAAGAGACCTATTGAGTCTCGTACTCCCTGAAGCCAAGGCTCTCGTCTCAACCTACGCTGCTACGACGGTATGCGCTTGATGTCCCGTGTCTTTGCAACGAGGCGCTCTGAGCGGTTTATTCTTCCGGCGCAGCATGGCCTTCCTTTTGCTCCAAGGACCACCATCTGGACTCGATGTGTCGACGATTCACGGCCCCTTCTTCACCGCTTTCGACGTTCAACGACTTGGACGAATCTTCCGTGTAATTTTGCTCGCACCGAATGCCGGCATGTGACTTTTTTCAAAAATTTTTCTTCCGCTTCCTACTTGAGTGGTCGGAAGAGTGGCCACGTCGAGGAGGTGGGTCTTGGCAGGAAGAAATATTGCCGCACACGCCGCATCTAGGTGCATTTGCTGCATCTCGTCGTGGCCCCCGATACGATTTGATTACTGCGTCTTGGAAGGGGCAGCGGGACTTGTCTCTTCCCCCACTCTTCTGGTGTTTTTCTTTAGTGCTTCGATTGGATTAGGGTGCTGAGTAATAGTTTGGGGCGTACTGGGAGGTACTACTGTCTTCGCTTTTTGAGTTGAGGGCGCTGCTACCGCTGCTGCTGCGTTTTCATTGATTAAGGAGGACTCCGGACACACGCAGTCATTTCTGCTTGACTTGTTTGGGTGAGAGCCAGGAGAAGGGGGGAGGAGTCGTGCAAAGGTTACGGGAGTGTACTACTACTCTGGAGAAAAGATGCGGATGCAGAAATATACTATTTCATCAGAGTTCTTTTTGCTATCGAATTCTAAGTGACTCGACAGGCGGAGGAAAAGCACATGACGGTCCATATTGAAGGCAGCACTCGGAGTCTGCCGAGCTGCCGCTGCGGGGGAGTGTGTGGGGGAATGCATCTAGCGGATATGCTGCACGAGTGAATGGCTTGCATACGGCAGTGGGCATGCCGCACCCGCGTCGCTGGAGCGGAGAGATACGCATCATGACGGTGAGAGGTTCCTGTATCTCGGTGTTGCCGCATGCTCTACTTTCCTAATGCTAACCTGTCCGCCGTCAAAGGAGTAATACTGTGTAGTAGGATTTCCTGCATCGTGAAAGGCGCGAAACGCGAAACAGCTTAGGGATCGGGCAGCAGAATGATTCTTTTGTTGCTCGGCCGGCCATCTCACAGATATGATTCGCAGTTGACGTGGGCGAAGAAAATATGACGGGAAGAGTGGAGACGACTCCATGCTGGTGTCTTTTCTACCCGTCTTCTGTCCGCTCGTCACCGCAGGACCCATCCAATCAGGTCGCGCCTGGACTGGCCGATGGGTTATCGAGATCGGCGTGTGTGTGCAGGGATCCAGCGCGTGCGCCTGTGTGTTGTCGATTGTATGCTTTGTATGGCTACAACTGTGGTAATCCGCACTGCTCCAATGTAAGCTCTGAGCGCATGACAACGGCGCGCGTTCCTGTCTCTCACACTGGTCTTTGGAATTTGGGGGTTAAGTTGTGTCAGGTCAGCGTGGGCGCCCAATGGTGGAAGAGGGTGCTGTGTGACCGGGCACGGGCGTGGAGGATTTCGCCCACGCGACCGCTCCCTATCTGATCTATCACCGTTGCCTTCTTTTATCAGCACCATCATCCCCGGCCATCGTCATAACCCCAGATACCAGCCGTGAGATCACCACTCTCCACACGTCGTCCCTTCTGCGCCGCTCTTTAAAGCCGCATCCTCCCTGGAAACATTCTTTCGTCGTTCTGGACACCGCACACGACAGACACTCTCTCGTCGCAACTTGGGCCTCCACGGCGATACTCAATCGGGGGCCCAGGCTAATGTACCTCATCTTAAGCCCTACGACGCTCCACCCAATCCCGCTCCACGCAATCACGTAAACGGCGCAAGGGCATACCCGCCGGAACTTATTACACTCGTATGAATACAGTAAATATCCTTGTTGGACCTTTGGGATTCTAGTACCCACGGGAAAACGGCCGAGGTCGTCCACGATGATGGTGCCCAGGTCCTACCACTTCCTCCACCAGTCCTCCGCCAGCTCCTCCTCTCCACCTTGCAGGTCGTCCAACAAGATGGGCGCTCGAGTCACCCTCACTCCGGTTCCTTCCCCAAATACGTCAGCAAAACCGTCATCGCAAATGCACTCGCTGGAGAGGAGCGAGCGTGAACCCGCTCCGAAGCCGCGCCTACCGTCTCCCTCGCCGTCAGAGCCAACGCACTCCAAACCCGTCGTTATTCCACCACGCACTGCAACCAAAACTCCATTAGCAACTGCCACGGTGAGGTCAAGAGGCAGAACTGGTACCAGGCAGTCGCGGTTGCCGTCAAATCACAAGGCCGATGCCATACCTCCCACCGTAGCCGCACTCCTCGCACTCACCGAAATTCCACGCATGCCGTCACGGACGCGCAAAGGCGCCAACAGCAAGGACAAGAAGATCTCAATGGACGAGTTGATACAGGAGTGGAATAAGGAAGATGCAGAGCTGTCGCCGTCGCTGGGAGGCTCGCCGCTTGACCTGCTATTGGGTCGCGTGGACGAGTCGGAGGATGAGTTTGGCAGCTTACAGAGCATGAGGCAAGAGAGGGGATCATGGACACCCAGGTCCATGTCCTCCGACTCACTAAACACGATGCCGCCGTCGCTGGTCCACGATTCGCCCTCCTTCGCTTCCGTCTGGGACGTCCCAAGCACGCCAGAGTCCTGTGGCAGACCCGAACGACGAGGGAAGACAGTCCAGTCGCCGCCAAAAGAGGACTGCATCCTGGATCACCCACTTCTACACTTCAGCGAAGATGAATGCGAGGACCTTGCCGCAATAGATACGACCGAAGTTGTTGTCACCTCGCCATCTCCCTCGACCGGCAGATTCCAGTCCTTCAAATCGAATTTGACTGCTTCGTTCCAGGCCATGAAATCCGCAGCTAAATCCTTTTCCAACTTCACAGCACCAAGTGTACCGCCGGACGACCTGCTCACACGGTCACTACTGTCGCCACGATTCACAAGCGAAATGCGCCCCAAGCACATGCAAGGCCTACCATCGCCCGCCCTGAGACGCTACCTAAACCCGCAACCCGCAGCCATATCCTACCAGGAGATGTCCATGCGACTCCACTCGGCACTCAAGCTCGACGCGGACACAGATATCAAGGCCCCCATGATCCAGATGCAGACCTACGACCGTCGCGGCCGCTCTCCCAGCCGCAAACGCAAAAACGACCCCTTCTCCGAGGCAGGACGGGCGCTCTCCCCTGCACCCGCCGTGCGCCAGCGTGAGCCCCGCGAGAACAGCGATTTCCTGCGTGTGATCGTCATGGAAATGAACATGCGCCGGGCGGGCAAGCTGGATCCCAAGGCGGTAGGGAAAGCACGTATCTGGTTACCTCCTAGGAAATCGACTCCGAGCGCTGCGACACCGGTTTCTCAAAGCGGCAATGGTGTGCCTGATCGATGGGTTGCGAAGACGGTCGATTGGGATTGAGGATGCAGTGGACGGAAAGTGCGGCTACGATAAGCACTGTCAGGCATCCATCTGTCTATCCATACGCTTCACCTGCATCGTTGCTTTGGATGCATGCACTTCTCATGCATTTGCTGCGCTCGGCCGAGGACATTGAACGGGGACCGAGACAACACCACGTCAGGGGCAGCACGGGTAGAACACACAGTACATACAGTACGGAGTACACGGCGACTTTGAGCTGGACACTCTGTCTTCGCCACGGTTACTTCGTGGCCCGCTCGCTTGGAGAAGACGGCGGTCCTGCTTGGCTGCTTTACAATGTGTGATTCGGCGAGTTTGGATGACGGTTGGCAGGCGAGATCAGCAGGCTCATGGGAGAGCGATTTTCTCAGCATTGAGTTTGGGCTATTCTGCAGCTCACAGTCCGGCACTTCCGTTGAAGTCGGTTTGGATCGCGATGGCTATTCAGATTTTGGGCAGCAGCTCCAGGATGGGCAGCATACCCCGCCGTTGATCTGATGGAGGGAGCGCGGGGTTTTTTCACACTTTTCAGGTTTCCTATCACTTTTGGGTTCAAATGGGGGATCCACCACGGGACGTCACCATCGCTTTTGTTTATCTCCATTGTCAGGGTCTTTTCTTTTTGGTGTTGTTGGGGTCTGCGATATGGACGCCGAAGTGCTCGTGTCGTCCGTTTAGCTCGGGGTTGCATTGTAGAATGGTGTTTTGGAGAGGTTGCATTAGTAGAAGCAGACGAGAGCTCGCTGCTCCGCCTATTGTTAGAAATCCGGTAGAAGAGTATAGATCCTATCATCTACAGAATTCTCTTGGTTTGGTTGGCGATGCGCTGGATGTTGGACTCTTCGAAAGTCCGCCAAGGTTCGCGGTACACAGTAGGTAGTACTGCAGATTATCTCACATGTCGAGTCTCTCAGCGTTCGCAATTCCCTTTTTCTCGGTCAGGTACGAGCCATAACTAGAAGTCTTTAATGACGATGCTGGCAACATTGAATCCTAAATGCATCTCCCCCCAAATAACGATTGATCGTTGAAGCCTCAGAGCGAAGCTGTACCGCGCAAGAATAGCGAACTGGTCCAGACCCTATTTCCACCTTCCTGATGGTGCGCATGAAGTTCTGGCAGTGGAACCGGCTCACGTATCCGGTCAAGCCCGGAAGGCCATCCAACAAACAATAGCGGCCAACCTCCAGGTCGGATTCCGCATGGCACGTGCTTTTGCCTCAGCCGCTGCCCCCAGGTGGAACCTCGCCTTCATCCCGCCCCCTCAGACTCATCGTCACACGGTGCCCCCGTCCAAGAACGCCAAGCACAATCAAGCCTCAAGCTTAACCGTGTGTCTCATCGCTAATCCCATCATCGATCCATCTCGAAACCCCAGGAGGGCTGTTCCTCGTCGACAGCGTGAATTAATCCGAGCATACCTACCATGAGATTTCCGGCCGCGCCTGCACCCGCTGCTGGAACCCAATAACCGTGATGGAGGCGCTGGAGCCGCTGGAAAGGGCCCAGCTGCTGCCGGCCAGCAGAGGCGGTCGTGCTGCTGGTCTGACGGAGACGGTACCGTACCGCGTATGTTCATGTCGATCGCGTTTTCGGGAGACTGGGGGACTTGACTGACGATGCTATGTAGGAGGACTGCGAACCGTACACGATCCCCTCTGGAGGCGTGCTGGTACTCTCGCCCGAAGCCACCATAACCCTCACCGCCGACGCTTTGTTCACTCCTAAGTGCACGCCCGGGGTCGAGCAGAGCCATGTCTATGTGGGCCGAGACGTGGAAGGAGAAGTCCCGATTGTCGACACTCGAGATCCGTTTCATGCGTCAATCACACCCCAGGCGTACGCGACCGGCGCGGCGACAGTCATTGCGTGGATGCTCGTTATCATGCTTATCATCACGCCGCGGACGTTCTTTGTTGGCGGCGCGTCCGGCCGCTCAGGACTCATGGGAAGACGGGGGATGATCAGCGGAGCAACAGGAGGCGGGTCTGTGATTGGAGTCGGGACAAGACCGTGGTTGCAGAAGGTTGCTGCTCTCACTGTAGCCGTCTCGCTAACGCTCGCTACGGCGGACACGTTCAAGATTGCGCAAGAGCAGTATGAGGAGGGCGTTATGGATGCGGTGAAGCTGCGGAATATGGTGGTTTCGAGCACGGAGATCAAGGTTTCGCGCGTCATTTCGGATGTTTTTCTCTGGCTTGCCCAGGTGCAGACCTTGATTCGCCTGTTCCCGAGACATAAAGAGAAGGTCATCATCAAGTGGGTGGGGTTCGCCCTGGTTCTGCTGGACATCACGTTCAGCTGCCTGAACAGCTTCGGACCCTGGAACCAGACTGGACGACCCAGGAAATTCGAAACCGCCATCCCCGCCCTGAGCTACCTGTTCCAGTTGTCCCTAAGCATGCTCTACGCTGCGTGGGTCATGTACTACGCTATCACGAAAAGACAGTATGCCTTCTATCATTCCATGATGTGGAACATTGCGATAGTGGCGCTTCTTTCCATAGTCGCCATCCTGACGCCTGTGGTATTCTTCATCACGGATATTGCTGATTATACGATTGCTGGGTGGGGAGATTATTTTCGGTGGGTGGGCGCGGCGGCAGCGAGCGTTATCGTGTGGGAATGGGTGGAACGGATAGAGGCATTAGAAAGAGAAGAAAGAAAAGACGGGATACTAGGACGAGAGATTTACGACGGAGATGATATGCTGGAGACGACACCATGTCACGAAATCTGGCCCCACTCGCACCACGGCAATACCGCTGACGACAAAAAGAAGCGTGGAGATGGAAGACGTGGCGGAGGATTCAGTGGCTTTGCAACTGGTGCTGGTCACGGTTTTGGCAACATGGCTCGCCGACTAGGACGAGCCAAACGATTGCGGATAAGCCCGGAAATGCCCCACACGGAACGAAGAAAACGAGTAATCCATATCCCTGTTCCAGCGCCTGCACGTCGGAAGGCGGACGCAGAACAGTTGTCCCCCAGGGCTTCTCGCAACGAGTCTTCTGCTAGAAATGGGCCTCAGGTGCCGGTGATACATTCGCCGGTTAGTAGGACGGAAACGACGAGTGCGGATAGTACAGTGTATGAGATCCGTTATCACCCTGTTAGCGACTCTCCTGCGGCTGGAGGCAATCCGACTACTACAGAAATAACGTACGGGAAGATGGCCAACGAGGTGGCCTGCGATGATCCGGAAAAGGGGCTTGAGACTATCGCTGATACAACTACTCCACAGAACAGAAGCAGATGGGTTTGGCCAGTCTCGAATCCGTTCCGCCGCCAAGGTCGAACGCCTCCACAGGAAGTCCAGAGAGGGCGAGTCATCGAACCGCTTGCGATCGATGATGTCTCGGTCCATGTGCCTCCTCGGCATTACACTGGCCTGGCTCTAAAGGCTCGCCTGGGAACGTTCGCGGCGCAGCAAGGAGAGAAAATCCGGTCGCTCAGAGGCGCTGGACAACAAACGGATTCGGATCTACCAGTTACGATTATACCGGCCCAGCCTCGTGGACGGACGTGGTCGCCCCAACAGGATAATAATATCATAACTGGGGAGGCGGGATCCGACCTCCAGCTACAAGGATCTGGAACTACAGATGTCACGGAAGGCGCAAATCTAGCTACGGCGACCACTACATCTCCAACATTGTCTTCAAGGGGAGGGACAGCCGGAGCTCTACAGGCGGGTCCTGCGGCTATGGGACACCGCACTCCGCAAGTCAGATTTGCGCCTGAAGTTCATGAGAGATATGCCGCTGATCAGCCAGCCGGACTGGATACCAGTAGGACATCGCCTACGCAGCCGGGACCTTCGTCGACACTGGGGGTGGAGATCTTTGAGGAGCCCCAGCGAAATGAGAGTAGTCCAGACAACAGTCCAGCAGCCACTGGTGTGGATGGGAGGCCGACCAACCATGACAGATAGCTCAGCAGGGTTATCACTTGATTGTTTATTGGTTCTATTCTTTTGTTTTCGGATCTTCCACGACGCAAGCGGTTGCGAATGCTCTTTGATTTTCGGCGCATCAAACATTTCTGGCTTAGATACTACGGATCTTGGAGACGGACGGACGCGGACGACCCGTGTACAGTGTGGTGGGTGTGTTGGTGTTCATGAGATTTCTGCATAGCATATGCATGGGGTTGGATGGGAGAGATTAGTGGTTTGTTTTGCTTGGGAGGAAATCGGAAGAGAGCCGGGAGGAGAAGGCAAGAGGAATGATGGATGATTACAGGATACCCGCCGAGAAGAGAAACCGGCAGCGTTTTCGTTTTTGAGATTCGTTTTGGCATCTAAGCAAGCATGTGAGGGAAGGGAGTTGGGATTTGGGATTTATGAGAGGAGATCAGTGAATCTATGGTATAGGATTTGGAGATTTATGACATTTGCTCCGTGGTGAGATGAAGAGTGACTGTGGGATCGAAACATTTTCAAAATTCTACAGGCGGAATCTTCACGCCATGTATACTGCTTGTGACTCCCAGGACGTATTCCCCTTCTACCCTAGCTCCATCCCCAAGAATTCCCACTTCGAATGGATTCTGTGCACCCACGCCAAGCATCCGACAAGCTTATCGAAGCATCTCGAGCTTGGACCACATGCATCCGAACCGAGCTCCCCAACCTCAAGCTGTTCCCAGCCCCAGGCGAAGGGCAAGAGATACCCTCCCTCGGTCGGACCTCAGCCGCTTTGCGCGCTGCCTTGTTCTGTTACCTGTTTACCATTTCCCAGGAGTCCCTCGCGAAGCGACGCGCTTCACCAAGTGTCCATCCAAACAAGTCGATTGACCGCGCACAGTCGCGCGCATTCCCCCGACCGACCTCCGCACACAAGCACCAACAATGTCCCTCTTCGGCGACGACGACGGCGACACGCTCCCTTCCTCCCGCCCCAAACCCTCCGCCTCCCTCTTCGACGATGATGACCACCACCGTCCCGCCAGCACCAGCCTCTTCGCCGACCACGACGACGCCGACGACGCCCACTCCTCGCCCTGGGGAATCCCGACGCCCCGGAAAGCAGGGACGCGGAGCTCGCTCATCAGGAACTTGCTCCCCGCGTCCGAGGTTCCGGAAGCGTATGTCGATGCGTTCGATGAGCTGGTCGCCGAGGAAGGGGGTGTGAGCATTGAGGTGGTTAGGAGGAGGGTGTTTGGGGAGAGTGGGTTGGATGGTGCGGTGTTGGGACGGATTGAGGAGGTTGTTGGGTTGGGTGGGGAGGGGATGGAGAGGGATGGGCTTGGGAGGGGCGGGTTTTTCGTCGTGTTGGCGCTCGTGGGGTTGGGTCAGGAGGGGGAGGAGGTTTCGTTGGATGGGGTGGATGAGAGGAGGAAGGGTGAGTGGGCGTTCCGAGGTTCTAATATTCCTGATTAAGGACTTCTGGAGTTTTGCTGCGGTTCAGCGGGTTTGAGGAGCATGGGAGATGTATGGCTTGGGAGGATGCGGATTGATTGACTGACTTTTTGGTGTTTGTAGATTTGCCCGTGCCGTCGCTGCCGCTTTTGGAGAGGAGCGCACATCTTCAAGCGAAGGTTGCGGAACCCGAACAAACGGAGCATACCATCCAGCGTCCGTCTTCCCCGCCAACGCCGCAACGACAACAGCAGCAACATACCACTCCTAGTACGAGTCAGCAGCCGTCGACACCAAGTCGGTCGCGTGCGCCTATGCGGAAACAGTCCTTTGGGGACCCCGAGGCCGATCCCTGGGCGAGTCCCGATCTGCATAGAGGACACGATCATTCGAGCTATACATCTGTACCCACACAGACGAACGGCATGCGTGGTCCAGCGACTGCGGCGAGAACGACCAGTCAATTCACAACGCATGAGGAGCAGCCAAATCGGACCCCTGCCGCTGAGACTGGCGTATCGAGGCCGAGCACGCTGAGCAGCGAGGGAGGATGGGGAAGTTTCAATCCCTCCGCGGACGCCCGATTCTCCTCCGCCGCACCCTTCGGCGAGCCCGCACCTGCTTCCCCGAATGTCCCCGGGCTAGGCCGTTCCCTAGGAATAGGAGGCAGTACCCCGATCGTTCCCCACGGTGCCGAAGAGACCGTCACTGTGACGACGATTGCGGAGAAGGAGGGGATATTCATGTTCCAGCACCGGAATTACGAAGTCGCGTCCGCGAGGCGGAATGTGAAAGTGATAAGGCGGTATAGCGATTTTGTGTGGTTGTTGGATTGCTTGCATAAGAAGTATCCGTTTAGACAGTTACCGCTCTTGCCGCCAAAGAGAGTTGCCAGTGAGTTTCTTTCCCGGTTCCCACTTTTCCCCTGAAGCCTCCTGAGGGAGCCGCTCGGATGCCCCTCGAGTGGATATTTGCTTGGATTGAGAATGATGTATTCTTATAGTCAATGGTAATTACCTAGCGACGGATGCGAGTTTTGTAGAGAAACGGAGGAGAGGGCTGGCGAGGTTTGTGAATGCACTGGTTAGACATCCCGTGTTGAGCCAGGAGCAGTTGGTGGTAATGTTTCTGACGGTGCCAACGGTACGTACAGAGTGTTCACACATATCAGGCACGAAGACGAGGAAGAGGATCGGTAACTAAAACTTCTGTTTCAGGAACTCGCCGTGTGGCGCAAGCAAGCCAGCATCAGCATCCAGGAGGAATTCACCGGCAAATCCCTCCCTCCAGACCTAGAAGACTCGCTCCCCAAGACCCTCCCCGAGCTCTTCGACACGGTCCGCGCCGGCATCCGCCGCTCCGCCGAAGTCTACATCAACCTGTGCAACATGGTGGAGCGCCTGAGTCGCCGGAACGAAGGCATGGCAGCAGAATATCTCCGCATCTCCACCGCCCTGCGCACCTTGACCCAAGCCTCCCGCGACACGTACGCGTGCGATACGTCCGATGTGCCGGCCCTGAATAGTGGGTTGTTATCCACAGCCAAGCATTTGGAGCAGTCTCGCGCGCTGCTGGAGGACGAGGCCAAGGGGTGGGAGGAGGGCGTGTTGGAGGATCTGAAGAGGCAGAGGGATTCGCTAGTGAGTATGCGGGATCTGTTCGATAGGAGGGATAAGTATGCGAGGGACAATATACCCGCGTTGGAGAAGAGGATCAAGAATAACGAGGCGAAGTTGGAGGCTATTCGGAATAGGCCCGAGGGAGTGGGGAAGCCGGGCGAGGCGGAGAAGGTGGAGGAGGCGATTTTGCGGGTATGTTCATTTTTTTCAATCTCACGTGTTTGCTTGTACTTCTATAGTACTTGCTCCTGTGAGGCAAAGGGGACGAGTGACTAATCCGTGGATACAGGATAAAGAGTCCATTGTGCAACAGCACGCGCGGGGCGTCTTCATAAAGGAGTGCATACGCGACGAGCTGCTCTTCTTCCAGCAGAGCCAGTACCATGTCAGTCGACTGCATCAGGACTGGGCGCAGGAGAGGGTCAAGTATGCCGAGTTGCAGGCGGATAATTGGAGGGCGCTGAGTGAGGAGGTGGAGGGGATGCCGACGGCGGATTAGGGGGTTGGGGGAGAGAGAGGGGGACCGAGAAGGGAAGGGGAAGAGGGAGGGGATCAGAGGGAGGGGATCAGAGGGAGGGGATCAGAGGGAGGGGATCAGAGGGAGGGGATCAGAGGGAGGGAGGAGAGGGGTTAATGTATATGGAGGAAGAGGATGTATGTATGGATGGTTTGGCAGTGGATGATGTATTTTCGAGAGTATTTGTTGAGGAAGATGAGATTGATGGGCGTGCAGAGAGTGGTTGAGAGGCTCATCTACGGGATTCGTATACTGAGGTGAAGCCTATAGATGTGAAGTTCACTTCTCCCGCGCGCCTTTCCCCACGTCATATTCATGGGAGGACGTGAGGCCGCCCCAGGTACCTGCCTGCCCAGGTGTGCGTGCGGGCGTACCTGCCAATTCCTAGCAACCTAGTCTACCCTACCCACGCATTCACACGCACCCACGCAACCGCACATTGACGCCCGCTCGCACCCCTGGGCGTCTTTCTACTACGAACCTCTACTGTCTCTACTGGCTCCCGACCTACCGACTTTCTTTCCCTTTTGCCAACCCCCGGTCCTACGCAGCATAAACCTGTTGCGCCTCGTCCGCCAATCGTTTTCTACTAGGAACGCGTTCACGTCGAAGCTTAGGGTCAAGGCGCAGGATTACGAGGAGATATCGGAGAAGAGACAAGGAGGAGGAAGAGATGGGCCGGAAACGGAATGCTAGCCCCAGTGGTGGTGGTGGGAGTTCTACTAAGAGGGTGAGGGAAGGTATGTTTGGTTTCTTTTCTGTTTGATTCTGTGGGTTGGAAGGGGAGCGGAGGTTCCAAGATTGAGGCCGTCGACATGTCTAGTCTGTCTGGGCAGGGGACGTTGGATGTTGTATGTGGATGGTTTCACAGCCACGCCGCGTGGGGTAACGTTAGAGGGGAGGGGTGCAGATGCTGGGATGAGCGCCGCGGGAAAGAGCCTCGCCGGTGGGGATCCAAACTTGTCCGAGCAACACTCGAGGAACGGCGGCGGCGGAACGGACCTCACTTCACTTCGCCTTTTGCAGTTTACGCTCGCTCTCGATTCACCGCGCGACACGTACACGTCCACCGTTCTGCATATCGATATCGCTCCCGCGCCAAACCACTCTCACCTTCCGCTCCACTCCACGCCGCAGACTAACGCAACCCGCACCGCATCCTCTCCCGCCTCTCGTCTTCCACCTCCGCCTTCTGCTTCCGCCGGCCCACGAGCGACCCTTCCATACTGCTATTCTCACACGTTTCATATCAGCATCAAGAACTAACACAAGATGCCACCAGCATATACCGCGAGCCAGAAGGATGCGATAGGCCGGGTTATGGCCTTCACGAACGCGGATCGGAGTACGGCTACGAAGGTGAGTGAGACATCAGGCATCTTTTAGCGGATAAAAAATATGAAAATGACACGGAACCGGGGGAAGGCAGTTGTGGGTGGGAAAAGGGGATCCAGGCGTGAGAATGGAATGAGTGCTAATGAGCGCGTAGTTGTTGAAGGCACATGGGTGGAATGAAGAAGCTGCTGTCAATGGGTAAGTGGAACATGCATTTTCCTTTTGGGATGGGCCTCCTGTGTGAAGAGTTATTTTATTGCCTGGACGACGCGCAAACGCCGGACTATCGAGCTGTCCATCTGGATTCTGGAACTCCTCACACGATTTAATGAACGTTGGAAGTGCAGGAAAGAGTGGTATACGGGGCGTCACTTCCAGCGTATTCGTCAAGAAGCCGCGAGACGAATTCTGGCACAAGTTCTTTCCTCCGATATTGGAGAGGTGAGGTGCCATAGGCCGCGAGCGCGAACTTCGGGACAGAGCCACTGCACGCCGATGGCTCATTCGTTCTGGTCCTTTCCGGTTGACATCACCAAAACAAACACAAACATTTTCCGACACTGACTCTTCGCCCTCTACTCTCTCTCTCTGGATTGGTCATACCCACTTCATACACGCCGGCCATGACCTTCGGGGCTTCCGAGGACCGAGCAAGACTGCTTGCGTCTCGGCACAGACATAAGCATCGGACCGTCTCTTATGCCTCGGAGCTGATTAACAGCGCCAGCTGTTATTACATTCCATCACAGCGTGCAGTGACATATGGACCTCAGGATGTCCCGGATCAACCAGCGATTACCACCGAATCTTCTTCATTCATACAGCAACATGATCGATCGCCAACAGCTGCTACGACCGCCGACACTGCATCACGTCGTCTTCGAAGCTCCTCCAGTCATGGCCTCGGCTCAGGAATCGGATCTTCGGAGAAGGGAACTCCAAAGGAGCCAGGTCTGCCCGAGGGAGAGCACACCGATGAGGGACATCGGACGAAACCGCAGCACATAACTGCGACGCCGACACAGCTGCAATCATTGGACCCATCATTGAGAGACAATGAGCACTCTACCCAAATTGCCGTAGCCACACAATCTCATGATCCTCCTTCGTCTGAATGGCAAACCGGTACCAGCCAAACGTCCGGACCCTCCATAACGTCGACTCGCAAGGACTCACTATGCAGTGAGCCAGACACGCCTGATCAGCGAGGAATTCGTTTTGGTATCTCGTTGGATAAACTGTTCGCTGAGACAAGTTTGTTTCGCAGATGGTCGCCTTCTGGGTCTCCCATTGACTGTTCTGACGCTCCCTGGTGAGCAGCCGATTACCCCTGCTCAACACCCGAACCCAACAAGAGCTATGCGTGGCGGAGTGTCAGATGGAGGCCCATGTTCCACTCAAAGCTTTATCTAATATGACAGCACTAATAAGGGATTGTTAGGTTCTTCACGAATGGCCCCGCTGCCGGCAACTCCGCTGTCTCAAAGATCTTCGACAAGTACCGTGACGATGCGGCAAACTCACCAGATACCATAGGAGCCACCGGCACCATGAAGTATCTGGAGGATATCGGCGTGGACGTTGAGGGTTTAGAGAGCCTTGCTGTGCTGGAACTTGTGCAAGCGCCTGCCATGGGCGAGATGACTAGACAAGGCTTCGTCTCCTTCTGGAGCTCCACAGGGTACGCTGAGATCCGGTGCCTGTGTCTCAAGTGAGCGGAGACTGACATATCATGATAGATGCGACACTCTTGAGAAGCAGAAAGCCTACGTACAGTCGCTGAAGACGAGACTGCCGTCATCGAAGGAGGCATACACGAAGGTCTACAACCATACTTTTCAGCTCGCCAAAAGCGGCAATCAGAAGTCGATCCCCCTGGAAATCGCATCGGCATATTGGGAACTGCTGTTCACGTCTCCCCTCTCCGCGGTACGGTGGACCACCGAGTCGTCTCCGTGGATACAATGGTGGATCGAATTTCTCACCTCGGAATGGAAACGAAGTGTCAACAAGGATGTGTGGACCCAAACTTTGAAGTTCGCGCAGTTAACGCTCGAAGATGGGGAGTTGACTTTCTGGACCGAAGAATCATCGTGGCCATCCGTCATCGACGAGTTCGTGGAATGGGTCAAGAAGGAGAAACGAGGCACAAGTCAAGCTGCTTAGGAATGGTGCAGATAGATGACTGCTATTGGGGTGTGTGTGCACCTATCCGGCGTCGCTGAAGCTTCTATCGGCAGCTCTAGCTCGCGAAGAGTTCCTAGAAGTGTCCTACGGTCCTTGCGTTTGGCGGTCATGGATATTAGGGCAGACATACATGGGCACGTCCTGTGGGTTTCTACCCGTGGACTGGTTGGGTATCGTCATATGACAGCAATAGCTGCGGGTGTGTTAGCATTGCATGTGGATATCAATGACTGCATGACTATTTCAGTGTTCTGAGCTCTCATGCGATATGATTCCAAGTGCGGTAATATATCACACTCGGTCCCTCCGAGATGTGGACAAGCCTGGTGTTTGTGGATGCGGAAGCTCATTGGTCGACCGAATTTGGAGGGCTGGCTTGGCGGCTCGCTTAGCCCCAGTACGGCCACTGCCATTTTGAAATCGTGAACCTCGACTCCGAACGACAAACTAACGAAGCAGGACGCCTCATCACCACAGACAAAGTGCGTACATTCGCCGGAAAGACGTGATTCGCATTGCTAACAGAGCTCTCCCTTTCAGATGGTTGCCGCAAAGAAGCACGTCCCGATCGTCAAGAAGCGTACGCTCGCCCTCCTCCTCGTCCCGCATCTCCCGCCTGCGAAATTCCCACCCCACGACGACCGTACTCCGTGTTGGAATGATTAGGCTGACAGATTGGATGCAGACACCAAGCGCTTCAACAGGCACCAGTCGGACCGCTTCAAATGCGTGGACCCGTCATGGAGGAAGCCCAAGGGTATTGACAACCGCGTTCGTAGGCGGTTCAAGGGCCAGGCTGCTATGCCCAAGGTACGACAATGCACAATCATATACAAGGATTATGGACTTGAAAGAGGTGGATTCGGCGTTGTGTCGATTGGGAATATTGGGCTTTGCTCTGAGAAGGAGTGATGGAACATCTGCGATGCGTATTACGACACTGGGACGTGTGGCTGACGGACATCTTTGTGACAGATTGGCTACGGCTCCAACAAGAAGACTCGCCACTTGATGCCTTCCGGCCACAAGGCTTTCCTCGTCAACAACGGTACGTGTCACATATCACGAAGGTAATGGTGTGGAAGATGGTTGGCTAACAATAGTGCAGTCAGCGATGTTGACCTCCTCCTCATGCACAGCAACACCTTCGCCGCAGAGTACGCTATGATTACCCTTCGCTGGTTAAAGTCAGTTCTCGGATAACTAACCCGACGCAGAATCTCGCACGCCGTGTCCGCCAGGAAGCGCATCGAAATCGTGAACCGGGCGAAGCAGCTCGGCGTGAAGGTGACGAACGGCAAGGCCAAGGTCAAGGTCGAGTCGTAGACGTTGCGGCGATGTATGTGGAGGGAATGAGGTTTCGGGACAGCAGCGACTGAGCACGGTGCATATCAAGGCATGGCGTCACGAGACGAAAATCAAGGGGGAACCAACAAAACATGGCTCTTATACGAATGGTGCATGTTTTCTTCTCGTTTCCCTACCGGCACGATTGTGTGGTGAGCGACTGGGCAAGGGGGTTATAGTCTCTTACTCGTAACTCCACTGGATGAGGTTCGGTCCAGGTCCTGCTTGAGGGTGTTAGGGGAATATTACATGATAAGTCAATTCCTGCTGCTGCCCAAAAGTGGATGCGTTTGTTTCGGATGTAGGTGAGCGAGGATGTGCACTGTGGTGACGTCGAGATGCTGCCGATGTCGTTATCGCAAGCTGAACGATTGACATGTGCATGCGACGAACAGGTTTTGGGTACACAAGAATACAACAGGACCCATGGTGTTGGGAATCTGCCATGTCTGGGAAATTTGGTCGCCCTTCGGGGGAAATCGGAGCAGAATGTGGTGTGGATGCGGCGTAGGTGTCTTGTCAGCAGTGAGGGAGGAGTCAGGACACATGGCGGATGCAGAGAGTGGTCTGGAGTGAGTGAGTGAGCCGGCTATGCTATCAGATACTATGCGGTGTGGCTGTTCAGCTCTGTGCTGCAGACCTCATCTGAGGTGCGCATCTCGCCCAGGGCAAACTACCCGGAGCCCCGAATTAGTCTCTCATGGCATGCATGCACATGGTGACGTTTTGGGTAATAAGCAGATTGATAGTATAGAACAACACCACGGCAGAACAGCGAGACAGCAAGGCGCCATGCTCACCGCCCTTGTCTCTCGGATCAGAGGTGTGTCTGCGTACCCGGCTCGTTGCATCTGCAGCAGTCACGGCGCATTGCATTATCTCTGCCCTCTTCCCCGTGCCTCTTCCATCCCATTCCACGCATCTGTTTGATGATAGTACTTGCGATGGTTCGGAGCAAGTCGCCCGCCCCACGCGGTGCCCTCGTCACGCGCCATTGGTCGCTTTGAGGGGAAAAATGCGGTGGAACGGGTTTCGGATGAGCGATGCATGCGAGGGTAATTGTGTATCCCTTTGTATCTGTGTGATCTTCCACTTTAGATGTGGTCGTGAGCAAAAACTTTTGGACGGGGAGAATGTCTTGGCGGGAGACCCGGAGATGACGAATTTCTTGAGCACGATTGGGTCTAGGAATTTTGTCACTTTTTCTTCTGGTTTTGTTGGTTGCGGGCAACAAATTTTCTGCTAGGGGAGGGTCCACTATTTACTGGCGACTGCAGTTGCTTGGGGTGAGCTGGGACTGGGTTAGCTATGTGGTCGGTGGGCCTGGCTGGGTTTCTGGCTTTGTTTATAGAGGGAAGTCGTTCCTTCCACCGAGGGCTTTCCACACCTTCCTTAACTGCTACTGCTGCTGTGGTTTCTTCTTGACGTCGCCGTTTCCGGCGCTGCTCTTGTCGTCGTCGTCGTCGTCGTCGTCGTCGGTGCTGGACCGAGACATTTCGAAGAGGCCTCAGAAAAGCTGAGCACACCGCCAGGGACCAGCTGCCCGTACTTTCGTCGACCACTATTACTCAGACTTTGTTGAGATCTGTTTTTCTCTCTATTTTTATGTTCGTTTTATAAGGCCTTCGAATCGCCCGGCTGGAACTTATCGCCTGCCTTTTCGCACCCATCGGAGTCTCCAGGGACCCTCTTTCCCCTGAACCCTATCGGCCCTATCCATCCAAACGGCCTTGTTTTCTGCAAATAACGCAACGCTATCCAACCCAGCTCCAACTTAACGATTACTTTTGCTTCTACTCATCAACCAGCAACCGCCGCGTCTGATTAACAGATTCCACTTTCGAAACGTCGCAGGATTGGGCGTTGTCCCCGCGTGATCGGCTCCTCCGCACCTGCGCACCGCGTTACAGATCCGTTATCCGCATTCCCATCCCTTTGCCCAGGTGGACGGGACAGATTGCACGTGCTTCGCCGCACTGCGCGGGGCGGACGTGGTACGGGTATATATATTATTCGGAGCTGCTGGGTGTGGTGTTTAGGTTGTCCAAGAGTCAAGAAAAACCGATTTGTTGCCACATTTTGAAAGCATCAGCACAGCCACAGTTCGGAAGCGACGCCACCCGATCGATCAGTGACGACGACGTCAACGTACCAGTAAAAGTTGGTGGACAAGTGGGAGTCAGAATTGGAAATTGAGAGTCACGGTACTGGCTAGAATATTCGGGAGTTTGAGATCGAAATCGCACCCAGTTACAACACATTTCCCTTCCCAAGGACTTCATTATCGACGTTACTTTCATCTATCAAATCGGACTCCAAGACCGGACCTTCAGCTAAATCCTCACAACACCCACTTTTTGTCCCTTTTCGTATCGTTTCCGCCAGGGAATGACACCGAACCTCTTCCTCGCAACTCAGACCCTCTTCTCCCCGCACAAATGGTTCAAAGCCGGGCCCAAATCTGAGCGTCCCTCGCGCCGGACAGAGCACTGGAACGACCCGGTCCCCGGAGTGTACGAGTACATTCCCGGTAGGGGCTGGTACCTAGTTGCCACAGACCGGGAGCGCGAAAACAACACCTCCAAACGCCATGACACCGGCAATCGCACGCCGCACGAAGGGACCGGCCCAGACAACGAGGACGAAGACGAGTACGCAGTCGACCTTCCAGCCCTCTTGCAAGAAAACAAAGTCATCCCCATGATCCCTCCTACGCCGGTCAAATACTCCAAGGTCCTGAAACGCTATCTCCTGGCCCCGGACTACGAGGCGCGCAAACGGCATGGTCAGTATCTAGAAATGAACCCTGCACAGCACGGCGCGAACAAGCTGCTCACGGCTGGATTCTTCCGCCTGGACGACGGCATCGCGTGGGTCAAGTGCTGGGACCAGCATGGCGAGTTCATCCCCGGCCCGTATAAGCTCTGGTGCGTGGATAGGGAAACGGGTTTGTTTCGACATATGCTCAGGGGCGACGACCCAAAGTATGCTGCTTCTCGGAGTCGCGGGAGTAGTATCGATGGTGGTGATGAGGGCGGCAGGAAACGGAGGACGAGCCAAGATAGCAGGAGCACGCAGTTCAAAGGCGGGAGCGGGGCGGGAACGAGGGCGAGTTCCATCAGAGGACTTACGCCCAGTGCGCCGGCGAGTAGACCGGGGAGCAGGAGGGGGAGTCCCAAGAGGAGTCCTAGTGTGCCGCTTGAGGAGGCGAAGGAGAGGTTGAGGAAGTTGGCCGAGGAGCAGAAGAGTGCGAGTGCGAGTGCGGGTGGGAAGGGGGTGGAGCGGGTGCCAGGGGCGGGTTCGAGGTCACGTGCGGGATCGGGCGAGAGGCGTGGAAGGAGTACGGCGACTTCTCCGACGACGGCCACGGCAGCGGCTAAGCAGAGCAAGAGCTAAGAGTGTGGGAGTGTGGGGATTGCGGGTTTCAAACGCCTGGGTTCATGTGAATCCGGGGTAGGAGGGCATGTGTTGGGCCGACACCGATGCGGCCTCCACGTGGTGTCCTGCGAAGGCGTTTGATCCTACGAAACTCCTACGCTCCTTCACGACGATTCTTTACTGCGCCGACTTCTTCAAGCAACACGTTTCCTTCTCACGAGTTATGACATTGGTGTCCCTTTTCCTGTCACGGCCGCTCGATTTCACCGTTTCGCTCGTCTGCGCTGCTGACCACGATGCCCCCTGCGATCTCTATTACACTCTCTTTGGACTGGGAAAATTAAAAGTAATGGTTATTGGTGTCTTTGTGGGCGTTGGGACTAGGGGATGCTTTCGTTTTCATATAGCAGGATGGCGCTAGAGCTTCAAGGGAAAGAGCTGTTAAGGCGTTTATTTTTACTAGGCATTTTTTCCTCCCTTCTATAGAAGTCTATCAGGTATTCGGATTTTTCCCCACGTTTTCAATGTCTTTATAACGGTTTCACGAATTTAGAGGATCTTATTTAAGGTCTTTGCGGTTCATTATGGTATACGTTAGTATAGATATGTTGCGCTGGTGGATTGGGCGCTGTTCATCCCGTTTGAAGCCCACGTCCTCCGCCCTCGCTGTCTCCAACCGTCGACTTCTTCTACTTCAATACTATCTTTTGTCACCGTTATCCTTAACTCTGCGTTTTCGATCGCCTTGTTCGCCGTATAGCCTGTTTTGGAGTCTATCGTTGTCGTTCTCCTATGTGTCCTCCTTCACGAAGACTCCCCGTCTGCATGGACAGCGGGGTGCAGATTCACATTGCGCTAGGCAGTCGAGGCTGCATCGCTGTTACAGTCACGGTGTTCGTAGATTGATGGCGTTTGACGGTCTTCTTCACGAGTTGGGAATTCACTGATGTGGTGGAGCGGGTGTGGTGGTTATATAGTGAGGTCGTGAGAGTTGCTGGGTTCTAGCACTGTGATTAACGGCTTTCTTTGCGTGGATTAAGGCAATTTGTCGGTACCTAAGGGTCTTTGAGGGACCCTGCACTTCTTCTGAAGAAACGCCTTCAAAGCTCTGAACTGCTGCAATTTTACAGCGTACACATTGTCTCTCCATCCTCATCACCTGCATTTACCTCCACTTCATTCCATCACCATGCCAACCACCCTCCACCGTCCCCCCTCCTCTCCCTCTCCCCTCCCTCTAAACCAAATCCACACTTACGACCACCTCCTCACCTACCTGTACCACCTCTCCGTCATCCTCAACCAGAACAGCGTCTCCCCCGTCACTCTTCGTCCTCGCCCTAATGGTCCGCGAGACCTCTCACCCTCAACCCTCCTCTCCGCAGCCCGATCACTAAACCAGGCAGCCACCACGTTGGCGAGTCTCCGTCGGGACATTGAGCGGGAGATTTGGATCCGGGCGCCTGCGGGGGGAGGGGAAGGGGCAGGGGAACAAGAGGGGGATGGGAAGATTGGGGTTTTGGTGAGGATTTTGGAGGGGTTGACGGAGTTGGAGGAGGGCGGGGTGGAGGGGTGGGTGCGGTGGTTGTGGACGGGGAGCTGGAGGTTTTGGGGGGAGGGTTTGGCGAGAGACGCGAACGGTTCTGCTCCAGTTGAGTGTAGTGAGGGAGAGGAGGCGGGGAGATGGCGAGGAGCTGAGAAGGATATTGAACACGTCACTGTCGGTGGTGGTTACAAGGGATCCAACGATGCAGGCGATGATGCTGCCAACGGCGATGCGGAGGCTGAGTTGCGAAGGAGGGTGCTTAGTGGGTATCGATATGTGCCTGCACTCGCATCTCACCCAACCGCACTTGAAACTGCCTGCCTTGGACGAAAACAGAATGGACCTAACCGTGGGGAAACAGCTGGAGATGGTCGGCGAGCCACTCAAGCTAGACAGCCTACGAATACGGAAGGGCGCGCGCGAACCACCGCCCTGCGGAATGCCCGTGCCCGTCCATGTCGATGCCACCCAGCTCCAGGAGCCGAAAAGAAGCGGGATTACCACCGCAGGCTTGCCGAAGAGGAAGACGACGAGCACTCTGACCCCGGCTTCATCGAGGTTCCGAGGATTTTCAATTGGGCGCCTCCATCTATGTCCTCCTCGCCTAATGACGGCGACGATGAGGTTTCACGATGTCGGCATCTCCCACGGAACCCTAGGATGCGAGGCGGAATGGCGAGTCGGGACTTGTACTTCAATTCGATCCATGATCTGTGGAGTCGAGAAGAGCAGTACAGTGAGCCGGATGAAGACCGTGCTGGGGGCGAGAACAAGACAGTCAAGGCGAAGCCGGATGGAAACCATGCTAAGGTCCAAAAGGACATACCTGCAGTCAAGGCGAAGCCGGTGGAGGAACAAAAGCGAGAGCAAACCATGGAAGACGAGAATTCCCACATTGCATCCCTCGAGTGGAAAGAATGGAAAGGCCCTCCTATCCCGACACCCCGAGATTCCCCGGCACACAGCTACGCGCATCCGTCTCCCTCTTCTTCTCCACATAAAGAGGCGGCCGATATCGCAGCTACCCCGTCGACTCCCCTTCCCCTCTCCGCAGCAACGGCATTCTACTTCTTCCCCAGCGTCTCGACCATCGCGCTTCTTGCCCCGGATTGTCCTCACCCTCTTCATTTCTTCCAGTGGTCTACGCACCCTCAGTCTCCTAACCCTATCACGCTTCAGCATATTAGGCAGTTCCTCAAAGATAGGAAAGACAGGGGTGTGGAAGATCATGAGGGCTTCTTGAGGATAAGAGAGATTTTGGAAGAGAGGGATAGGCGCGGGTTGAAGGATCCGGTGGCGCCGGAGGGGAGGATGGTGTGTGTTGAGATGCCCGAGGTTGATGAAAGAGACGGAAATGAAGACGGATATGTGCCTGTGAAGAGAGGAGGCGGGAGCTGTTGCGCAAAGCCAAAATTGGAACTTGATCTCCTCTCCCTAGGGTTAGATTTCACGTCCCCACAGCTCTACAGCTCCGACGAAGAGACAATGACGGAGGGTGAAGAGCACTGGAGAGGGATCGGGTATCTAGTCAAGGCGTTGATGGGCCAGGTAAGCAGTGACGACGAGTATGAAGACGCGTATCAACCACGGGGAAGCAGTGTGGCAGACCGATATGAACATACGTGCACTCGCGGAGGCGGCAGGGAAGAACGTCTGCCGGATGAAGATGTGCATCTGTCGAGTCGGGAAGATATGGCGTATTTCCAGGCTTCACTGCCTCGTGGATATCCATCGGAGGAGCATGATCACCAGCTCCAGCCGAGACGGAGCGGAGCTTGCGATTCGTTGACGGGGTTTAGTTCTTCGGCATATGATTGCTGCATGCATTGCCATGTCCCTTTCGACGAGCTAGAGCCGTTGGTAACTGGCAGTCCGGCATCAAGTATAGCGTCTGTTGCCCATGAGGATTATGCACCGTCTGCGGTCGGGAGAAGTCACTGGGATGGATGTCCTCACGGTTCGACCGGAATCCACGATGGCTCTCAAGAGTGGTCTTCAAGTTACCGTAGTGGTATAGGAAAAGAAGGAAACTTCAAGAGAACTGAGGGCTTGGCCAACCTTGAAAGTGCATGCCCGAGCAAGCCAGACATCCCGGAATGTCAATGTACGGTCCACTCGTCCTTACCTCATCGCCAACCCGAGCATTCTGCGCATGCAGTCCATTCCCCTTCTTCACCGCCCTCAGCACCCTACCAATCCCCAATCTACCTCACTCCCACCTCCGTCTCTCCAACTTCTTCCCCAATGATAAACCTTGCAATCCCTGCAGCGGACCATACCGATCAACTGTCTGCCCAAGACATGCCCATCAAGAGATCTCGCTACCAATTCTCAAAACTCAATCGTGAAGTGGACGAAGACGCGGTTCCCACGCACTGCAGCTCCGACGCTGAGGATGGTTCGGAGATGCGCAGGGAGATTGAGGAGATGCTTGAGTTGGCGAAGAGTTTGGGAATTCAGATGTTCGGAGCCAGTCGCCAAAATGGTAATGGTTGGGGCAGGGGGTTGCGGAGAGGGGTGGAGAGTGTTCCCAATACACCTGCCAGCACTGCATCTTCAGATGCGGAAGGAGATAGTGCACGTCGTACACTTGGACGTGAGGATAAGGGCAAGCAGCCAGTTCGAAATATACCCGAGCCTAGTCGACAGTCCCAGGAGCCTCAACGGGCTGCACCGCATATCCCTAACCAGACACAGAGCTGGAATCTTGCATCTTATATCCCATATGCCGGACCCTCACGACCGCGTGCACGCCGGATGGTGAGTACGGCGTCTTCTCACGAAGGGATGAGTCCGCTGCAGACGTGTAGGTGGGAGGATGAATACCGGAGGGGAATTGGGAAAGGTGTAGTTGGGAAGACGAGGACGGGCGTGTGGATTGATTGAGCAATGGGCTTTGAATCTAACTCAAGTCGTTGAGCAATTGCAACCCACCAATCAATGTTAACCATATGAATATGCATCGCTGTAGAAAAGAAGAGAAACCCTGTCATTACAAGATCATGTATCTAGTCGAGTCTCTGAGGGTTAGCGAGTTGGAGCCTTCCTAATGGATGTTAGGTTTTTAGAGCCGAGAATATACAACATCATGCTGCACGTGAGCACAACTATTTTTTTCCGCAGGCGCGACGGAGAGACCTCTCTACTATTTAGACCAAACATGCAAGGCTTTTAGTTTGGAGCAGTCCGAGTTCTGCTGTTTGTTTGAGTCACCATCTTGCTCATCCTTAATAATGGGGGTCCCCGTGTCGCGATCCACCCTCCGTGGCGACCCAAACCATGAGTACCTCTTCTTTAGAGCAATTTGACGCACAGCATACGATAGACCTTTTGACGTTCGCTGCGCACTCTTCCGAGCGCATGTCCTCTCCGCAAGCCCGACCGTCGCTGCCTCGTTGAGTCCGCTGTCATCCTCCCCGTGGGCGAGCGCACGCCTTCTCCACGCAGGTGCCTCCCCATCACGGATCGGTCGAATATCGCGATTAAGCAGGGGGAAAGCGCTGAAACGGCAATTGACGGCGTCAACGAAACGATCGACAGCATAACCAACCGCTGTACTTCCTCCAGATGCGTGTGATCTTGTAGGTTTCAGCCTTGCAGCAGCTGCAACGCCGTGCCGCCGCAGGGGCGTTCGCAGCCCCCACGACCCTTTGAAATAACATGGCTGGAGACCGCTGAGGGTAGATGCGTGGTAACATGACGCTTTATAGTTCAGCCGCTTTTGTCTTCGTTGAGTCCGTTCCTTCAATATCTTTTGTTTGCACGCTTATCACGCCCAAAGCTGTGGCGATATGGGTAAAAATTCAGGTCCTGTGACGACCAAAGAGGACGCACGCGCATTCATCGAAGAGCTAGCGTGGCGCGGAGGGACCTTTACAGATACATTCAGGCGAGAAGCAGAAAAGGAGGCACGAAATGGCCGCAAGTGCATGCTGCAAATGATCGAAGCCACCGAGGAGATTCGAGAAAACTTGGCAGGGACACTGAAAATGTGAGAACCCCCGCCGTGGTTCTCTATGGCGTTCATCATGTAATGGAAATAACTATTCCTTAGCATATCAACCGACCTGTACACGAGCCGCGCACGGTTCCTGATGGAAGTCATTCAGAATGCCGACGACAACAAGTATACCGAGGGCGAGACGCCAACAGTGTCCATCACCGTCTTTCCCAAACATGTCAAGATTGAATGCAACGAAGAGGGCTTCTCCAGAGAGAACATTCAGGCGCTATGTCGGACGGGCCGGAGTTCCAAAACACCTGGCCAAGGATACACCGGCGAAAAGGGCATCGGCTTCAAGTCCGTCTTTAAGCTCGCCAATCGGGCACACATACGCTCTCCCCCTTACTACTTTCAGCTGGATCAGACGAGAGAGCTTGGCATGATTACGCCGCAGTGGGACGAAGACTTCTTTGACGACCACGAGGAAGAACATCAGACGACCATCGTCCTGGACCGCATCTGCGACCAGTCGATAGACTTTTCAACTGCGCTCGAAAAGGACGTTGACGCAATCGACCCTGCCCTCATTCTTTTCCTGCGGCGCATAGGACGATTCCATCTCACGCTCTTTAAGTCCTCCTCAGATGACGAACCGGCCATCTCAAAACGCTTTCAGCGCGTCAACTGGACGCCCGATTCTGGCATCGTGTCGCTCAAGGACGAAGATGCCAACACGATGCGCCGCTTTTACAAACACAAACACCGATTCACCATTGATTCTGACGGGACCGAACCCCGACGAGAAGGCATTACAAAGACCGACATTGTGCTGGCCTTTCCGGTGACGAAGAAATCGGGCACGTATATGCCCTTGATACGGAAACAGAACTTTGCCTTTGCATATCTGCCTCTTGGGGACTTTGGGTTCAAGGTGCGATACGTTATGATGGCTCGAACGTTCCTGCTAAATGCTGTGCACAGTTTGTTATTCAGGCAGATTTCCTCACTACGTCGAATCGGCAATCAGTCGACGAAGACAACTATTGGAACAAAAACATTGCAGACGCGATTCCGCACGCCTTTGAGGAAGCTATCGACAACTTCAACTCCAATGACGGGAACTCAGACTTAGACGAGCTAGGCAAAACGTGGCCGCTCTACCTCAATCACAATACTACCGGTAGTGGCCTGAGCGCGTACTGGCGCAGCATAACAAAGACCATAAATAAGCACCTCAGCGGAGCGCTCGTCATCAAGGACGGAACCGGCGAGGTCAAGAAGCCAAAACGTCTCATATTCTTGGACTGGGCGCACGATCGCAATGGTGAGCCGATGTTTGGGCATATGTGGGACTACGTCTCCCCCGATTATCCTGACTCGGTCCGCGAGGCGCTCTTGTCGTTGGGCGTCACTACCCCTAACTGGGGGTGGGTGTGCGGCAAGCTCCAGAAGCTGCACGATAAAAGCTTGCTTCACATTAGGATGCGAAGCAAGGAGTGGTGCTCGGATCTTGCCAAGGTCATTCTCGAGCCGCAGGAGCCCAGGGGCGACAAAAAATATGCAAGAGACCTGAGCAGGATTCCTTTGATCCCCTTGGCCGACGGCACCTGGCGGAGTCCCCCCTCTGAAGATGATCCAATCTACTTTCCGGTGAGCTTGGGGACGTCCATTCCGCCTGGACTGCCATTATCCCTGGTCGACGAAGAAGCTTGCGCTTGCCCCAAGAGGAGAGAGCTCTTTCGACTCCTTGGAGTAAAGATCTGTGACGTCCCCAACGTCGTCGAGCGGATCCTCGACTATCACGTCAAACTTAACTCGGCAAAGGCTGTTCATCTCATCGCCCAGTTCAACTACCTCTACAAGATGCGAGAGCACCTGCGGCCTGGCGACATGAACAAGGTTTACTTTAAGTGTTCCGCCAGCAACCATTCCCAAACGGGTACCTCGACATATGCTGATATTTCTGTTGATGGCGAGCTGCAACAGCTTTTCTCCGGTTACAGCAAGGCACACTTTCTGGACTACCGCTACTTTGCAGAGCTTAATCCTTTTGAAAGAGCCAAGCTCGCAGAATGGTTGAGTGAGACAGCCAGCGTGGCGCTAGCCCCTCGCTTCATCGCAACTGATTCCTGTGGGCTCCACAGAGACTTCGAATGGTTGTTGGCTAATAAAAGCGACCAGGTCTTGGCTATCTTGCGTCAGCACTGGAGTCTTTACAACAAGGACATGACGAAGACGGCGAAAGGCACACTAGCACGCCATGAATTCATGTGCAAGTCGGGAGATCGAGCAGCTTTGCGCAAAACCTACATCCCCTTTCCCAAACTTGTGGAAAAGACACAAGCGTTTGGTGATGCCGACGACTGCCATTTCCTAGCTTTGCCTAGCGGCGACCTGGAGGACTGGAAGTTTTTATCCAGCTTGGGTGTCGGCCTGGATGAGGGACTCGACTTTTATTTGTGGGTACTCAACCAGTCGGGCTTCGAGGAGCACCTAGACGTCGACAAGTCAAAACAACTTTACCTAGCGATCCAGTCGCAAGCTTTCTCGCCTGCTGAGAAAAAGAAGGTCAAGTAAGTGTACACAGCTACTTTAATGGCGGTCTTCGTTCCAGGCGCTGGAACAACCTGGAGCCGACTGATAATGCTAACTGTCATCAACAGGAAAGCGTTTGGTAATGCTTTTGTCAATCTTCTGAACGACGAGGGTGAGCGTCTGAAAAGCTGTGTCTGGCATGGTCCCAAGGGCTTCTCGTCCAAGCCTGCCTTACAGCCAGTCTACGGCCATGAACTAGATCGGCTGTTTCGAGAGATCTTGGAAGTCCCAAACGTGACCGGTGCCGAAGCTCGAGAATATCTTCAACAGCTTAGGGATGATAAATCGACGACCATGGCAGATGTCACTGAAGTCTATGTGTTTCTACAAAAACACTGCGCAGACACGTGAGTAGAGTGTAGTATGCTGAATGAAATGTTGCTGATCGAGAACAGGTTCAGTGTCGATGACCAAACCGCCTGCATTGCCGTGCCGTCTTTATCGGGATCTCCCCTCGAGTGGAAAACGCCGGCTCACTGCGTGTGGGATGACGACGAGTTTTCGCAGAATGAGCTCGAGCTGGAGAGCAAGACCACCATTCGTCGCACCATAGAGCATCATGCGCCGACAGCAAAAGCCTTCTTCACCGACGTTCTCAAACTCCCAAATGCTGGCATCGACGAACTGCTTGCCGACTTGGCGTTGATGCAAAAAAGGAAGCGCGACGATCCGAAGCGAGTGCATCGGCTCTATGAGAGAATTGAGAGCTGCCGTCGCAGACGGCCTAAACCCATAACGCATGTGTCCACGCCTAGAGCGTGACAATTGGCTGACCGCTTCGATAGGAAAGCTTTCAAGAAGCACCCCCTCGTCTTTCTCCGTGGTATCAACGACCAAAGCGGCCAGTGGTTGTCACTCAAGGACTGCATCTGGACCCGGTCGGTTCTGCGGTCCAAGCATGCCCTCATGCCTTCGTTGAATCAATATCGCGGTCTGTTCCGAGACACGTTGGGAGTGCCGAATGCAACCATGGGCATGCTAATCACTGACTTGCTGAAACCACTAATGGACGCCCCCATGGAAGACGAGGACGGATACCAGTACGTAAAGGAGCTTCTGCAAGAGATTGCCCGCCTGCGGCAGAACGATGAGGAGCTAGAACGACTGGACGACGAAGAATGCTGGCCGTGCTGCACGCCAACGTGCCCGCGTGAGCTTTGCTCGATTGGAAATTTCTACGTCAATGACCGGCAGGATTTGTTCGACATCTTCGCCGACAGTCACACCTTCCTCGACTTTGATTTTGACACTTCGAAAAAGGTTGCAGATTTGCTTCGTAATCGAGGCTGCAACTCGTTTCTGTCCGAGAACGTATTTATAGAGACGGAATCTCGCGAACCGCTTGAACACGATCATGACCTCACGCAGGACTTTCGAGGTCGTGCAGATGCACTTGTAAAGTACGCAATTTCATCCTCCGATTGGACGCTGCGCTTTTCATGCTTACGCTGGTATAGATATTTTGAGCACGCTGAGTGCGAGTCACCTTACGAGCTTCGGCCGCTTCTTGAAAACCTCGAGGTTTGGATGAGTGCAGACATTAAGACGCACTATACATTGGAAGGCACTACTGTGACGAAGAGTGAGGGAGGTTCCAGTGTAAAAGTCAGCACTGGAGAAGACGAGAGTGACAAGCTGGAGATTTACGTCTCGGCGAACAGGCACACGCGCGATTGTGCGCTCATAACAGACTTTCCAGGGCAGCTTGTAGCTGCACTGGAGCTTGAACCGGCCGATCTCCTAGATCTTCATCCCCTCCTGCAAGTGCCACTCGCCTCGCTGAAGGCCTTGCTGGTCAGAAAAGGCATCACTGGCGGGGACGCTGCAGACGATTGCGAAGAGACTTTGGTGGCAGATTCGGTCAACGAAGACTCGCAGAGCCGAAGTGAGGGCGGCTATGATGATAATGGTGACGACGCATCGACGACGTCTGCCAGCAGTGTTCGCTCGTATTCCGCAGGATCGGCTATCCTAGAGTCTACGCGTGCTTCGGCGAAGTCAAAGGCTGCAAACACAACTCTACGACCATATCTGGATCATCGACCTAGCTCTAGGCCGACCACGCCCGAGCCTCGGTCGCAGGATCATCTGAATGGACCTTCTGACGAGAGCCCTCGCGAGCGGCCAGTCACACCCCGTCCCACGGCCGCTGGTCTTTACAGCACAGATAACCGCAACCGGAACAGGGAGCGGCTTCAAGGCTTCGCCCGAAACGCGAACACTGCATCCAGCTCTCGACTTGGGAGGTCAAGCGGGCAGTCTGGCGGCGGCGGTGGCGCTTTTGACATGAGCACATTGAGGGAGACCCTCGAGGCCGCTGAGCCTGCTTCCCTATCGGCGCCGGTTCAGGTCAATCCTAGCCCGCGCCGACGAGCAGGGCCGATTCTGAGTCGTACCGAGGAGGAAATGGCCCGGGACTTTGAAGTCGGCTTTCTGGGAGAACAGTTTGTAAGTCCCTTAGACAGTCTGGCTTGCCACATCCGGCCAGGTCAGAAGCTTACTCTTGTCCAGGTATACACCTTGCTACACGATACGCTCGAGCTGCCCGACTTCACGGGCGAGGACAACTGGACCAGCTCGCTGCGTTCTCGTGCTGGCTTCTCGAACTTTGGCCGCGAAGTGTCGGATTTTACCTATGAGGACAGGCAGGGCGCCCTCACCCGGCACTTCCTGCAGATGCAGTACCCGTACGCGACGCCAGAGTGGCTGTCCACGGCTTGCGACAATGGTAATATGCCTCTGTACCGGCTAGAGGTCAAGAGCACAACGAGCCAAGATCCTACTACTACCTTTTATATGAGTGGCCGTCAGTACGAGTTGGTAAGCTTTGTCAAGTCACGCAGCAAGTCAGCAGACCTTTGGGCTAACATTGACCAGGCAAAGAAGCTGCGCGTCACCTCGGTGACGCCGTCAGAGGTCTACGTCGTTCTGCGCATCTCGGGCTTGGATGCATTGGAAGATGGGGCGGAACACCGGCCGCAGTGGAGAGTGTATTTGGATCCATACACTCGCGGCGAAGAGGGCGTACTGAACTTTGTTGCCCCCACGTATGCCGTCACCGTTACTGCGTAGAACGAACAGCTTTGCATGATTCGATCTATATCCTGGGAGACGGGACAATTGAGGCGATTTGAATGACTGCATCCGAGCGCACCAGGCGTCGGGCTGGCCATAGATACTTCTGGGACTTCTACAGCCGCGCCGGTCCTGAAAGGTTGTGTCAGATTTGATGGTATCTGAAGATGTCACGGTGACAGAAAGATTGAAGATGGGTTGACTGATTGTATTCAGGTATGTGCCTGTGTGTGTCTGTGTGTGAGGCTGGGGCCTGACACCGGTTTTGATGTTCCTTCTCTGGGCACCAAGGCTGTGCAGGGCACTAGCCACTGCAGAATCACTAGCCATATATCCTCAGACAGTACCGGTACAGACAGTTTCTCCCAGTCCTCCTCTCCAGTCCCAGATGGGATGTCCATAAACTGGCTTACCATCTGACAACCTGAATACAATCAGTCAACCCACCTTCAATCTTTCTGTCACCGTGACATCTTCAGATACCATCAAATCTGATAATTAAAGAGTCTCACTGCCTTTACCAACATGTCTACCAACATGATCAACAACCAAACTCAAGCCACTCTGGCTACCAGCAAGGACTGGACCTCCTGGTTCACCCAACTACAATCCAAGGCAGATGCATCGGACATCTGGGACATGATTGATCCTGATGGATTCAAGAAGTTCATAGAAAGACCTACTACTCCACTCAAGCCTCAAGTCTCAGACTATGAGCCTGCACTCCCAGCTATCCCCACTATTGAGACTGCTTTTTCTAATACCATGAGCATCAGAAGCCGCATCCAACAATCTATCCAAGCTACCTCCACGAACGATGAAGCAATCGACCGTGTTCTACCCAGATTCCTGTCAGACCTATCAACTTCAGGCCTCAAGGCATATAAAGATGATTTGGAAAACTGGAAAATGGAGATGGAGGCATACAAGGAAGAATGGAGAGAGTAGGAGAGAGAACAAGCAAGTCGTAAAGATTTGGTCAAATATATCCAATCTACTGTCTCCAAGTATCTACAGAAGACATGTTGCCGCTTTGGTACTCAACTGAGAGAGCAAATCAGACTCCTCAGAACCACTGTTGGAATTGAGGATGATGTGGAAAGAGACAAGGCCAGAGACCATTATTTGGCAGCTCTGAGACCTATGAGACATGCTACCTCATGGGAAGGTTGGCTTGTAGAGTATGATGAGGCTGCCACTGAAGCTGAAGCTGAAGGGGTCTCTGAAACTCTAAGAACTCATGATGTAGTCAAGGACTTCCTGGCTGCAGTGCAGAAAGTTGCACCAATCTGGACATCACAGTTCAGAAGAGAACTCCAGAATCCAAGGATGTCTAGGAGATAAATGATGAAAGAGTTCAAGATGTACATGGAAGCTGAATACCCAGTGAAGAACAAAAGCCACAGGGGGACGTTCTTCACTGGTGACACCTCATCTGCCCCTTCTGAGCATAGAGTGCCCATCCAGGGCAGCAGACAGGATGCTGTTTATGCTGCTGATACTCTACATCAAGGTGAAGAAGGGGAAGACCCTGAAACCATAGCGAAGAAGGGGAAGACCCTGAAGCCAAAGTCCTTTGAGAAGATAAGAAGGTACCAAGGGCACAGAGTTGGTGAAGAAAGGTAAAGTCTTGAAGCCATACCTAAGCAGCTCAAACATGGAAGACATGGAGTGCCGGTAGTAGCCAGTAGCAGATGCCCTGCTTGTGATCAACCCCATTCACTCAAGGACTGCTTTTATGCATTTCCAGAGAAAGCTCCTGAAGGCTTCAATCCCAGACCCTGGACAGCTAAGATGGTGCAACTGGCACTTTCATCTGATGCTGATCTACAAGGGATGGTAAGAGGACTAA